TGATCCACCATTGTAGTTCCTCCTCTTGTAGTGTGCTGTTTGTCAAGAGGGCAAAGCGCCTTGCAGGAGAGCCGGCCGCCCGTGTGCCTTCCTTAACGAACCCGTTACTCTCCGTCTCCTCGGTCGATTAACAACTCTTGCAATCGGAATCGTACAACAGCTTTCGCTCCGGTCCTCGTAGCTTCGTCGCACTGGTCGGTCGCGCCGCCAGACTCTTGATTCCGCTCCACCAGAACCGGGCAGGGCCGGGGGTGCCCTGTCTCTTCTTCAGAACGTCGAAAGAGTCGGGTGGTTTTCGTACCCAGTATCCCCCTAATCTTGCAAACTTGTTGCAGCTTGTTGTTGTCGTTGGTGTCGGTTGTCGCGATTGTCGGGCGGGGCGGTGAGGGATTTTCGGGCGCTCGAAAATCTCACTTTTGATCCTCGAAATCGACGTCCTCGGCCGCCAACAGGCCGCGCAACGGCTGCGCGGAGCTGCAACCCCTTGGAATCGAGAAAACAGGTCGCAAAGGTACTGCATCTCGATTTTTGCGATGCCCGGCCGCCCGCGCGGGCGGCCCCCGGTGTTTGTTCACCGGGAAGGGGTTGGAGTCATCTTATTAGTAGCTACCAAGCCGGGAAAACTCTTACTCACCGGTAAACCCCATCAGATTCTGAGTCTGAATTTCAGCAGATCCTTGTCGACAATCTCATCCTTCCGAGCTCCCAACTCCTCCACGTCCCACTTGCACGAGAAATATCTTCCAGCCAGACAATGCCGCGGTTCCTTGGCGAGCCACACAATGGCATCCGCTGCCAGCTCGGGGCTCGTATCAATCACGACCTTGCGCAATTGCTCGGGCATCTTCTGCGCCATCTCCGTCTGGACTCCGCCCGGATGGATGGCAATGGCCACCAGCCCCTTTGCATGGTACTTCTGGTCGAGAAACTCGGTAAACCGGCACAGCGCAAACTTTGTGTCTGATACGACGAGGCGCCGGGATAAATGTGGTGCGCACCGACGCTGGAGAGCACGATGACGGTCTTGAGCGACGACGCGAGCACCTGCGGCGTGAAGAACCGAGCGGAGAGGTAGGTGCCGTTGATGTTGGTCTCCCACGTCTTCCACCACTCGGACGGATCCGACTTAGCAAGGGGGTGGTCCCAGTCGGCCGAGTAACCCGCATTGGCGATTAGCACGTCCAGGCTCCCGCCAAACGCCTGGCTCACGACGTCCGCGGCGTTCCGGACGGATGCCTCCGAGCTGACGTTGACGTTCAGCTTGAGGACATGAGGCTCCGGGTGGCCCGCAGCCGCAGCGGCGGCTTTGACTTCCTTCTCGGCCTCGGACAGAGGGGAGCGTGCCACTAGAGCAATCTTGGAGCAATCGACCATGGCGAAGCGGATGGCGATTGCCTTGCCCAACCCCTTCGACGCGCCGGTGATGAGCATGGATTTGCCCGAGAGGTCCGCAATGGCCGGTGAGATATGGGGGTATGTATCATTGTGGTTGTTGACAAAGGAGGAGACTTCAACACCGTTGCTTTTCCGGGGGGATGAGGCGGGCATGTTGGCGAGTGTTTGATGGAAGCAAAGTTGGAAAGGAAGGGGGAAATATTCAGTTTGATCGGTCCTGTTGGGAATCGGAATGGATGGAGAACTGTCTGGTTTGCAGCGCGAAACAACATAAATACTCGATGTGGTCGAGATGTGAGCGAAGTCTGCACTTGAATACCACGCAGGACCCCCTATGAGAATGAGAGTTGGAACATGTCAGCCGGGATCTAATGCTCGGACTTTGGAAGCCTCGGGAGGATGGCTTCTTAGCGCGCCCTGTTTCCGACCCGACGAATCGTACTAAGTTCCAATGCAGGCGAGCCCAGAGAATAGTGTGATATTGAGGTGAGCGTCGTGTGGTTTGGTAGCTCGGTCGTAAACGCCCGAAGTCGGTCCTGCTGTTGAATCCTTCAATGTACGCCAAGGACGACGATCGGCGATTAAGACTGAGCAGACCTCTACGGCGGAGCGTGAATGGATTTAGTTTACACTTCCCTCTCGGGGTTTACTGAGATCCTTAGGCCTTTGGTTGGGACCAGCACATCGTATCGAGGTGATTGTGTTTGGCTGGTATCCGATCTTGGATCCTTAACATTAGCGTCCAAACCCTTACTGATAACAGTCTGAGCGAAGCAAGCTCTTATTATAGACGAAATAATTGCGATAAGGACTCGGAGAGAACTCATAAATCATAATATCCAACCGAATGACATGAGCCAATGCACCGTCGCGAGCCCTTTTTCCATGTCACGGCGCTGGTGTTCTCTCTCAGCAGCTCCTCACCGAAAAAGCCTGAATTTTCCCTGGAAGCAGAGCAGACGTCAGTGCCGAGGTAGGTACATCTGCAGCGTTATGAGAATCGCTAGCTACATGTAACGTGCCGTGGTATGTGCCGCAAGTCTGGTCATAACGCCCGCACTTGCCAGGAGGCTGCAGAATCATCTGATTCAGCTGCTGCCGATGTAATTTAGTTAGTTCATACTGTTCTTGTGTCGCAATTGAGAATAGTTGCAGTATAGTAGTAGAGAGTGAGCAGCTTGCTCATCAAATACGTTTAACGTTAAGCATCTTCAAGAGACTCTTGCTGTTGGGAAGTCAACAGCCACGAATTTACCGCACTGGAGTACTGTATCAGCACTCCCAAGGTGCCAATTCAGGGAGTAATTTTGACCCCCTGTTCCAGCAAGTTTAGTATTACACCAAATGAAGACCGCAGCATATCCTTTGGCAGGTTAACACTCTTCATCTACCTTAACCTTAGGCCTCCCATGTTAACCGTCAGTAAAGCAAGCTCGGCTTCATTGGTTCCTTCTCGCGTCGCTCCCGAGCTTCATCTTCGAGTTTCTCTTGCGCTTCAACTTTATCTAGGATGTGTCCCAGCGCCGTCTCGACACCCACTGCCAAATCAAGAAAGGCCTGCCTCACCTTCGCTAAGTCAAGTTCCAGTTCCTGACTGTGTCTTCTGGTCACGCACTGACGAAGCGACTCAATGGCGGGGATAACCTTCTCCTTGAGCCTGGTTGCGCTTCCCCATTCGTATTCTGCCCAATCCTTGGTGCCAGAACCTAGCTTGTACGTCGCTACAGCTGCCTGTTGGAGAGCGTCAGTGTTTTTTTTTTTTTTTGCACAGCCCATGCAGGCCACGGCCAAGATTGTAATTCCCATATCCTGCGGAGGAGGAGCCCTGCGTCATTCAGCCGCTCGGAGAAGAGGCTATTGGCCACTTGGTTGTAAAAATCACGGGAGTCATCCGGGGTTGAACTTCTGGTCTCGTATGTAGAGACTTTAACAATGACATGTGGGATGCCGTATTGCACGAGCTCCAAGTAGTCTTCTCATAATCGGGAATGTACTTTCTGCCATCTTTGTTAGCGTTTCAAGCCCGATCCTTTCGGGGACCCCCCGCGATTCTGACCTTGTTTCCCCACCTATGCTCAGCGTCAGCAGTGCGCACGATGGCTGCCCGGTTCGACGCTAACTAACCTTTCGAGTCCTCATAGAGTGTGGAACAGTTGTTCCTGAGGGCCGTCATCCAAGCCTCCTCTTTCCACGACGCCTTGCTGTAGACGGCGCAGGTTTGGGCAACAACCAGAAACAGGAGCTGCCGCAGACAACTATGCTCGGGAAGGTAGTTTATGGCGTAGCTGGGATGAAAGCCGTTCACGCGACGAATCTTGATCCGGTCGCCATCCATGTTCTTAACGGTAACGTACGGGGTACCTCTCCAGCAAGATGGCACCCACGCCTTGGCTTTCAAGCTTCCACATGTCGTCCTTCAGACCCCTCACCTTTCCCGGGAGGAATCTCTTGCCGGCGCACAGGACCACGTCGGGCTCCTTGGCACCGATTGCCCATTGTGCCGCCTTGAATGCACGCGCCTTTTCTTCATTGGCCATGTCTTCCCAGTCGTTGTCCATAGTGTACGGCAGTAAGTCGATGACCGAGATATCACGGAGGTCCAGCCTTCTCCCTGACATCGTGAAGAAGACGGCTTCGAGCGCGCGGAGCGTGGCGCAGTCCTCTATGACAGCCTTTACACCGGACTCGAAGGAATGGTCGTCTCGAGGTTGCTGTAAGACCACAGCAATGCCGCTAATCGACCGGGGACCGGCCAAGTCCGCCGTCACGGCTCTCTCGGCTTCGGACCGGCCTAAACTCCTGCCTCGGTCATGAGAATGGACAAATGATCTCCGACTTTGTCCCGGGGGAAGTATTCCACGGGTTCAATGAGCCGCCTAATGCGATGGTCGATGGCGACACCCAGGCAATTGGAATCGAGCGTCATTGTCAGAACTGACCTGAAGATAGTGTTCCAATGAGAGCAGGAAAGGGAGACTGATTCTACTTCTACCTTCGTCCTTGATCTTATCGAAGGGGTTACATATAGCAGCGATACCTTATATAACGAAGTACGGGGTGACTACGGCGAAGACCTCTTTGTTGGCAGTGCATATCGCACCCCCTCGCCCCCCCGGCCCCCCCCAAACTCAAATACCACAAACCAACCATACACAAGCAACTACAGGTACCTCACGCTGTCCAGCCAGCCTGCAGGCGGCTTCGACGGCTAATCAGAAGGTAGAAAAACAGCCACGATGCTGCAGGCTCCATCAGGCGGCTTACATCTGGGATGTCAGGCTACCTGGGTAGGCAAGGTGTCACGAACCCATCACAAAAATGAGGCCAGGTGTGGCAGCCAGTTTGGGCCAGTGCCGAGAGATAAGGCAGCATCGCCATGGGAAGGCGCACAGCTTCAGGATTGTAGCCATGCAATGGGGGCCAAGTGCCTTCCCATTTTCTTTTCATTTCCCAACGCGAAAGTTCATCACAGTTGTATAAATGGGGAGGCAGGGTACGGAGTAATGAAGGGAGGAAGTCGAGAGTATATGTCTTGGCGCGGTGGTGACGTGTGCGAGCGGGATAGTTCAGATGTGTGGCGCTCTACCTGATTAACTCCCCCGGGAGGCGAGGGGGGCGGTGGGGGGTAGCCGCTCCACCCAGCGGGTACACATCGAGTTCTGCGTGAGAATTGGAAACAACTGTTATGAAGCTAACAGCCACGGATTTACCGCATCGTAGTAATTGGGCACTAAAAGATGGGCAATCACTCAATTGATGATGATGTAGGTATCTATGTTCTTCCAAACAGTTGTCTGCCTCTTCCTAATCCTGGGAATCCTGGTACTAAGCCATTAATCACTTTTGAACTACCCTCCCTAACCATCTGCCGAATCTAAACATATCCTCTCAGCCAAGCCAGCGCGATGTCTATGCTGAGGAGGCTGGAATAACCACTTCGAATATTCTCCACTACTTCCATTCCTTTTTTACCTCTGCTCTAGGTCCTCCTTTCTTCCCTTTCTCTACGCTCTACAATCCGCTCGCTTATGTCGACTAGGCTTAACTGCTCCTTAAATCTAATAAATACTCCTAAGTAAGTTTCTTTGCTAGACCATCTGCTATTATCTCTATGCTCTTTAGAAGATAATGGTTGATTCTGCTATTCATGTAGTTACTCCTAGCGTAATTAGTAGTGATAGATAACGTGATCCACCATTGACTCGGACACATTTTCCCCCACCATAATCAGCTGTGAAAGACGAGCAATATGTAGGCGAGGCATAAGGGCGCTGCAAGTACTACTCAATTCTGCTAATCGTAAGATGAGGAGAAAAGGAAAAGAAGCTGGAACAGCTCTCGCAGTGAAGGGTTCAGTATCAGAGGTAAGTGGGACATTGGATCTACACCCCAAGCACCACTATATGTCACGGGCGGGACAGGCTGATAGTCCAATGGCAGTTGTATTCGTGCTAAGCTACAATCTGGGCTCTATTCCGTCAGGTACGGGCAGGCTTGATTGTCAAGACGTAGCTCGAGGAGCTACGAACAGATCTCGCGGCAGCGAGGTGCAGAATCTTCAACCCACAGGGGCCCGTGCTTTCCACATGCCGGGTTCCACCCATGGGTCCTGGCAGGCACGGCGCAATCGCCGTGACACTATACACCGTTTTCTCCAAACACACCACTAACATCAGCTAAGAGACTGCCTTTTCTGGTATCTGAAAACTGCCAGAATCTGACGTCCTCAACCTCAACAGACAAACTGCACGACCGCCAGACTAGTAGTTGGGTCGGTGACGACCAGTGAGAATTCCTGGTGTTGTATGATTTTGGCTCCTTGACAACCCCTCATTTTCCTCTATTACACTGCTCAAGCACGTCAGGGATACCCTAGCTGCTTCAAGCTAAAAGGCAAGTGGTGTCAATTCGTCAGACTGACATCACTCCAACATGGCGCGCCGCTTGCGATTGAGCCACTGTCGATAGATGGTCGGTCTTTGGATCGGCGTCGGGTGGTCATGCATCTTCGTGGAAACCCCCCCAAAAAGGTGATATCCCGTCAACAGCTTTGCGCGAACCGAATCCTCCCATACTACCTATCGTCGCCCACCTGCCTTACACGATGGATCTCGTTTTGATGGTGATGTTTGCCGCTCTGACCGGTGAGTCTGTCCGTAGCCATGTGCTACTGGCAGGGGGATACTGACGAACAAGGGCAGGTTGTTCTACCAGCTTCCAGCGTGGTGACGAACTCTCAGCCCATGATAGGCGTGGGAAGGCTGATGCCCCTAAAAGCTACTCACCAGCACATGTCCCTTGCCCCGAGATGCGTCCGTATATCCGGCCCGCTGATGGGTTGTCGTTCCAAGAAGCAGCATGGTTGGGTCGGAGGGGCAATGCCACCATGCCGGCCTTGGTGGATGTGCTGGAAAGGGCCGCTATCACGGGCCTGGATATCAGAGTCTACCTTCAGAGCCTTCTAGATAGTGGTCTGGGTCTGCCAAGAATAGGGATAGCTGTGTCCGGTGGGGGATATCGTGCTCTGATGAATGGTGCGGGCGCAATATCCGCATTCGATAACCGCACCTCCGGCTCGACCGCGCCAGGCCGTCTAGGGGGCGTGCTCCAGGCAGCCACCTACCTCAGCGGACTGTCCGGAGGAAGCTGGCTAGTTGGCAGCATCTACACTCAGAACTTCACCACGGTGGATTCTATTATCCACGCCAACGGAGGCTTCTTGAGTGAGCTTTGGGAATTCAACGAGAGCATCATCGAAGGTTCTCCCTGCCCGGCCCCTTGTTCTCTGGCAACTGTCGAGTCCCTCGGTATTTAACACTCAAGATGTCTAGGACCGGCCACCTTATCTGTCGGTGACTATTACCGAGAGCTTCTGGACACGGTGAACGACAAGTTCGATGCTGGTTATAACACAACCATCACGGATTACTGGGGCAGGTCATTGTCATACCAGCTCGTCAATGCCACTGATGGGGGTCCGGGTGCGTATCAAGGCTCCCGGTAGTAAGCTACGTCCCACGTGGCTAATTGGGCCGTAATCTTCAAATTCAGGATACACGTATTCTTCCATCGCCAACGATACGGCCTTCATGGAAGCCTCGATACCAATGCCCATTATCGTGGCGTTGGAGAGACCCTCTGGGCAGCTTCTAATATGGGAGAACTCGACTGTCTTTGAGTTCAATCTGTGGGAGATGGGATCCTACGACCCGGGGAACCCGGCCTTTGCGCCGTTGCGATATGTCGGATCGCGGTTCACAAACGGGAGCCTCTCTGCCGACAGCGAGTGCATTGCCGGAGTTGACAACGTGGGTTTTGTTATGGGCACGTCGTCGTCACTATTCAACCAGGCACTCCTGCAGCTCGCGAGGACCGAAGGCGCGCCGGATCTCCTCGTCCGATCCTTAAACGCCACTTTGTCCAGGATCGGCGAAGAGAATAGGGATGTTGCAAACTGGCCCAACCCCTTCTTCCAGCATAACATCAAGAACAATCGGAACGCAAACTCGTCCGTCCTTAGCCTGGTCGATGGTGGCGAAGACCTGCAAAACATACCGTTGCATCCATTGCTCTGGTCCCATCGCCACGTCGACGTGATCCTCGCAGTCGACAGCTCGGCCGACACCCCAACCCACTGGCCCAACGGCACGGCTCTCGTGGCGACGTACGAGCGTACAGTCGCTAATTATTCAGAGCACAACGCCGCGGCGTTCCCATCCATCCCAAATCAGAACACATTTGTGAACCTTGGACTCAACTCTCGTCCGACGTTCTTCGGCTGCGACCCGGTGAACATGACCGGACCGGGCCCTCTGGTTGTCTACCTTCCCAATGCCCCATACACATACTACTCCAACGTCTCCACGTTTGACATGGAGTATACCACCGAGGAGCGGCAAAATATCATCTACAATGGCTACAACGTCGTGACAATGGCCAACGCCAGCGTGGATGCTCAGTGGCCTGCTTGCTTAGCATGTGCAATCCTCTCGCGGAGCTTCCACCGCACCAAATCCGGGTTCCCGGCCGTTTGTGTTGACTGTTTCAACAGATATTGTTGGAACGGTACTGTCAACTCAACGACGCCCGCGGCGTACGATCCTGGCCGGATCGTTAAATCGTCGGGTGCCCACAGTCGAACAGCTTTCTCAATTCTTTTCTACGTTGTAATCGTCTGGTTGTTCTCGGCGTGATTCTACTATGGTTTGATCCCTATATTTTCTGTCGCAGAACAGGGGCACCAGGATGGATTCTATTGGGTTTTGGTGAGCCTCGGTCTCAATTGCAATGAAACACTCAAGCTCAAATTCTAAAAGGGACTCGTTGAAGTCTCATACATGCTTATCCAGCCTATCTATAAGTAAAGTACTGGATAATAGGGTGAACTCTTGGTGAAGCCAAAAAATTTGGCAACAAGTCTTATCAAGCGCCTTGGCCCAGCGTGGGTAGGGTGATGCTTGCGGACAGCATTGGTGATGGCGAGAAGAAGCTCAAGGCTGAGCTTGGCGCAGGTGGACAAAAGTGGTGGGAATGAAAAAGACGCAGAAGGAGACGTAGTCGGAAGAGCCGTGGGCCATGCTGTGCAGCTAGGGTTGATGTTCTCGTGGTGATCTACGGGAGACTTCTGGTTTCGCATTCTTGCGAATCTCGGCTTGGTTAAGCCAGTTGGAAGAGTCACGTTGCAGTGGCTAAGATACCCCTAACATTCCCCTTCCTTTTCCTTTAAACCCTCCCTTTACCCATGAGCCTTTCACAAGCCTCATCGTTGACCAACCCTTAAACTGCCATGCCAAACTCCCTCACCCAGCCCTGAATCCTCTCAACAATCATTCGACACTACTCAGCCTCCGCCCGCCCGGAGCGACGGATTCGAAGGATTCGTCAGCTCTTCAATCGCGGCGTACCCCGACTAGGCGCCGTCCTTCAGCCCCCGACCGATCCGCATATTCTCAACACCCAACACATCCAGCATGCCCCTATGGTACTGGTGACACCAGCGTGCGTGGAGATACAGCAGGCCGTAGGACAACAGACTGAGACGGGTCGGAGCCGCGGTGCCCAAGGCCTCGCCGAAGGGGTTCCGCACGCAGCAGTAAGGGTAGATGGCCTGGCCGCAGCTACCGGCCTTTCGGCGGCAGCCGTAGTCCAGGAAGCCCCTGTGGCGCCGCTCGCCAAAAGTGCATCACGACGTACGATTCTGCAGCCATTGAGCAAGGCTTCGGTCATGTGTGTTGTGGTAACGACTGCTTTTTCGGCATTATTCCTTGAAGAACTGCTTCAGGATCAGGCGGCGCGTGAGGTTGGCTATCATAACCGCTCGGGATGTCGCTGAGGGTTGTGTTCTCAAACGCAGACATTTTGTTTGTCTTAGCGGCTACCGTGCCGTCGTTGCCCTCTTCGCTCTCTGAATCGACTGGCAAGTCGACCAGGCCGTTGGTTCGTGCCCTGCATTTGGCAACAACCAGGACAGGTTTTTCCGGTGTGGTATATGGAGCATCCCCAGCTCGCGGAACTCCTCGAACAGAAGGCTCGCTCACCAGACTGGGCGACCTGGCCGGGGGCACAAAGTGATGCTGACTGTGGAGCGTAAACCGGGAGGTGAGGTTCGAGGGCGAACCTCGGGTGGAACGAGGGGGATGTCAGGAAAAAGCAGCAGGACAGCTGTGTTGCAAGGCACTGTGCTACGTGATGACCCACATATACCCCACAGGATCGCAGGGTTCGTGGCTGAGATGGCCCGATACTCGAGAAAAATCTGTTCGCGGTGTAAGCCTTTCGTGCTGCTCTCATTTTGGCGCGCCAACATTATCCATATGAAGATCAAAAATCTTTTCTGACAGATTTTTTATCATCAGCCCGATACGCGCCAGGAAGCGCAATTCCAGCCGGCAACTTGGCCGTCCCGCTGCCCGTAATCGTAATCTGATGACAGCTGGGGTAGAACTGGGCAAGCTCGCCTCGGGTGTTGGTCCTTTGAAGGCCGGGTCGGAGCGACTTGAGATTCGACACCCTTTTTCAGGGGAAATGCGACACAGCTAGTTTATGCACGTACCGTCACACTACTGTTGGAATGCGAACAGCCACGATTCTACGGTGACACACTTTATGGAGCCTTCTTAAAAAAGTGAACCTTTTCGAGTGTCCGGGAGCCGCCCAAAAACTGTCAATTGAAAGTTCTGCTCTTCTCCAAGTTGCCTGGGTGCCTCCCAGGCCTTTATGTAACAGCTGTGTATTACCCCTGACCAGCGTAAGGCACCGGCAACTCAGTTTCCGAGTTTCAAGTGCCATCACTTGCAACAACTATTCTAATGATTGTTCTATTGAAATAAAAACGTATCAACTATACTTCATCTCTAGCTTTATATTTCAACAACTATGCTTAAGGCTACCTAGCTGTATAGTAATGTAAGCTGCTAGTGCCCCAGCTCATAGACTGTCACGGCGATTGCGCCGTGCCTGCCAGGACCCACGGGTGGGGCGGCCCAGCGTGTGGGGGCCGCTGCGGGTTGAAGATCCTGCACCTCGCTGCCGCGAGTTCTGCCGTAGCTCCTTGAGCTACGTCTTTACCATCAAGCCTGCCCGTACCTGACGGAATAGAGCCCAGACTGTAGCTTAGCCCGAATACAACTGCCATTGGACTATCAGCCTGTCCCACCCGTGACATTACGTAGCTCCTCCCCATTAGCCGATCGTCTCCAACACGATGGCTACCCGCCCGGAACCTCCCACAAACCCCGACAACGCGACAGAGTTGACCGCGCATGTCAGCGAGCATCCCGAACGCTGGATGTTCTACCTGAGGGATATAGATGGGTACGCGGCCTCTCTGGAGAAGGAGAACGCCACCCTCCGTGCTGCCGCCCGCGATCACGACGCTACCGTCTCGTCCCTCCAGACCAAAATCACGAATCGCGATGTGATCATCGGCTATCAGAAGGAACAGCTGAGCGAACAGAACTGCGAAATTATCCAGAGGATCACCCAGCTCGAGGTTCAAAAGGCCCAACTCCTCGCTGCTGCTACCCCCGCCGAGCATACCTCGCCGACCGAATCTGCATCTGTCACGGAACCCCTCGCCGAGCCCCTCGCAAGTACTGCTCCGGGAACACCTACGCCTGCTCCTGCCTTATATGCCGGATCTACCCTCATCAGTGCACGCCTCCCAGACCCAGACAAATTCGATGGTTCTCGCGCAGACCTCCGACGCTTTACACAGCAGATCTACGGCAAGCTGATCGCCAATGCCGACCGATTTCCGACTGCCCCTGCCCGTCTGACATACGTTGCTGGCCGACTGACCGGGAAGGCATACCAGCTGATGCTATCTAAGATCGCCTACGGACTCCCCCAGTTCCCCGACTACCCCGATATGCTCTCCTACCTGGAAGCTGCCTTCGGCGACCCCGACCGCGTGCAGAATGCGCAGAACAAGCTGTACCAACTTAAGCAGAAAAACGACGACTTTAGCACCTACTTCTCTGAGTTCCAACGCCTTGCCCTTGAAGGAGAGATGTCTGAAGAGGGCCTGACGCCTCTACTGTTCCAAGGCATCTCCCGGGAGCTACAGGACATGCTCCTACACAACCCATCCCCGTCTCGCCAGTTCCGAGCTTATGCTTGACACCTCTAGAGCCTCGATAACCGGTACCGTCAACACCAGAAGCAAGTCAACCGTACCAGGCCCAACCGCACCGCGCGAGCATATGCGCCAGCCACCTCCCCCAGAACAACCCCTGAATCACCGAGAAGTGGATCCCCGCACCCTACCAGACAGCGCACGCCCCGACCGAATGGGCGGAGAGAACGAGGAGAGTGCTACCGGTGCGGGTCGAAGGACCACCGGGTCGCTCTTTGCCCAGAACCTGACACGCGTCCCCACATACAAGCCCGTACCGCCAGAGCCGAACGATCGTTCAGCCCCGACACCGACCGATCTCTGAGCCCACCATCTACCCCCTCAGCGTCGGTAAATGGGGCGAGTCTGGGTTAAGTCGCCCCCAGACTCCGATTCCCTGCGCAAATGAAGTGCCGACACCTAACGACGGTGGGTGTTTGGACTCTACGCCAGCCCAACCGACTGGAAACACTCGAAGGAATAAAGCTATCCGGACACTACGAATCTCTGCCGCATCCGTACGAGGTCTCTCTATCCGCGAGGAGGAGGACCTACGATCGAACCTGATGATCCTGCCTGTTACCCTAGAGAGTGGGAAGCAACGGCTACCCACTTACGCCCTGACCGACACCGGAGCCCAAGGGAAGGGCTTTATTGACCAGAGCTGGGCTGAGGCCCATGAGCTGCCCCTTAAAAAGCTGCGAAGACCGTTCACGCTGGAGGTCTTCGACGGCCGTTCGGCCGAAAGTGGGAACGTCACCCACTATACAGCCATTGGCATGAGAGTTGCCGATCATTATGAGAAAGAGATCAGACTCTATGTGACGCAACTGGCCTACTACCCCGTCGTCTTCGGTAGGCCGTGGCTGAAGGAGCACGACCCGAGGGTCGGCTTTGCGAGCCATACATTTACCTTCGAGAGTGTCACGGGTAGTGACAGTGTGAGGTTCATGTGCGCAACTCCTGGTTCGACTGGACAGTTCGAACCACGGTGTCACGGCACTGGACCGCCGATCCCTAGGTCACGTGGCACATTGCACTTAGCTTCAGGTTCATCCATCCATAGCTTCCTTTCCTCTTCATAGAGCAACGCAGTTATCTTCCCAGACCTACTATGGTTCCGTGACACACGGTCCCTCTTTTGAGGGTGTTACGCAGTGGTCAGTTGCGCCCACCCGTGACAGAGAGCGACTATTGCTGAGCGAACTGTAACACCCCAAGTCGACCGACCAGGACATGACGTACCAGAGAGAGCGCGCCCAAGCTATTTACCTCCACGTCCCGCCGGGCTTAAGAATGTCAGCATAGCGGTCGTATCCCTCCGAGCTTGCTCAGCGTACATCCGCAAAGGTTATAAAGTGTTCTCTGTCACGATCGAAGACATTGATAGCCAGTTGTCCTTACCTGAACGAACAACCAAACTTGACGAAACTGCGATAAGAGGGCGCACAGGCCACCCACCAATGACCCACCGATGAGAGCATGAGTCTAGGGTGCGCTTTCCGTCACACTAGAAAAGGTCGACGTTGAGTATGAAATTGACATGTAGTGAGCTAAGTAGTACGTTAGGAGTAGGGAGAATAACGAGAAGATAGAGAGGCAGGAATTCTAGGGTTTAAGCGGGAGGAGGGAGGCCACGACGGTATAAGCGAGCAAGGCTAGCGCCGAGGCTCGAGGGTCGGACTTACAGATCGTACTTGGTTCACATTCCCGAATAGGGGACCAGATCCTACCGCAAAAATACACCGTCATCGCGAGCGCGCGGGGCGCGTTCTGGAGGACTAGATCGGCGTGAACGAAGTAGCATGGGCGACGCCTTCTTGCCTCCGTCGCCGGCGCCGGTTTGAGTCGTTACGGAGGGCGCCCCGCTCCGGGAACGCGACGGGATCTCGTCCGGCAAAATATCGGGCGAGCGTTAGGTCGGGGCTACTTGAGTCGGCAACCGCAGCGTGCAGCGCCAGAGATTTCGCGAATCAGAGTGAGAAACTGTCTAACCGCAAGCTGAAAGCGATGGCCGTCTTACAACCACCGCCATCACCTACCATCGACCCTTCAATTCCGAATATACTACAATGGGACGACATCGGCCTGACATTGATTCATGACTTCATCACCGAGGCCGAAGAGCAGGCCATGATTGAAGCGTTCCATGCCCAGGACCCACTCAAGGAGGGAAAGCGACGCATCAGTCAGCATTTTGGCTACCATTTCGACTACACCACCTTTGGTGCCTCCGAGACACACTTCACGCCGGTTCCCTCGTACATCACCGACTTTTTCCCCCGCCTGCCCATCCAGACCTACCTGCCCGACCAGTTCACCGTCCAGTACTACCCGCCGGGCAGCGGCATTCCACCCCATGTCGATACCCATTCCATGTTCGCCGAGGCCCTGTACAGCCTGTCCTTTGGGAGTGCCGTGCCCATGCAGTTCAGAATGTCTGGGCCAAACGACGCCAGGAAGATGCGCCTGCCCAAGCGGTCGCTCCAAAATGGAACCGCCGAGTCGGCATCTTCGTCCTCTGTCCCGGAAGAGCAGAGTTTGAATCAGAAACCAGACGAAGAACAGCCCCCAACTTGGGAGCTCGTGCTGCCGCCACGCTCCCTGCTGCTCATGACAGGGCCCTCGCGCTACGGCTACACGCATGCCATCAGGCCCAGAAAGACGGACATCGTTGACGGGAAGACGGTGCCGAGGCAGGGGCGCTATTCCATTACCATGCGGACTACCAGACGAGGGGACGGGATCGGGTGTAACTGTGCGTATCCGGGGGTGTGTGACGCCAGGATACGGGAGGAGGTGGCTGCTGCTCGCGACAAGGATGCTTCAGCCGGAACATACCTTAAGCACGATGCAAGCCGATCGGTGACAGACACCTCGAGTTCAATGGCCAGCCACCCTAAAGTTGGTCGGTCAACTGGACACAGCATCAGTCTAGGACAGTGCGGTGGAGTCCGCAATGGTGCTCCTTTGTTTCCAGAAGAATGAGCTATCTTGGGTTCATGGCTTCGATGGCTGGCAAAAGGCAAACAAAGAATCACGAACAACTCAGCTAGTTCTTCATTCAACATGTGCAAGGACAAATGAAACCACCATCCAGCTACCTTACCCAGCCAGCTGGCACTGCTTACCTCATACCAAGATACTGGGCCTCAAGCATCATTCTCGCCATGACTCTCACCATCTTTCCAATCTCAGCAGCGACAGCCCAGCCCACGTTCGTCTTCCGGGTGCCCTCGACCAGGCTGGCATCGTAGTGCCCAGGAAGCACACAAACTCCTGACCGTTCCATGAGGATAGGCGTCCCCATGTGGTGGCCCTCTAAGTGGCGGCTTGCGCCGAGCAGAGCGAGCAGACGTTTCTTCAAATGGTGGTCGCAGTGTATCCATCCCCTGGAAGGGCGGGAGTGCGGGCGAGGAGGGACTCGAGCTGCGTTGGAGTGAGTTGAGCGGTCTAGCGGATGGGAGAAGTCCGGTTGAATCCAGATGTGGTGGGGCCAGGTTGGCTGGTTGTTGGTGTCGGTGAGGGCCGGATTGGGGCAGGTGCACCAGGGGTGGATGGGCGGGCGTAGGATGCACACATGTTCTTTGGTGTTTTGGTTTTAATGAAGTAGAGGTGTGTTTCTTGAGACTTGTTGCGAACCCAGTGAGTCGGATGGCCATGGTGCAGGTTGGGACAGGCACTGGTGTTGATATAGAGGTCATTTGAGCATAGGCGTGAGGTGTTGTAAAGCACATGGTTTCAGTTCTCGCACAGCGGAGTCTGGGTGTGAATGGAGTAATAAGGGAACGAAGTTCTGGACTTGATGTTTGGTTGTTCGGGGGGGGGGGGGAGACAAAGTTGCAATTGTTTGAGAACTCAAATAGCTGGCAGGTAAGGACATGGTAAGATAGACTACAATGAGCGCCTGGGAAGCTAATGGGTGAGTCGTGACCATGTGTGCTCTCACTCCGCTTTGCTCGGCTTGAAAGGAGGGGTAAAACAATGGCACAAGGGAAACAGCTACGCCACCAGTTGAGCGTACCTACCTTGAGTTACTCCCTCACCACTAATGCGGTGCCATGGTCCTAACGCCTCAGGTTATGATGTTCAACATTCATCCTTGGGAGTGTCCTGAGTACAGGTATCTGAGCGAATGATGTGTGAGCTCATGGGCGCCCACCCGTTGAAGGTAGGTCGAAAGTCAGCGAGACAATTCGCAATTAACATTGACTGAACTTAAGCCGACATGAAGTTACTTGACTTAAGTCAATATACTATACCTATTTTACCTAACTCCTCTATCTCCTAGGCTCTCTTCCCTTTCTTTTGTGATCGGCCGGACGGAAACTGAGACGGATATCGTCGGCTTAGGGCGCCACACCATTCGAGAGACGACCCAACAACATCGTTAACGTTATTCCAACCTTCAGGGATTTGAACCACCTCAAGTCGAAAATCCATTCTTCGATAGAAGACTGAGCCTCAACACTCTGCCCAAGTTCTTGACAACAATGCTCCGAGTGGGCTTCCTGGGCCTGGGCGTTATGGGCGCGCCAATGGCCTTGAATGTAGCCCGGACGTTCCCTCTAACCGTCTGGAATCGAAGTAGCTCCAAATATCCACCGTTAATACAAGCAGGGGCAAATACGGGTTCGTCGCCATCCCATGTCATCCGGCATTCCGACATCATCTTCATGATGCTCTTCGACGAACACGCCATCCGCGCCGTCCTCACCGACGACGTCCGACACGAAATCCGAAGCAAGACTCTCGTTAACAGCAGCTCCGTATCGGTCGAGTTCAGCCACTACCTGAGCGAGCAAGTGCGCAACGCAGGCGGCGAGTTCATCGAGATGCCTGTCAGCGGCAGCACAATCCCCGCCGAGCAGGGCCGGCTGGTCGCCATGATGGCCGGCGACAGAACCGTGGCCGACCGCATCAAGCCCTTCGTCGAGCCCATGACCAGCGCGGCAGTCTACTGCGGGCCCATCGGCTCCGGACTCAAGATGAAGTACGCGATCAACACTCTCCTCATCGCCATGACGGCCGGCCTCGCCGAGGCCATGAACCTGGCTCGGGCGCAGGGTCTCGACCTCAACGCCTTCGGGCAGGTGCTCGATGCCAGACCCCTGGCGTCGGCGTACTCCAGGATCAAGGTGGCCAAGATGCTAAATCAGGACTGGTCGGCTCAGGCGGCAATCAGGGATTGCTACAACAGCACCCAGCTGATCCTGGCGGCTGCCCGGGAAGCCAACACTCGGTCGCCCCTGATGCAGCTTTGTTCTTCGCTGTACCGGCACGCGATCGAGTCTGGGCTCGGCGACGAAGATATGACTTCCTTGGTCAAGTGCTTACCAGGACCAAATGGATTCCAGGACAGATTAGGGTCCTCAGAAGTACGACACCCACAGGGAAACCGTGACCGCGGTGAATGATGAAAATAGTGCCGAAGTGGCATGGCCAAAATGCTGGCACTGAGGATTGCTTCTCGTTCCAGAGAGATAGAAGATCCGTCGGCCCTCGGGGGTGCGCCATGTGATGCAGTGATGAGGCGTTCTCCCAGCTACTCTTGCATTCCCCAGGGTCTGGGGTTGGGAGGAACCTTAACATGCAGTGGCCTGGGAATGGCTTCATTCCGGACCAAGGCCTTCACTAATAGACGGGCCTAGCCTCCGATATCCTCACTTTGGATCTCCCCGAAGTTTCGCTCCGAAGCTTGCTCCTTCGCTGGAATGGAAGTAGAAGCGGTGAGCGCCGTAAGGGTGACGTGGGCAGTTGAATAGATCTCAGATGTGCTCTTGTCATGCAGTTGCCCGATCACGACTCTGTGACAGCTTTTGTGGTTACCAAATCATGGATTTAGCTGACGAGCGAGCGGCTAGACGAAATCCAACCCAATTTGTTTGTTCGGCGTCCGGGGCGAGGCTATCAGAAGGCTACGCAGCCGGTACACTACTGAGGGCTGTGTCATGTCCATTCCGGTCATCCCTCATTTCAACCAATCTCTTCTTGATTCTTTGGGCTGGCCATGTCAACCCAAACATCCCAGCCCTTCAAACCCAAGTACAACCCATATATGCTCCGATGAACTCCCGGTCTAGACCATCACGACTGCCCTCACCCAATCTCGCATCCTGTCCTCTCGTCCGACTCCCTCATCCCTATATCCAGCGCGATGCTATGGAAGGAGGGCGGAGCTGTTGTGTGACTTGTTGCTGGGGCCCGAGGACGACGGATCAAGTGAGACAGGTAAGGTAACGAGAAAACGTTTGGAAGGCAAAGAGGTGGAGCGCCGAAGGATAGACAGGTAAACGTAGATGGTTGCGGCATATATGGTGTATAGAACACTTGCGGAACAGGGGTCGTGGGATCGTATGGCAAGAAGAAGCCTGAGTCTGCATTTGACACGCCGTTGCATGGCACGGAGGTGGGCGAGTGTCTTTAAATCCGACTGTCCGGAGTTTCGATCACTGTAGGGCTGGCGCCATAAGCATGGAAGACTCGGAGCTGGTGAATAATCTGTAGCCGTAGTGGTTGGCGAATTGCTGCGATGATAGTCGGCTTTATTGGCGCTGCTTGCCGCAAGACCGGCAATGGACAGGTGGCGCAAACTGGCTTCGAGTTCGAACTCATGCCCACCTATCTGTCTGTCTGGTGTCGAACGACCACTCATTGCCCCTTTTCCAGCGCAAGTCAGGATTTGACATAGGAGTATCTCTGTCAAACGGCCAATTCTCAGATCCAACGAACAGCCTCTCGGCTGTCAAAGATGGTGGTTCGAGTCACAATCGGCTCGAACCAGCCTGCGCCGTTGTGATTTGGCAACATCTGGCTTTCGTCCCCTCAAAATCAACGAATCCAGACGCATGGCGATGGTACAGCCTCTTGGAGCGGGCATTATCCCTGGTATTAACGATAGATTCCGTGTCTCGCTTTTTCACGAGGGCGCAGGCTGGGGATTGTTTCCGACCGTCTTGTAGAGATCGCGTAGCTCAAAGGCCTCATGGCCGCCTTCGGGCACCTCCCCGATGAGGCGCGCCGGCTGACCCGCAACAATGCTGAAGTTTGGTATGACCATGTTTGGGGGGACGACAGTTCCGTCGAGTATGCGCACGTAGTCCTTGATGATGGCGAACTCGCCGATAACCACCTTCGCGCCGATGTGGACGTGGCTTCCGATGGACGCAGCTTGTACGACGGAGCCGGGGCCGACGAAGACGTGGTCGCCCATGCGGAGGGGCATGTAAGTGAAAGCTCTGCAGATATCGCGTGTGTTTAGAAGACTGCTGCAAAGTTATCCGGAAGTGTGGGATGACAGTAACATACCCTTTGTACAACCGACCCGGTGGTCGCAGGCAGCATCCCCGACTCAGGAAGCAGTAACGCCCTATCGCGACGGCTGTGCTGTTCGGGGTTGCGCCGGACTGCGACGATGCCTGAATGGTGCGGACAAGGTCGCCGCGAATCATGACTTCGGGTTGGATGACGGTTTTCCCGCCGAGCATGATGTTCTGGGTCCCAACTAGCGTGGCCTTGCGCGCCACCTTGTTGCCCGTGTCCGTCTCAATATACTCTCCTCTCGGCGGTCTCCGTAACGACATGTTGGGTAATATTTGGTGCCTTTTTTGGGAGGCTTGTTTGTTGGTTCTGATCGTCAAAGTTTCGCTCGTGTGGTCGATTCAGTCGTGTGTGGTTGGTCAATGAAGTGGAACATGGAGGGCCGGTGGATTTTGGATTCTTCAAGCCCAAACTGGAAGTTGGCGCACTGTCCATGCGCCAAGGCTGCGGCAGCCCACCATTGGGAAGCAGACTTGAGTTCGGGCTAGTCGCCCCCGCGCCGCATTTTCAGCGCAGCGTACCCCTCTTCAGCGACCTTGTCGGCGAGGCTGGAGTGTACCAACATGCGGTCAGACTCCTGCTTCTTCTTCAAAACTTCAGCTCTTTTCACCGCCATCGTGACAACTCGACGAGATGGCGTCGACGTTGACCGAGAAAGAGAGCGAACATGGAACTGGAAATTCCATCCAACCCACCTCTGGTTTGCGATTTCTACGGTTAGTACCGTATATTATCAGTAAATGGTTCATATCAGACAGCGGGCCGCTCTAACAAATTTTGGTGTACCTTTCCGCATAGGAATGATAAGAAATTGTTAAGTCGCCTAACTAACTATCTTAAATAGTTTTCACGGTGCAACTGACCGAAATACATGAGTGGCCCACTCACTGATGTGGACATGATAATATATGTACGTTAGTGCTCGAACTTACATTTCCCTTTCTTTCAATTCCTTCTTTCTTTCTTTCTCTTGCTCCACATATCTCTCTTGATGATCATTCAATAGTGTATCCTTCCTATAATTCCTTTTCGTCTTACTTCCTCCTTTCTCCATATCGTTCTCCTATCTTCGTTTCTTCCGTACATTCTTGCCCTAGTTAAAGATTCATTGTTCTTTCTTTTCTGGGTCGGCGCTCTATGTGTCACGCTAGTAAATATAACAAGGCCGGATTGTATCCAGCCTGAACCAGCACCTGCTGCTCAATGCGCGCGAATATCGAGCCCCGACCTTCCACGCCACAATGAGCCTGTTGCTTCCACCTTGGCTGACCTCCGCGAGCTGCAAGAGACTAATCGGCTGCTGAGAGAAATTGTCTCTCAAAAGTCTGGTCAGCAGCCCCCTGCAGACAACACCACATGTTCGCTCTCCCCGGCAGCGGATGGGCCGTCGTCTCCGTCCACCAGTGCCGAGCAGAATTACCCGCCTTCCCCGCCAGCGCCGGAGCAAGTCAAGGAGAAATCGCGGCTGCTTGCCGATATTTTGGCCAATGCTGCATTCGGAAGAAGCGGCGAAAACCGCCGGAAATCGTTCCGTGATCGAGCCATCCTGGCCCGGTGGACACATGCGTCGACTGTCGCGAAGGAGGGCCAATTGGCTGTCTCGCTGACTGACTCCCCGGACCAGATACCTCAATGTCTTAATCAATTTCGGAGGCTTCTCTGGAAACCGTACGCCATCCTGGGCCTGGGTCTGGCGGGACTTAGAAGAGGAGCAACTTCGAAGCCAGTGGCCCGTCCAGTTCGACCCCGACAGCTTGGTCTCGACTGACATAAGGCAACGTGGATGGTTGGCCAGCTGTTTCAGCTCAATCCTGAACTGGTCCTTCGCTGCTTATCCCTTTGTTTATGGCCACAACAACATGGCTAATCCAACAACCACAATCTCAAGGAACGGACTCGAGGATGCCTAGTCCATTACTGCTTGGAGCTGAGACACGCTACCAGCCAGCCCCGGCTCATTATGGTGAGGTGAGTCGGTACTAAATATCTTATTGATCTCAATGCCTGCTTCTTCGGCCTTCCTAATCAACATACCTACAGGGAATTGCACAATCCAATCCTAGTGGACTGGCTAGTGACTGTAATCAGCAGCAATGGCGGAATGTCGTATCAGCACATCATCCGCTGCTTTCCGCTTACCAATTGAGGAAGAGCTCACCCGACGCTATGTCCAGTGTTCATTGCCTTAGAGAGATCGGCCAATTTCCAGCTATGCCTGGCACTCGAATTTTGTTACGGTCCTTTACCGAACGCCGTTTGTCCGTCTTCTGCCGCTGATCGTGTGCTGGTGATGCACCCTACTTCACGGTCGTGGTTCTTGGCGATTTTCACATCCCGGGACCTCGGACCTAGGGTTTGAGTGACCCTTTGGCAAACCGGGAATGTTGTAGCTTCGCTGTGAGTGGCGAGAATGCCGGTTATCACCCGCTTGAGTCGACTGTACATCGCGTGCTAGTCGGTTAGGAACGGGAATGGTCTCGTTGCCTCGATGCGCTGGGTAAAGCAGTCAAAACGAGAGTCAGAGATTCTCTCATCATGCTCACCCTCATAGTAGCTCGATGACATCCTGAGCGATGAGACCACCACGCAGCTGATGTTCGTCTCCTCATATAGCCGGTCGCGAGTCTACTTCAAGACGCTGGAAATGCTCCGTATCTTTGGCGACACAATCCGAGAAACTGGTTGATATCTGCAAGGACTCATCCCGGACGCCTTCCTCAAGTCGAATATCTGCCCGCGGCCCGGGATGCTCGACTTAAAGACATCCTCAAGGATGACGCAACCAAGGACAGGGCGCTGTAGGGAAACTGGCGCCTCTTGTTCCAATTTCAAGCAGAGGCTGGAGGAAGATTGTCGCGGAAGATCGCCGAAAAGCCTGAAGAGATCAAGAGTTTGCGTGACGAGTTGGGTTGTCGCACTCGCTTCAAGCAATACCAGAACGCGGCTAAGGTTGCATTCTACCTTAGGTCTTCAACGCAACCTCGTTGCGCGAGGCATCCAGGTCAACCACCATGAACCTCTACATCATCGTCTTCACCATTATGACATGGTATATCTTCCGCTCAATTCTACCGCGGTACATCATCGGTCCACCCGCCCTGGATACCAAGCTTATGTGGTGTTGCGACGGCAGATACTGTTCAGTACACCCCTCTTTGAGGGAGAGGCTGAAATCGCCGGGCGGTTTACACGCCCACAATCATCACCTGCGTCGTTACCTACGTGCTTCCTCTGCTGCTCACTTGGGTCGCCCAAAAGTGGGACGCTGCTAGATCACTGTACCATGAGATATACTCGATTTTTTCGTTTGTGCGGGCTAAGGCCAAGCAGCAAGATGTCGCCCAGATGGGCCCCTTGAGCGACGAGTCATCCAGCGATGCTGACAGCTATATGAGCGCGTGGCGCTGCTTCTGCAGACGGGCAGTTCAGGCACATTCGCGAACTCGATCGGCGCAAGACGACGTCTATTGGCAGCCAGAACCGCCCTTCGACCACACCGTCGCGTCGTAGCCGTCCATCCATTCGACGTACTCGCTCCCGGCAGCAGCCCAGCCCTTGATGCCGCCAGCAAGAGCAAGGCTCTTCATATCCTTGTCGCCGACCTCGGCGAGGTGATCGGCCAGCCAGCCCGTCGCTCTGCTTCCGCGTCCGGTGGACGATCCTGAACCGGTCAGACTGTATTATGAAAATGTCGAGGTGTCAAGGGGACGAACCGCAGTAGAAGATGACTTTGCGCAGGCCCGCGGCTTTGAACAGGGCGTAGACAGAGCGCAGCGTGGGGTATAGGCTCTGCGCGGGGAGATTGATGGATCCGCTGATTGTGCCGCCCTGACGAATCAAAGTCAGTCAGGCCACGGTTTGCCGGTGATAACGAGCCCGAGTTGCGGCGCTGTCCCAGCTCGGTGTATCAGAGCGGTACAAGGGGGTGGACCGGAGTCAGTACTCCCGGACCCGGGACAAGAGACGGTCGATTCCACCAGACCAGCGAGACCTCTCAGGCTCACGTCGCCACTTGACCACCACGAAAACCAACCCACCTCGAAATCATTCCTCCGCAAGTCAACCAGCACAAAGTCCCTCTTCTCGGGCGGAGTCGTTTTGAGCAATTCGAGAACCTGCTCCCTTGAGATGGTGGCTACCTCCGACTTGGGAGCGGGGTACGCAGCGTACCACGGCGCAGATGCCGGGGTTGCGTCGCTTGACATTTTGAAGATTTGTGCCGTATGCGAAATTCCGCGCTAAATTTGAGAGCGCCCTGGAGGATTGAGATGGCTCGAAAAGCCAGTCTCATTATTTGGGGAAGGGTAGAGCAGTTTGACTTCGTTCCAAAAGCTCAGGGTTGGCTGAGGAGGGTCACGATGGTGTCACTGTCACTGCCAGGCTGTGATTGGCTCGGCCACGCTTATCGCTGAGATGGCCGTCAAAAACGATGTGCTCTGGTCAACAAGGAGCCTGGAATCTGCACACGTCCCGCCGACTGATTTGGAAAACCCTTATCATAGCTGCCGCAAAAGAATGCCACGGCGATCAGTCAGGACGTCATTCTCTACCATAACAAGCTCAGCGGCGGTTTGTTGGCCACGGCTCCGTGGAAAGGGGGTTCCGGACTCGGTCGAAATGAGCGCTGGCTGGCTTCTGCGCGCGGTTGAAGGTTTAAGAGGCGTCAGTGACCACGTGGGTAACGTGGAGAAGCCTGCCAGAGGGACATTTGCACGACTCGTCAGGGCTTCGAAATCGCCCGGTCCGACTCGCGCCATCACCCGCCTGGCCCCCTTGTTGGCGGCCAGTCGCGTGGGCGTTGCGAAACCTCATCTTGAGTGCTTCGTAATCAGCCTCATTGGATAACTAGGGTTTACTTATCCCCCGCCGTTTAGCGAGGACAGATGCATGCACTAAGCCTTCTAAGGCATGTTCGGTTCAGCTGCCCGGTGCGGCTGAGGAGGTATCGTATGACAGCGGCTATTGACGCTGCATTCTAACCCTTTTCTCCAGGCAAGCCGGAGGCTAGCTGCAAATGATATGTCCGGCACTTCGACCATCAGTGGTCCCATCCTCTCGAGGCTCTCCATCTTCTCCATTCTGAGAATTTCTGTTGTCTCGAGGCGATCCCTAACTGTACGTACCGACCCCATTCCTTGCAGGATGCCCCTACTCCTAACAAGCACCTCGACCTCTGACCTCCCGTTTTCGATTGCAGCATTCTCACAGTTTCCTAGATCATCTCCGCTGCAAGTGGAAGGGCGGCTAGCAACCAAGATGCCCTTCAATTTCACGGAATACGACGCGAAATGCGCCGGCATGACCCCCGAGGAGCTGCAGCTGGAATGGCAGCATTACACGCGTCTAATCTCAGGCGCATCCACCTCGACTGCCGTGTCCGGCTTGGCCATTCCGTTAACCTGCGGCGTGTCCCTCATCGGGGTCGGCATGGCTGCGCCGGCCATCCATAACGCCCGCAAGAAGCGCGAGATCATCGAGAAGCACCTGCAGCGACACGGGACTACCCACGAAACCCGCAAACGCGACGTCCTCACGAGCATGGCTTTCAGCGGCACCATCGGCGTGGTGACGCTGGGGGTGGGCTCGCTTGGTGCCGATGCCGTTGCCACGGCCGGAGCGGAGCATGGCATATGCGCCATTGCCGAGAACGAGACGGCCATCAAGATTGTTACGCACGCCGCCCTCGACGGTGCTGGCATGGCGCTGGAGCATGCCTACACGCACCACAAAAAGGAGAAGGAGGCAGAGAGGGCTTTCCAGGCTGCCGGCGTATTCCAAGCCGTTGCCGACGCAAAAGCCCAGGAAGCTGGGTACGCGGCTTCGGCACATGCACACAATCATCCTCATGGCTACACTGCTCAAGGCAGCAGCACCTCAGCCCAATCTCAAACGCCATTCAACAACGGCTATGGGTATAGCTACGGTTATGAAGACCAACCACAGCCACCCCCTCCTTACTCAGCAGTGTCCTCTGGTTTCGCGGTGCATGATACAAAATCCCCAGCCATGCCCGCTGTGGGCCCATCTCAAGCATACGGGGCCGACAATTCTGCGGCCCAAACTCAGCTGCCATACTCTTACGGCAACCAGGCGTCGGTGGCCCCGGGCTACAGTGCAGACCCGTCTGCTGCCCTCATGGGCTCTTTTGGTGACCCAGGTACCGCCAGTCAAACCCAGCAAGCTCCGGCCTCCTTTGAGACACAAGGGAATATTACCGAGCAGCATCATCCCCTTAGCCCTGTCCCGACACAGTATCCACCACCCCAGGATCAAAGCTCGGCCAACCATAGCCAAGCTACGTATGCCAACCCTCAACATCAACTCGACCAGACTGGACAATGGGAACCCCAGCAGGGCGAAGGACCGCTACAGGTATCTCAGCTGGCTGGATTCAACTCCAGCCCTAGCTCAGGCCAAAACGTGAATGCATACGACATGCGGGCGATGATGGAGTCTCTCCCATCAGCAACACCAGCCGAGCAGCAGCCTCTGCAATCATCAGCCGTGCATCAGCCCCAAAGCCATGCAGCCAATGCATCCCCACAAGAGACACAAGCGGCGCAGCAAGTTAGCTATCAAGCGGACTGCTCTGCCTACACAAACCCGGTAAGACAGCAAGAGACCGGAGACTCGTCGTACATGGGCGGGACGTTACCACCACCGCCACCTCTTCCTCCTTCTTCAACTGCCCCTCCAGCCTACGGCCATTCTTACCCCAGTCCTCCGTCAGCATCCCAACCTCCTGCTCCTCCTACCTTATATTTCCCGCCACCTCCCCAGGCGACAACCCAGCAAGCCACTTCCACACCCCCGCCGCCACCGCCGCCGCCACCGCAGATTCCAGCCGTCGTGCACACATATCCACCACAGTCAAACATGTTTCCAACGCCAATGGTTCAATCCTGGCAGCCCCCGACCGCTTCGACCCAACAATACCCACCAGTAGAAATACCTAGAGCGTACTATGCACCTGCACCACCACCGCCGCCGCCTTCAGCTCCGCAGCCACATCAGCAGCAGCAGCAGCAGCAGCAGCAGCACCACGAGCAGCACCAGGGGGGCTACTACTTCCCGACGACGTATTCCAGTGGCGGCCAATACTATCAGCACGCCGTGTCTCCTCCACCGCCCCAGCAGCAGCAGCAGCAGCAGCAGTCGTGGAACGCACAGCCCCAGCCCCATCCCCAGTCTCACTGGCAGCAGCAGCCGCAGTATATGTATACGTCGGCCGCTACCTTGCCGACGGCCCAGGGGTACTAGAACCCGCCTTCAGAGACCGGGGTCAAGTGGTGCTGGTAGGTGTCGAAGAGTGATGAGGCAGTCGTCAGCAGACATATATCAACACTCCAACCGACTTACGAGAGGCGGAGCATCGCAGTCAGCCTCGGTTAAGCAGCCGATTTGAGAGTCAAAGTCGAACCGTCACCGGTCGGCGGTCACGACCTGCCTCCCACCGCCAATTACACAACGAGACAAGCAGATTGCTCGTCCTCGGCTAGGTCGAAAAACTCAGGAGGACTGGCATCCGGACTGTACCATGGCTGAAATGACACGCAGCCGGATTCCGGCAAGGAACTCATCAGCTTCCATGCAGATAGAACACTACAGCATTCATGTTAGGCGGGGACGATGCTGGCCAACTGCCGAGACCAGCATCCAATCCATATGCCCAGCCGGAAGCCCACCCAAGAAATTTGGATAAAGCAGTTGAACCTGACGTGCTGCCAAGTCTAAACATGCCCTCGGCACATGCAGTCAAGCTTTGGGAGCTGCCTGGCGTGGTTTTAACCGGCGTCTAAAGCGCCCATTCTCGCCGGACCACCCGATTCGCTCTTCCCAGCAGCATCCTCTTACAAGCGGAGATTAAAATCCGGGGAACGGGCTCGGCGGTTTGGCGGTTGGTCAGACATTATGTGGAAGGGCCAATCAGGGGTTGGTTAAATGTCAGTTATGCTGTTCGGCGACATGGACGTATGAGATGCTGACCGTATCACAGCTTCGGCCCCATGGCTTTTTGTGGGAGCCACCTGCCCACGGTTGAATGCCGATGATGCGAGCCGGATATTGATGGTGCTTTCCGCATCAGCGGTTCGGAGGCCAGAGCCGAGTGCACTTGGGTGCGTGTACGCTTGGAAGGGGCCAGGCAGGAGAGGTCAACACCCTAAATAACCCAGCGGGAATCTTTTGATCTTGGCCACGCATTCTATTCTTCTTCAACACACGTTAGGATAATTGAACTATCTCCGAAAACATGACTCTCAGAACCTTCCTGGCGAGTCTGCTGCTCGCTGCATCAACCTTCGCCCACCCCGGCCATGAAGAGGTCTACGCACACGCTGCCCTCCCGCTCGAGCGCAAGTCCCTCGACCACTGTTCGGCCGAGTTCAACAACCCCGAGTTCATCAAAAGAACAGTGGAGATCCATGGACGGGAGCTGGCGCGGCTGAGGCGGTCGCTGGGCCTGGAAGTCGAGCAGAACTTGCAAAAGTAAGCAGCGCTAGGGCTCTGTGTTTTCCGGCTACCCTTGGACTGACTCTTGGCACTACAGGCGAGAGCTGCGCCCGCGCGATTATATCTCGGTGTCCCGCATTGACCACAAGAGCAACAAGACGGTCTCCAAGGGGATGGACCTTAGCACGCTGTTCTCGGATTCCGGCGCCTGCATGCTGATGCCCGCTGTCGACCAGGGCCCGCTGTGTAAGTCTGGGACGGCAGTCAGCGCAGGCAACATGCTGATGTGGAGGCAGACGTGAAAGGAGAGGAGATCAGGAAGGACATCACTGGCGGGGAGAAGGGTATTCCCCTGACGCTGGCCATTCAGGTCGTCGACTACCGGACCTGCCAGACGGTGCCCAACGCCTATGTCGACATCTGGAGCTCTAACTCGACCGTGAGCTCGCCTCTGCTCCCATACTGCCTCTCAAGCTGATCAGCGTAGGGCATATATGTCGGCGTGCAGGGCTATCCCGGCATGGGCGACCCGAACGACGCCTCGATTTTGCAGGGCACCACACTGCGCGGCGTGCAGCCGACCGACTCGCACGGCGTCGCCTCGTTCGACTCGCTGTTCCCGGGCCACTACGAGGGACGCGCCACCCACATCCATGGTAAAAACGCCCCTTTCGCCCGCTGAGGTCACAAGAAATAAGAAACCAACGCTGACTCAACCGTCTACCCAGCCATCGTCTACCTCGGCGCGACCAAACAACCGAACAACACCATCACGGGCGGCCGCGCGGCGCACATCGGGCAGCTGTACTTTGACCAGTCGCTCATCACGGCCGCGAACCAGGTGGCGCCATACAGCACCAACAGGATGCGCGTGACGCAGAACACGGCCGACTTCCTCTTCATGCAGGGCGCTAACGGCGACGATCCGATCGTGCGGTACGCGCTGGTCGGCAACCGGCTCGAGGACGGCCTATTTGCCTGGATCCGCTTCGGCATCAACCAGCAGGCCAACAAGCCCGTCAACCCGGCCGCCTTCTGGACCGACAAGGGCGGCGTCATGAATCCTAGTGGGCCCGTCGCGCAGTTGCCCGGCGGCGGCGGCGGTGGTGGTGGGTTCGGTGGCTGGCCTGGGTTTGGTGGTGGCAGGAAGAGGGCTGTTGCTGCTGTTGCAGAGGAGGTGGTGGCGAGCGAGCAGGATGCGGAGTGAAGCTTGGAAGCGGGGGAAGATGGGTTGGTTGGTGGGATGTTAAGGGGGATGAAGCTTTTGTTGGTGCCGGTTGATTCAGGATAGCGTCAGTCGTTACCAGGTAGATTTTGCTCAGCACCGTGGAATCGGAGATTAAGGTCAGCCGTGCTGAATCTTCTGATAAAATGTGTTTTGTTTGCAGGGTTTGAGATGGAGAAGGCGCAGCAGATGTTTTACCTTAGCTGCCAAAGTGCAAGTCGATTGCTGGAGAGGAGACCACTTTTGAGTCTGAACCCGTTCCTTTCTTCCCGCAAAACCAACCGAATGGTGTGGCTGCCTGATTGCATCACGAGTTAACCAGAAGAAGGTTTTTCCCCTTTCCATCAGTTGTCCTGTTGGGGTTGCCCCCCGACTCGAATACCTCCTGAGAATTCACGACTATCCCCGGTGAAGAAAGTGAAGCTGGACGAATGTTGATTGATTATTGGCTACTGTAACTCTACAACTATTAGGTTCCCTTCTCGTCCTCCCCTTAAGGTTCCCCGTCAGCTTTGTTAGACTCCAACTCAGATCGCCGCGGATCATTGTCGGATCTTCAGCGTATCCAACAGCGTCTTGACCCGCTCGTCACTCAGCATGCCCATTTGCTCCGCCAGCTTTCTAGTTCCGATTGCAGTGCATCCAAGGCGCGTCTGGTGTACGCGAGACTCCCAGGCTATTCAAGATGCTTGAGGAACAACTCTTCTGGTCCAGCCACATTCGCCCGGCAGCGTGGCGCTGCGGGAGCAGGGTTGCTGCGGAGTCTCGCATCCCTGGCGCACGTTTCCGGAGATCTAAGCCTGTCACGCCAGCTCCGCCCCAGAGCATGAGTACTTGCCCTCGTCGAAGTCCCCGCAGAAGCCCTTCTGCTCCGTGTACTGACGATTGTTGCATATTAGTCGTTGCGCGAGAGGCCCCATCACCAGAGAGTACTTACATTTGCCGACGTCAAGTTCACGTAATCGTCTCGAATCTGGAACAGCCGGCCGAGAAACGTCATGAAGCGAGTCAAGAGTGTGATGGCGGGCTTCTGGGGCGAGTCCGATTTGGCGTCCATCAGCCTGGCCAGCATCCGGAACTTATGGGTTTTTCACCCTGCCCACGAAAATACCCATATCAACAATCAAGGAAACGATCAGTGTGTGATCCTGCAATTACAAGGTGAGAAGGCCTCTTGGCCTTCGAAGGAAAGGGATATCAGACCGCGAGCTCCAGCTCCAGCCTCCTGGCCAGACTGTACATCGGCAGTTTTCCCAAGTCCATCAGCCAGTCCAGGATCCTCACCGTTAGCCGTGCAACTTTGGGACTGATTCCCTGTAGGACAGAATAAAAGTCCCTTCGCGTTTTGACCTCGGCTCTCTCCCATCTTCGAGTTAACGGTGGGGCCATGCACCACATCACAAGGCGTTCGACAATCTCTCGCCCCTCTCCACACTCGCATATAGACGTCAGAACCTCTAGGACTCTCCGTTCGAATAAGAAGGCCCGAAGGCCTATGGCCCCAGTTCGAGTCAAGTGTAATTAAGAATTACCATATCCTTTGACCTATTACGGTGCTAGTGGAAGTAGATGTGCTAAATCGCTTAACGTTATCCATCTTGCCAAACCTTTGTTACCTCCTGACCCTACAACTCCCTGAAGTCGCTGCACTCCACGAACTCCACTCTGTGATACTAAAAACGACAAAGAACCGCTGCACGTGTCCATGAGATTACCGACGCATCCCGCCGATACTAATGTGAGAGGGAAAACATAGAAATGTCGTCATCCGGATCCGAGAATGGCCACGGAAACTCGGCGTGTGTAAGGAACCTGTCGGGAAGGCGCTGCGACTCCAAGTCCTCCATGAGCCACCCTTGCGAGTCTCTCTTGTGAAGAATACCCTGGCAGAGTATATCGGGCCGCGGTCTCAGGTCGCGGGCTTTGCTGAAGAAAGACTTCCAGAAGCCGTCCGTTAACGTAACTTGCTTCAAGGTCAAGCGCTTTAGGGTGTGGCGTTCTGTGAAGCTGAAGAGCTCGTTCTCCGGCACCCCAAGTCCCTACAATGTGGCAGTACTGAAGGTCGGACCACTGCATCTGCGATAGCGGTAGTAGCTGCTGGTAGATGGGGCCGCGTGGAAACGTCCTGATCGACAGGGTATTGAGGCCAGGGAAGGCGCCTAGAAATTTGGCTATGCTGTCCTCGAGGCCCTCGCCAGCGAGGACGGAGTTCAGGCAGAGGTGACGGATAGTTTTATATCAATGCTGCCCTAGGGCTAGGTCCCGTGCGTCTAAGAGGCCATCCACATTTTGCCGTTGAAGACGCGAGGATGTCCCTAGGGCAGGAAGCAGCCGTGACATAGCGTTCGCCACGAAGTTCTCGAAAGCCGGGGTCACCCAGATGCTGTTCGTAAGATTGCGGAAGTGCGTATGGCTTAGGTACCGCATCCGCCAGGCGTGAATGTGGGAAAGCGTAAGTTCCCTAAGGGAAGGGAAGTGAGCGAGAACCGTACGGAACAGGTGGACGTCCATGTCGAAGGTGCGGGACGCTTCCTGTCGAATAAATTGTTCGTAGCGATGGTATGCGACGTGGGTGGGGTTGTAGCCTCGGCTGAGAAAGAGAAAATGGCCCGCCCACTCCTCCTGCGAGTCAACCACAGGCCAGGCTCCGTCGTATATAGTGAGGTGGTGCGTTGCACCTAACGATCCGTGAGGTGACCGGCTAAGCGTCCGCAACGCATCCGCGGTATCAAGGGTGTTCAAGAACGAGAGCTCCCGCACTAAGGCGGGGAAGCCCGCGGCGGCGTACCTGCGGCTTGGTAGGCGAAATCGGCGGATGTCGCCAATTGGTAGCTCCAGCGCGATGGCGCTGAGGAGTTCTAGGGGTAAGACTTCCTACATCTTCCACATAGGCGGAAGGGCAAGTTCATCTGAGGTACCTGAGGTTCTCTTCTCGACCTGTGAACTTGCGCGAGTTGGCTGGAACATCGCGTCGTGCAGGCCGGCCGTCACGTCGACGAGAGCCAGTTAGACAATCAAAGTTGAAGATGTTTAGTCGCGGCTCGTATACTCAGTTTTGTGTTTCCGGAGGACCGAAGGGGCTCAGGATACCCTCCTTCCGTTCTAGGTACACGACATGGTTTGTGGTTACGGAATGGCGTATTGAGCGAGTCCGGGAAGCCGGCAGCTGGGAAGAGAGACGTTCTGTTCTTGGAAACGGACGTTTCAAGTTGAACTCTTGCGGACACCATCGGACTGCAATACAGTTGAACATACGTCGCACGAGCCGCAGGGTAGCAGAAAACAGAGCGACTGGCAAGAGCCTAAATTTCAACCAGATCATGTCCCGAAACGACCAAAAATGGTGACACTGTTTCCCCATCTCCAGCAACTTCAACCTGTCACAACATGTAAACGAATTCAGACAATGCCAGCACCCAGAGACCGATTTCCTTGAGAGAGCTCATCCCAGGCCGAGCCGCCGCCGTGTTCATTTGAAAAGTCGAGCTCTGCCTGGGATCGTTGAGTTCCCTCCCCATGCGCGCCACGCAAGATGAAATCCTATGGCCTGCGCCATTCCCATCGGTGCCGTTGAAGTAAGACCTGGGTACCTCGCACCACAGCCAGCACCTGTCGGCAACCTGAACGACGGTTGGGCTGGCAACAGACCTCCATGGGCTGATACGACGCATTGGTGCCGGTCGTCACGAAGACGCTGATGTTTTGGGGGATTGGGAGGTTGATGACCTCCGGGATCGCGTTGCCGGGACAAGTTGTGTCCATGTTCGCCATGTTGCAGGGTGGTTGAGGTGTTGCTTTTCCTGCCGAGGGCGAAGATGCGGGGAGAGTGGTTGTCAATGCAAGCAAGGCCTGAGGACGGAGATGGGATCAGAGTCGGTGTGGGTCAGTGACAAAGGGTCCTGAGGTTTCGGCCGGCGGTCCGGAGTTGCGAACTGAGTTGCGAACTCGGTAACGTAGCAAGGGTGAACTAAGCGGTTGATAAGATTAGCGGGAAAGAAGTTGAAGGGATTGAGTGCGCGAGTTGTGGGAGGCAGACTCGGAGACATCGAGTCAACGACTCTATGTTGATGAGTATGTTGACATGTTCGCTCCAAACGCGTGTGACGTCTGGTGGTTAGTGCAGGCAGACTGAGGCAGTGTCAGGGTCTTGCTCCCTATACAGTGCAGAAGCGTCGAACACAGTTGCCGTCAACTACAGTGCCAAGGGTCGAGGCACGGAGTCATTAAAAAAAAAACCGAGACATTGATCTTCAGTGTTGGTGATTTGCGAGAGAGGCAGGGTCGGCGTATTGTGTCCTATAAAAACGCCGAACACCGTTGCGGTCGGCTACAGTGCCAAGGAGCCAGGCGGCCTACACGTTGACCTTACAGTTAGTACAATGTTGATGATCTTTGCAAGCTACATGATGCACCGGGAAAAGCGCCCTAGGGCAAGTTTCCGTAAACAAGGACCTTCCGCATACGGCAAGTCCTGCTGTCTAGGCCGCTAGTACTCTCCGCAACCGTCGGTATCCAGCAAGACGCTAACCACGGTAACCACCACACGTCAGAGCATACGGATATCTCGGCCCATCACCGTCAGTGACTGGGATGCATTCTCTTCAAACCTACAGCCAACAGCACTGCCAAGTATTTTCTCCTGCGGCGGCGAGAGAGTGCGATAGTGCGATCCATGAAGGATGAACCGATGAAAGACAGTTTGGATAGACTGTCCTCGAGAGGGCGAGGAGGACAAGCAGGCAAATGAGCTCTAAGGGACAAGACAAAAGGATATATAAAGCGTACGTCCCTCGAGCAAACCAGGACGTTTGGGCTCGCAGACATCACTCCATCACCGGTACTCGGCGCCTCCTAGAGCCCTTCGACTCATCTTTGTCTCGCACCTTCACCAGACCAACGACCGCCAGCCAGATCATGATTCGCCTCGTGCTGGCGCTCCTGCCGGTTGCGTCTGCAGCTCCAGCTTTGCAGCTCGCCGCAGGAACGAAAGCCGTCAACGTTGTTCTTCAAATCAACAAGGCCACCTCTGAAGCCGCCATTGACGTTTTTGATGAGAACAAGTCCAATGTCTTTGCTCATACATGCTCGCGACCCCTTGCGTCCGGTTCCTTTGCGAGCTCGCCGCTTGCCTTCACCGTCAATGAGCAAGGTGCCGGCACCCTCAGCGTCGGCCCACAGACTTACACCATCCATGACCAAGTCGAGTACTCTGGAGGCATCGTCTGTGGGCGTGTCGCCAGTCCTAGCGAGGTCGTTGTCAGCTTCCAGGTCCCCGTCCCATCGTCTCTGCAGCTGCATAGTCTGAACAAAAGGGCGTCCAAGATTGTTTTCCTCATGGCCCCGTTGAGCTCTCCAAGCTGGTGGATTCATTGGAATCAGAAGGCGCTGTGACTTCAGCCAACGACACCGTCAGCTCCGTCGCTGAGACACAAGATGTTGCAGCGGATGCTGCAGACAAACGCCAATTTAACCCATGCAGCATCTGGAGCTCAGCAACAATCATGGTTGGCAACGGTAACCCGGTCGGCACTGCGGCTTCGGCCTCGTGGGGAGACCCTCGTAGTGCAACGGGAAGCTGGATGTTGGGGTTGCGCCTGGCGGAAGGTGGGCCGTGGCAGCTATGCTGGACCGAAGGGAGGGCAGTAGAGTTGCGGTCCCGGCCGCGCCCGGGCCACAGGAGCGAAACAGCTGTTGCCTCGGCGGGGACCTGTTGGACTGTACGCGTGGCTAGGCCACGTCCCCTTGTCTCCGGGCGCAGGTTACAGTATGGGTTGAAGCCGCGGATGGATTGCACCGGGTATGGGTGCCTCGGCTGGGGAGCAAATGTGTGGTGTCGCCGCCGCAAGGGAGCTGTAGCTCCGAGGAGCAGTGTAGCTGGCCGGAGAGGACTGACGCGCGTGTCGGTTCTCCAAGAGAGAGCGGGCTTTGCAGATGCTAAGTACCCAGCTCGCACCCGGGCCCCAGGCCTGCGCAGGCTGCTGTGGTGTCGCCTACGAAGCTCTGTAAGGTTGTGCCTCTTGCGGAGGGCTCGAGGTGCAAACCTTAGGGTCCCGTGGCCGGGAGGTCCGGTTGGGAGGTCTGGCCTTGCCTCTCTGACTAGGTTGCCCTACGAGGCAGGTCTGTGCGGCTAGTTAGCTAGTTCGTAGGGAGAACAATCTAGGGACTCTAAGGCCGGAGCTCATCAGTCCAACTGTCAGCCATCTGGGATTGATAAACTCATCTGCGAAACCATGGCCAACGCTTCTGATTACCGCAAAACATTTCCAGGCACCGCTGACCCACAAGGCCCCGAGTTCCCAGCTCTTTAAACTGCCCCGAGGTAAACAAGGCGGCTCCCAACAAATATGAGCTCAAGCATGTGGAACCATCAGAAGCCGTGGCGGAGTGTAGTACAGTCCGGTTGGCACCTCCTTAGGCTGAAGAAGGACTCTACCACGATGTAGAGTCTTGCGCAGCCATACGCAGCCCGAATGACGATCTCAAGAGTCATGTAGCATGCACTTATCAGGTTGATCGGGATACGATCCTCCCACTTATAAAATCAGAACGGTACCGCCCAATCGTCTTCGTCAAGCAGGGCATTAGGAGAAATATGGGGGAGACAGTAATCGCCATTGTGCCAACCATGGCAGGAATGACCCCAATAATGATGAACCACATGATCTTCCATTGCAAACACTCGACGGCCGTGGGGAATTCGAAACTCGAAGCGCTCAAGTGCACTCCGCCGTATACAGCAGCAAACGCAACGGCAAGCAGGACGAGGAATGCAGTTTGCTGCACAGCGATGAGCATCATCTCGATATCGAGGAATGCATTGAAATAGGATAAGCCAAGATCCCCGGCCTCGGACAGACATTCAATGACGGGGAAGCCTTGAAGATTTACCAGCTTCGTCAGTCCTGTTCCGTTGCTCATGGGGCCGGTCTTGATCTCGACCGTGCCACGGCCCCATTGCGCGTCAAAGCCGGCTACCACCGCATTCCATACCGCCAAGCCCTTGGGGTCAGCTAGAGTGTTTCTGGAATACGAGATGAGACTATTGGGTATCCAGAATTGCCAGTTACCAAGTCGCTCGTCGTTTTGGAGAGAAGCTGGAGTGAGATCATGGGGGCTGAGCACCGAGAATCCACAATCCGCAGGTGTCGTTCGGCTTGGTCCGGTCCAGATACACGGCGTATATAAAAGATGTCGGGTGCTTGGCGGTATTTCCACCTCTGAATGAGGACTGCGAGCACCTTGTCCCACTCAGCGTCATACACCAGCTCCGCCTCGGAAACGTCCAGTGGTTTCTGTAACAGTTCGAGTTCATCAATTCGTCTGACACCAAAAGCCAACACCCCAGATACCGAAGGATCAGGACGTACCTAAAGTCCTGAACCTAGAGGACATACATGGCAACAGCGCAGATGACGTGCACCATTGTATGAAGCTCAAGCGACGTAATTGGGGGACCATATGCTCGGCGATTGACGCAGGTTGCGGCCGTATACGAGACTTGGAGCAAAACGAGAGCCTTCTGCAGCACGTTTGCTTTGCTCTTGGCAGCGATCCTTTCTCGCTTGATGTATACCCAGCAGTCCCTTTTCGCCAGCTCGAGATACCGTCCGGGTTCAGGTGAGTGTTCCCGTCGAAAAGCTCGGTCGGTAAACTGGAGGACTTCGCCTGTCCTCAACCCCAACCTTAGCTTCCCCCATGACCACGAAAAAGGCATATCTTAGATTGAAGTCGAACTAGAATCCCTCAGACAACTCACGTTTCAGCAGTGAAACACTCCTGAAAATGGATGAGAGCTTACATTCTTGTCAACGCGCTCGCTCTTCTCCTGCATCTCCCTGAGTTTCGTCTTGAGTCGGAGGACCAGGACGAGCTGGTCCGCCGCCATATAAAGCACAGTTCCGGGCGGGATGAGAGCCATAATAACCCACTTCGTCCTCGTCACGAGAAGGCTTAGGAAGTCGGTCTTGGCCGGCACATTGAGATGCAGAGCCGTGTAGATGAAGGCGAACAAAGTCAAGACGTAGGTCTAGAGGATGGCCATGGTGCCTCTGAACTCGGCCGCCGAGACCCACGGCGGAGCGTAGATGGTGTGCAGCGCCGTGTCGTTGTCCTTGTTGGCTCGTATCACTTCCCAGGCCTCGTTTTCGCTGATGCTTTCCGCGTTGCAGCAGGCTGCAGCGGCGAGCGCTGCTAGAATCCACACAATTTTCATGCTGAAGGATACAAAAGCCGAACCTAGAGAGCCGAACGGGTATTGTCGGGTTGGGGCAAACAGCTCGGAAGCCAATGGCGGGGCGGGTGAAGCAAAGAAAGGAGCTGAGCGAGAAGAGAGGCAAGCAGGGTTCGAGTGCCCTTCGCAGCTCTACAGGGCCTGTTTATCAACGGAACTGTGCTAAGCGAATAAGATAAACATCAGCCTTTAATACTCAACGAGCAGTGCTCGAGTTGATATGGACCAGAACATAGAGCGCTGTCATCATGGGATTACACTGAAGAAAAGGATGTGGACGAGGGGAGGCAAACAGGGACTCAACTGGCTCACAGCCTCACCAAAGGTGAGTGGTTGAGATGGGCACCTCCCGTCCCCTCCCGGGAACCGTGGGTAGCCCCACGGTTTACTTTCCGGAGTAGTTGCCCAATGATGCCGCCGTGCTCCTACCGTTCGTCCTTCAAGCTGAATGAGTGCGGCGTGGTATGCAGGCCCAGCAGCAACTGGCTCACCCCGGTTGGCGACTGGAGTGAGCGCGAGATATCGTTGGGTGGTATTCCTCTCACTTTGAATTTAAGTGTAGGTCATTTCGAAATCCCCAGCTCTGGGTAACATATGATTTCAATACTAGTTCTAAGTCTCGCGGCCCACGGTTCATTGGCCTGGGCCGAATGTTCATTCTCCAGAGTCAAGGCCATGGGGGATGACTGGGCGTGGAGAGAGTCCTCAAGCTACGCCTAAGTTAGATTGAAGTGTCTCCAGCATCTCCAGATATTTGAACAAATCGAACAAGTCATATTTGGCCATCAATATTTGCGTTAGAAGAGAGCTGGCTTGCGGTCATTCGCGTTCATGTTCCTTTGATTCGATCCGGGCTGAAGAGCACAAATGTACCGCGGCAGTGATGTACTCCTACTACGAGCCGATATGAGGCTTTCCTCGTTCACTCTCGTTGAAGCACGATCTATGAGGAAAGGGAGAGTGCCTCCATATTGATTGCCTCAGCAGGATACCTCATTATCCACAACAAAGGCACAATAAGCTCTGCTGAATGCTATGGACTTAGCAATACAGACTAACCCTTTGAAGGTACGCCCAGCTGAAGACCGCTGTGCTGTTTCAGCAGCGGAAGGCAATTCGTGCGTTCTCAGCGTCGATCCCGAGCATGGCCTTGGAAATGTCGACAAAAATCCGTGCAACGGGCGAGCAAGAAGTAGCCTCCGGCTTTTCCCCTATCTTCACCATGCTGCATGCCTGAAAGAACTCGGCCATGTACGGCGCGAGCGCAGCCGTCGACGACTCCGTGGCGTCAATGCACGAAACAGCGCCGACGCCATCCAGCTCTCCCCCACCCTTCACCATGCTGTAGGCATGAAGGAAATCGGCCACGTACGGTGCGAGCGCAGCTGTAGACGACTCGGCCGCGTCAATCACGTCATCCATCAGGAATGCAAATTCGAAGATGTATGCGCAAAGTTCGACCGGTCTGGCAGGATCTCGGGCATGCAGGTCGACACGAAGTTGAGGTTGGGGCCCATGATTCCCGCAAAGCCCGGCGGCAGGTAACCGAACGCGCACTTCTAGTCTCTTTGGGCGCGGAGGGCGGCCCGGTTGGCGAGCTCGACGTTGCAGTGGACACGGAGGGGAATGTTGTCGCACAGGCCGTCCATAGAGGTGTCGTATGAGGAGGGTGGGACAAGGTGGGAATTTGGGTGCTCCATGATGCAGTAATGGAGGCGAGTGTGGTGAAGTTGAAACCGCACTGGAAATGAAGTTGGATGCTGAAGTTTAAGGATGCATGTGGTCTAAGTCATGCCGAAGAGAGGGAAGACGCTAAGAACCGGGCTCTGTCTCGGCGACCTCTCAACCAGGCTCTCTCTTGTCTGGTAATACTGATGTCGGGAAATATGAAGAATAATGACTGGATAAAGAGGAGGGCAGCAAGACTCTTTATGGCATCGTGGTCTGAATCTGCCCGCCTCACACGCTTCCACAAATGGAAGGAAGAAATTAGGAGGATAGCGGTCCGTCTCCGGGGGAAGGCATATCCAACTCCTCAAGTCTGTCTAACTAAGGTAAGCCCAAGTGGCTCAGAAAATGGGTTTCTCAGTACGCCGTGCCCTTGCAAGTTACCTTGGTCATTTGCTGATGAGCTGTTCAAGACGGGTCGTCCCACTCCTTTCGACTGGAAACATGCCTGTACATCTCACCTTCCTAGCTCTTGTTGTGAGATAGGGAAATTGCGGCCTCGAAGTAGACTCCAGAGTTGGCGGATAAAGGGTTGAATGCTGAACGCTGAGGGAAAGGTGAGGCTCGGACGCTCTTATTCCATTAATTAGAGTCAGCTCTGGGGGCTAATTTACGTTACCTTATACAACGGAGAACTGCCTCTCGGCTTGTGCGGCTTGTGGAGTCTCGAGGTTGCCCAGGATGCCCCTTCAGTCACATCGGCCTGGAGAGGTGCAGAGTTGTAGAAGTCTGGTGGCATTGTCGACTTTGTACCCCGAATTCGAACGCTTCATGTGGAAGTAATATGTACGTCATAAACCAAGAAGGCCCTATCCTATTCATGATTCCCCAGGTATCTCAAGTCGCCAGCCTTTAAGTGTACATGGTGACATTCCCTGGCTTTTACCAACTTCTACCCGTCATCATACCGGTATCATTCAGCACCCTGCTCACCTTGCCAGGTTCCTTACTTGCCAGCACGGTAGGTGTTCCAGAAGCTCTGCATGCGCGCCCTCTGGCCGGCAGTGAACTCCTCATAGCAAGAGCTGTAGAACCCAACATTAGCCTAATCCGTCCTTGTGAAGAACCACCCAACGGAGACTAGAGACGGGATACTCACTCGTACGAGTAGTCCATATAGTTATGAATCGGGTCCACGCCCGCCGCGTTGGGGCACGAGTCTCTCCCGACCGGGCACCCGCTGGAAGCGCTCGCCTGGGCGGGCGTATCCGAGACGGAGTCGCCCGAGCCCGTGCAGCCGCCCTGGAAGGTATGGTACAGGCCGAGCCAGTGACCGACCTCGTGCGTCGTGGTGCCACCCAGGTTGAAGTTGGTGGTGCTGCCGCCGGGCACGGTGCTGTACAGGACGGTGCAGCCGTCGCGGATGCGGACGGTCGAGCCCGCCGTGGCGCCGCCGGCCTCGGGGAAGTAGCAGTACCCGAGGTTGTCGCCCATGTCGCGCAGAAAGTAGACGTTGAGGCTGCTGTAGGTGCCCTTGCGCAGCGATCGCTTCATGGTCATCTCGTAGCCGTTGCCGTCGGCCGCCCAGTTGGCGTTGACCGTGCGCGTCGTGCCCTTAAGCGCGAACTGGATCGAGTGCGGCGCATAGGCCTCGTTGAGGGCGTTGAGTTGGGCCGTGAGCATGGCGTCCTGTCGTGTGTTAGTGGTGATTTCAGGGGCTGGATTAGATGAGGCGAGATTACAGTGAGGTAGCCGCCGCTCAGGGAGGTCGACGAGGCAACGACATGAAAGTAAGTGTCGACAGTGGTGACGGCCTGGATGGAAAAGTTGCCCGAAGCGGCAAAAGCAGCCTCCTTCTCGGCAAACTTCTGGGAGATCTTGATGTGCTCGGCATCCGGCTCAGGGGCACCGCACCCAAAGCCCCGTCCAGAAGGCTTTGCGGGGACCGCGAGGGCGCTGTGAGCCGCCAGGGCAGTGAAGGCGAATGTGAAGCGCATCGCGGACAAAGGTGGCAAACCAAGTGGAATAGGGGTAATTTATTCCAGTTAATGAAGACCCGCTGCTGTCCGGTACATGACGATGAGGAGCGGGGAGATCATCTATGCTTATATAGAGCCATGTTCCCAGTTTTACTTCTTCATCTCCTAGATCCCCCATTTCTGGCTGCTGAGCTGTGCTCGGGATCGGGGTCGAGTTCTGGAAGGTCGATCGACAGCAGACCCTTGGGCAGCCAGGTTTGCTCCATTTGCAATGCGACCCCGGGTAATGGGCGTAAACGACTGGACAGCTACCGCCCTTGAGTTCCTTCCTGATCGGCGCCATGGATTTCCATGATTGCGCTCGAGGCCGTGGCAGCTGTGGGGGGAACAATGGCGCGCTCCTCTGGGACCTCCCCCTTAGGATATGGCTTCGTCTTTAGGCCCGGCGCGTAGAACTTTACCAGCTCTACTGTGGTAGGCCGGGCTGTTATTGGAGACAACCCAGGAACGGCGAGAGGGTGGTCCACTGGTCAGCCTGGTCCTGGGCCCCTGGCCTGTCGTCGCCATTGATGGCGCAAGGGGTCACGACCAATCATCAACCCAACCAGCCAGCCCATGCACGAATTTGCGGGAATACCAAGATAAGCGCTACTGGTCAAGCTTTTGGGCACTTCCTTGGATGGAAAAGTTCCCCGGTATTCGGAGGAACGCCAAGACGCAATGCCGGGCACCCCACGGAGACGGCCGAGCGGCTCCGGCAGTTGATGTGACCTCCCCAATCGGGAAGCTGTTGAGACATCCAGGGGGTCCAGATAGAACCCCTGAATCCCGTCCGCCAAGCGCAACCCAAGCTATGGAAGGCAGGAGTTCAGGGCAGTCGCAACGCCGTCTTGGGGGGGTCCAAGGATGAAGTTTGTGATTGGGCCTTCGCCCGTGGGTGGTCGCCAATTTCCGAGCGATCGTCTACACGACCTTCCACGCAGAGGTATCTCTACACCGAGATATTACTCTGCATGTTTTTCACTCACTTCGATAATTCGCTTCTACCGGGACGCGGGCCGCTTCTGGCGGAGTCGCATGTCTTGCTTGATTCCATCCAACTCAACCGAGGACGCAGTTCAAAGTTCCCTTTCAGATCTCCACGGCCTAAATGTGTTTGGTGCAGACGAATACCTGAAAGGCAAACCGGGAGGCGCCAGGCCACGAAGCCCGGGGCGAACGACAGCCCCAAGTTCATCCAGTAGCTGATCATAGTACCGCAGGTAATCAAGGCGCCTTCGATCATGACCATCCTGCTGCGCTTTTGTGCTTCATGCTAGATGGTTTTGGACTGCCATGCGGGGACTTAGGGGGGTTGGTTGGCGCTCATCAAGTTCAAACATCCAAGCCGTATTACATGGATGTAAATTTAAACTGCAATATGTCGTCTTCCAACCATGACTGGTTGAACGTTGCTGGTACGAATGGTAAGTAAGGAGTACCTTACCTACATGTAGACAGCCAAGCAGCCACCCTGAATTCATAATCAATCCTACAAAATAGTACAACACCGCCCATTGTTCTCACCTACTTCCTTCTCCTCGTCGAGGCAAACGCACATGGCCACAATGAGTGCCGTATCCACGTTGGGTGCCACCGTGGCATGGTACGTCTGCTGTCCTGCAATCTCTCCGAAGGACTGTCTGACGGTCTCCATCTTGCGCTCAATCCGAGCGCGCGCGCTTACACCGCTCGCTTTGTCAACGATGTCAACCGAGTGGCCGGGCCACTTCCCCTCCATCACAAGCGTGACAGGGGTGCCGTGGGCGGTGGTGAAGGTGGCATTTGCCTTGGTTTTTGCGACTAACATGAAGGTAGGCTTGGTTAGTCATGGCCAAGATGATTGATGCCTGGCTGGCTGTGATGTGGGCAGATGACTTACTAGACCACTCGCTCTTCACCTCCATGAGTTCCTTCTTTCGGCTCTCGTCCTGGATGGAGAACGTGGTGTGCAAGTGCAAACTCTCTTTGATTATGTCGAAGAGATGACGCCCGGTGGCATCGTTAACCTTCTTGCGGGCATGGGCGGTTGGGAACTTGGGTTTAACGTTCATCCACGGCCTCCCGTCGAGGCGTCCTGATGTCGAAGCTGTCGCCGGACTCTTTGATAACCAGCGTCTGGGTCTGGTGGGCAACCATGTGCTCGAAGACGGCCAGGGGCTGGGGCACTGGTCGGAGTTGATACGAGGCCATCTTTCCTGTGTTCTGTTCGTGTTCTAGGCAATTGCCGTCTGGTGCAGTTCTGGGTTTGTCAGAGTTGATTAGTGCCCACTCTTTTGCCTTGGCGTTAGGAATTTGAGAAAAGGAGAACACAGAAAGCAACACCGTTGCGATGGAGTTGGCCACGGTAATAAAGGGGGTGAAACAAATCCATGTCGGTGCAGCACACGTAGAGTACCATCAATTGGGCCCATAGGGTCACCAACAGCTCTTACACTGCCTCAAACATTCGCCACTTGCCCACTCGGCTCGGCCATTCGCCCTGAAACCAACGAGCCGTATGTTACTTAGCATGTAACTGAGCTGGGAAGGGATGTGCCATCGCAACCCACTCAAGAAATGAGGAAGCTACGATCTCTGCCATGGTGTCAATAGCTAAGAGCCTCGGTACCCCTAACAGGGTGCCAAACAAGTCTATCCTTTTGAATGAATCATTCGAGATGGGTCGTCGTTGGGTCAAGGAACCACTCTTATAAGATACGGTCATGACCACCCGAAGTATTGACGGCAATCTATTCACCATTCACAACGCACAGTCCATCGTCTGACAACCTACCGGCAGGTGCTAGACAGCTGAACAAACCCCCAGTACGCTCCCACTGGGCACGCAGCCGCCTGCCCACATGCATCCCTCGGGGATCCCGTGGAAACTCGAGATGGTGAGAGAACGGTTACTAATACATGCTGCATGGGGGTTCAAGGACCTCAAACGTGAAACCCACAGTAACGTTAATTATCGCTCATATCCAACCAGTACTCTTCATCGTCCCCATACCCTTCAAAGTCAGGAGAGACCCCCATTACGACAGGAACAGCCTCTTGCCTCGCGGACAACGCCGGTGACGGAGCGCGGGAATATCTAAACGGAGACGGCGTCCTCCCCCGCATAAGCGGAGGGGCTGTGAGCAGGTGGTCATTCACCACCCCTTCCGAGATCTCCTCCGGTAAGACATCATGGCGGCTCAGAGTGATCAGCCGCGAAGGGTCCTCCCTGAAGAGCGGCATGTTCCTGATCTCTCGTGTGCTCTCCCCAGGGTTGGTGAGCAGAACCTTGAAAATGGGCGCCAGCTTCCTGTCGTTGACAATTCGCCGGAACAACTCCATGACAGCGCCGAGATCCCTGAGTAACCGGCTGACGTCGAAGCACGAGACCGAGTCGACGATGCAATAGACGTACGTGTCCGGCGGGAACTCGTACAGGAGGCGGTGCAGCGCTTCGCACAAATGCGGCAAGGAATGCTGCTCGAGGCTTTCGAGGAAGTCGCGGTCGTCGATGAAGTCAAGGCTCCAGGTCCGCATGTCTGGGTCCCGGGCGTCGAGTTTCGTGAGCAGTTGCAGGATGAGCGAGCGCACCAGGCCGATGGGGCCGTAGAAGGGGTCACCGGGCACAGCGTGCAGTCCGCAGAAGAAGTGGACTACGACGGCGGCACCCTGATACACCTGCATCAGGCTTGTCGCCAACGTACCGCTGAGGACTGAGATGGCGGACAGGGCATCGAGCGTTGCCTCTTCCATGTCAGCGTCGACCATGATGAGACACGGGTGTGAGCGGGCCATCCAGTCGCAAAACTGTTTGTGGTCGAGGAGCGACTGGGCTTGCCCTTGCATTTCCTGGGAGATCGCGGCCTGTTCGGTCACGGCGGCACGCAGGTCAATGCCGGGGTGTTGGATGCTGTGTTCGAGATCGAACGGCTTGTGAGGGTTGTACGCCCACAACGGCTGGGCCAGGATCCAGCACAGGGTGGGGAAGCTGACGACGGCGGTGTGTTTTGAATGCTGTTTCAAGGCCATCTCGAGATTGGTTGCTTTTTCGTCTTTTTCCAAGCTTCAAATCAGCCGCGCACAACTTCACTTCTTGTAAGCAGGGACCAGGGATTGGGCAGGGCACGGGTGGTGGTTGGGACATCTTACGTTGTACGAGTATAATGAATCTCGTCATCTTTGTGTTAAGTTCAAGAAGCTGCTGTTGCTGTTGTTGTTGCAGGGCCACTATTCCTTCAAGTCCGTTCGCTGTTCCGACCCGCAGCGCTTGTACATTCCTCTCGGTTCCTCGGACGGCTTTGATGATCTTCGCATGCGATTCCTGGTCTTCCTGGCGCTGCTTTCTGCGATAGGCGGCTTCCTCATCTGTTCTCTTTACCAGATAGTTGGTGTTTTGGTAAGCAAGAGCTGTGCCCATCGCATTGAGGCGGCTCAACCCTTCTGTGCGCTGGAGTGAGCGGTCGCGCGCCAGCCCGATCGCGCGCTGATAGCTCGCAAATTTTTTCTCAAGGGCGTCCAAGATGCCGTCCAGTGTTGGGCGGTCCTCTTTCGGTTTGTCCCCATGGTGTTGCAACTTAGCCTTGAATTTGGCCACTGCAGCAGTCCCTGATTATTCCCTCCGTCAGAAACCAAGGGCGACCTAGCACAAGACCTGCAATTCCGGGCTCAACTCGTGGCGATGAACATGAACATACAGCTGGACGTGCCGATGTCTTCGAGCACCAAAACCATGTCTTCAACCGCTTTCACGACTGCTTTGTATGTAGTTTCAGCACAATCCTGCACCTTGGGGTCGTCTCGGAACCGGGCATGGTCTGCGCGCAGTTCCAGCAGTGTTGATTGAAGGGCAGAAAAGGTCTTGAAGACCTTTTCCCGTTTCTCCTTCGAATCCTCGGCAAGCTGATCACGAAAATAACGTTGAATGTACGTCAGCTCGCCCGATAGAATCCATGAATCGCAAGCGTCGCGTGTGCGGGTATACAGACTTCGGGGGAAGGACGGGATGGAGGAGGTAAGGAGATGTTGAAAGGTCAAGGACGAGGATAATAGGTACCTTGAACACGACAGCGACTCCGGTCTTGACTACTGCCAGGCCGTACGCGTCGGGTATCACACCCAACCATGCCTCGGCAGTATCTCTCGCATTGCCCATGCCGTACCACAACTGATGCCAGAGCCCCTTCTTGGTATTGCTGTAGTCTTTTTCCAATTTCCCGATCTTGTCGCAAAGGCCGTCACCCTCGAATGTCACGGCAGTCAGCGGGATACGTAGGGTTGCTGCAATGTATTCCTTCAGGGCGTGCTCCAAATGCCTAGTGCGGTGTTTTACTCGTCAGCACGCGTCCGAGGATTCAGGATTTAGAATGATAGTTCCCACCTACAAGTAAGGATGATACTCTGGGACAAATTGGACATTTTCAATGTCGAGTTTGGATGCACCTCCGGAGCTACTGTAGAGCTGTGATACTTCTTCGGCGACATAAGTTCCCGCCACCGCGACTTCTTTCTTACCAGGACGTCGCCAGTTGAGAGGTAGGAGGTTGTGTTGCCGCGACATTGTGCTTGCGGCGGTTAGGCGCATCAGCGAAAATCGGTCTTCGTTCCGTAAGGTACCTATTCTCAACTTCGCAGTCTGATTATGTGAGAAGTCAACGGTGAGCAGGCGGGGAGCGAGAGAGAGGCCGGATATGAATATGACAGCAGACTGGTAGAGTCGGGTCTCGTCCTGCTACACTGATTCGTGCCAGAACCAGGCAGAGGGGAAAGCATTCAAAGGGGAACTCGGGGAACGCACATCAACGTAGGCGCGGGGCTTCTTGAGACGCTGACTCGCCCAGGGTCGGATAGGCGATTGCCCACCATGCGAACCAGGTTGTCCACGCTATCCAAGGCTGATTTGGCAGCGTACCAATAGCATGTAGAGAACATCTGCCGACGTGATACACGATGCCTTCATGGCAAGCCGGTCTGCCAGCCTGCAGCGCGGTCTGGCATCACGCAAGCGACAGGCCGCGCGTCTCAACCTGAGCCAAGAGGTCGTCTCATTTGAGACCAGGCGAGCTAGCAGTACTCGATTAAGCAGAGCCGCGTCGAGACTCGCGCCAACTGCACCATCGAAGGAAGGGTGGGAGGGAGGTGGGTGGGTGTTGGGGGGGAGAATTCTTGGGGAGGTAGTTGCAAAGCATCGTCTCGTGCAAAGTTCCGTGCAGGAAAAACCGTCCAGCGTGATAATTGGCATGATGACCGCAGGGGAAGGGGCGCGGGTTGTCCCAATTCAAGGGGATTAGGGTACCATCGCATAATCTATGCCCTGTGCTTCTGCAATACTGCAATGTCTGCATTTCAGTTTTCAGCTCTTCAGGTCGGATGTGGTCGGCATCTCGGAGATCATTGCCACGGACAGCACACCGATGCATGCAGACAATTCTACGCCTTCCGTCAATCTCCCGTGCCCTCCTTGGCCGAACTTTTGACTGACATGGATCACGTACTTATGCTAAATACCTAGGTAATATGTAGTCTTTCAAGACCCCGAAAGGCTCGATGCTTCTGTTTATGCCAGCGTTCTCTCGTCGTTTGTGAACCTCAGTTCAGACACCGTCCCATTATAATCGAACTACTAGGTTAGGTCTCTACATCATGGCGCCTGATGACAACGTTTCTCCTGAGGCACCGGAGCCTCCTTCGGCCGCTCCTCCGGAAGAGTCATCTCCCGCAGGGGAAGAGCTTCAGGAGGAAGAGCAGTGGCAAGCCCAGCGTCAGAAGATCCCTTTGAAGGTCGACGTGGACTGGCTCGACTTTGAACACTTCAAGAACCGATACTCAGACGAGGAGGGACTGGCCATCATTGAAGTCCTCTGTGGCCACCCAAAGATTGCTCAGGAGGTCGCCCGAGAGCAGGCCCGACGGAAGCGTGGCAAGCAGGGTCTCAAAGTGGCCACGGCCGTACCCAACCTGAAGCATGCTGTTGACGGAAATGCATACTGGATACAACGCGTCCGTATTCAGTCACCACAGATCATTCTCCTGTTGTCCCGCTTAACAGGTCACCGGGACGGATGGACTACCGACAGTCCACGCACCTTTTTCGCGCCGTTCCTCACCTTCTACTACTACTTGCCGCAACTGAAGCGGAGTCTCGAGCTCCTCGAACAGAGGTGGACAGCTGAAGACGCCCCTGGCCATCCGGCTGATGCCTTGTCGTCCGCCGGCCAGGAAGAAGTGCAGATCACGCAACAGCACGAGGGAACCCACGGGGATGGAAACAGTGATAGCTCCTCTGAGAGCGACGATGATGACATTGACACCGCCGCCAACCCCGAGCCCGTTCCCACGGCGCCCGAACGGGCCGTATCGCGAGGGATCGTCGACTCTCGTACCGCCCTGGCCCACCTCAGAAAGTTTGTTGACTTCATTGAGCGGTACCTTGTGCCTCATTGGTCTCGTGCTGCCGGTACCAGCCAGCGCAAATTCCGCTTCAACGACCTATGGATGGCCTTCCAACCTGGCGAGCTCCTGCACAAGCCCGTGTCATCGGAGCCCGGACAGAACTCAGACGCAGCGCAGAGATCCGGCACAAAAATGTATCAAACAGCCTGGCGGCTCTATTCCATAGTGTTCGACCGTATTCAGGACGACAAACCGGATGACATCGGCGAGACTTCGACGCGTGAGCTAGACATTCACGCGTACTACTGGGACTACGACGGCACTTCATACATCCCAGTCATCAAAAGGTTTTCCATCAAGCATTACGAAGGCGATAAGGACATCACAAGCCTGGAAGTTTTCCCCCTCCGCTTCGCCAAAGACTCTGAAAAATTGAAAGACACGCTCAGCAAGCAGGGCACCATGTTTCTGAAGGCCGTACGATGCAAGCACCTCGCCTACGACGGCTGGACCCTCACCAGAGGCCCTACTGACGACCCCGAGAAACCGCTGGTCATGGAGCATGTCGACAGCGATGTCATTATTGATTTCGCGGAAGGCTACAAGTCGGACCCCCTTGCCAAGCTTGGTCCAATTTCATGGGAACGTGGCTTGTTGAAGTTCGACGATAGCGACTGGCCGGTTGGAGATGACGAGCTCACCATTCGGCATTGGAAGTCTACGGCCAACGGTAGACGTCTCTTTGTGTTTGTCTGCATCCAGGAGAGGACTCAGAGGGCCGAATGGTATAGTTCAACCCTCCCTCCTGTCCAGGCGCTGTTGAAAAGCCTGCCGCATGGAAATTGGAAACTGACACGGTGCAAATAGGTACTGCGAGCGATTCAAAAACGAGGTGGTGCAGGCACGGGCGGGTCTCAGGGCTTACGAAGACGGCAAGCCGGTCAAGGACCTGGACCAAGATGAACGGATGTTGCTGCCTCGGAGGCTTGTCGGATACGCCTTCCGGGAACGCCGGTTCGTCATGCTCGACATCCAGTCCCTCAGGGAGCTTCCGGCATCCGACAATGTCTTCCGGAACCTTCGTATCAACCCAGCACATAAGAACATGGTCATTTCGCTAGTCAAGTCACACCTTGACAAGCAAGCTCTCCAGAGGTTGCAGCCACGCGCCAGCCTAAACCAGGACCTTGTCCGTGGCAAGGGGTCCGGATTGGTGCTGCTCCTCCACGGTGTCCCTGGCGTAGGCAAGACCGCTACAGCAGAAGCTGTTGCCCAAGCCTACAAAAGGCCCCTCTTTGTCATCACATGTGGCGACCTCGGATTCGATCCGCAAGACGTCGAGAGCGGTCTCAAGAACATCTTCCGTCTCGCCCATCTCTGGGACTGCATCCTACTGCTCGACGAGGCTGACATATTCCTTTCTCGTCGCGAGCTGAAAGATCTGGAACGCAACGCACTGGTTTCTGGTGAGCAGTTGATCACGCGACATCCTACCTAGCCCCTTCAGTTCACACTAACAATCATAGTCTTCCTTCGCGTGCTCGAATACTACAGTGGCATCCTGTTTCTTACTACGAACAGAGTCGGAGATCTGGACGAGGCCTTCAAGTCTCGTATTCACATTAGCCTCTACTACCCTCCGTTGGACAGGGACCAGACGCTCAGCATCTTCCAGGTCAACATTGGTAAATTGGAGAGGATCGTGGCTGAGAAACAGAAGCTGCAAGCCCAGCAGAACCCTGAAGGTCCGACTACCAACTGCCCCCGACTGATCATCGACAGGGAGGAGATCCTCGATTTCGCGAGGCGACACTTCGACCGTCATGAGCAGTATCCGGAGCAGAGGTGGAATGGCAGACAAATTCGAAATGCTTTCCAGATTGCCTACTCTCTCGCCGAGTTTGAGATGATTGGCCAAAATGAAAAGGCACGCAGAGCCGCCCAGTCCGCCAGCCAAGTCGAATCGAATAGGGCCACGCCACGCCCGAGAATGGGCGAAGGGCGGTTAGGAGCCCTGCATTTTGAGATGGTCGCCGAAGCCATTGAGAAATTCGAAACCTACCTGTTCCATGCCACAACAATGTCGGACCGCGACAGGGCTCGGAAGACGCACATCCGGCATGATGACTACGTCGACCAATACATCGACTATGCCGCGCCGCACGCATCGCGCTATCAACAAGTGACATACCAGAAGCAACGGGCAGCGCCGCCAGCGGGCCGCAGCACACGCCCGAGCCCGGGACTCAAACCCCCACCCAGCTATCGAACCCAGCAAGAAGATGGGCCCAGGGACCGCCCAGCTCCAGCCTGGCAAGGCGAGCAACCAACTTCGACCCCGACGGCTAGCCGTTACCCGCCCAGGCACATGCAGGCAGGTTCGGCAAGGCCTGAACAGCGTTCTCCCCTCGCCACCCAGCGGCCTCCTCCGCCTCGGAAGCAACCCGGTCCCGCCTCCAACACCGGAGCGCTACCCACGACGCCCTCCCGAAGCGTCGGCAACGCCAAAACACCTGCCGCTGTCGGTCGCAACGACTCGGGATACGGCTCAGGCTCCGGATGGAGTATCGCGACTCCGCGGACGACCGATTCAGGGTTGCCGCAAGACTGGCAAAACCGCGAAGGGGAGACAGACGGGAACCCTCACGGTGACGAGGGGCTGCTCCTGAGCGACGGGGAGGAGGGTGATGGCGGGCTCTATGATCATAAGACTGGATATAGTGACGCAGATCCGAATGGCGTGGAGGAGAATGGCTACGATGGGGACGGGTTCGACGGCGCGGATAGTAACAGGTTTCTTGATGATGAGGATGATGCTCAGTTCTATGGCGAGGATTACCGGTATGCTGGCGAGGCTGAGCAGGTCGGAGGGTTCTGATAATAATTGGACGCAACTAGTGAAGTAGTGATGAGCTGGGTATCTAAACAAACAGAACAATGAACCCTACGTTGGCCATCTTACACAATCTTACACCCAGCCGCATCCCCCCACGGCCGCCCTCACCTCCTCAACTTATCCAACACGCCCCAGCGATTATCCACCTCATGGAGTAACCCCCCATGCTCCTTCACCCATGGTTCCCTAACCCCTCAACCACCGTCCCCGTCTCTTGTTGCGCGGCCGCATCCAAGACCCTCCGACAAGCATCGTGCGCCATTCCCAACTGCTCCATCAACGCCTCCCTTGGCGAATCGGACTCCTTATCGGGCAGGTCCAGCACAAACTGATGCGCTTCAGCCGCGGCAGGATCCTCTATACCAAAACGCGGCGGCACACTCGTCCAGGTGCGGCGCCACCGACACCGGACCGCGGAAGTGGAACGTTTCAATATCCGGCGGGAGGAAATCGCGCAGAAATGCCTCCTCGGCTTCGCCGTCGTCCTCGCCTACTACCTCGGCGAGCAGGGTGGCGCACATTGCCCTGCCCATGGTGAGTTTAAACGTCTTGGGGTTGTTGAGCAGCGGGAGGAAGAGGAGGGGCGTGTGAGGGACAAGATGCTGCATGTCGTGGCGGCCGGGGGAGCAGATTGTTAAGGAGGAGAGGGAGGCGAGGCGGTGGAACTTGGCCAGGGCGATGTAGGAGTGCATTTGCAGCGCGTCGTTGCCGAGGATCCGGAAATGTTTCAGTGCTGAGGACGGGGAGGAGCCGAGGTCGGGTGAGAAGATAGGTCCTTTGTCTTCGTAATGGTTGTTGAACCACTTGTGCCATTGGTAGGGGAGGTAGTTGACCTCGACTCCTTCAGACCTCGACCTTGGCTTGGTTAGCAAGGTTTTGGGCCTTTCTGTCCCCAGCGCCCGGGAGCGAGGTGTCCGAGGGTATGGCCCCCCTCGGCCAGGGACGGCGCTGTTCCCGATGGCTCATTGTCTGCCTGGGTTTCGGCGATTTCTTCCTCGACCGGCGGATAGATCATGTCGAGTTGCTCAGCATTCTTCATTAGTTTTTTCTGTCTGGACCCTCAAACCGCAGACCCGCAGTGAAGAGGAGAACAGGACTCTGGATTCTGCCCTCGACGATAGCGCGTGGTGTGATGCGCTCGGCGACGGCATCGGCAATGACCAGCAGCTCCAGAGGCCAGTTGAGATTAGATTTGTCGTCGTTCCGGTCTTCGTCCCCGGCCGGTGCCAACCTTGATGAAACGCACGTTGGTGAAGTGGTGTGTCAGGATCTCCCATTCCTCGTTGGTTGGCGCGTCTCCAAGGATGTGGAGTCTCTCGGTTTGCGGGTCGATGTCGTGCAAGACGGATATTAAGCTGTTGGCCCCGTCCTGTGGCTCTTTTCCTTCCGAGGCGTGGCCCTTGAATTTCGTCATGTCGATGGCGGGCGTCCGGGCTCGGCGGTGGCTATCGTGGCCTGACGCCATTGCCAGCCATGCCGGCGACTCCACGCACCACCTTGTCCACCATCAGGCCGTGGAAACACCTCCTTCTAAACGAGAACTCATCGATACGTGCCACCTGGGACTACCGCTTCCCCAGACTTCCTCCGCCCTCCATACTGCCTGCGCTACTGGGCCAACATGAAGGCTCCAACAACGTCGCGATGGTTCCACGAACGGTCACTTCGCTCTCCTACGTTGCCATACTCCCTGATTCTAGTCATATTCGCGAGCTTGTGTTCCACCTGCCTCGACTCGAGCATTCCAGTGTCCAGCTCGCCCCCATCAAAGGCGCAAAGCTCGACAAGACTCACATGGGTACGTCGTCCCCACGTCCCAATGGATAGAACTCCACGCGTGCTACGAGTACATCTTCCGCCAGCTACTGTTCGGAAACACTCACGGTGCGGCTTCCCCCACGGCGGATGGCCGTAACAGGCGACGCTGGGAATTCCCCGGTACATATAGGTTCAATGCCGAATTGGCGCCGCCTGCTTCAAGTTCGAAACGGCTGACTTTGCCGGCCAGAACGACTGTCCGCAGCTGGTGCAGATGTGCCAGGCCGGATGGCACTTCCTGAGCAAAGGCGTGTTCGTCAGGGGGCCTTTCCAGTGCCCTCCTCGACCATCATTCAGCGGAACGCCGAAATCCATCGTCGGTGTGGCCCAGTCTGCCACTTTTTCTCTTTGAGATGTTCAAAGCACGCCGCACCACAGCACACAGACAGGAGCAAAGGCCACATCTGAGCTGAACCCTCATTACTGGGGTCTTGAACCCTTCCCCGCATTCCTGTGTCTCAAACGGGGAGACAGTATGTTCCGAGTACTTTTACCTGATGCAGTGAGAGAAGCCTAATGTGCACCTCTTTTTCAGCATGCAACGACTAACAGCGGGCGTCATGCACACAGCTGATGAAAGAGCGGCGCAGTTGATATTGAGAATTTACATGTACGCAGCCCAGGACGTCGGAGCAGACTCGACCATGCTTTCCATGAGGGTCCGTATCTGAACGGTATTCTCAGGGCCTTGTATTTCACTAGATGAGTGTAGTCCTTAGAATAAGGTTCTCTAATATGGAATGCTCCTTGGTCCAAGCGGTGGCGAGGTGCCAATAGGGTATTATGGATAGTCTACCCCAACTCCCCGCGGGCCGTGCCAGCCTAAGCAGTCTCCCGCGCAGATGGCTCTATTCACAAAACCAGGCCGGGACAGGAGGACTCGTGGCCTGACCACCATCATAATACTGGTGAACATGCAGATGCTCACCGAGGCTTCTCCGCAAAATAACAACCATGGTTCCACCCCATGCGCAAACGCTGGTCACTGTTCAGACGGCGCATCACGGCGGCACCATATGCTGTCCCACCACGCCAGTATCAGCCCGGATCCGCCACGGACAAACTCAGAATATCCAAGCCTTTGCCAATGCAGGAGTTTTGTGCCGAAGAAATTTAGTCAGTCTCTCTACGGCGCTCCAGCGAAATGCCTGCGGAAGCCTTGACCCCTGCCAGATTCACCGTTTCCTGCCGATAGCTATTCGTAGAGGCGATGGACCCGCGAGGCAGCACTTTGGTAATATGCTTTGGCGATTTGCACTGCATCGGGTATGATAGAGTCAGCCCAACTGGGCAAATAAGCCCACTGCAGCGCCACGTCCGCAAGCCAGTGCACAGCAACGGTTGAGCGGAATTGGTCGGCCTGAAAGTCTTCGACGTCGTCCAACAGAGGCACCTAGTCCTCGTCGTCGCTCACGTCGACCTGCTTCCTGCGCTCCTCCTCGTTCATCTCGCGCCACGTGCTCCAGCTGAGCATGCCGAACGCCGCAATGATCAGTAGTCCGCCGAGAATGGCGGCCGCGCTCAGTGGCGTGCCCGTCCAAAGCCAGTCCGCGATGGCGACGATGAAGATGGTGAGCAGCGCCGCCACCGAGCTGAGCACCGGGCTCGTGAGCGAGATGAGCACGAGGAACGAGCCCGAGAACAGCATATTCATGATCACGCTGATGAATAGCAGCCACGCCGTCTGCCCCGTCGGCAGCTCAAATGTCTCCCATCCCAAAAGGTGCAGTATCGGCAGCGGGATCCACAGAACAAACAGCGTAAAGGCGCCCATCAAGCTGCCAAAGGTGTTGGCGAAGATGACGCCCTTGTTAGCATCCGTCCCGTCCGGCGGGCACGCGAACCGCTTGTACAGCACCTCGTACAGGCCATACAGCACCGACCCAACGCCAATGATCAGATTCCCCGCGAACCTGGTCGCCGGGTCGGGCGCATCGGCAACACCACCCTCGTTCGCCGACGGCTCCCCTTGCTCGGCACCATCCCCATACGCAACAATCAACACGCCCACGATGGCCACCGCCACAGCCAGCATCTTATCCAGGCGCAACCTCTCCTTCAACAACGGCACCGAGAAGGCATACGCAAAGAACGCGCTGCAGTTGTATATCGCCGTCAGGTCGCTCGGCGTGGTCATGCTGACAGCAAGATACCAACTCAACCCAGCGACCGTCAGCGCCGTCGTCACGACCACCGTCGTCCGCACCAGATACGGCCACGGCGAGTGTCCATACTCCAATAGCCCACCGCCATGCCCATTCACCTTTCCGCCCCCAGCACCCCTACTACCACCAACAACCCCATTCGCACCACCACCCCTTGTCTCAACAAGCAACGCGATCCCCCTCAGCGTCCTAATATGTCCCTCCCAGAACCGACCCCAACTCTGCCCCCTTCTGCGGGGCGACGAAAACCGGAGAATAGCAAGCTGAACAGGCCAGAGGAGTACCCATGACCCGTGTGTGACATAGAGCATGCAGTACGCCTTGTCCCAGCCGAGATCGTGCTGGATGTAGCTGGCCAGCTCGGTTTGCACGGTGAAGGACACTAGGCTGACGACCAAAAAAAAGGAGGCGTAGATGTACTTGCGGCGGGCTTCACTACGGGCTCGAGAGGCGGACAATGGTGGGGGGTTGCTTGTTGTGAGGGTCTGGGAGGAGGAGGAGGGGAGCGGCGCTGCGCTGGTGGCGCGCATTATCGGAGTTGGTTGCGGTGTTGTTGATGTTGATGGTGTCGGGGATGGGGTGCGGCGGAGGTGAGGAGGAGCGTCGGAATGTGTAGCGAGAGTGTGTGCCGCCGGTATGCGCGGGTGGAGGGTGCTGGACGGAGGACTGCGGGAAGTGCGGCGGTCGGCGGAGCGGTCGAGGAGAGGGTCGGCGGGATCGGCGTCGTGGGACCGGCGCATGGTCTGGATATGGAGGCCAGGAGAGAGTCTTGTCTGATCTCACGCTGCGGCGGTGACAGAGACGGTTCGAGATGCCAGATAGTAGATTTCGAAACGCTGGGTTGCTGGAACTACTAGATCGGGACTGCCGGTGGAATCGAACGACGGGGTGCAACGTCAATCGCCATCAAGGAAGACCAAGTGCAATGCTATGATAGATGTGGGATGGGGTAAAGTGCTCTGGTTCCATGGGAACGACGGAGATACGGATTACAGCAACGGGGATTTGGTGCCCGGCGGGCGAGTTCGCAAAATGATGCGAAAGGTAGCCTCAATCCCGTCATCAGGGGTCGTCGATGGAATCCCCTTAACTGCCGTTTCCGATTTGTGGGGTCGGCCAGTTATAGGCTAGGCCAGGGCTGTCTGTGGAGCCAGCTTGAGAAAGGGGGTCGGGTTAGGGTTTGCTACTGCCCCTTTTCAAGTACGTTAAATTTATATGAGAAGCCACGGACTCCGCCCGGCCGCCGCTAACGGTTTACGGGTAATGAGATAAATACATACTTGAGTTCAGGTGAATGAGTTGGTGGATTGTCTGTTGAAGCGAGCCAGTTAGTAAAACATCATGCTGCTGAGTAAGGTATTTAATCTGTTGCTGAATTGCTTCTGAGTTTCATGTTGGGAACGTGGATCCACCATGTGTGATATCAACACTCACGAGCTAGAATTAGGGTGACTTTATGAAATGAATCTCAAAGGAGTGCTTTATTATTGGTTTATTTATAGCAAAAAGTGTTTGAAGGGTCGGAACGTCCAACTACACGGTGGCCGAGATCGACCCTGTTCCTCCACTTGGTTGTTCCGCTTCATCGAGGTCACATGTTCTTCATCGTAGCTAGGGCATACTCAAGCATACTCCCTCGTCTTCACTCCCAGGGTTTCTAAATCTTGTTCTTTGCTGGGTTCGCTTTTGCCTTAACATCCCTGTGTGACAACTTGCTTGTCACACAATATTCCTGCAAATCCCCACTCAGGTGTCTTTTTGAGACTGGACTAATGCTCATCAGGCTGCAATATTGCTGAGCTCATTGACAGTCTCGGAACTCGACAAGTTCTTGAAGAACTTAGGAATTACACATGAAGGTTTCCATGACATAATGCCCACTAATCACGGACACGATTTGATCGGAACCGTATTTGGGACCAAGACATAGTCCACAGAACCAGCGTCGTTAGTATATCCTTCAGGGAACAAGATGAATGGCTAAGGTAACCAATGCCGGTGTCTGCTGGATCCATCGATCTCTTTCAGGAGACTAGCCCTAGAATGTAGGCTTGCTACTGGCGACAACTTAGCAACTCACATCTTCCTCGTAGCCATCCAAGTTGACCATGACTACTGCCCCATAGCACCCTTCTCATCCTCGTAGCCACCGTAAAACACCACATTGCAAAATTGAAGTCACGATGTACCAGGCAAAATGTCACATGGGCGCGCTACAACATGCTCTGCTTGCAGAAGTGCTTGGCCACTCAGTAGTCAATGTACAGCCGGCCATTACCAAAGGTAAGGTGGTCGTCTGCATATGTCAGTCAAGGGCACTTTGCTGCTGTCTCCCCGAAACGTCACCCAAGAGGACACGACTTACTCAAGTTGATGATGGCCCAGTTTGTGTTGCCATCAGCCTTCCTGCAGTCGCAGCCCAGCGTTGCTGACCGATGAATTGCAGCCACCGCAGGAGCCGCCGAAGTTGGAACCAGGCCCGTTTGTTAGCTGGCGGGTTGCTGAAGCTGCTGGGTTGTCCAAACCCCCATATCACGAACTCCACTTTTCATGCCCTTTGAACTGCTCGTTGTCAGCTCAAGGCCCCGAGGAGACAGGCATCCACGCGCCTCTACCTTAGTAAAGTTCTCATTGTTGGGGGCCGCTCATGAAAAGGAGCGGGCCAAGATCACCATAATGGGCTGGAAATGGAGGACTCATCGCCGTAAATCGTTCGTGAACTGCGGACTTTGCTGCTAACTCCACCTCCGTCCGGTCCCCTGGATTTAGCTTGATACCATGAACAGGGCGACCGGACCGAACTCAAGTTCGTTTGCCAATGGTATCGGCAGGCGAATGTAGCATTCCAATGGAAACCAATTGGTACTGTTAGGGTTTCTACTGCCTCCAGCATGGCCCTGGGGGAACGATCCGACCCAGTCATATCAGGAGTTATCAGGATTTAGGACGGGGTATCCCTGTGGGATCTCTTTCGTCTTCACTTCCAGAAGACATCACAACAGCACAGCAACGCAAGGGCGTCTCAGGACTTCGACTCTGTCAACTTGCTGATTTATCACCATGCGATGATCTAGGACACAGTTTACTATGATTATCAAATTCGGAGCGCGCGCGCGAGCTCTCATCTTTGTCCTGCTCTTCCTGTCACTGCTTCTCGTGTTAGCGCATTTCCGAAGGCGAGATGAGCCTCGTCTCGAGCCGCTAGACAGCGTGACTGTGCCTGTTGCGCCCGGAAATGGGCCCCTACCAAGTGTCAAGCCTGCCCCGGACAGCGCAACAAACATTACAGACAAACAATGGAGCTCGGTCTGGTCCCGAGTGCCCTGTGTGGGGCTAAGGGGGTTAAATTTCGATGAGGAGAATGACGATACGCTGCGTGAGAGCGTCATTGAGGGCCTCGGTAAGTCTCCCAACTACAGTTGATTCCCGTTCCTGACCTGGCAACAAGACTATCCAAGCCCGTTTGTGGGCTCCCACGATACCGTGGGTTTGAGTCAGACCTGGATGACAGCGGCTGCCCGCTACGGGCCATATGGCTGGGGCGACGACCAGGCGGCATACGACGGAAAGAAGGCGCCGTGGAACGAGACAGACTGGGCCAAACTGCAGAACCAATGCATCTACTACAACGCCCACGGATTCCATGACGCGGCGATTATCCAGCCCTTCGCGAGACGCTTTCGCATGCGAGAGCCGGGTGAAGAGATCAAGTCTCCGGTGATCGAACCGCAGGCGGCCAACTACGTGCCTCGAACCGCCATTGTCCTCCGCGCCTGGGAAGGCTACAATTACACCGCCGAGGACCTCGTCAATCTCCGCGCAACCGTCGCCGAGACGGCTTTGCGATTCGGTGGCGAGTATACCGTCTACATCCTCGTCCACGTCAAGGACACGGGACGCAACATCTTCTCCAGCGACGAGAATTACCGTCGCGCCGTCGAAGACCTCGTCCCTCCAGAATTCTGGGGCATGGCCGTTCTGTTCGACGAGACGCTCCTCCAGAGCTGGTATCCCGAGATCAAAACGCACGGCGCCACCTACCAGATCATGCAACCCCTGCAGCTGTTTGCCCACTTCTACCCGAAATTCGACTTCTACTGGCAGCTGGAGCTGGATGTCCGGTTCACAGGGCATGCCGGCCGCTACCTCACCGCCCTGTCCGACTTTGCCCGCGAGCAGCCTCGGAAGCAGGCCATAGAGCGCAGCACCTGGTATTACATGCCCGAGTTCCATGGTGGCTACTCAGACCTGCTAGCAGCCGTCAATGCATCTCTCGAAGGCAAAGGCGGGCTTGGATGGGGCATGCGGATCCAAGATTTCGAGCCCATTGGCCCGAAGCCGCCCGTCGAGGATCCGCTGGACGACAACTTTGAGTGGGGCGTCGGCGACGAAGCCGACTTCATCGCTCTCACCCCATGCGCTTACATGCCGTCGCTCGAGCACTGGGTGTGGAGAAACTGGCAGCAAGGCCTCAAAGCCGGCACCAAGACCCCCGGGTGGATGTGCCAGCCAGCCATGGGCCGCGCGAGCAGGACCCTGCTGCTCGCCGTGCACCACGCGCAGGCCGTCCAGGGTCTCGCGATGCACTCGGAAGCGACCCTCTCATCGTTTGCGCTCTGGCACGGCCTCAAGCTGGTCGTGCCGCCACAGCCCATCTACCAGGACCCGCAGTGGCCGCACGACAAGATGAACGAGCTGTTTAACGGTCCCGGTGCCATCGAAACACACCGCATGCAGGGCATGGAAGGCATGGCCCGCGGCGACGTCATTTACCGACAGACGGACTACGAGTACATCACCACCACCTCGGCGTCGTTCTGGTACACGTCCGACTTTCCGAACAGGATCTACGACGCCTGGCTGGGCCGTGTTGGTTCCCAGGACGGGAGCAGCAGCCGCGGGGTGCCTTATGTGCTCTGGAGGAGCGGGGACGGGAAGGTGTATGCGCCGAATATGATGCTGCATCCGGTCAAGACGAATCAGAACAGGCCGTTGGACAGCTCAGGCGATTCGCCTTGGCTGGTTATCGCCGGCGTGGCTGTCTCGTTACTGGGCCTCTCTGCGGCCGGTTTCTGGTGGTGGAAGAGGAGCAGCCGGAGCAGGTACTCTGCCCTCAGGACAGAAGAGGTTGGGTAAGGTATGGAATTTGGCTTGAAGTTGGGATTATGTTTTTAGTACGGTACGGCTCTCTTTTGGGGGAAAAGGAATATAGACAGCATAATTACAATAATTATGAAGACAGCTATCCCGGGTTTTGCCCAGGAACTCAGCAGACCTTTACCTCATTTGTGGGATGGCCGATTCCATACCGTGTTTGTGTACTGCCATTTTCTGTCAGGATGATGCTCTGAACCAGGGTTTCCTGTGACCAACCATTTTACCATTTTAGTGGCAAGCTGTAGGAAGATAACTCAAAAGACTCATCTGGTTCAATTTTCTTTTTCTCCCTTTTCCTCTGCCCAATCTTTTCTGCTGCCTCTGAACGAGAACCCTAACCCAACTTCCGCAAGGATCGCCCGTGCATCACGTGGCAGGGACGGCAACACGTTACATACATAGTTAAGTTCAGCTGGAACCTCCGAGGAATTCACGTCGGCGCGTCTGGCTCTTCCCCACCCTCTTAACCAGAGCACTCACCGCGTCTTTTTCGCGATTCAGGCTCACTGTTGTCCCGCGAGTCTGGGGCGCTTCATTGGGCGTCGCATCGGGTATGCTGAGCTTTCTTCAGCCTTGCTCGGTTTTCATTGATTCCATCAATTGACGTGCAGCATTTATTCTCCTGCGACCTTCTCCCCAGAAAATCCGATCAAGAAAGTTTCCACCGCCGTTAACGTTACCGACCACGCACAAGTCCGACCAGACGGTTGTTGAGTGCCGCCAATTTACTCTCTTTACATCTCACTGGGTCTGGTCGGTACCGGTCTTTCTTTACTCGTGCCCACCCGGTGATTCAGGCGAGACGACAACATGGCGGCCGACCATCCAAAGACGGGGATATACAGCGCTACATACAGCGGGGTGAGTTTGTTTTTCCTGTGCATAGCTGGCCTCCTGCGGCTAATGACTCTCGATGCTCGCAGATTCCCGTTTACGAGTTCCAATTCGGCCCCGACCTCAAGGAGCATGTGATGCGGCGGCGAGAGGACAATTGGATAAACGCAACCCATATTCTCAAGGCAGCGGGCTTTGACAAGCCCGCCAGGACGCGCATTCTTGAGCGTGATGTACAAAAAGACGTCCATGAGAAGATTCAGGGCGGCTACGGGAAATACCAAGGTGCGCCTCCCAGCCTGCTTGCTGGTCCGCCTGAACGCTAAAACTTGCTTTCCTAGGAACGTGGATTCCGCTTGAACATGGCGAGGCGCTCGCCCAGCGAAACAACATCTACGACCGGTTACGGCCCATCTTTGAGTTCCGACCCGGCAACGAGAGTCCCCCACCTGCGCCGAGGCATGCCAGCAAGCCGAAGGCCCCGAAGCCCCGGCCTGCTGTTCCCAAATGGGGCAGTAAGTCGCAAGACAAAAAGACCAGCCTGTCGCAAGCCGCTGTCTTCTCACACGCTCATCATCAAGGTGCTGCTGTCCACGATGACTACGACAACACCAGCCAGATGAACGAGGACGACACGCCCGACAACGTCACCGTTGCCTCAGCATCGTACATTGGCGAGGACGACCGCTACGACATGTCGCATTTCTCGACCGGCCATCGGAAACGGAAGAGGGAGGAGATGCTGCAGGACATGACAGAGCAGCAGCATGCCGTGTATGGAGACGAGTTGTTGGACTACTTTTTGCTTTCTAGAAACGAGCAGCCCGCAATCCGTCCCGACCCTCCGACCAACTTCCAGCCAGACTGGCCCATCGACACAGAACGGCACACGGCCTTGCATTGGGCCTCTGCCATGGGTGACGTCGACGTGATTAAGCAGCTGAAGAGGTTTGGCGCCAACCTGGCGTCTCAGAACATCCGGGGCGAGACCCCATTTATGCGGTCTGTCAACTTCACAAATTGTTACGAAAAGCAGACATTTCCACTGGTGTTAAGGGAGCTCTTCAGCACCGTGGACGCGCGGGACGCTTCCGGGTGCACTGTCATTCACCATGCGGCAGTGATGAAGAGCGGCCGCGTGACAAGCCATTCTTGCTCGCGATACTATTTGGACAATATTCTCAACAAGCTGCAGGAGACGCGGTCAGCAGACGAGATGCAACAACTGCTCGATGCTCAGGACAACGACGGCAATACTGCAGTTCACTTGGCTGCGATGCGGGATGCTCGCAAGTGCATCCGCGCCCTCCTCGGTCGCGGGGCGTCCACTGACATCCCCAACAACCAGGGCGTGAGGGCTGAGGATTTGATCAAGGAGCTCAATGCCTCCAGGCCCAAGGCCGCCCGGGGACCACCACAACGCTCCTCCAGTCCCTTTGCGCCCGAGTCACAGCGGCACAACCCCTTCCGAGATGCGCTGGCTGAGACGGACAGCAAGCCCAAGGCAAGCTTTCGCAGCGAGGCGGCCAACACGGTCCAGTCTCGCATCACCCCTCTCGTTCTGCAAAAGTTCCAGGACCTCGCACAGAGCTACGAAAATGAGCTTGACGAAAAGGAAGAGGCCGAGAAGGAAGCGCGGCGCATCCTGCTCAACACGCAAGCCGAGCTGGCCAATCTGCGCACATCCATCGCAGATCTCGAGTCCCGCCTCGAAGCGGACGAAGCAGCGGCCAAGACAGAAGCCGAAGCCGCGAACACGGCCGAGAAAGTCCTCGCCTACCTCACCCACCAGAACCGCATCGCCGTGCAGGACGCCGTCACCAAGGAGCTCGCCGCCGTCAACGGCGACGCTACCAAAGACGCCAGCACACCCCACGGCCAGCCCTCTGAGAACTTATCCTCCTCTAACCCAGACGACCCACCAAACAATAATAATACCATCATCGCCACAAAAGACCGCGACCAGCCAAGGATCGAAACATCATCCCCCGAAGAGCGCCTCCGCCTGGCAACTGAACTCCGGGCGCTCCTCCAGGCGCAGCGCCGCGCAGAGAGGGAGTACGTCGAGGCCCGCGGCTTGACGGGCACGGGCGACAAGATCGAAAAGTACCTGCGCCTGCTCAAGGCCTGCCTGCCGCCCGAGGACCAGGACATGCTGGACGAGAACCTCGAGGATATGATTAAGATGATGGAGGACGAGGCCGAGTCGTTGGCGGGTGTGCCTGGGGCGGCAGGGCTGGGGGATGGTGGTGCTGGCGAGGTTGGGTTACGCTTGTCGATGCCGGTGGAGGTTGGTGTGGCGCCTTTGTGAGAAGGGCGGTGTGTGTGTGTGTGTGTGTGTGCGTGTGTCTGTGTGTGTGTGCATGTATCCTGGGTTATTCCTTTTCGTTTGGGTGCCGGTGTTGGTTTGTTACTTGGTCCAGAAAGGGAGTTGGATCTGGTGACAGTCTCGGTGATGCTTGTCCCCTTGGATGGGTTTTTTTCCGAATGGAGGCATTTGAGAATTGCTCCCGCAGTCAGGAGGAGATAAAATGGGGGTGGCTCAGTTGTTGCAAGGCCCAACTGCTTTCGCTGGTCAGGGGTATTGACGGGTTGTGGTTTCCATAAAAGGACGCTATGCCTGCTGCTCTCGCGATGTGCACAGGAGGGAGGGTTCCTCGCCCTGGGGCGCATCATCGGACAGCGGAGATTCATTGGGTCGACTACGATCTGCCTGTTCACTTTTGTTTTGCTTTTTTTTCTTGCTAATGGAGCAGCTATGTCATGTGCGTGGCTAGGGACTGGCGTTTGTGATCAGGGGTTTGGGCATGTTGTTTGGGCATAGGGGTTGTTTACGTGGTTCTTTATTCCTTAGCTTAGTTGGGTTGTGCTGGGTGTTGGGCCGAAGCTGTGTCCATTGTACACATGTACTGTCCATACTGAAAGACGCAATGCTCTCAGGACTGTCCTCGTCAAGGGCGGGCGGGTTTGCCTGTTAGGCGATGAGCTGTCATCTCTCCGAGAGGGAATTCGAGTCGGTAATCCCTTGAAATGCCATGGTTCTGGTCATCTAGGGAGGGGAGGAGAAACACAGAACCCTTATCCTCTTCTCCTCAACCATGGATGGCAATTTGAAATCATCACTCCCGTCGCGGTGTGCTGTGTCATGACAGTGTCAGCCTGACCAAGCATGTCCAACACGATGAGGAGGCGTCCAGTTCGGCGAAAATGGTAATTTCTCGTACACAGATTCCTCGTACCGGGCAGTTTAGCCCCGAAGGCTCACGGGTTGGCTGTCCCCCCTGGCTGACCGCAACGAAGACTCGTATTCTGGCCCTGCCGCGGTAAAACTTGGCTGCCAGTGGTTCACTTCTTCTGGAAAGCTTCACAGCGTCCTGCCAGTCCGTGACGATCTGACCTGTCTCCTGGACCAGCCCATAGCACGATGTGTCGGCGGCCGTAAGGCGAACCATGCTCTTGGTCGGGTTCTGCCCCCTGTCCTGACCAATCTTCCCAACGGTGACAGTAGTGGAGATGAGTAATCCTAAGCAAGTCATTGTGAGAGGGGAGTGAGAGGGGCCGAGTTGCGACAAGTCGTGGTATGGGGGTGTGAGTCCATCATCCTAAGATGGCGTAGGCAGTGTCATGTCAAATAACCTCCTGGCTAGCAATCACCGTGGCCTCCTGCCGTCCTGCCCTGGGCAACCCAGCTTGAATGGTCATCGCCATTCCATCAAGAACTGGCGGTGAAGAACGGCCACAAGCCGTGTTCCGGCTTGAACATATCTCCTTACACTGGGGCAGGACCAGGTTGCCCAAACGGGTCCCAGCTGAGATGATCATCACGCAATCTCGGCGTCGACAGTGTGCCCCTTGACTGATTCCATCAGACAGCCATCCGGACCAATGGTATCCGAAAAAAAGGAACTGTCAACCGCAATCCGCCACCGGGGGAGGTTCTCGGCCGTACTGTGCATGGTCTCCCCCGCTGGTTAGAAGCAGGGCGTTGGTTGGCCACCGCGCGGAGCCGAAAGTGTTGGTCGGATCCATAGCCCTGCTTTGCACTGAATCTCGAATACAACGGCGCTGGTTCCAGGGCTATGAAGGTTGAGGCTCGGGGTCTCGTCCAAGCCTCAACCGCGCATGCAAATGGAGCCGCAAGGACCCGCTAAACGCGCCCAGAAGGCAGGCAGGCTGAGTTGTTGACGCATCTACTGATCTGCTCAGCCTCATTACTCGATACTGAAGCGGAGCTCTATCAACGGCGAACTCAGCCTGAAGTATTCCGGACGCGAGCGGAAGCCCGGTGATGGCCCAGCAGGGGTGAACATTGCGAGTATGGCGAGAGTTTGCGTGACAACTTTGGGCCAGCAAGAGCCCGGCAGCGTCAGCAGCCACTCGCGGGACTCCGTATCCTGGTCATTCATCATCTCTTGCTGGCACGGATGGAATTTACCAAGCGGCGCTGTGTCGCTGATTCCTGGCAGCCGCTCGATAGCGCCAACAGAGGCACGCGGCGTAAAGCGGAAGACAGGCCAATTGGGTTTCGGCAGACTGGCAAATAGAGTAATCATTGCCATGTCGTTTTCCGTATATGGGCCGCTGATGAACGGCAGCCTCCACAGTAATCAACACGAATTGGATGTTGTTATGGTGCACCGTCCGGGAAAGAAACACGAACCCAATAACCCGTTTCGCGGTTGACGTGTACAGTGGCAAGTGCCGGGTGGAGCGGGTGCCACGGGAGCTGAGCGATCGAGTCGTCTCAGCGAACCATTGTCCAGAACCAGATGTCGCCTCAATGGCGGTCTCTTCCATGAGCTGGAGGTTAACACAGAACTTGGAATAAAGCAGCTGGAATCGTCAAGATGGAAAATGTTCGCGAAGGAAGGGAATAGGAATGGCAGCTTGACAGCGTGTCGGATTAGTTACCGAGCAGATCTGCAGAGAGCCCTAGTCGAAAGGTGGACACATATTCGTCGAGGCTGGAATTCAGACTCTGCTTTACGCACTTGCCCGAATGCCGTAGGCCGATGGATTCAATGGGCTCGGAACCGATACCGGTCAAATGGTTGCAGTTATCACACCTCAACGGCTTCGGGGTCATGGCTGTCTCCGGGCGCTTGAGTTGCGAATGCGATGAGCCGCGATTTCGTTCCAAGTTTGGAAACAGTGCCCCGTGGCACGCTGCAGGCGGACAGGGATCATAGTGGGGCACGCAGGGGCCTTGCGTAGGGCTGAAGAATGGCAGCGGGATCTCTGCCTTCTGAAGGTCCCGGCCGTCACCCGTCTTCTGGTCAGCCAAGAATCACAGAGGCGGCTTCAATGCAAGACTCCTGGACGGGGGATGCTTCGGAAAGGCCTTACTGCGTAAGCGCCAATGCAAATTCATCGAGTCTCCTTTTGCAACTGTCGAGACGCGACGTATTTCTTACGTCCATATCGAAAGGATGTCTGGGCTTATCATGGACATGAGCAAGCCGCCGTTGTTGCCTGCGCACACATCGCGCGAATTAAGCTCAGCTATAACCGGTAACTGCCGCAAGGTTCCTGGTTTCGGCCGATTGCCAATGGGATTCCAGGTTCACTTGTTGGCCGCCGGCCCCAGAAAGCGAAGAGGGATAATAACGGTAATCTACAAGACAAATACAATGTTCCTACGGTAGGTATCTTGATCGAGAGAGCAGGTAAGGTAAGGGTATCTGGACTTGGCGTGGGGATGTGCGGAGCTGAGAACTGCATCTCGTTTTTCGTCCATCACATGGCGCTTTCCGAGATGGGAAAATGCTCACTGGTAGGTAGTCTTGACTTGGATGGGACCTTCCACCCTCGAAATGGTGCAGATTGGCGAGCCCGGCAGGGGCAAGTGCTCTTCCATACTCCACCGCCATCTCAAGCGCTTCAGTCCTGTCTCGGCTTACCAACTCTTGACATTTCGACAAAGCTGCATTGGACTTTCCAGCACCCGATTCTCCTGGCGATGGGTTCCTGGTTCGACCGTCGCGACTGGGAAGCATTGTAAGTGTACATGTACTTGTACCGACGTCCCTAACGAGGGAGTCTCCGGACCTGGTAACCGACAGTTGCTCTGACATCAGACACAGCGATGCGTGGCCTGCACCTGTGGGATGCATGCATATTTCATCCGCCGCATCCATGGCGCCGATGCGAAGCCATCGGCCATGCAGGCAACCCCATGTGCGTACTGCAGCCGCTGTGATTTCTCGGTTTTTAGTCGTCTGTTCAGTTCGCACACTAACGAAGAATGTCTCAGACAGAACAGCCCTGATAGCCTGAGCTGCCGCTGCTCAAATTTTATTAGTCCCAGTTGACGACAGAAAGCGCATGGGTGCTGACGGCACGCATGAGGCTCAGAGGTGAGCTGAAGTGCGCATCGCTAGGCCGAATCCGGGCTTGTAGACTGCACGGCTCGGACTGATCCCGCCGAACACCCGGCTCATCCGCCCTTCCTGCTGAAGCTTCACCACTCAACAGTTGGCCACCATCTCTGCGCCTGCTAAGAACAGTGCAGATTCACGCGTCCTGGATTATTGAGCTTGCAGGCCGCCTTTTCGAAAGGCACGATTCGCATTCGCCATCCGAAGGGTTCAGCTCCCGTCAAACCGCCGAGAGTGTCACTAGATATACCTCCACCTCGCCAAGATGTTCGGTTGCATCTCCACAGGCATGTCATGGTTTCCATTTGCCGATACGCACCGCGGTATGGAGTACCGGCGTTGTTAGCGATGCAGTCTGCCTACTCAGAACAGGATCTCAACTCATCCTTCTCCAGCAGACTGAGCCCTAACACTAGGCGCCAAGATTGTCCATCTTTCCCGAGCAAGCATTGAGACCACAGTCAGGGTTCCCAGCCTTTTTCCCACTGTTCACCACTGCATGGAAGTGGAGGCTCGCAGGGCAGAATATGCTTATTGCCAAGCACCCAACAAACACTCTTGCAACCAGCTGTCCCAAAAACATCATCACGCGTCCTGGCAGCGCAGTGGTCAAGATAGTATTTCACAGCTCCCCATCCACCATGCGCAGCGCCAAATCGAGCAGCTAAGAAACCTTACACAGGTGTGCAAGGAATCAGGTGTGTTCTTATCCCATGACCAGCCCTGCATGCACAGCGGGCCTCCCAGGATTGGTCAAGCGTCTTTGGAGCCGGCGTCCTCAACCGAGCTGACATTCGCTATTGAGGGGCCTGAACAAAGCACGCTATGCCCCGTGGGACTTAGTCTCAACCGTATCAGCCCTTCCTCGATCCGATCTCTGCTGCATGGCTCGCCTATCCTTCCCCCAGATTCACACAGGATGGCGGTCGGTGTCGTCTGCAGCGTGGTGGAGTTGCGAGAGTCATCTCGGCGCGGCGTATAAGTCACCCAGATTCCCACCGAGGCGCCGACAGTCCGCCCGTCACCCCTCCACCGTCCGCTCTTGTCTTCGCATAGCTTACCCCAGTGGTCGCTTTGCTTTCGCATTGATGCACCCTCCTGGCGCTTTAAGTTCCGTGATACCTTGGAGAGCGACGAAGACCGCGCCTCCCGCGCTTGTGAGACGTCCTCCGGCGCGTCGTGTAAGTGCCCTCCCTGTTCCGAGCGCGCAAAGCCCATTGATTGGCGCTGGCAGCTCATCTTACTGCAAGATTGGGGCTTTGGATATTGATATCGACCAGACGGCCTGTTGCAAGCGTTAGAGATCAGGACAATTTGGCTTCGCCAATTCCTGGCCCGTCCAGCTTTCCCTTTCCAGATACCCCAAAGCTAAGTGGCCTCGAGGTGAGGGGTTCCTTGGCTGAGTTCAGTGTTGCTCAGCGTCAGCCGTCTAACGGTCACTAGTTCAGCCCAAGTGGAACCCATCCAGGGCGTGCCAGCGGGCATCCTGGCACCCAAGGCCAGCCAATTTCCGTGCCACCCTCAGGCCTTCTGGGTCACTTGGCTGAACCCCGAGCCTTCTACAGTAGCGCCGACCGCCCACCACGGCCAAACTTCCGCAATACGTACAGTCGAACTGGTGCCGCTGACGGCACCCCAGGCGCCGGTAATTGTGCCGTTTTTCTTCCCGAAGCTGCTGCCCAGATGCCGGCCCTCAATCACCCCACGGGTGACACTTGGGAGATACCAGTTCCAAGCGCCTATTGCCCCAAAGCTGTGAACATACAAATATCCCTCGCACTTATCTTCCTTGCCATCTTGGTTACGGTCCGCTTCCTCCTTGCACGCAGGCGCATTTTCCAAGGCCGTGGCCCGAAAGTCCAAGCAATCGACGGCAAGCACCTGTCAACTCGGACCTCACTTGGGACTTCTGACACGAAATACGGGCGGGAGTTTGGCCCATCTTTTGGGCCTGGACTTGGGCAGCCATTGTGGGCAGGTCAGGCGCGGGGCTTTGTACCTCTCAGGGTTGTGCCGGGTCAGCTCGGGCGTCTAGGCAAGCCGGCAACAATGGACCGCGGTGACAGCGGGCCGGGGGAGGATCATTATCCATGGTCAGCACTGGCAGCATCACGTGGCGTCAGCACCAGCAGCCCAACACCACCTCATGACCCCTCGCACACTGTTCCGAGCTCGTTCACGAGCGCGGGCAGGAGGAGGTGTAGCCGCTCGTCCTGCACCTCTTCTCGGGCGTCTTCTGGAAGATGTGTTAGCAGAAGCTCAGAGCGAATTGATGGCCAAGCCACCACGGAGACAGGAAAAAGACCCATGGCAGCGAGCGAAGGCCGCATTGGCCATGGTTCAGTACGCTTTGAACTGGATGGGGACTCCGGAAACACCGGTGCGCAGGTCGACGGCAACCTTCCTTACTCAGGGACTCTGGGGGATGCCCCGTTTCCAGGTCTGGACTCTACGATCCCACGGCAGTTTGCACGGCCTCCTCCTCCACCGCCCTTGACGCCCCCGACTTTGAGTGGCTCCTTTTACCCGTTTGAAGACCGCCGCCCCAGCAGTGCAGCCTCGATACCTCCAGCACTCGACATGAGCTTCATCCATCAACCGAACCCCCAATACGGCGGCTCAACATCTACCAACGTGCCAAGCTCGAGCCCCCAGAGCGCAACCGCTGTTTCGCGTCGAAGATCCTACACCAAGAGTGTTCCGATCGGGATTCCTGTGCCCACCACCACCGTCTCGGCTTCCTCATCCGCCGAGACCATGACCACGAGCAGCACGGCTCATACGTTCTCCCCGTCGAGCTATCCGCCCATGTCACCGCTGCTTCCCCCGCCTCCGCCAAACCAGTATGACCTCTCGCCATCGGCCCCGCCAGAATATGAATTTGTGGGCGGACCGGGCGGATCCGGGGTCTTTTTGTCTCAGCAGGAGATCGATCTCCAGGGGGAGATCATTTCGGTCATGGACGACGCCGGGCACGGATGGAAGCGCCACACGAGGGTGTACGGCGGCGGCGTGTGTCTGGCGTGTGTCGCGGCGGCGGCGAGGGGTGGCGGGCAGGGCGGCTTCTACGGGGATAAAGTGCCGCTTGAGGATCGGCGGTAGTCAGCTTTCGCGAGGGTGCCTTTACGCAATTCCGGTAGGGCCCCTGATTTGGGCCGGCGAGGTGCGATTTGGGTTGTGGGTCCGCCGTCATGCGGGGCAAACAAATGTCATTTGGCGTTGCTTTTGAGGGCATGCCTATTACTGGTCGACGAGCGGCGCGGGCGCTCGCATTGCCGTACTTGGGCGTGCTCTGTGGGGTGATGTTGCAGCACAGAGTCCTATCGATATGACCGTTGGTTCTCGGTTGCCTTACGGGAGTTGGACTGGCGTGCCGGACGAGGACGTCGTCTTGAGCGGTGAATGCATGCTTCATTGCGCGTGTCGTTTTAGGCATGATGCGGGCAAACGTGGGGAAGACCATTGCTTCGATCGGGTCAGGTCTCCTTGATATGATTCCTCCCGCTTGCCTGATTCATCAGGGGCCACACTTTAGTTTTGAGTCCGTTGTTAAACTCTCGGGCTGGCCTGTCTTCTACAACAGTTACGGCTCTCCTGTTCTGTATTTCCTATGACGTTACGTCCAGCCTTGACTGTCCTGTTTCATCCCCCGTATGTGTACTCAACTTACCTTACACACTAATGCATTGGTCGGTGGCAGCTCGTCTGGGTTGTTACGTTACTACTTGTACGGATAATACTTGTATGATCTCACGGCGTGGGCTGGACCACGTTCATTCTTACCAGACAATATGACAATTCATGTTCACGGTCCTGGAAGAGGTTCTGATACGAAAGATCTGGGTTCCGATGGACTTGCAGGCGACGTCTCTCTTGCTCGCCATGGCAAGGAGGACGTTCGTTGGATTCTACCTGAGGGGCATTAACAATCTAAGACGACATGGTTACACCTAAGGTGGTATCTGTACACGGTACAATACGAATTGTGTGGCTGGTTCTCAGTCTCAACTCTTAGACTCGCGTCACGCTAGTCGGACGGTGCATCCTGCTCAGTCCAGCAGTGTGTTGTGGAGGCATTACGCAGACGCCATACAATCAATGTATTCACTTGAAGGAGGAGCGCGTTGCTCTAGCTGCGGCCAGAAGAAAGAACTCTATCAGTTCTCCCGCTGAATTGAAGGACTACTCGGAAACGGTACTTGGATCGCTCTCCTTACCGACTTGGATGTGGGCTACTCCATTGGACAAATACATCAAGGAAGTTGGTAGGCCGTCAGTGGGATATCTCGCCGGGTGGTGTACTGCACAACGAAAGCGCTGATGACTCGAACCTTGGATCCTATCTAGGATGTACATGTAAGACAAGGGCCGATTAGTATGTCGACAGCTCTACAAACCCCAAGTGAAGCTCGGTCAGCGAACAGACTCATGGGTTATGGACGATGTACGGAATTCAAGGTGATTTTGACTGCCGCTGCTGGTCTCTCTCGGTCTACAGCGACATCTCTTTGATGGTATGTTTTAAAAGCCAACTTGCTGCTCACATGTACTCCTACAAGACGTCAGAGCCGGCCCTTTTCCTCACTGGTTTGTAGTATCCAACTTTATGTCATTCAGAGTGTATTCAAGTCCGTCCGAAGCCCCTGTGTCTGCGCGTATGTGAAGTAAGGCTGGTTGGATGGTAATAGACCACCGCCGTCAGCGTCATCACCAACACATTGGACATGATTCGGGATTACTCCGAATCATTTGAGCCTCCATAGAGGGCAGGGAGTGGAGATCAGGTGAGGCGCCGTGCTGACATGACTGGCGCCCCTTGCCGCTTCAAGGAAGCATCACGTAATTAGTTGCGAACCGGGTTCGAAAGGTTCTGGACAGAGAGACTCTTTGCCAGGGAGTAAGCCCGGGCGGTAAGCAGTGACACTGGCAGCGTACCCGAATTACTACCGATCAATACCCCTGAAGCTGGTAATCATCCCCGCCGGGGCCCTAGGGGTTGAAGAGTGGGACGTAGATAATGTTAGGATAAAAGCCTGGTTACAGCCAAGACAGTGCAAGCAGATCGATTGAGAGGTTTGGCAACTCAGCCTTGTACACCGTGCGTTGATGTCATTAGGTGGTCAAGGAATGGCGAGATAACAATTCAAACCTTCTTCCACAATCTGCTGGTTTTAGAAGACCCTGCTTTATAGCACTGTAGAGGACAGCACTACCCGGACTCACCCCCCAAATTTTCAGACGGGGTGGAGGCCTCGAAGAGCAGGGCAAAGTGAAAAGCGGACTCGGATGCAGCCAGCCCCTGGCGAACTTGAACTTGGTCACGGTCGACAGGCGGCGGTTAGGGGCCGTATGGCCCGGAGCTGCGCGAAGTAGCCAAAGTTGCAAGAGGGAGTATTAACTAATTCCAAAGCAAGCACTCATCCTCTCTCTGGAGTGGCCAGACTAAAACTCACCAGTAAGAACGTCAATGCTGGGACGTGAAACGTGTCGTAGGTGTTCGAGCACGCCAAGTTCTGAGATGATGGAAATTACCTTACATCTCGAATCAAGTCTCGAGTAGTAATACCCCCTCGCGATCGGAGACCTTCAAATACCAGCGCATTTGGCGATTCATGATCTCGCACATATAGCCATCGTAGCTCGGGACCATTGTCTACGTGTCCTAGAAGGATGTCTAGCCCAACTGACCCTAGGATATGTCCAACGCACATGTTCCCCGGCCACATCAACAAGCTGGATCATCGATTAGAGGCCCGGATGAGAGGGAGTGGGTTGGTAATTAGGGGACGGAAACACTTGGAAACCCCCAACCGGTCTTGATGATATCTGCCAAAAGATCCACATGGGAACAAATGGGCAAATGGCAGAGGCTCAACTCTCCCGACTCCATCCATCATAACTGGTTGCAGATGTCAGTCATGGCGAGCAACGGGAGACCCTACCGACGGTATGTAGAAGTCCGTGCAGCCTTGGACCAACGTTGACCACATTCCATTATTGGCGCGGACTTGACGAACGAACACCTGAGTCTGGTAAACACCACCGTTTGGAAAATGTCTTCAGCTCCACAGACAGAGCTCTGATAACCCCCTTAATCAACTTTCAAAAGGCGTCAATCGGGACGCAGATACTTACAGAGTCTGCGCCCGGGGTGTCCACGACCCCGTCCAAGCTCATGACGAGCAGTTGGGGTTAAAGGCCCAGTTTGTACAAGTACCTATCAATTATGCTTTCAAAAGCCTTTTGCTTCAGTCTTGGGCAGACGGAGATAAACCCTCGAGGTCCAGCTCCGTATGGTGGCAACACTGAGTCATGCCGCATGAACCTCCTTGGTCCGGTTTTGTCCAGGAGAGAAGATGGTAAAATGATAAGGGGCTCCAGTGGGTTGGCTCGTCTCCTTTCAGTTCACGATTCTTTGCGGAGAGACGGAGTGCGATAAGTTGCTAGAGACCTGCCCTTTCGGGTATGTCGCTGATGAGGAGGTCGGGCGAGGTTGGCTCGGCCGTTGGTGATGCGTGGGTTCAAATGCCAGCCGCAACTTGGGGCAGGCATGTGCTAAATAAAGGCAGCTGATGACGTTCAGGTTGGGCCAGGGAAAGCGCAGTACTGCCACATGGCCACCTTGTTTTTGGCCGGCATGGTGTTCTCCATCCGCCCTGGCATCTCACAGCCTCAGGGACAGGAAAACGTGAAATTCATGTTTCTGCGATGTCTCAGAGGCACTGGTGGTGCGGCACAGCAGTTGAGCAAATTTGACCACCCCTGCAGGACTCTCAAGCTGAACATAGTTACTCTCCACTGGGTTTCGGCGCAGCCGTCATGTTGACTTGATACGAGCTCATTGTGCAAATTTTCGAATCGATGGAATGGCAATGCCAGCAACGTCCGCTTGAGTCGGTTTGTAAAATTCCGGCATGGATAGACTTGTACCTGTCAACCCAGCCAGCAGTGGAAGATCTGCACTGGCGTCTTATAAGCGCGCTCGTGTCCAGCTTGGTCTACACATGCGCACCTGCCACCAAGATGGTTGCAGCGGGGCTGGGGCTGGCGAAGTGATTCATGCACAGGCATGCAGGGGTTGCAGGGCCGTTTCATCAAGGAACTGCTTTCAAGGATAGCCGTGTTTGCCGTCATCAAAAAATCGGCCTTCCGGGTTGGATTGTACAATGCTGGGACGTGTGGAACAGCTCGAAAAGCTTGATGGTATCCGTAGGATGATAGACTCTGACTGACGGGTCAATTTGCGGCAGGACAATGACCAGGTTGACTGAGTACCTGCTCGAATTCCGAAACGTGGTTGCCCGATCTGGATTTCGGGCCTCGCTGTCCGCCAAGACGCCATCTCGCCGTTACAGATACAGGACCCTTGTTTTCAGGGCTGCCACGACGACCCGGGTTGAGCACCACGAGAGAGCCAGGAGAATGGCGTCCAGACAGCGAATCATATAGAAGGCCGCAGCACAGATTCCAGGATATGACTTTCCAGGAGCATGGATAATAATCTGGATCATCTCGAGTCGTCAATGCTGCCACGTAAACATGAAAGGAATGCAGGTTGCGGATTAAGCACGGCAACAAATTGGTGGGTAAAGTGGACAACGTCAGATGAACAAGGGAGGTCAAGTGGCCCCTGGAAGAATGTCGAATGACAGCGGCCGAGCCTGACACATTATCGGCCTTCCGGATACCAACAAGACGTGATTGAGGGGAAATGTCTGGTTGAATCTCGATGGCTAAAATTCTGAACTTCTTGTCTCTCTCATCCTTGCTAGCATCCGATCTCATTCTGTGGGAAGGCGAGAGACGTCGGGAAGCTGCGAGGAATCGCCTCACCTGTTCGAGATGACGGCCCAAGCTTCCAAGTTGCCATTCTCAACCTCCATTGGCCTGTCCTTGACCAGGCAGACATGGACGCTAGTCTGATTTTAGCTTAGCATCTTCCGAGCTGGCTCTAAAATTGCGAAGGAACGGATAATTGAGTCAACTGGCGTGAGGATACCAACAGAATAAGGCGTAAAATGTTGGAAATGAGATACTTCAAAAAGGATTTATTGAAGACCCAAGGAGCACGCATTATCCTGAGAGCCTAGGATACGTAGCTCCGTACCTACCGGTATGTCATCCACAATCGAGCCGTGCGACGGAAGCTCTGATTAGTTGATAGGTCTCAATGCAGCATGGTTGGCATGGGCCAGGTTGTCTTGTGTGGCCCCTGTGACATTTATCAGTTCCATTCAATCACGGTGGCCCGCTATCCGCTCGGCCCTTGCTGGGACAGTTCCCTTGCCGCGGTCCAGGCTGCGCCAGCCAATCATGGAGCATCTTGATTCTCCCTGGCCCCAGTCTTTCTCGCTGCCCCACCCGCTCTCTGCAGTCCCCACTCTCCAGTCTCCAGCCACTGGCAGCCGATCCTTTCATCTCTTCTCAGCTCCCGAGCCAGCCCTTCGCTCCTCCTGCTCTCCTCTTTCAGTCTCTCCATCGCCAGCACACCACCCTTCCTTTTCGCCCTTTCCGTCTTCCTCGCTTCGTGGTGCGTCTCCGCGTCGTTGCCGTCGTTGCCCGTCATAATCTTTCGGTTTGACCACCAAAATTTTCACCATTGCCGCATTCTCTCGACTCGCTGCACAAATCGCGACACAAAAAAACAAAGGAATAAAATACGGAGGCATCTGTTGAAGGCTCGCCAAAAAGGTCTTTTTAATCATTGTATTCTATTTGCGCATATTTCATCATCCACTTCGTTACCATTGCAGCTATCTGCGAGTCTCGACTTGGTCACTTTTTGGCTTCGACACGGAACACGATTTAATTTCGCGGGCTCGACGAGTCTCGCCTGTGCGACCAACAACCGCATCGTCAAGATTCGGTATTCCAGCTCGCTCGACCCAAGGCAGCACCTGACTTTGACGAACGACAGCTTTGCGGGATCTGCGTCTTGATTCGAACAAGGAGCACCGGATAAGACCGGTTGGCTTGGTCCCGCCTTGGCTGGTCCTTTGAAGATTGACTCGCGTGGTTGCACAAAGCGCAACCTTCGGCTTCGAGACAAATCCAAGCACCGCGAGGAAACCGCGTTTTTTACGCACGGCTGGAAGTCGCGTTGTCTTGGCCACGAAAATAGTTCCGGCGAGCAAATCGCACCGTCTCTCCTTCCGCATCGCTTTTTTCGCCGGCTTCCACGCTCATCCAGCATTTACGGTCCTTCCTCCGGCGAGCATAGTTAATACATCCGCAAACATTCAGTTGATCGGTTTTCTCAGCACCCATTATTCGATTTTGACAGCAGGAAGCAAGAAAATCCCACATCATCGTTTTTTTTCGACCCTCCGAGAGAGAGTCTAAATAGACTCGGCCCGCCGCAAGTCGAACGTTCGAGCACGTCGTCTTCGCTGCGCCCGCTTTCAGCAGTACTTCCTAATATTTGCATCACGCACTTTGCATCTTCCGGACTGCAAGAATGGACGCTGGCAGTCTCGCGCACATGTCTCACGCTCCCTTCAATCAGGCCCACGGCCTGGCTATGACTTCCGGCCTGGCGTCTCGTCGCGGAGGCCAGAATATCAAACCGCTTTCGTTCGAGGCCCTAAAGTCGCCCACCGACCGAGACAACAGCCTGCCGACGCCCCGCACCAGCCGGTCCCATCTGCTGGCCGGTCTTCGCACTGCTCCGAAATCGGCTACGGCGACGAGCTTCCCGAACCTCCCGTCGCCGACGACGGTGAATCCCCAAGCTCGCAATCGCAACTCGATCGCCCCCGGCATGTACGACTCCGCTAGCCTGTACAATGGCCCCAAGACGTCGATGCCACGTTTTGCCACCCCGCAGCAAGCCCAATCCCAGGCGTACAATCCGATGGCGGCAATGAACCAGCAGTACACGGCCGAGCAGGTTCTGGCACCCCCGCAGCTGCAGCTGGACGAAGCGCGGGATCAGATTGATCCCAATTTCCACGCCCAGCTCCTGTACACCAACGCCTACTTGTCGGAGCAGCAGCAACGCCTGCAGCAGCAGCTGAGAGCACTCCAGGCCGCTGCCCAGCAGTTCCAGGGCTTGAGCCTCAATGGCCAGGCACAGATGATGCAGCAGGGGTACGCGGGCGTGTATCAGCAGCAGCTTCAGAACGCTCAGGCCATGATGACTCCGGCAACGCCCCAGACCGGTGTCTATGCAGTTTACGATCGAATTACAGGCCAGCAGACTTTGTACATGGACCAGAGCCAGGTGCAGGCCCAGCTGAATGCACAGCTTCATGCGCAGCTCAATGCGCAGCTTGCCAACCAAGCTCAGCTGGCGAACGCCTACGCGAACATGCAGCAACCCGCCGTTGGCACTCCTCGCCTCCAAGTCTCTCCGGCGCCCTCGGCTCCGAACGCGACCGGCTTCCGCATGCCGTCGCCCCCGCGCCGCTACGACTCTCCAACAGAGCCGCACACTCCTTTGCCGCCGCCGAGCGCCAACGCCTTCCGCCGGGGACATAAGAAGTCTCCCTCGGTTTCCAACGGTTCCAAGAATCAGTTGTCGATTGAGATGAACGAGGAGCCGCTCAAGTCTGCTGGACCCAAGACGGCTTCATTCCCCCTCAGCTCCATGACTGCCGGATATGGTCCGGGCCAGGCGCGGGCCGGCGAGCACCCTGTTCGGCAACCGCGAAACCCGCCGTCTTTGGACGAGCTCAAGTCGAAGCCGACAGCCAAATACGAGGGAAGCAAGAACTTTGTTACCCGCACCCGGCGGTCTGCCATCAACAATCTTGTGCGGGCCGGCCTTGAGAGGCGCAAGGAGGCACGGAGTTCTGGCAGCAGTAGCCCTGTTTCCGAGAGCAGCGCTGAGCTTATCGAGACACCTATGACGGACAATGACAGCGATTCCGGCCGTAGCGGGTCGGGCAGTCTGATCGATCGTGACGAGTGCAGCCTGCCCAGCTCTAGGACGAGCACGGGCAGCTGGGGTGCCATTGGGTCCGATCGTCCGAGCTCCCGCCAAAAGGCCCACCGCTCCAGCGTCGATAGCATCCCTTCGGATTCCGAGAACGCGCCGGAGCCGGGCAGCTTCGCCAGCCTCCTCAAGAACAGCAACCGGACCGTGGCTGTCACCGAGGGCAATGCCCAACGCAAGGCCCCGAGGCTCGTTCTCACCAGCGCCGAGAAGCGCAAGCTCGCTGCCTAGTCGGCACAGGGAGTTGGACGATGTCACGGCCGGAATTTCCGCGCCTTACGCTAATTCACGATTATGCCCCATGTTTTTTTTCGTTCATTGGCCGGCTGTAGACGCCCGGGGCGGGTTGCAGCGCCTCGCGATGTCTCGTTTGTTTCCCGGTATGGCTTACGAAGTCACCCTTTTCATTCGACATTCTTGAGACGACCCGGACCTGACGTTTGGCGATCGGATGACGCTTGAGGAGTCTTGCTTTTTTTCTCTTCTCGCAACATGACGGGATTGTCTTGATTGCATCTTTCTTGGAGCAGTGCATTTGGTTTCTCGACTTGATTCTCGTTCGGATTGATGACGCTGTCGTTTGTGGCGTCCCGAGACCAAGGCCCCGTCCTTCGATTCTTACCGTTCTTTACTGGCCCTCACGACAACCAGGCCCATCATGTCTCGTTTTTTGCGGTATTTGTTTTTCGGCTCCGGGAACAGGCAGCCCGGAGCTTGCACCGTGGCGCTTGGAGATTGGCGGATATTGGCAATATGAGCTGTGGATGGATGGGCAGGTGGGAAAATGGGGTATTCTGGGGGGGAAGGAGCAGCATTGGAGGTTCAATACACATCAATGCGGGATTGCCTGGGCACCCATGTCCTGCCATGGACAATGAGGGTTTCGGATGGTATCCTGAGGGACTACAAAGGTGACTTGGGCTGGAGGTGTAGCTGGGCTTATCGGCCCACTATGGACACCTGGTTTGATAGGTGGCGGGGAGAGGTGCGTGCTGAGGTGCTGGGAGACATGCTGCTAGCTAGCTACCCTCCTTAAGGTTAGGTAGTCTTCCATTCATTGTGTATTATGCCTTGGTTGATTGATCATGTCGGTGACGAGTATGATGATCCCCTATAATCGAACTGGATTCCTCGTGCCGTCATGGCGCTCCGCAACTCGGAAACCGACTCTATGTCCGATCTGTCCTCCCAATCGTCATCCCAAGTAGACGTCAAATCTCTGATGTACCATACGCGCAGCGTGGCAAATATGGGCGTGTGGGCAATCACGGCGTCCCTGAGCTCGAGCAAACTGAACTGGCTGAACCAGCCCGTTGGGCCCCTCCTCTCGTACTTGAGCGTCTCGAAATTGGGACATGCCGCGATAATCCTGTTAAGACATTTCGCGTCGCAGACGCTGTCTTCGAAGTCTAGGTAGGTCATCGGTCAGGTTCCCCAGGTCAGGGAAGCCGAATGCCATGTCGAAGGTCTTGCTGGAGAGATTGGGCGCCGCGCGAAACAGGGAGAAGATGTTGGATAGGTCCATGCCTCCGTCCACATCGTCATGGCCGAGGTTGACGGTATGTAAGCGCGGCAAAGAGTGTGGTGTGCACAGGCGGAAGGACTCGCGGAAGTCGAGGGTGGCGTCCAGAGTTTCCAGGCTGAGGCAGAGGCTGGTCAGGATGTCGAGGGGGAAGTTGCCCGCAGAGACGACAATCTCGGACTCCGCGTCAAGAACCTCGCAGCCGTCCGGCCATGTCAGCCCTCGTTGGTCTGCCGTGAAATACGGTTTGGAACCGACGGGTGAAGTGGGCGGCTGTCGCTGGGGCCCAGTTCGAGGGCCCAAAGGCCAGGACCCTGGGGACGCGCAGTTCCTCGACCAACGAGGCGAGATCCTTGCGGGTGAGCAGAGTCTGGGTGAGCCCTGCTACGTTTCTGTCGCAGATTGGGCTGTGGTAAAGGTGGGCTGTTGCCAGGCTGTTGAGCTCGCGCGATGTCCGGCAGAGGGTGGCGAAGGCCGGGGCGCGGCGGTGGTCTGGGAGGGGGAGAGGAGTGTCGGCGCAAGTGCAGATGGAGGCTGAAGCAGCACCGGTCCTCTCCCGGGCTGCAGCAAAGGCAGAGCTTCTACGTTATCATCTCGACGAGTTCGACGGGGAGACTTTTGAACTGAGCCATTTTCTTCAACTCAACCTAATGATCGTGAGGCGCCTTAACTTTCAAGAGGCAATGAACATTGGGCCTTTTGTGTCTGGAGTTTTGTGGTTAGAAATGCGAATAAGTGGTTCATCCGATTCCTGTCCAGGCTGCAGTCTGTCATTGGAGTACTCGTAACTTAGAACGGTTAGTTCACGAAAGTCGCGCTCCACACCTAAGTAAGACTCACATTTCACAATCCCGATTTCCAACCTTCGCCCTCCTGTGTAAACATATCGGCGTTTGGGCTTGATTCATAGCAACATATCGGCGTTTGCCCTGAAGCATAATTATCTCCGCAGTTGTGAATGCAGCCAATCGCCCAACACATGTTGAGCGAGCTTCCTGTCTGGTCGGTGGACAGAAAGTGGGTCGAGTTCGCGTCTCCAAGTCGATTTCCCCCGCGCCAACGTCGTCTGGCGAACTGCAGCATGTCGTCGTCATTTTGTTTTCCCGGTGACTCCATCAGCAGCGGGGTTGCCATTCGGGCTCAACGAGGATATAAACCAGGGATCCGATTCACAGTCCAGTCCGACACTCATACTCAACCTCAACACCACAAAACTCGTCACAGATTCGTATGCTAGCCCCCGCACTCAGGCCTTGGATCCATCACTGACACTCTCCCAGCTTCTTGCAAGTCTTTACCAATGTCGCCTCTCATCGCCCAATCCCCCAAGCCGCGCGTCATCTTGGGCCTGATGACCTTCGGCCCGGACGAGTCGGCAGGTGCGCGCATCACCGACGTCAGCGAGTTCGGCAAGGTCCTCGACCTATTCCAGTCGCGCGGCTACAACGAGGTCGACACGGCCCGCGTCTACGTTGGCGGCAAGCAGGAGGCCTTCACCCGCGAGGCCCGTTGGAAGGATCGCGGCTTGACCCTGGCCACCAAGGTCAAGTACCCCAACCAGCCTGGAGACAACACGTACGACAAAGTGTTGCAGTCGGCCGAGACGAGTCTGCGGGAGCTGGGCGCCGAGTGCGTGGATATCCTGTATCTTCATGCAGCCGTGAGTCACCTCATTCTATTCTTCGTTGTTGTTTTCGCGTTGAGCTGACGTCCAAAGGACCGCGCAACTCCGTTCGACGAGTCCCTCCGCGCCATCAACGAGTTGCACAAGGCCGGCAAGTTTGTCCGTTTCGGCATCTCCAACTTCACCGCCTACGAGGTGGCCGAGATTGTGCTCACCTGCGAGCACAACGGCTGGGTGCGCCCCACCGTCTACCAGGCCATGTACAACGCCATAACGCGGTCCATTGAGGCCGAGCTGATCCCCGCCTGTCGCCGGTACGGCCTGGACCTTGTCGTCTACAACCCCATTGCCGGCGGCCTGTTCTCGGGCAAGATCAAGTCCAAGGATATGGTACCGTCTGAGGGGAGGTTCAGCGACGCTGCCTCACATGGCAAGCTGTACCGCGGTCGCTACTTCAGGGACTCGACTTTCCGGGCGCTGCAGGTGGTTGAGCAGGCGGTCGACAAGGCTGGGCTGACCATGATTGAGACGGCGCTGCGGTGGGTCGTGCATCATTCTGCGCTGAAGGTCAAGGACGGGAACGATGGTATTATCATCGGCGTGTCGAGAATTGAGCAGCTGGACCAGAACCTGACCCATCTCGAGAAGGGGCCGCTGCCGGACGACGTTGTCAAGGCGCTGGACGAGGCCTGGTATATCAGCAAGCAGGATACCGCCCCGTATTGGCACAAGGAGCTTGAGTACACCTATGACACGCGGCAGGCCCTGTTTGGCGCGCGGGCACAGGATTGATGAGAGGGTAGAGATAACTAGTCACAATCAATTTCCGAATGAGAATGCGAAGACCGGATTCGTTGCACGACATGTCCTACAGTCTGATTGCCAGGGCCAGGTCGCGATGCGGTCCGCCTCTGCTGCGCCGCTCACCTGCAGTCGAAGTTCTTCGAAACTTGTGATTCTGCAAGAGAGGGGGCTAAGGTTGAGTGGACCCGCCGGGGCAACAGGGTATTCTCTTGCTTACCCCTCCTGATGTGGTTCCCAAGTATCCTCCGACCTGACCTCCCAAAGGCAAGGTTTCATGTTCAAACTCTTTTCCGTCTGCAACCACCAGAATGGGATGTGAGGCGCCCACCTCCCGCGAGGACTTTGAAATCGGCATTGTCTGCGCGCTGCCTCTCGAGTTCGACGCCGCCGTGGCTGCTCTGGATGAAGTCTGGGGCGACGATATCCGGTCGGTATTGGGCAGAGCGCCGGGAGACCGCAACACCTACGTCCACGGGCGGATGGGGCAACACAATGTCGTGCTCACGTCGCTGCGGCAGAGAGCGGGCAAGCCGACCATGGGCAAGGCCAACGCCGCCATCGTGGCAAGCGACCTTCGTCACAGCTACCCGGGCCTGTGCCTCGCCCTGCTTGTGGGCATCTGCGGCGGCATCCCCAAGGCGGATGGTAGGGAAGTGCTGCTCGGCGACGTCGTCATCAGCAGCTCGGTTGTCCAGTATGATTTTGGGAGACAGTACCCCGACGGTTTCCGCAGGAAGGACGGGCCCCAGAACAGCCTTGCCGCACCCTTGGAGGAGAACGCGAGCATCCTTTCGATCCTGGACACGGACTACGGGAGAGACTCGTTGCGAGAGAAGATGGCGTCTTTCCTCAAGATGGTGCAGCAACAGCGCCCCAAGTATCTCATTCCCAACCCGGCTTCCGACAAGCTCTACCAGTCCACATACCGCCACAAACATCAGACTTCTCATAACTGCGAGTGTCTTCACCACGACAAGGAGTCGGATCCTGTTTGTGAGGAAGCCATGGAAAGCTCGTGTCAGACGTTGGGATGTGACGACAGCTACTTGGTCAAGAGAAGCCGCTTGGAAGAACGCCTGGTAGCGGTTGCTACTGCTGACGCAGACCCGGACGCTGCCGTGCTCCAGCCAGCCATTCATGTGGGCAAAGTAGCCACGGGTGACACGGTCATGAAGTCAGGGGTTGGCCGTGATCGCATCGCCCACAGGGAGGGCATCATTGCCTTTGAAATGGAGGCTGCGGGCATTTGGGAGCAACTGCCGTGCCTGGTCGTCAAGGGGGTGTGTGACTACGCCGACAGCCACAAGAACAAGGCCTGGCAGGACTATGCGGCAGCAACCGCGGCGGCAGCGGCCAAGGGCATTGCCATGTTGCACACGCCAGCCGACAAGTCGAGGTTCAGGGACAATAACCCCTTCCGGCCCGAATCCATCTTGCCCTTCACGCCGGACCCTGAGTTTGTTGGACGGCCGGCCATCTCGGCCTGGCTGAGTGAAATGTCACAGCGGCGGGGGGAAAGGGTTGCGCTGGTCGGCCTCGGTGGCATCGGGAAATCCCAACTCGCCATCCAGTTTGCGCATGGAGTCCGCAACAAGTCTCACGTCTTCTGGATCAACGCGACCACGTGGAGCACTCTCGAGACATCGTGCCATACCATAGCCGACCGGCTGGGCTTGAAATCACAAAGCCTTCCAAAGTCCGATTCGGAGGATGACATTGTTGGCCGGGTCGGTGACTGGCTTGGCCGTGAGGAGAACGGGCGCTGGACTGTCATCATAGACAACCTCGACGACGCCTCGATACTACCGGACGACGACCCGCATCTCACAAAACTGCTGCCGCAGACAAGCAACGGCTTTGTCCTAGTCACGTCCTGGTCAACGGCGGCGGCCGAGCAGTTGACTGGGAGCGGTCCCCAGAACATATATGCGGTTCCACCCATGGGCGAGGAGGAGGCCTTGCAGCTTTTCCGAGGAAAGCTTAGGAACGGGGCGGCCTGCCCAGAAGAGGATGGACGGGAGGTGGTCCGCCTGCTCGACTATATGCCACTGGCCATCTCGCAGGCGGCAGCCTACATCAACCGCCGCGCCCCGCGAGTGACGGTGCGCGATTACAACGACATGCTTCGCAACCACGACAAGAAGGGAACGTTGCTCGGTGCCGAGTACCAAGAGCTCCGGCGCTACGGGGTCGCCTCCAACTCGATTCTGACCACCTGGATGGTCACGTTCGACCAGCTGCAGCGCGAGCGGCCAACGGCCGCCGACCTCCTGTCCTTGATGACCTTCTTCAGCCCCCAGTCCATCCCGGAGTGGGTGCTCAAGTCGCTGTACGACCGCAATGCTCGCAAGCTGCCCCCGTCCAAGGTCAGGGACACGGTGCCTCCTTCCATGGCGGCACTGCTCTCGTCCTTCAACTCAGGGCGGCGGTATTTGAATCGTAACCTAGACGTCGACTTGAACTCGCGCGTCTGGGACGAGTGGATCGAGTCGGATCTCGGTCCCGCCAAGGGCGGTGAGCAGCAAAAGGCAGACCAGGCAAAGCAGCATGCATCCAAGGGCCGGTGGAGGGCCCGCTTGTCGTCCAAGGCCAAGGACTTGTTCTCGTCATCCAAGAAGAGCATAGGCGGCACCACGATCAGCGAGGAACACTTGCCTGGCCGTACCCCCGACGCAGGCGACGCGGATGATTCCGACAGCGGTGCCGGCCCCGACGAGAGACTGGAGCGCGACCTCGAGACCCTGCTGGGGTACTCGCTCGTGACCCCGAGCGTCATCGACGGCGTCCTCAAGATGCACCCGCTGGTGCGCTACTGCACCGAGACGTGGCTCGCGCGGACGGGGAGGCTGGCCAAATGGAAGAAGCGCTTCCTGCTGATCATGGCCGCCAACGCGCCCAACGTCTCCAAACAGGGCGACCGGTGGACGCCCCAGGCTGACCTCACCATCCATCTCGAGCCGCTCCTGCGGGACGAGCCGCCGCCCGACGACGGGCCGACGGCCATGCTCTGGGTCATCCTCTCCATCTACCTCTATTACCGGTGGCGCGACGACAAATCCGAAGAGGCCGCGGCGAATCTACTCGACAAGATGACTACCGTGTCCAACAACGTCTTGGGGCCAGGCGACAGACTGACGCTCGCCTGCCTGAACCTCCGCGCCCGACGGCTTTCGGAACAAGAGAGATACGCTGAAGCAGAAGTCGTGTGTCTGGACATTCTCGAGCGGGCCGAGAAGGTTGGCGACGTCGTCTGCCACATCGTCATGGAGTCGCAGGTGCACTACGCCAGCATCCTGCGGGCGCAGGGACGTTTCGACGAGGCCGAGGAGGTGACGCGGGCCGTCGTCGAGCAGCGGATACGCCTGGACGGGGAGCGAGGCGACGAAACGCTGTGGAGCATGGGCAACCACGTGGCGGCCATGGTGCAGGTGGGCAAGTTCCGCGAGGCGAGCGACATCGCCGTCAAGCTGCTTGAGGAAGACTGGGCCGGTAGGGACCGCCACGTCTACAAGGGCACCATTACTGTCGTCGGTCAGGCCGTGCTGGAAGCGGCGCAAACGGGGAAAGGGGACGAGGTCGAGGCTTTTGTGCGCCGGGCGCTGCGGGCTGCCGAGAAACACCCAGATACCTGCCGCTGGTTTGCATACACGGTATACGGGCCGTTTCATCTCGGTCTCTGGGTGTGGCTCTACAGGCACGACAGGGACGACGAGGCCTGGGCCGCCATGGACAGGGGCATCGAGCACATGGCCAGCGTATTTGCCCTTCCGCGGCTGCATCCGCCAGAGCTCCCCGAGAGGCTGTTGGCGGCAAAGGAGGACGACAAGGACACAAGACAGCGCTTGCTGCGGCAGATCATTGGGAACCTGACCCTTGCGGTGGACGATGGGAGGTCCAGGGAGGTGTTCTACTGGGAACTGGCCAATATTGCCCGACGCCTGTACATGCAGGGCCGCTACGACGAAGGCTCTATGCTGCTTGAAGCCATGGATCGCCATTTCAAAGAGGCGTATGGGGAGAAGCACGAACTGACCAGGTCGGCCGCGGGCCTAGGCCGCGAGCTGGAACGGTATCGTGACCGTCGGTCCAAGGAGAAATCTGAAGACAAGGGAAACAGCGCGCTGTCTAGTTCCATGCCGGGGTCATGAGGTGGTGTTCATAAGCGCAGTACTTTCCCATACACAGGCTTCCTTTGTCTGTCTGTACAGCGGCCATTGGCTTGCAGACACTTGACACTGGTGGAGGGAACAGACAATGTTGGACAAGTCCATTCATTGTCCCCTCTTCTGTTACCAATCCCGCGCCCACTGGCAGTTAAACGACTCATTGTACATTACCTCATACCAGCTTCTTGGTCTCGTTAATACATAAACCAGGCAACCCCCTTCCTTCGACTTCCAGACACGCATACCGATCGAGTCAATGTAGCCACGTACATGCATGTAATACCTTAACCACGCCACAGCCATCATGTCTCAGAAACATACCACCACCACCAACCCTTTCAACACAACCCTTCAATCACCCACCGACGCCTTCGCCCAAGCAGCAGCCTACTACAGCGTCGAGCAGCAGCCAAACTTGTCAACACTCCGAGAGCCGTCCCCTGAACCAGATCCTCGCGCAACCGACACCAACACCAACACCAACGCCGACCCAAGCCCGCAGCAAATCGCCATCAAGCGCACCAAATACGCCAAATCCCGCCTCGCCACCGCCCACGAGGGCTGGACCATCGTCGTCCAAACCCTTCTCAACAAGGGCATCGTCCCCGCCGACGAGGGCCTGACAAGAGAGATGAAGGCGTTTGGCGACGCCATGTGCGGCCGGTACGCCGCTGCGAGCTTCCTCTGGCGTGTGCTGGATGATATGCCTGAGGAGGACTGGTTTGGGGAAGGGGAGAAGTTTGATGCCACGCTGCGGCGTCTTAAGACGCTGGAGCGGTTGGAGGGGAGGTTGGTTTGCTGGGAAGGGGTTGTGTTAAGGTTGGTAGAGTTGGTTGAGGGGATGGATGGGGAGGAGAGGAACGAGGGAGTCGTGGACGAGGTGAGGAGGCTTTTGACGCGCTGGAGGAGCGGTGTGCCGAGGAAGCCGTAGGAGGCTGGAGGGCCGGTTGGGATATAGATATAGGACTAAGGTAGTAGAAACCGGCAATAGGGTGTGTGGCAGGTATATGGAGTGAATAGCAATTTGCGAAGAATAAGGCACGCAGTTATGGATGATGCCTACTTAGCCACACGTGCACCGTGACACGCTTGTGTTGGCCGTTGCATGTGGAATCAACATAGAGAGTCCGCTCAGCCAGCAAACAAGTCCCGACTGGAGTGACAACCGCCGCTCAAAGAGACTCGACCGGGGACTTCGGCTGCCAGTGGATGCCATTTCATGTTCAACTCCCAATCGCGGCTTCCTGTACCTTAGGTACTCTGCCAGTCATGTCACACAATGTGTGGTGGGAAAGGACGTCGCTTCAGACGGTGCAAGAAGGGAAGGTACGAAATCCTATAACACCCCGCCCACTTCGTTTGATTCTCACTCTCTTTTCTTCTCTTCTTCCTCCGCTCAAGTTTCTTTGGGCGCCAAACCTCAGTAGAAGATCTTGCCTAGTATTGTCAGGACCCCTCTTGATGAGTAACACTCCAACCCAGCCCAAGGTAGGTTGATTCCCAGCTCGACGATATTGTCGATCAAATCATCAATAGGAACATGTCACGCGATTTGCCAGGGGTAAGTCCGGCGAGACGTGAGAACTGACGGTCCCATTTCAGCCCGGGATCAACCCCGTGCGCATCCTTTGAACGGTAAGACCCGTTTCTGCAGGCGGGAGAGCTGAGACATTATCATTTCCAGAAGACAATGGAAGTCAAGCTTTTAGTTGCCATCGGCTTCTTTCCCATTGCTCCGGGACGTGCCAAACCTCCGCCAGGGCACTTCAACGAGCCGATTTCTGCTGATCTGAGACACACGTGGCAGTCAAGGTAACGCCGGTACCGCCGCCATAGAAGCAGGTCAAGCCACCACTTTCTTCAGCATGATTAGCTTTGGCTGCTGAGCTCATGGGCTAGGCAATACTTTTGTGCTCGCGTTTCAAGACTCTCACACTCCCATTTTCTCCATTTCGGAGTTGCCGAAAGCACCTTTGCGGTCAATGAATCTTTGACCCTTTTGAGTTTAATGGTGCAACTGGAAGTGTTTAAGGGGATCTGCTTCCTCAGACTTACCCTTTCCTCTTTGCCTTCACTACAGTCAATATCCCGAGCAAGTTCACCTTGAGATTCGATGTCCAATTCGGCCTCTGAGCGAAGCAGCGGATCTTCAAACATTGATTCTTCGGCAATCACTCCAGTTGAAGCAGTTACTCCAGGCTCTTCACGCATCAAGAAACTCCAGCAAAGTGGAATGGCTCGCAGCCAGCCACGCGTACTTCGCCATGCCCGCCAGAAGCGAGGAGCGTACGAGAAGCCCTACGTCCCGAAGCCCTCTCCCAACCAACCCAACCAGGGGCCCAACTAGGGGTATGCAATTTACTGATTGTCAGGTGTTGGGTGACATGATTGTTAACACCGGACTTGCAGGGACCGCGGGCTATTTGATAGCAGAATGTACCGTAACATACGAGATGAAGATGGGGTTTCGAAGTGACCTGGAGATGCAAGAATTTTGGCGGTGAATCGGTGATGACGGTTCTAGGAGCATACGCTGGTATTCAGGTTGTGTTGGGTCGTACAGGTGTCCAGCGGACGGAATCCGTGTTTGCAGGTGAATTTGCAGAGGCTTTGGTAATCGACGGAATCGTCCCACGCGATGAAGTCGGCTGCCGACGCCACGGCGGGAAGTAGTACAGTAGGTCCTGTAACCCAGCACCTACACGTGCTCTCTAGACAGAACCCGTAGTGACAGGCAAACGCAGACAAGTCGTAGGCGTTCAGATCAGGGCTATCACCTCCGACACAGCCCTCTTCCCCGACTGCGGTTCGGTCGGCAGGCGCCTCGAAATTCTCGGGGCCGAATGCCTGCGGATCAAGGTGTAACGGGCTTGGCCCGTAAAGGCCTCGGCAAACTCTCGGCCAACACTCGAGATTCGGTGGACTTCTATCTTGTTCGATATCGGCGCACAGGCCAAGGATGTGGAGGTATAAGACGGCAGATATCTTGCATAGTCTTTCTTTCTTTTTCTTCTTCTCTCTCCATTCGAAACAAACTCGTAGAGTCGTCACCAGCTGGTTGCAATATACTCCTGGGACCGTTACACAAAATGCCAGGGCCCAGGAAGCTCGAGAGCTGTCTGGTGTGCTGAATGCGAACACTCAGTAACTCAGGAGGCAGGACAGGCATTCCAAGACCCCTGAAAAGAAGACAGCAGAGGTCGAGATACTCTCCGGTGAGCTGCCCCCTTGCGAAAATTGTAAGAGAAGAGGTCGAGACGCTATCCCAGGTGCTGGAAAGACCGGTTTCCTAGATATCCTTTACAAACGTCCAAACACACAGGCAAAGAGCAGATTCGGGGAGGCGCTGAGGTCAAAAAGCCTGAGGTCCCTTATAAGCGAGCGCCGCACTTCTACTGTACCTAACTACCCTTGCGATAACCATCTGAATTTTACCCAACAGCTTTAGGAACCAACCACAATTATATCGGAAACAGCTGAATCGAATAATTTTGCAGCCTCCTGGCAAGTGCGGGCATTACGCCTGGCTTGCCACACACATTACAGCACCGAACCTTCGTACGGCACCTCCCTGCACTACTCAAGCTTAAGGTGGTCCACCATTGAGCGGGACACTTTTCTAAGTCTACGGCTTTATATAAGTAGTTTTATTAAGTGAAACCTTGCTCCAGACAGAGAGGAAAAAGGGCTCTGCAAAACGACATCCAAGGCACAAGCAATGGATTTACATCCACCCCGCGCTCTTCGCATAGCCTATAGCGAAATGCCCAGCGACGGCGCCAAACAACACCGTTAGCACGCTGGGCACGGCATTCATGGCCTGCATCCACCAGGGGCAGAAGTACACGGCCTCGACGTTGTTCCCCAGCGGGTCCAGCACAAACGCGGCATAGTACCCCTTGACGTACTCGGGCCTCTCGCCGGGCTCGCCGTTGGGGATACCGCCCGCCTTGCTTTAAACCCAAAGTCAACACTCATGACCCTATTACCGCACGGTCCGGTCGGCCAGATGAGTTTTAAAAACGAGCGACTTACATCGCATTGTGATACCACGCATCCACCATCTTGCGACTAGCCACATTAAACGCGACATGGGTCCTGCCCGTGCCCAATTTCTTGCGGTTCTCGTCGGCAGTCAGCGACGGGTCGACCAGCGGCATGTTGGAGTCGTCGTCGCCGCCGCAGTGCAGCCAAAAGTCTGGGTTGTGGTGCGTCTGCAGGCCGAGGTAGCAGCCCTCTTTCTCCTCGAAAAGGGTGTACCCCAGCGGGGCGAGGGTTGAGAGGTAGAAGTCCCGCATCGGCTTGTAGGTGGAGGGGGTCATGGGCAGAGAGACGTGGCCGAGCGGCATGGTGGGCGGGGTTCCCGTGTCTTTCTCAGGGGAATTGTGAGGAACAGGGAGTGGTGATGTTGTTTCGAATGAAGGCGATTGGTTGGTTTGTTGGTAATGAGAAACGCGCGGAGATTGATGAGAGCTGGCTTGTCTGACTGAGGTGGGCACAGATCGAGCTGGGTACCTGCTCCTTTCATATTCGAACCCGCTATCAGGCCAAGAATGGCTGCTGCCGGGGGTAACGAGGTCCGAAGCAGGCTACGAACGCCATGTTTCCGCAAACGGAAGAGCCTAGACGTGTTTGAATGGTCCGCGTCAAGGTCTCACGTGTCGTCGCGCCAATTTGGCGTGCAGAATCCCGTCCCCGCGCGTCTCGGCCGAGCGTAAATTCGAGCTCGGGTCATCTTCCCTCCGGTGGTTGCAGTCCTTAGTTGCCAAGCGACGTATTAGATCGGGAACTAGGCGTTTCAACGAGACGGATACGAAGAGGGGGAAAAATGTCCGTTAACAAGATTGTGATTGCAGATTTCATGAGACCGATGAAGTTATACCAGACGCGACGCCGCGTTTCAGAGCAATGCAGAGCTCTCGTTGTCAAAGACGGCGACGGCTGTCAATAGCTTCACCAGCAGGCCTTCATCCCGAGTTCTCCATTGATATATGCAAAGAATACTATTCATGATTTGTCATCTCTAAGTTACCGGATACAATCTAAGCTCTAATATCAACCGCTAAAAAATCCACAATCGCCCTCTTAACGCCCACCGACCTGGCCCTTGGGAATAGGAGGGATCCAGCAAACCGCCAGGTTCAACACGATATGCACCACCCCAATGACCCAGAACCCGCGGGCATAGTTGTTCCCGCCATCCATGAACCGAAAGACAATCGCGAAGATCACACCGCCGAGATTCCCGCCCGCGCCCGTCACTCCTGACAACACGCCGTTCGCGTACGGGTACACATGAGGCAGCAGCGCAAAGTTGGCCCCGTTGCCGGCCTCGTGGAAGATGGCCATGACCACCACCAGCCCAACCATGACGCCCAAGTCATGCGGATCCAATACGCCGATCAGGATCAACAAGGCCCCCGTCAGGACACCGCACACATGGATCCACACCTTCTTCCACCACAGACTGCCGCCGGTAACCTTGTAGATCAGATCGCCGACCACACCGCCCAGCGGCCGGTTGATGAAATTCAAGAACCCAAACAGCGCCGCGTAGTTGCTTGCGTTGGTCTGCCCCAGCGAAGGGAAGTTCTTGAGGTAATACGCGCCCAGGACCGAGTTGATGGCCAATTCGCCGCCGAAGCTGCACGCGTACGTGGCCACGTGGAAGAGCGCGTGCAGGCTGCAGACGACCTGCATCGTCTCGCGGAACGTCGGCTTCATGATGACCTCGCCCTGGGCCGTCTCGAGCGCCTCGGTCGTGACCGGGATGGCGTCGACCGGTTTGCCGTCGGCCGAGGACAGCGCCTTCTTCTCCACGTCCGCGTCCGAGGTGTTGCCGTTGGTGGGCGTCGCCGACGAGTCGGGGCTCTGGCGGCCCGCGATGGTGCCCGGGACGGTGACGATGGTGCCGGAGATGCCGTGCGATTCGAGGTTGGACTGCACAATCAGGTGGCGGTCATTCCTGGGTTAAGGGTTAATATGGGCGGTGATGGAACGTGGTGAGTACCACGGCAAACATGGGGATCGACATACCACTTGCCCAAGGGCGTGTCGTCGCACAGCAGGAGCAGCCCGGTGCCGCAGGTGATCAGGCAGGCCAGCGGCACGACAAAGGTGATGCGCCAGGCCTCGGCGTGGGTGTGGCCCCAGCGGTGGACCAGCGAGTCGAACACGGCGGGCATGATGAAGTAGGTGATGCCGCCGCCGGCGTTGCCCCAGCCGCCCGAGAGGGCGTTAGCCGTGCCGACCACGTTCTTGTCGAACCAGCCCGTGCACCACACCTGGCACGGCACGAACGAACCGCCCAGGATGCCGATGAAGAAGCGGATGATGTACAGCCCCGTCGCGTCCTTAATCAGGGGTGCTAACCCGATGGGGATGGCTCCAACCAGCAGGATCATGCTGAACACCTTGCGCGGCCCATACTGGTCGCAGAGCGGACCCGCTACGAAGCGCACGGCGAGCGTGGCCACGAGCGAGACAATGTTTGAATTGGCCACCTCGGCTGAGGTGAGGTTAAGGTCCTTCTTGATGGTGACGCTCAACTGGGAAAGGTGTCAGTTGCTGACTCCTGATGATTGGCTTGGACCAATTGACCCACCAGAGGCGGAAACGTGTACCAGGCCCAGAAGGCCAACATGAAGCCCATCCAGGAGAAGAAGAAGACGCGGCCATGCTTGTCGATGGGGTTGAGGATCGGGACGCTCCGGGCTTTCTTGTTGACCGGGTTGAGTGTTGGCGTTCGCCAGAGATCAGCTGCCTTGAATCCCATCTTGTCTGATTGTGTTAGGCGAGACTTCTGGATGGGAGTGTCTCGGTTTTACAGGGTGAGCTTGGTGGTGGAGCGGATGCTTAGTCGGCAGATGGAGAGGATCTCGGATGAGACTATATATCCATCCATCGCCTTCCTGACAGCCGGTAGCTGAGACATCTCCGATGGCTAACATGGTGATCCGATAGCCAGGCCGTCCCGAACGGGATCTGGGTGGGTTTTCCCGGTTCTGTCAAACATGCATTTCCGTGAGATCAACTTTATCCCCAGAATCCCACGCTGGGGAAGCGTCGAGACCCCCACAGGAAGCCCGGCCAGCCCTGTGCTATCTCCTTATCTGCAGGGGGCTGAGGCTCCAACAAGGGGCGGGCTTGGCAGAGATAAAGCCTCCCAAGTTGAGCGTCCCGGATCTTACCGGCCACCAACGTTATCTTGCTGTCGCCCGGCATCACGTCGATACCTTATCAGGGAGGCAGGGCGATCATCTCCGCGGGCATAAAAACCTGGCGGGCCCCCCTTGATGAGTCCAAAAGGAACCGGATGGATGATCGTGGTCTTTGGGCTCTGCTGTTTGCATACCGCATTCCTGGTCCGCTGGGCGTTCTCATATTGCTAGGCCTGCCCGTGGCTGCTGAAAGGACGCGAGGAATCGGCGGGCGCTTATCTCTCGATCGGCGAGGTCTCCATTTCCTGGCGGCGCAGGGTTTGAGACCTAACCATGGCCGGCGCAGCCATGATTTAGCCACACAGATCCGACGGTTGATTTGCAGGAGTTGCATGGCCGTTGCCCATTCCGCCTCCCTGATTGTGTTTGCTAGGGAAGGGATTGGTAAGCTTCCTGCGGCCCTCACGATGGATCGAAACGTTGAGCGCTGGACGGTATTTGATTAGCTCTGGGCTCAATAATGTGCCGTCGGAAGCAATCCACGATATCCGGCCTCGAACAATGTTAGCATGCCAATCCGTTATTCAACTTGCCGACCCGAATCCTAGTGACTCGCTCACCTGTAAATGAAAACAGCCTCCAAACAGCCCGGTAACGTTGAAGGACAACGGACTGGGTGTTGAACTTGGAAATCATGAGCCGAGGTCCCGCTGCCGTAACGAAGTGACAGTGGCATGCGAATATGGGTGCGGTGAAAGGCCTGAAGTGAAACGGAGCCGGACCCTGTCTCAGCCTTCGTTGATGCGACGACACCAGACGGAGCGCAACCGGCTGCCAACGACGTCCATCTCTATCCGTTTAGCACCCCACGCTTCTATCCCAACCCGGTGGTTGCACAAAGGGAGCGGCCCGTCGTAAGCTGGCGTGCTCCAACTTGGCTTTCGACGTCAGTTGAACGATGTGAAGAGTTCCGCGGACCCAGCGCGAGCTTGCAGTCTTTTAAGCGGGAGGCCCGGTGACCTACATCTACTTCCTTCCATCAAGCTTCTGAGCGAGAGGCGCGGGGGCAGTCTCAGTGGCGAACCAATTGGCAGATCTGGGAGCTGCTGCATCAGCGAGTCTAGAACATGGCCACTAACCTGTCGCAGGAGTGTAGCCACGCATGGCAGATGGCTTGGCGCCAGTCTGTTTCGTGCCTGCTATCTCCGAGGCATGTTGAAGATCTGTGCACTCGAGACGTTACTTGCGTTGCGCGGCTCAAGCTGTGAGTCTGTCCCACGAATAGGTAGCGTTCAGGCCGGTCGTCAGCTATTCCTCCTTCGAGGGGTGAAAGGTGGAAGTCCGGACGGAACGGGTCTAGCAGTGGAATCGGGTCGATGTTCCACATGGGGTTTCGCAATTGCGTGGTGGTTGCTCTTGCGGAGCCGTGCTCCTCCGTGCCTGTGGACGTTGGGTGAGTCTGCCCCTTCACAACCAGGCCCAGATATCCATGCATCCATCAACAATAACCACAACAGCGGTTCCCAGATGTTCGATGCAGTACATTGCCGTCTATCGTTCCCAGCTTAGGCCGCCCCTTCCCATATGTACACGGCGAGACGCACTCTCCGGGCCTCCCCTCGACGAGGTTTCATTCTTCAGTTGCTCCGCGCACCGCCCTTGGCCTCCCTGAGCTCATTCATCTTTGCGACGCGCTTCTTGAACTCGACGTATTGGCATTTTTCGTAGCTGTGTCTCTCGTCCTGCGGAAAGCGAGTCAGTCGTCGATCGGGGGTGGTGCGCCATCGCGGCGCGGGGTTGCTTTGCTGTCTTTGGTCTCAGTCGAGCACAACTCATACCTCGCACTTCCAGGGCATGTAGTAGGTCTCGAAGCGGCAGCGATTGAGGGGAATCAGCAGGTGGGCGCAGCTGTCTCGGTATTGCATGGGCACTTTGGCATCGCGCATCTCCTCGCGGGTCGCCCCTGTGGCAGGCTGTCAGTCATTCCTGTCGTTGAAAGAGAGATCGTCAGGGTCTGCTTCGTACGTCGCGGTGTTTCTGCTCCTTCCAACGCCATTGTGGGCTACAATTGGGCGGCTGCGACGACAATTGCGAGGGTCGACGTCGAATATGGTGAATGCCGAAGCTCTGACACCCAGAAAGCAAAAGTGGAGCTCCAAGTCCACTGTCGGCCACAGAAATGTGGGGCTATCCTTCTGCGCGTGTCGTTTCACGTGACAAGAGATTCATAGCCTGGGTCCTTGGCCCTGTGGCCTTGGACTTTATGGCCCAGGTGCCGATTGTCTCATGAATTGCTTCGATTTGCAAACAAAAATGGCGAACCCCACCACATCCACATTCCAAAACTCCTTATGCTCGATCCACTACCAACGCAGTGCTAGTCGATGCCACGCCAGTATATGCTATCGAATTAAGCGAGCATTGCACCACGTCTTCGACTGCAACTGATTCAGAATGAACTCTTCGCTCACCGGGCACTAACTTCATTGAACACCCGAAACCATGGCGCAGGCTTTGCTAATGCGATGTGGATGATCAAGAGCGTAAGGCACATTCTGTGTCCCGTATTTGTGCAGCAACCTATGATCTCTTCTGATGGATGTTCATTATCCTGAGGTAAGGTACTCTTTTACTCTACTGCGCTCCAAGCCAATACCCCTTGATAAATTCCACCCCCTCCTTAGCCCAGTCCTCCTCGAGCCTACTCCCGATATCGAACCCATGGTCCCCGGGCCGCTTCGTGTACTTGACCACCGCCCGGGGCCTCTGGCTCCTGATCTTCTCGACCATCTCATCGACCCTCGGCGTATCAATAATGGAGTCCTCGGTGCCCTGAAGCACCCACATCGGCGGCGGCACCTCCTCCGCCTCGGCCAGCGCCCTCCTCAGCGTCAGCCTGCCCTCGTCGTCCTCGCCAAACATCTCGTACAGCGTCGGCCAGCCCCGCTGCAGCACCGCTCCGAGGAACGCGCCCAGCGTGGGAAGCGGCGTCGACACGCGGACGCTGCCGGGCTTGATGCTCTGGAGATAGCCGTCCACCACGGCCCTCAGTTTGGGATCGTCGTTGACCGGGCGCACGCCCTTGTCGGTTGAAGTGGTGAGGTCGGTGTGCAAGGCCGGGTACTGCGCGATGACGGCGCGGAGCTTGGCGGTGCGGTTGAAGAGGAGCGCGGACTGGATGGCCAGGAACCCGCCCGCGCTCTCGCCGGCGACGGCGACGCGGTCGAGGTTTGGGATGAGGTGCGGCCAGTGGGACTGGACTGTCGCGGACAGGTGCGCGTGCAGCCAGGCCCAGAAGTCGGCAGCATCCTCGAGCGAGTCTACGGCGCGGGATTCGGGAACGAGGCGGTAGGCTACTGAGATGAAGATGGCTGGCGTGGTGTAGGCCAAGTCACGGATCCTGATTGGGCGGTCCCGTTAGCACCTGACGATCCTGAACGGGATTATACCTAAGGGGTAACGACTTACCAGTCGGTGAGGAAGAAGGGATCGGGGTTGGCGCCGACGATAAGAGCACCACCGTGAAAATGCACTAAAACCGGAACAGGTTTGGGCCCCGCTTCGGGAGAAAGGGTCTTTGGAACGAAGATGGCAGCCTCAATAGGCGTGTTGTTCACCGTCTTGTAAGCGACATCAATACGGTCGAACCTGGCTTCGAGGTCGGCAGCCACGTTATTGCGCCGTGCGTCAGGGATTCCGAGGTTTGAGTCCAGCGACATGTTCGCTATTTAGGTAGTCAAGTCGTGAGGGTTATGACGGCCCGCCTGGGTGAGAGGAGCAATGGACGGTTCGAGTAGAGGGTGAGACAAATGTGTGTATTGTGTTTCTGTGGAAGACTGGAGGGCAAGGTGAGAACTCTAAAAGTACTCTAATTAATTGTTCATCGCTGGGGGATCATGCCAGTTCATTATTAATACTTCACTTGCCCTTGGGGGCCGCAGACAGTTGAGCGAAGTGAGCCAGGGGCGAGACCGACCGCGCTAGGCACTGCAACTCTTCACGAAGGATCGCGGGCTAGAGATTACCAACCATCGAAATACGGCGCTCATTCATGAAGGTGTGCAGTTCTGCTTACAAAGTACATGACTAGCTGCCGGAGCGGCTCGGACTTAGTCGGACTCAGGTTCAGCGAGCGTGCTGAAACATCAACTCTCGAGGGACATCGATTGGTCGCACAACCGACTAATGTGTCGCTGATTTCCGAATGTCAGGTTGCGTATTACAGCGAGACCATGTGTCACGGCGGGACAGGCGGACAATCCAATGACAATTGTATTCGGGCTAAACTACAGTCTAAGCTCTATTCCGTCAGGTACGGGCAGGCTTGATTGTCAAGACGTAGCTCGAGGAGCTACGAACAGATCTCGCGGCAACGAGGGGCAGAATATTTAACACACAGGGGCCCGTGCTTTCCACATGCCGGGTTCCACCCGTGGGTCCTAGCAGGCACGGCGCAATCGCCGTGACACCATGTGGGTGCTGGGGCTTTGGCAACTGGACACATGGTCGAGTATGCAAGACTTGAAACCCGAGACGTCCTCAACTTCTCAAGAAGAACCGAGGTTTGAACGAAAGAAGAAGTCGAGAGAGTATTGAAATGACAACTTACCTTATCATACTGCCAATGGTGACAACTCTTTTAGCCCAAGCACCTTCTCCTCGAAAATCATTTTCTTGGAACCCACTGTACTGTAATTATAGGATTTAACAGTGTGGCCTAAGAAAAAGTACGGTTCACCGCCATAAGCCCTTTTGAGAATTCTAAAATCACTTTTCGAAAGCTATTTTGGCACTGCAAAGCGTCGGCCACGAAGCTGACGACGCCAAAACCACTCGCGCGTACCCGACGGTATCTTGGTAGACCTTACTCCAAAAGAGGGGCCTTGGGAAGGACCAAGGATGCCCTCACGCGCTTGTGCGCCCCGCCGCGCGTAAGAAACGTCCGCCTTGCGCGCAAAGATCAATCGCTAGAACGCGCTGGAAACGTAGCGCCTTACGGCCTGGATTCTCCTGTAGAGCCTAGGAACCGGCACTCGCTAGGCCCGAGTACCTCCTTCGACCGGTACTTAGCCTAGCCCGCTAGTTAGTTTTTCGATCAACAGCCGATTTCAAGAGCACTCTGAAGCGCCACGCCTTACGAATTTGGGGTGCGAGATAACCTTAGAGGACAGAGGTAAGGAATCTTTGGGGAGCAATATCTATAGGCCCTTGCAAACGGAGGTGAAAGTAGTAGCTCTCTAAGCTCGCCCTTGTAGCCAGAGTTGCTATATAGATTGTATAAGATTCTTGTATATAAGCCTTGGTATGGCACGTCCGTACCTCCCTGCAGGTATAACGAGGTAATAGCGGCATCACCGCACCCTTAGGACATTAATTGATGGCAACAACAACGATTCATAACAATAATAATAATAATAATCCTTTAGCTTAAGAATGTAACGGTCTCAGGTAGTATATTGCAACTAGCTGATGACGACTCTACGAGTACACTGAACTTGGAGAAGAAAAGGAGAGACGACAGACTCTGGTAGCTCGCAAGCATACTTATCCTCGTAGGCGCGCTGGTCTGAGCGCGTTGCTAGAAGGTTCGGTGTGCTGTGGGGCGAGTGGGAATAGCCTCATCAGGGGTCTTGGTATTGGCCGAGAGTCGCCGAGGCTCGCACCGGGCCCAGCCCGTTACAAAGAATCTCGTTGAGGGTTTGTAGCTGTGACGGCAGTGGGGGCTGCCGTCAACAGTACATACGCCACCTCAGAGTTTCAAGTCGTTGGACTTGAAATTCCGACATCACTTTGAGGAGTTTAGTGCAATAGTGCAATGGCATGGTGGCTCCGTCGCACGCGCCGTCACAGTAGCGGCCAGTCAAGTTCAACTGTTCAAGCAGTGGGAGGTAGAACTCAGGGGAGAAACGGCAAGCAGCAACAACATCAGAATGATCAGAGACTGGAAACGGAAGGATTCAAGTTATGCCGTGCTGGGCCTGCTCCATGCAGTGGACGGGAATAGTAGGAAATTCCATAATCTGATTCGGAGTTTCCAAAGCAACTTCGTCACATGCAATGGACGACAAGACCTTAGGGGCCTGAGGAGAGACACTGAAAAACCAGGGATGCACTTACTAGACCCTTAACCCTTGATCGGGCTCAGTGACATGGACGCAACCCAGTAGCTATCTTGGGGAGTCTCAGCTGAAGTATGGTCCCGACAGCCCGGTTCGGAGCATGCAATGGACCGTAAGTTGCGTACAGCTGCAGCGATTCGTCCAACGGCCTGTTGGCTGCAGGAGCAGAAATCTACTTCAGGTAAATCCCTTCTAGAATAGCGGGATAGCGCACCTCAGATTAGCTAGCGAATTGTCCGCAGGATTGTGCCCAAAAAGCCTATAGGTGGTCCATGGGTGGGTGGGCTCGGCAACAACAAAGCTGCCAAGGAAGGAGGGTGGCCAATGAGTCGTCGGGAGTTGAGGCGGGTTGGCGCTAGGCCAGGCATCGAAGCGACGGGAGAGTTGCAGTGTGTATATCCAGTCAATGATGCATCCGACCTGCAAGGTTGATTGGAACCGAGTGCGGCGTACAGTTCTGTTCAGTTCAGGTCATGATTGGCGAAAATAGAAGGAACTTCTGGAAGATTGCAAGCCACGACGGGCAAGGTAGTTCCTGATCCGTGGGACGATCATCTCCCGCGAGCGCAATCGACGTAATTACTTTGAACATAGGAACCTGAGTGTTTGGCCAGCATTTTATGAACAGCCACGCGGGTTCGCAGCGGGCCGAGACTTCGGGAAACCGGATGTTTGTTGTAGAAAAGCGGTGCCAGTGTTTGGCGTGGGGACTGGATGTATTTTTGGGCAGCAGCCGCGGGACTTGACCAATCGCAATTTTTTTGCCCCACAAATCCTTTCAACCACGATTGTTCTCTCCACATCGGCGGCCGCCAAGAACTTACTGGTTCCCAGAATAACGTCAACAGCTTCGATGAATACCTATCGGCCTGAAGCGAGAAAATCCTGCTTGCCTTTGCGTGGGACGCTTGCGGCTTCCCGGAGGTCGCAAAACTGCCGCCATGTTCAATGCAACCGGGCTTTCCGACAAATGGGGAATTGGAGTCATTGTAACTCGTCAGGGACATGTGAACCAAAGAGTGAAGACTCAAGGCGCAGTTTCATACCCTAAGGTAGTTAAGGTACTGTACGTTGCCTTATCAGCCTCCAGGGCTACCTATCTGGGTAAGAACACCCTCGATGCAGCCCCGACGGAGTTTGACACGTGCGCCAATGTCGTGCTGCATGCGTGGATCAACCCCCTATCCCAGCGTCCCAGACATCAATGATGCACCCTTTGGGGAGATCTCTGGCCACGAGTTCAAACTGCAGTAACCATGGCGCAGATCCCCACCCCACATCCTCAGGGTTGTCTGTATAGTACATCCGTCATCCGTTATGTATTTGCGCGTAACTGCAACCCAATGGCAGGTTCCCTTACCTTCGAGCTCGCTACATCCCGTGTCTCCAAATATCGTGCATGGACATGCATAGAGTTTAAGTTCAGCCTTCTTGACCCTACGCAGATTGTCCTTCTCCATGTGGAAACCTTGCAGCACACCCCAGCACGCGCCGCGCCACCCACATCATCCCCATGCAGGTCCAGATAGCCGACATGATATGGAGCGCGACGATATACCCGAAACATATCAACAGCACCTGGTGGCTACCTTCGTCATGGAGTGCGGCTCTATTTACGGCATGAACGTGGCCAGCCAAGCCCATTACAGTAGCTCCTTAGTTCCTTCGGACCGACCGACCGACCTCATGTCGCTCTCAGGGGTAGACAGTGACAGCATCAGCGCCGAGCACTCGCTACCACTTGCGCGTATGAGCCAGTTCTATTCCAAGAACACCATGGACCTATACATGGATCAAAGCACGATCGCATCCACGGTGGACAAACTTCTGTTTCTTCTTCGAAAACGGTCAGGGCATTGCGTCTTGCCCGTCCAGAGACATCCAGCTCGTTTGTCTATAATTTCCTCTGCCTCCTCGACTCTCATCACGACATCTACGCGCCAAAAGCTCACTAGTCAACCACCTTGTTTACGCGAGCTGCGGTCTTCGCCACCGTATCAATACGGGCAACCTCTCGTGTCTTGACAACCGATATCACAGCATCCTTTCCGAAGTGGCACAACATTGAAGTCAAAACCATCGTTCCCAACCATGGCGTCAGCAAGAAACCTTACGCCTCTAGGACTGCCACACAGACCTCCTCGCCCAGTGTCCCCTTCACCTGCCATACCTCCTCGTCGGTCTAGAACGCCACTGGCAGCACCGATGCCCCTTGCCCAGCGCCCTTTCAACCCCAGCCAAGAAGCCCCCTTGCCTCCTCCTCCCACACATGCCTACCCTCTCCCTGAGAACGAAGAGGCATCAGATTGCGAGTCTGATGTTAGCGATAATGTATCCAGCAACCGGCCAATACGAAGTAGTTTCCTCGGGGTCCGCACCAGCATCGTCCGCGGATCTCGCGACCTTGAAGAAGCCGGGTCCGACAGCAACTCGTCTTCAGAAACCCTGGCAGGCACGCCGCCGCTAGACGCCAAAGAATTCAAACCGCAGCCCCTAATTTGTGGGTCCAGCCCTTTCGAGAGCCATGGTCTCGATGACTCGCCATTGCCCCAAAAAAAGGGGCCAAGGTTCTACCGCTACCTCCGCTGGAACTTTGGCTCCGTCTACCGCCGCATCTTCTGCATCGTCTACCTCAGCAACGTGGCTGCGATGGCCGTTCTCATTGCCCGGCACGTCATGTCCGGAGGGCAGTTCACGCTCACCTACCAGCACGCCAGCATCGCTGTAACGGCCAACATCGTCGCTGCTATGCTCGTCCGCAACGAGCACGTTGTCAACGCCATGTTCTGGGTCTTTGGCACGTGGACAAAGAACCTTCCTCTTCAACTACGCATCCTCGTGGCCAAGGTATACTCGTACGGCGGCATCCACAGCGGCGGCGCTGTTGCTGCCACCTTCTGGTACATGTGCTTCCTCGTGCTCCTGACCATCGAGTTCCAAACCGCCGGCTCGCTCAGCATCGTCCGCAGCTACATCTACTTTGTCAGCTACTTCATCTTGTTTTTGCTCCTGTCAATGCTCGTCTCAGCACACCCCCACCTCCGACGGCTGATGCACAACTGGTTCGAGGGCATCCACCGCTTCATGGGCTGGCTGGCCATTCTCCTGTTCTGGGCGCAGGCCATGCTCCTTACGGCCGACGCGACCCAACTCAGCGGTATCCCCTTCGGCAGCGCCCTGCTCGTCTCCCCAAATTTCTGGATGCTTGTCGTCGTCACCCTCCTGGTCGTCTACCCCTGGACGCGCCTCCGCCTGCGCGACGTCGAGGCCGAGGTGCTGTCCCCGCACTGCGTCAAGCTCAGCTTCCGGTACCGTAACGTGCACTACGGCCAAGCCATCCGCCTGACCGACGCCCCGCTCAAGGAAACCCACGCGTTCGGCGTCATCCCCTTTCCCTCCGCATCCCCTTCGACCCCAACAAGCCACTGCCCAGGCTGCACCTGCCACACCACCACCAAACCCACTCCTTCCCTCGACGACGACAAGACCAGAACCGACACCAACAACAACCTCTCCCTCGCCACAATCAAACACCACGCCCTCACCACCCCACCCCGTCCCCCTTTCTCATCACAACAACAAGAACCGGGCGGCAAAGGCTTCTCCGTGCTCGTCTCCAACGCAGGCGACTGGACCCGCAACCTGATCGCCCGTCCCCCGCGCAAGATCTACACGCGCGGCACCCCGCAATTCGGCGTCATGCGCGTGGCGGGCCTGTTCTCGCCGTGCGTCGTCGTCGCCACGGGATCGGGCATTGCGCCGTGTCTGAGCCTGTTCGTCCAGCGCCCGAACCATCCCGTCCGCATCATCTGGTCGGCTAAGGACCCGGTCACGACGTATGGACGGGATGTGGTGGAGTTGGTGTACCGGACGGATCCGGAGGCGGTGGTTATTGATACGGGAGTTAAGGGTATGGGTCACAGTGGGACTAGGCCGGATTTGGTGAGGTTGGCTTATAGAGTTTGGGAGCAGGGGAGGGTCGTTGGTGATGGTGGTGAGAGTAGAGGGGAGAGGAAGAAGGGGGAGGCGGTGGTGGTTATATCGAATCAGAAGGTTACGAAGAAGGTTGTGTATGGGTTGGAGTGCCGGGGAGTGCCGGCGTATGGGGCCATCTTCGATTCTTGAGGACTGTTGTTATCACCATGGCTGTTTCTTTACTTGCGTGGGTGGTAAGATTGGCTTTGGCTGGCGGGAGGGACTTTGGCGTGTCTTGTTATCCGGGGTTGATGGCTTCGATCTCACATTGCTGCTGCCGTGCAGAGGATTTCATTAGTTTAGGACATAGGTCAAGCTTCGTTCATGTCTATTTTCTTCTAAATGTATGACATAACTATTCTTCTAGATAAGCACTAGACCATCGTGTTTCTCCGACTGGTAGATCCATCTTCTTTGCTCATACCTTAGTACGTCAGGGGGGTCCCATCGTACTCCCAGAAGCCGCCAGCCCCAGCAGCAGTCTCGCGCGTCGCGTTGTCCAGCTGGTTTTAGAATGTTAGTACTCTGATATTTGGCTAACTCCAGCAACAACGGGCTTGAACTCACCACCTTGATGATACCCTCGGCACTGTCCTTGACAGGGACCACAGCCTTCTCCATGCCGAACAATCTTGCCCCGGCGTTGCCCATGTCGGTCTGGGCCCATCCTGGGCTCACCACCACAGCCGTCAGCCAATCGTTCTCAAACTGCGCCCTACGCACCAGGTGGCTCAGCGCCGCCTTGCTCGCGCCATAGCTGCCCAGCATGGTCGCCTTGTTCGCCTCGACGTTGGCCGTGCTCGCCGCCACGGTGCCGATGGCGGCATACTTGACGACGCCCTTGATCTCGGCCGCGGCCTTGAGCAGGGGGAAGACGGCCCCAAACAGCTTGACGGGCCCCAGCGTGTTGACCTCAAAAAGGGTGCGGAACTTGTCCGGGTTGATCTGGTCGACCGTCTCGAACACTTCGGCGATGCCTGCGTTGGCGATGACCACGTCGAGGTGGCGGATGCCGAGGTCCTGGACAGTTCTGATGGCCTCGGCGGCGTCCTTGTCGGAGGCGCTGTCGATCTTGATCACGTGGACTTTGGAGCGTGGAGCAGCTGGGACGGAGTGGAGAGACTGGGCCGTCGCGGACGAGGGGTCGCGCACGGCTGCGATGACGGTGTGGTCTGGCCGCGAGAGGTAGGCCTCGGTAAGACCGCGCCCAATGCCTGTTGGAGGATTCGTCAGTGAGAAGTTGTTGTTTTTCTTTTCTTATGATTAAGGTAAGAATGCATACCCCTATTCGCTCCCGTAATCAGAACGGTTGTACGGTCAGCCATGGTGTATTGGCAATGGTGTCAGTCGGGTGGGTGCCGAGTATGCAGGCTGTTGACTTTGTCAAGACTGGCGGGCTATCACGCTTGGGCTCCAGAAAGATCGATTACGATTCAGCGAGCTGTCTGATTCTGGGGATTTTAATGTTTCTGTCTCTATGCTGAATGCCTCTTTATAACTTCGTGAATATGCCATCCTCGGACTCTGTTCCTCGGACTTGGCCCAGCAATGCTTCCGGTTCGGAAACTCTCGTGGATGATGTCGCCGGCCGGAGTTCCGCCATATGGTGGTTTGCTTCAGTTGTCCAAAAAGTTCCAAGTTGTCTAGCTGCCTATGGTAGACATGGCTCAGATACCGAGTGCCGATACGTTGTCAACATGACCTTGTCTCGCTCGTCTTCCTTCTCTATAAGCTGACTCATGTTGCAGCTCAAGGCCTCCAAGTCTGTACCCTGTCACTCCAGGACCGACGCTTGATCGCAATAATCAAGCGACGCGGGTTTTATTCAACAACCATCAAATCCACCCAACACCCATAAAGCTCCCTCACCCCTGTAACCTCATATGCATTTGGCAGTATTCAAGTATGATTGGTTCGATTATCACAGCATTGTCACCGAACAGGGGAGGTTGGCAGTCGGACTTCCGACAAGACTTCGGACTTGGCGTTCCATTCCTCAAATGTTCAGCTTATGAGTTTTCGATTTCAAAGCAACAACTTGAAGGGCGTGCGCCCTGATAATTACATTTCAAGGCGCCTTCGATCGCTACATGTAAGCCTCGCCATCTGCGTAGAAAAGCAGCAGCTGCTCCAGACGGCGATGCACGCATGCAGCAATGGCACTCTCTAATTATTCAATAACGGAAGCAGGAAGATGCCCACCGTGGACCCGAAGGAGCCTTCGGTCAAAGACGTACTGGAACCTGAATGTCAAGATACGCTGCTAGTCACAACTGATATGCCTGCTCTTCTGCTCAAGTTTCAAACTGAACGTGATGACATAAATAAGGTAGGGCTACCCGAGTAGCTAGGATGGAATTGAAGGTTGCGTAGTGTGATGCGCCTCCCTCACTTGACGCTGTCAATTACCCTTATTTCTGTACGTTCTGGTTAATCTTCTGCCCCTGCAGCATGCCGGGTAAATGCAATCTTCCTAACTCTGGTGCCATGCTCGGCGGTTGCGGCTTGCACAGCCCAAAATTACTCGCTGCAACCCATCAGAAGACGGATCTGGAGCGGGAGCACCCGGGAGGCGCAGGGCAGACCTTGTTTCCAAACTTATCAAGATCTGGCGCATTTCTGGGGGTGGAGCGGTAGCGTAGTACCTTAATCTGGGGGCAGTTCCCGGACAACGACTACGTGTACGGGGCCATGATCTCCACGGCCGACCTCAACGTCGAGAGATCCATCGACGGCGGCTTCGCGGAGTCGGTGCGATGGGCCCAGCCGACGGCGCCCTGCATGCCGTGGCACTCGCCGGCGCGCAGCTATTACAGACTGCACCGGGCCGACAGGATAAAGGTCACGCGCGATATGATCTGGTACCCAAAAGATTGGTTCGACGATGTGTTCAAGCCCGGCTGCATCGAGATACGCCAAGCCCACATCGTAGGCGCCGGCACGCCCGAGGAGCCGGCGGATGAGGAGGATCTCGAGCTGAAGCAAGTCGACTTTGGCCGGGTGCGAGGAACTGCGCGACTGCCCAAGGGGAAAAAGGCCCCCCCGCGCAAAGGCCGCTGCCGCAAACTGGGATGATCTCGACGACCTGCCAGATTACGAGGATGTTGTTGCCAGTGATGATGGTGATGATGATGTTGACGTTGATCATGATGGGGCGGCGGCTGCACCGATTCAGGCGAAAAGGGCCACCGTGCGGGAGCGTGGCATGGGCGGCGATGAGTTGGAGACACGCCTGCCGAGAAATTCCTGGTTCATCGTGGACACGGAGAAGCGTGAGGAAGACTATGAGAGATTTGTCCAAAAGTGCCGTGATGTGCAGGAAGGTAGATTGACTCTTTTTACCCGACCATCGTGAGCGACGGAGAAAAGATGAAGAGTGGTTCCGGGAATGGGCTCTTCCACGTCGAAGCTGAGGAACAAGGGCTCCTTAGGCGATGGAAAGCCAGTTATGCGTGTTTGCTTGCTGCATTTGTTGGCGGAATGCAAAAAGACATTTTTAGTTGTATAATGGCAAGGGTTTTACTGAAAAAGTATGCCCATTACAGGAATTGAACCTGTGATCTTTGCATGTCGTCAAAGCGATACAAGTGCAACGCATTAGCCACTATGCTAAATGGGCTTCGAGTTAGTGTGTAATTGCACTAACGTAACTTATTAACTAAACTTCAATTGTGCTTTATGATGCGTGGCGACAAGCCTTTTGCTGGGCGACAGCAGACTGCGGCATTGGCCCTGTGCCTATCGAAGGTCTAGGATATTGCTGAGAGTATAGGAGTCAAAACGCGCTAAGCCAGCAGGTCGAGATACGTTTCCCCAGAAGTTCTAGTTTGGAGGCTGGTGCATTCAGCGTGATTCAGGTTGAAACAGGGTACTGGATTGTTTGGAGTGCCTTGAATTATGTTTACAGTGTGGACTGCCTGGTTGCCTTAGTTCCTACTTGCACATTACTTGACTACGTATTTCGGCGCAGTCTTATTTTCGGAGAATCCAGACGAACGAAGAGGAATGCGATGTACAGGGACATGCTCATTACCAGCATTTCAATGACCCAGGAAAAGAGATAACGTTACATGACAAGATGTAATAAGGAAGGGAAGATGTATAGCGGTTTTCATATATTCATGTGACTGTCAATGGCTTGTCTCCCATCCCGGCCAGCCCCCCTTAGCGTCTAGGCAAATCATGCGCATGAGTGTTTCGACCTTGTGGTTGTGTAGTCGGAACGAGGCACCGATATTGTTCTTCTGCTCGGAGCTTATCTTGCCCTTCGCGATGACGAGTTCGCGGTGGCGTAGAGCACCGCGGGTGCTGCCGGCGCCGAGGCCGCCAAGCACCATAGCCAGAATGGCGACGGGCGCCAACTCGAGATTCTCGACGAGAGAGTAGACGGCAAGATCGCCATTACCAATCGCGTCGACAGCCGTCATCAGTGCGTGCCATTATTGCGGCGGTGCCGCCGAGACCGCTAACGACGGCGCCGACAAAGGGGATCAGGAAGATGATGCCCTCAGGAATTTTGAAAATGAGCTCCTTGGCTCTCCGGTCTCTCTCTTCCTGACCAACCTTCTTGACCTCCTTCATGGACGAGACTGCGTCCTTGAGGAGGAACAGGGGCATGGCGAGAACCGCGGCCGCATCGACAGGACTGCCTTCGAACAAGTCAAGGCCCAGCATCATATACATTGACTCATATGGGGCCATCATGGTATCGAAGTTCTTGCCCACCTCGTCTACCACCGTCTTGGGGGTTAGCACGTCGAAGTTGGACTTGGCAGTCGGGGAGCCGCGGTGCTCCTTGTCGAAGTTGAAGCACATGCCCATGCCACCAGACGCTGCTCGCAGCGGAACTTCCATCTGTATTCGCAACCCCGATCCATTCCAGGTCAATTCCCTGGTTGGAGAGCTACTTGTTGAAGCCGTCACGGTCGCGGAGCTCCCAGAGGAACGAGTATGACTGCATGTACTCATTGGGCGGATCCTTGCAGTCGTACTTGCTGGCGTCCTTGCGGTCGCCAGGCTCGCCCTCGGTGTAGTAGCAGTCAAAGAAGTCGGCAATCCGCTGCTCGCCGTCGAGCGTCATTGCCCGAAGACGTTCTCCCAGCGTCTTCTGCATGTAGTCGCGGTCAAAGCCGAAAACGTCATATGTAGCCAGACGCGGCCTCACCGTAGGCGCTCATGGACTTGACAAGCATTCCCTAAAGAGCTCTAATAGCGTTCATGGCAACGCACTTTCCCCCCGACTTTTCGGCGTCCCTGATCACATCATCGAGATCATCATAGTTCTGGAGGTCGCACTTGTGTGACAGGTCCGTGGCTCCAATGTCGAGGCCTGATCCTGTGATGCCCTTGCCCTCGGCCTGTAGGTCGACGGCCAAACACTGACACTGCCAAGGTTGAGGTCCTTGTACCATTGGACTCGCCGCTTGTTCGTCTCGTGGTCCATCATGGATGCACGCCACCCACTCGGTATAATCGTAGTCGGAGATATCGGAATCGGGCTCATGGTCACCACTAGTACTCATAGGACTTGCCGCAGATGCTGCCATACATATTCTTGATCTGGCGAACGGCGTCCGAAATGTACCCCGAAGTGTTGGTGCAGTAACGCGGCATGGCGGGTTTGGGGGGGACCTGATTCCTCTCCCCCAGGTAGAAGGACGAGACGCCGTCACAGCCCGGCTCGGCCATTTGAAGCTGCGGCTTTAGCTGTCGATGCCGACAAAAACGTTGTACGAGGGCACGCAAGCCTTTGTAATCATGGCCAGCGAGTTCTCCGTCCTGGGATACTTGTCTATCCAACTCAAGTGTAAGATCACTGGCTCGGGAACGCGGACTGGAAACCCGGATCTTGTTGGAAGTAAACCCTCGAGAAGGGATCTCTGACAACCGACCAGATCGACAAAAGCAATTCCGGCCTTCCGGAATGCCTCGACTAGACAGTCGAACTCCTCCCTTGGCGGTATTCTGAGGCCTTCAAGCGTAACAGACCCGAGCTTCGAGGTCAGGCGCGCTTTTCAGCGATCGCCAGTATGTCTAAACCCGATCGGCCAGTAGAATATGCAGCCCATACGAAGACGCATCAGCGACGGCGGGAACATTGCCAGGAACTCTTCCGTCGTCACCACTTCACAGCTGCGGTCGCTCTCCACGTTGCCAGGCTCCTCAAACACCGACCCGTACAACGCAAGCTGTTCGAGCTCTAAGGTCTCAAGAGCAGAGAAGTGCTTCAACAAAAATCAAACCCTAACCCCATAGCTCATACCAAGTCGGGTCAGAGTCCTCGTCATCATCCGAATTGCTCAGCTCATAGCTCTCGCCAACGACATCACTCTGCCTCAACGTGTCCTTGATCGGGAAAGCCGAATAAGATAATCTCTTTAGCGTCTTCTTCGCAGTCCCCAAGTGCCTTTCCAGATCAAGCACCTTCCGTCCACACTCCATGCCGCCTTGAAGAAACAACTCTGAATCCTCAAACACCGTACTATGCCGAATGATAGCCTCAACCTCCTCAGTCCCAACATTATCACCATTGATCGACAACTTCCTCAGCCAGGGCAACTCAACATCCCACGGCAATGACTTCAACTCATCGGGGCCGTCGAAAAACATATCACCAACATCGTCTCCACCACACTCCACCGCAACAAGACTCTCAAATCCTTCGCATGCCTCAAAAACGCCCTGGCCTCCTTGGTGTGATACGTGTGTTACCAAGCCCTCGGCCATCGGTACCTCCACCCCACAAGCACCACATGCCTGAGATTCTCCATCGGATGCGTCCAGTCCAGCCACGTCTTCGCAGGCGACTCCCCCAGAAAGCGGCGCTGCAGCAACACATAGGTCGCCCCCGACGCAAGCGCAATGGCAAGCTCTCGGGCCTCCGAAAGATAACTATATTATCGCCCGGACCACCAGGACCCGAGTTTCTCCTCCGCCGAGCGCCTACTACACCAGGTGTGGCCCCCGTTCTTGTTTGTGAGCGCGACGTGTTGCTCGCGTGTCATGGATGGGATCTTATAGTTAGCGGTCCAGCGGACTAAGCTTGTGACGGATGCAGCTAGGCCGGTACGATGGCAGAGGGTGTGAACGAAACTGGCGAGGCGGGGGGTGATGATTCGGCGGGCGAGGGAGTGGAAGAAATGGAAGAGGATTGGTTGGGCGATGGCGCAGGTGTTTGTAGGATGCGCTGAGTTTGGCGAGGGCTGCTTGATCGTCAATGGCGGTGGCGGCTCTGTCTTGGGGGATTTCGCCGATATGGGGATAGCGGCAGTGCATACGGAGGTTTTGGCTGATTTTGAAGAAATCCTCGGCGGAGAGGGTGAGGAAGGTGGGAGCGGCCGTGGCGGTCCGGAGATATAGGCTTGCCATTGCGTGTTGCATGGTGGAGAACCAAGGAAAATGATGGTCAAAAGTGAGGTAGGTGGAAGAAGTGAGATGTGGTGGAAGAGGTGAGGAGAAGTGGTAGAAGCAAGGGCTGTGAGGTGAAACGGGATCGAGGAAACTGTTAGTATTATTTGAAGTGTCATTAACTCCTACAATACCGCTGTGCACTAGGGCTCTGGAACGTTGTCTTGTTTTATTTATCGTGCAGGTAACCGTGGCCTCAAGGGTCGGGTAAAAATCCTATACCGACAATCAAGAAACCAAACTCGGTGACTGCCAGATGAGCTTACGAATACAGAACAGAGAACCTGGAAGGCATCATGACCTTCGACGGAAGGAGCATTGAACCGCAAGCTCTAGCTCTAGTCCCCTGGTCAACCGTCCGTCACTTACAACAACGTTACGATATTTGACCGTCAAAACACTCAGGCGACTTACTGACACATAACATACCTTTACTAGAAATAGACTCCTAACTATAAGAGAAGGAGAATCTGTAACTTTAAAGAGGATGTAATGGACGCTCCTTCCTAAAGAAAATCTCAACCTGAAAACGGACGTTAAAACGAAGATTATCTTTCCCCACGAAGAGGGTTATTTAGTTGAATGGCTCCTAATTATAGCATTGAAGAGAGTTGAACTCTAAGATTTTAAGGGACGATCTATTGTAAAACGTTACTTACCCGAGTATTTTGCGTGGTAACTAGAGGTACCTTTTTAAGTTAAACTAATACTATAACCAACCTTAACTCATTTTCAGAGGTGCCCGGCGCCCTATGGTAACGTTATCTTATTATCGCGACTGTACTTGGACACTGTCGGCCTCGATGCCCTAGGCAAACTCGTCTAAAGCCGCTACAAACTTACTGTCTTTGCCGCCGCTACCGACGATACCTTTTCACTGTTTCTGTAAGCCGCACCAAATGGAGGCCGTCGATGCCGGTCCAGGTCAACAAGCCGCCCTCGATTCTCAAAGCCTGCTTCCTCCATCAAACCAAAGGCAAACCGCTACTTTACCAACATCCCCGTCTGTTTTCTCAATTTTTTTTTCGCTCTCTCCTCTCTGTCCGGTCATCCGCGGCTTTTAAATTGAGCCACGGTCACGGTGATCATTTTCCAGGTTGGCCCAGTTCCGCGTAGTACAGTACCTAGATCATCACAATCACTGGTACTGCGCTGTAGCTTGGTTGCGGATTAACACATTGTCCCCACAGCAGGAAATGCGCATGTGCGCGGCAACCGGAGTCCGGGGGTCATGAATGCCGAACCTCGGCTCAGAACCGCATCTGGTCAGCTGACTCAGCTACCCTGATCTTCACTTCAGTGGCCCAATCGGACAAGACTTCCAAAGCTGGCCGGTGGGACGGCAGGGGCATTTGCCTCATCTGGCTGGATCCGAGTCGAAAAGATCCCTTCTCGGACCTCAACGAAGGCGCAGCAGGCCCCACTATCATCAACCCACTCAACAGAAAATGTCGTGATAAAACAGGCGCCGACCCATCCGGGCTCATGGCTATCCCGGGCGCAGACGCCAGTTCCTCGTCATTCCTTCTTGCCAAGTGCGGCAGCACCCTCTTTTGTTTCGCGCGCAGCGTCCTTCTCTGGCTTGTCGTTCTTGTCGTCGCGGCGGCCGGCGCATTGGGTCGTCGATTCGTGTCTTCCCGCCGTGTCCCCGGCGGCACCAACGAAAAAAGCTGATCGCGGCATTTTTCTGTACAAACCGGACACAATGGCTGTCGGCACGCTCGCTCTCTTCTACCCGGTGTTTGTGCCCATGAGCGCCGCGGCTCTCGCCTACGCTGGCCACCGGGCGCTCTATGTCGACTGGCGCCTGGTCCTGACGCAGTTCCTGAACGGACCCGGCCGGACAAGTCGGATCCTGCTGCTATTGTTCCTCGTCCTGAACTGGAAGAGTCTGCCGCTGGCATGGACGGTAAGACCTTTCCTCCTGGCAGCTCCAGTCCCACCATTGCTGACCTTTCCCTCCTTTGTCCCAGGTCCGCATCTTCCACTCCTTCATCTACCACGTCCTACGCCGCCCCAAGACTTTGCCGCAGCGCGCCCTCTTCCACTACAGCGTCACCTCGTCGCGCACCTCGCTGCTCGAGACCGACTACAACATCCACAAGAGCAATTCGACCTACTTCGCCGACCTAGACGTCAGCCGCTCGCACCTGGTGACGCACCTGTTGGGGCCCGGTATGCCCATCATCGGCGACAACGCCAAGAACCAGCGTGTGCGCGACAAGGACGGCAACGTGGTTAAGGGCGCTTTCGGTGTCGGCTTGGGGGCCGTCTTCTGCAGCTTCCGCAAAGAGATTGCGCCGCTACAGGGGTACGAGATGTGGAGTCGCATTTTGTCGTGGGATCGCAAGTGGCTGTACATCGTCACGCACTTTGTGGTCAAGGGGAAAGTGAGGCCGACTGGTTGGGACGGCAGGCGCATGGGCAGAACGCGGAACAAAGTTCAAAAGGCCGACGGCAGCGGCGAGGAGGTGGATTTTTCAAGGTATGTCATTGCCACGGCCGTCAGCAAGTATGTGTTCAAGCTCGGGAGGTTCACGGTGCACCCGGCTCTGGTGATCGAGGCGTCCGGGTTGTTGCCTGAGAGGCCAGGCGAGGGGTGGAAGGGCGGCGAGACGGGCACGGGGACGCCTGAGGATCTGGGGGAGCTGGACGAGGCGGCCGAGTGGGACTGGAAGCGGGTTGAGGCGGAGCGGAGAAGGGGGCTGGAGTATGCCGAGCATTTCGCTGCGCTTGATGGGACGAACTCGCTGTTTGATGGCGGCGAGGACGGCGCAATTGGAAACTTTCCGCTGGGTTAATTGTGTGAATAGAGGTTGGGAAGGAGTGTGAGCGGTGTTGGTGGCTTGTCGCTTGTGTGGGGGACACTCCATCGGTATCAGACATAGATATACATCTTTAGAGCTGGCTAGCTCTCATCCGTTCCATGCTCACGGGCTTGAGAAAAATCCTGCATTTGAGACGGGTCACCGTAATATACGGCGGCTTTATGGCTTTCATCTCGTGTCACTCGCCCCACCCTGCCTCGGCATCTGATCTCCTTGCCGGCGCCAGGGAAACTGTGGAACTGCAGGCTCCTCATTTCCGCGAGTCTGCAATTTAGATTTCCAGTTGTTCCTGGATCTGTTTGATGCAACTTGGTGGAGCGCCGAAATCCTAATTCACATGCATGCATTCTAGCAGGCGCCTCCACTTCCACTTCCACTTCCACACTCCAACAACAGTCATGATCAGATTGTAAGATTCATTACGTGGTACTATGTCGGCACTTAAACCCACATCACCCCCTCAGGTTCTCAGCAAAGCCAAAATGGCGCTCCAGCAAGCCAACGCCGCCGCTGCCGCACGCCAAATAGCCTACTTCCGCGCTATCCCATGGTGCGCCTCTCTCCTTTCCCAACCGAACCTCGTCATGGACCAGTCCGTCTCGCGCCGCCTCTCACACACGGCCCGCGACACGCTCCTCTCGCGCACCCTCAACTCGGCCGAGGCCATACCCGCTTACATTACTTTTTATCCGCGGCCCTCTCCATCATCAACACCACCGGCATCAGCATCTGAGTTTCAACCTCAACCTCATTCTACAGAATCATCACAACCACTTTCCGGCTCTCCGAATAGTCCAAACTTCATCCGCGAACTCAAATCCTTCGTCGCCCTCGGCCCGGGTCTCAACGGGTGGGAGGGGATCTGCCACGGCGGCATGGTGGTCACGCTGCTGGACGAAGTCATGGGCCAGGTGTTTGCCGCCAACAAGGCGCACGGTTTGCTGGCCGACATGCCCGTCATGACGGGGTACTTGAACACGAGGTTCGAGAAGCCCGTCCGAACGGGGACGTCGCTCGCGAATGATGGGAGGGGGGCGAGTGTGGTCTTGATTACGGCGAGGTTATTGAGGAATGAAGGGAGGAAGTATTGGATGGAGGGGGAAGTGAGTAACGAGGGCGGGTGTGTGATGGCGAGGGCGGAGGCGTTGTTTATTATGCTGAGGGGGAAGTTGTAACTACGACTTTTTCTCTCTTGGATTGACTTTCAGGGTCGGGGGGCGATGTGGAGCGTTGTGGACTGATAAAGTTGATAGAAACGGTAGATATACCCTACTAGTAAGGAATACTTATACGGAGTTTGGTTTCGAGATAGAATTACTTGGCAGCCTTGGTTGTTCATCACAGAGCATTGTTTGCTGTCCTGGCTCATTCCCGGAGAATCTCTCATCGACTGCCGAGCCGGAACGTGGTCACCGAGTACAACCAGGTATCCATCGCAATGACACCTCGCTTTCATGCACCGCAGATCGGCTGGCCTCCTGAAACTCGACGAGCAAGGCAGTTCGGTGAAACAGCCTGATCCCTTTTTACCTGCCCTAAATTTCCACGAATCCTAGTTTGCAAGTCATTAATAAGGTCACTCTATGGAATGCCGATACGGCAGTGTTGATTCCGCAGAAAAGGGACAAATATATAATAGATGCCGTAGTAAGCACTCGTCCATCCCTCAGGCTCGTTCCCGGCCAACCTCCTCTCACCATCAACCCCCTATTACACCACCACGCCCACCAACCACCATGCGCCTCCTCTTACTCGCCCTCCTCTGGGCCTTCACAACCCTCAGCAGCGCCACGATAACCTGGCGCCTGCAAAAGGCGAGCAACCCAACTAGCGACCAAGCCGACGCCTACTCGCGCATCGAGTCCGCCATGAGCAAGGCCGTGGCGCGCTACAACCGGCTGGCCCCGCGCGCCAACAAGGCCGTGACGGTCCAATACGTGCCCAGCGTGCAGACGGCCGACGGCAACTTCAACGGCAACGTCCGCTTTGGCTCCAACCGCGCCTACATGACGGAGCGCACGGCGTTGCACGAGATTGCCCACACGCTGGGCATCGGCCAGACGAACGCCTTCAACACGCGCTGCGCGGCCAACAACTGGCCGAGCGCCACACGGCTGCTGCAGTCGTGGGATGGCGCCGGGGCCAAGATCAACTGTGGTGGGGGACATATCTGGCCGTATGGGTTGAATTATGAGAATGAGATGAGTGAGACGAATGCTGAGAGGCATTGTCGGTTGATTGATGCTATGTTGGCGGATGGGTTGGCGGCTTGATGAGAGGAAGGACATCATGGAAGCAAGGTGCTGGGATGTTTAATGTAAGGTCGCGGCAGCGCCTGAGATGAGGGAGGGTTGTGGATTGAATGCAGGCGACTTCGCTGGGTTCAGTTGTGTTTCAAATGGGCATCTTTATGGATGCAGCGCTGAATTGAGCTCGTTTTTCCAACTCCGCAGTTTGCTCGAAAGGCGGTTGAGTGTCCTGAAGACAAATTTGTCGAGCAAGGAATAAGGAATCGAGAAAGGGGCAGCAAGACACTGCAGTTTGGTCCTGTTTGTTGAGAAGCTGACGGTAAATAAATACAAGTAATAAGCGACTGTGATAGCATGGTGTTAGGGTGCTACCGTAGAGGTAGCTGTGAAGGAACACGATTTGCGGGAGGCCTAATAACAGCCAGCGAGTAGGAGCAGTTGAAAGACTAATGAACATAGAAACCATTGAAACGCAGGTAAGTTATATCGAATGATAATGGTCTTTTGCCAGAGCTGTCTGCTATCAGGTTGTGTGACTTGTCCTGTTCCCTATCAAACTTCCAGTCGTCTTATTGTACGGAGGTAGTTAACGAACCATTCTTCTTCAAGTTGTTCTGGGCCTGTAACCGCCCAGAGGCGATGCGCCTCTGGTGATTTTGGAGCCGGTCACTTGCTATTCTTTCAGCTCGAGATCGTCTGGAAGATCAACTGCTAACGCGATAGGCTCAAGAGCTCCTTCTCATCCTCATGAACATCGGGTGATTCTTAAGTAACTACTTTATTGACCAAGTGAGACTGCATCGGGACACTAGGTAGTATTGTCTAAATTCTAAAAAAAAACCTATTCCAGGATCTTGAGCCAGCAGTCTAACGTACAGATCAGTCTACTTATACAGCAAGCATTGCAAGGGAGAAAAAACAGGCCAGACCCTCCTTTCTAACCAGACTCCAGCGCTCACCTAGACTGTCAAACGCCATGTACCAGTAACTACCAATCGGGCTGTAAACCTCAAACGCCCTATACCGGCCTCTACTCCCCTTCCACCTCGATGCGAATCGCCTGCAACACCTCATCCCCCACCTCGATCGCATCCCTCCTGCTTACCCGGCTATACACCAACAGATGAGCGACATAGGTCCTCGCCCCGTCCGTGTACAGCCCGATTCTGTCGCCAGGAGCACAATAGTCCACGGCAACCACAATCCTCTCCTTGAGGTCCGGCCGCCGCGTCTTCAGTTCCTCACAAGGCGACAACCCCGACGGCCACCTGACGACACCCTCCTTCGGCGCAGGAACATAGACCAACCGCGACCAGTACTGCGCGCCCCTCGTCCTGCTCTCAGCCGCATGGTCAAACGACCTGGCAACCAACCGCAGCCTGTCATGGTCCCCCACCGCAGCCAGCATATGCGCCGCGAAGAAGTCGATCCCATAGGTATGCCGCGAGGGCACACTGACCCTGTACCCGGGCGGACGCGCATTGATCTCGACCAGCTTGCACTCCGCCTTCGAGACCATCGCCGCCCCATCCTCCCTGCAAGACCCAAGGCTACCCCTCACCACCAAATCCACCACTCCCTTTCCCACATCCCGATACTCCATTTCCGACCCAACAACCCTTGCCTCGACATGGAAAACCCCCGTCCGGAACCCAGCCTTGACCAACAGGACTCTGAGCGTCTCCCGCACAGTCTCCTGCTCCTTCCCAGGTAACGCCGACGGCAGCGTCAGCGCCTCGGGACTGAAGGTGGCTTCGACGCCCGCATCCTTCCCGTCCGCCTGACACGGCGGCTCGTCGGCAATTTCAAAGAACAGGACCTCGCCGTCGACCAGGACAAAATTTGCGTCGATCTCCGGCCCGTCAAAAAACGGTTCGATGACGGCTGCGCTGCCGTGGCGGGCTGTTGCCTTTGCCACTGCGGCAGCGAGGTCCCCGGGCGAAGAGACTTTGCTGACGCATTCCGAGGACCAGCCCTTTGTGGGTTTCACGATGAGGGGGTACACGGGCGTGAATGCCGCCTCGGGCGATGAGAGGAGCGCGTTGAGTTCCTCAACCGACGAAACACGGGCCACACTGTGGCCGGTTGCGTCCTGCAGCAGGCGGGAGCGGTGCTTATCGACGGAGGTCTGGAAGGCCGAGACGGGGTTGGTGGGCAGACCTAATGCCTCGGCGACGCGGGCGGTGGCGACGAAGAAGTTGTCTGATAGTGTAAAAACGCCGTGAATGGGCAGCGGGTAGCGGACGATGGAGGCCACGATGCGGTCGACGACGCCCGCGTCCTCGGTCATGTCGGTCGCCAGGAAGGCCTCGCGGTGCATGCGGTTGTCGTCTGTGTCGGGCTGCAGCCAGTGGCCTTCGTCATCGATGATGATGAGTTCGAGGCCGAGGGCGCGCGCTGCGCGGTAGACGGGTCCGCCGGCGGTGAGGTTCGGTCGGCCTCGGATGAGGGCGACCCGCTTGCGGGCGACGGGTTGTGAGGTCAGCCAAGGGGCGTTGTTGAGGCGGTCGCGGAGCTCGTGGGTTAGACCCAGCAGGTACTGTTGGAGGTCAAGGATCGAGACGGATGATTCAAGATCAACCCACTGAATGAGGCCCGCAGCCTGCTCGATCAGACTCGCCAGGTAGGCCTCCGAGTGAGCGAAGGGTGACAGCCGGCAAGCAGTGTACTTTTGCCGGACATGCAGACATTCTTGAATTTTGGAGATGGGGAAAGGAAAGTCTTGGAGGCGGAGTCGCAGAAAGTCGGACCGGCTTGCGTACCCATCGGTTGATGGAAGGATGGCGGTGAAGACGGAGACGCCGGCAGTCGCCCAGTTGGATTGACCGAGGCCAAGGTTTGTGAGAGCTTCGATGAAACGAGAGGTTTCTGGGTGTGGCTGGTGTCCGTTAACTCCATTGACGCCCTTGACGGCGTTGGTCTCGCTTACTCCATTGCGAGATGACACAGGACTGTATGACAATCGCAATGAGCTTGGGAGGAGGATAAAATGTGCAACCGAGTACAGGTCGCAGAGCGGAACAACCTCCCAAAAGAAGGGACGGCGGGAACTGCTTGGTCCTGTTGGGCGTCAACGTCTATGTCATTGCCTTCGGATTCGTCTTGATGAATTGATGAATGGCACTTACTGTTGACCGATTCGAGCGGCGACGGTGGGGTGTTGAGAGTCGGCGAGTTAGAATCGGTGTCGGAGTCGAGGAAGAGCTTGGGCTGCTGACCGTCGAACTGGCCCGGCAGCACCCCAACAGCCATGATTGATGCGTGTTATAATGACAGTCGATGGGTAGACGAGCTAGTGGAATTAAACAGTGGCCTAGAAAGGATGGGAGAAGGTCAGAAAGGCGAGAAGGTGACTGGAGCTAGCGAAGAACTAAGGTAACCTAAGAAACCTGCCCAACGCGGTCAAAAGGCATGTGAAATGTGCTTAACATCGTCAATTTAAAGAAAAACGAGTTGACGGAAGACGACAGGACTCAGACGAGGCAACTTTTAGGGCACGCCGGTCCTTGGGCTCACCGCTGGATGGGCACAGGCAGTGCAACAACAGGGCAGAATCTGCGTCATCAAGGGTTGGCATTTTCGGAATTGCACCACGGAACATTGCCGTAGATTGCAATACGGAAGCACAGGGGAGTGAAACCACGGCAAGGCACGGGAAGGGGCGCTGCGGTTTTTTGGTTGCGAGATTGTGATTGTTGAGAACCTCGATGGGCTCCATATAGATCGTATGGCTGATCTGATAAGAGCCCCGGTTCGTTGGCCGATTCAAGAGGCTTGGGGGCTTCTTAGCCCCTGTTGGCGCCACTTTTCCAATCTTGAGACCCGTTACCGGACCCCGAGAACCCTGATGGCCAGGTACCTTGATGGCCTGCCTATGCAGCAACCCGACCTCTCCATTCGCGGCCACCACCCACACAATCTCAACAATGCGGTGGACTCCCGTTCCTCCTCCAGAAGCCGTTGGTGGAAGCTTGGGACCCCAAATAGCGCCCCGCGGCTATGGAATGGGATCAAACGCCAGCAGGCGCAAGCTTTCCCAATTGCCAATCTGACCCGCCCCATCGACGCAGGATGAGCGGCAGGCAGGCGCACCATGCAGTCTCGGGTCGTGGATATAGGCCACATGTCAGGCTTTTCCCGCGCTTTTCTTCTTCTCAAATTCCAAACTGTCTTTGATTTCCCATCTCTCTTTGCAAGAAGGTCTTGAGAGTGGGAGTCGGAGACTCAGAGTGACCTCTGACTGACCAAGCATTGGACCCCAGGAGCTGGCGAGTGACGACTCGAGTCGACTCCCGATAGCTCAGCCAGATCGCGCGATAAAACCTCCGCTTTCCCCTGAGAGCGCCACCCTCCATCACCAGGATGCCTCTCTTTGCCTCGTGGCTGCGGCTGGCTAGCCCTACGGCCAAGATGGACGCTCGTCCCTGCGCCTCGCACGATTCCATTGCCATCGTTGAGAAGCCCGACGCCCTCCACGCCCAGCTGGCCGACTCGAGGGCTGAGAAGGTTCGCTGGCTGGTCCAGAGCATCGTCGAGACCCACGCCCAGCTGCTCAAGCTCCCTCATTTTCGGCCGGGAAAGGCCATCAACCACCTCCTGGGGAACCTCGTGGCCGTCTGCTCTGAAATTCACGACCGGGACATTGTTGACAAGGTAGCTCTTCACTTCAGATATTGATTCACGACATAACCCAAGCTAAAATCTCCAGGTCTTATCCAACCCTAACGTCCAAGGAGTCCTCCTCTCCCTCCGCCAGATCTGCGCCCAAGCCGAGTCCTGCCTCGAGCTGCATTGGGCCGAGCACATCCTCGCCGGCGGACCCCAGAGCCCCGACGAAGTCCTCGCCCGCCTCAAAACCTTTCCCTACTACGAGAACTACGAAGAGCTCACCCGCCTCGAGCTCTGCGCCATCCTCTCGGCCACCAAGACCCCGCCGCGCCGTGTCGCCTTCATCGGCTCCGGGCCCTTGCCCCTCACATCCCTCTGCCTGCTGCAGTCCCTAAAACACGACGCCCTCCTCGCCCGCCTGGCACCAGCAACACCCCACCCACCAAACGGCACCGCCATCGACATGTCTGTGTTATCTCCGGCAACGGACCCCCTTATCCTCAATGTAGACTACGACCCGGCCGCAATCGCCGCGTCCCTGACCCTCTCGCTAGCGCTGGGCGAGACGGGAAGTGGGATGGAGTTCATCTGCGCCGAGGCCACGTCCCCGTCCAAGGACCTCGCCGAGTTTGACGTGGTCTACATGGCGGCGCTCGTCGGCATGTCACAGGCGGAGAAGGAGGGCATCATCCTCCAGGTGGTCGATCGCATGCGGGCCGGGGCGCTGCTCGTCGTGCGCAGCAGCTGGGGGCTGAGGAGTTGTCTTTACCCGGAGGTTGATCTCGCTACCGAGGGGTTGCTCAAGAAATTGGAGTGCTGTGTGGTGGTGCACCCGTATGGACAGGTGGTGAATTCGGTTATTGTTGCGAGGGTTAGACAGTAGATGCAGGTGGGATAGATGGAGTAATATTTGATTGATGGGCGGTATCATACATCGATAAACTCAAGGGGCAAGGGGGTAAGAGAAAAGCTCAGAATGGCATTTTGTACAGGGTCTGTTGAATCGTTTGGCGGCAGCATTGCATTTTTTTTATTCATCGCATTTCCACTCAGCACGTTAGACAGGACGTGTGGACGAGATATGAACCCTCGAAGTCACAATCGTGTTAGCCTGGCAAGAAGCCTTCTGGGGCAAGCTTCCATACGTTTAGAAAAAAGAAGGGTACGCACGCCGAGTTGCGGTTTCTGAAAGATTGAAGAGATACATACATAATGAATGGCATGCTAGGTTCTGAATCATTCTCCACACTCGTGAGGGACCACCGTCCCGGGGTGCCCCAAGTCAGCCCAAGTGTCGTTCATCCTACAAGAACCTCCAGAGCTCGCTGCAGCTCCATCTTTCTTTCATGCATACATCGGAAGATCCGAGAACCCATCTTGCCGTTGGGTTTGAAACTGGTAACTTCAATGCCGCTGCTAACGAGAGACCAACACGTCGAGAGAGAGCAGTATATGGCCTGGCGGGTTACATGTCGAAGTACCTCTTTCTTCCAAGTTTCCCCTCAATTTGCCACACCAGATCACTGATTTGGCATACCCAAAGCCAAAGTCCCAGCCTTACGTGACACCTGGCTAAGAAATTGGTCTATCTATCCGACCGGCCAGGCGCCACTTCAATTCAACCTCAGCCATGGGAAAGACTTTCCCCTCGAACCAAGGGTGCTTCATGATCCGCTCAAGGCTCGCCGTTTCTCCAGACTTCCACTTGAACATGCTCCCAAGCAAATCACCAAACTGGTGGATGTCATCTCGAGTCATGTAGTACTCGTACTGGCGATTTTCCTCCCCGTGCCCTTCCCAGTACTCATCGTCTTCGTCTTCCTCGTCCGAGCCTACCCGATACCTCAGATGCCGCAGCATCCTCTCCTCCAAGAGATCCTCCGTCCCCCACTCTTCCCTCCTCTTCTTCCTCGCCGCCTCATCCGTCTCCGACATTCAGTCACTACCCTGTCCCAAATCACCGCCTTCCTCCGTCTCACTATCTTGTTGTTCATCATCCGCCACCTCCCCAGCAGCAGCGTCACCCCGCAACATCCCCTGCCACGCCACCCAATACACCCTCGGCAGCGGACCCAAGTACCCCTCCAACCAGGACATCATGGGTCAGATATCCGGCCCAAAGAAGGCTCCTGCCGGGAACGGCTCGATTCCGCACACGACGGCGAACATGGTCGCCGCGAGCGACCGCATGTCCGTGGCGCGCCCCAGGGGGGCGACGCAGAGAAAGTCGTCGGGGGCGCCGTAGTTGAAGGGGATGCCAGTCGTCTGTTTGCCGTCGGCTGTGACAGTTGTAGAGAGTGTGTCCTCCGCTGGGGAGTACATGTAAGATACGCCAAAGTCGGCGACGGCTATCGAGGGCAGATTGAAGCGCTTGTGGTCTGGCCGGGATAGCTGAGTTGGACGGGGATGACGAGGTATTTGGGAACGTTTGGAGGGAAGGTTGCGTCGAAGCGGTCTCAGGGTCGAGGTCATGCCTGTAGTCAGGGTCACATTCGCACAGGTGGCCATTATGGGTGGGGCAGGGAACAGCTTCGTCTTGAGCGTTTCCGTCGTCGTCGTCGTTGTCGTCGTCGTAGGAGGCATTGTGTTAGTAAGAAACCGGCATGTAAAAGACGGGACCGTCCTCGCCGTACTCGGGGATGCACTTTTGGACTGGGAGTACCGTCGGGACGCCTCCCAACAGCTAGATCATTTCCTTCTCGGCTAGATCATTGATGCTGCTGTCCAACTTCAAGAGGATGTTGGAGGGGCGAAAGTCTCCGTGGCAGGGACCCTTGCTGTGCATCAGGTGCATCGCCCTGATCAGCCGGGCACAGATGTCCTTGAGCACCGTAGGTTTCTTCCGGTAGTGGCGTGCTGCGCGAGAGGTAGGTGGTTTGAGGAGCGGGATAACAAGACAGAGACGCCGGCCGTTGGGTCCAGTAAGCCAGAAGTGCTCGAAGAGACTGGCGAGCGGGCATGGTCTGGTATCCTGGGGCAGAGGCTCTCCCACCAGGAGGTCACAACGTGAAAGTTTCAGGTCCGGGCAGTCGTCGCTTGAAGCATCGGCAGCAAATATCTTTACAGCTTGCCATTTCTGCGACTTCAGATCGCGGCAAAGCCACACAATGGCCTGCCCGCCATAGCCGGCCTTATGCACCACCTTGAAGCGGCCGTTCAGACGTCTCCGAGAAGAACAGGATGGAGTCCGCCGGGTTCGTAGTAGTTAGCCATCTTCGGCAATCTCCAAGTCCGCAAAGTAGTGATACTCTTGAGGCTGCTGCAATTTCAGCGAGCTCTCCATAGTCTCGAGTGGTTTGTTTGAGCGCCGGTTGTTTGTGAGAAATTGGGAGTTGAGGGTTGGAGATACGTTACTCAAATAAATTGAGGTGTGCCATGAAAAAAGATAGAGAAATTTGGCGCAGGAACTGCAGACCATGGTGGTTAAATGGCCTAGGCGCGTTCGACTCTTTCACATGAAGCGCATGCTGGCTTTGTTTGCCTGACAATGGATGGGCTGAAGCCTCGTGCCAAAATCGGAAATGTGACAGTTCGGAAAAACCAAGGAGCTATTTCGAGACTTTCTTTGTCTCTCGAGACAAAGGATTGTCTCCTCCGGGGCCCCTGATGTAAAGGAACAGTATTACCTTCGCGCCGCAAAAAGTACCAGGTGTCTGATATGTGATGAGTGTCGTGGCTATCCATGTCGGTGACTTTGCGCCAACATCTACCCCTTACCCCTAAGAAACTGGGCGTCCCATAGCCCTTTTGGAAATCTCTGTATCAACTATTCATTGTTTGTTTTAGTTTCAAATTTTCAGCTTTGATACTATCCCATCATGTCACTCACGGTGCAAGGCAAATCTTGCTGGTTGTCACCCGTGGATGTAGATGATTAGAATAAGGCAAAGTACATGAAAATACTAGAAGTGTATTTACAGGAAGTATGATGTATAGCCCATCCCGTCAATCTGGATGGATGTTGTACCTGTCACTATACTCAGGTACCCCATGTCTTAGTTCTAAGTGCCTCATTGATCCCAGTTCAAATCCCTTTCTCTTCTAATCAACACCGGGGCAGGTGAGCCATTCTTCTTGTTTTAATATCGGCGCTCGGTATTGCCTGGCGGCTACATGAAGTTCAAGGTACAGAGGATCTCGAGCTTTTATAGCAGTGGCGGACCTGACTGGACAGAGGCACGACAGCGGCACCGGAGCGGAACAAGGCCTCCTATCCCTGGCATCTTCTGTCGGAACGAAGCCGCCTTGATGGCTGCATTCAACGGACCTCGGTGGTTGATTGGTGCCAGCACCGCAACCCCTCTTCCTTACATACTTAGTCCTCTCCCATGCCCATCAACAGCATGGTCAATCAATCACTTTTTACCACATTAAAAAATTCAATCCACTGCTTTGACTGGGAATAGCTTCTTCCAGCGCATATCTCAGCGGTCGTCGCCCTGCAGGTTCCAACATCTTCCCCCCGCACACGCAGAGTGGCCGATGGCCCGAAGCAGAACATCTCACGCGTTCTGGCACTTATGCTGAACCCTGGATGCGTCGAGACCCCCTCCTCTCCCGCTTCACTTAGTTACAACCTGATGAAGCTCGGTGCCACTAACAACAACACTTGACACGAGCGTTCAATTCATATAGGCCGTCCCTCATGACATCGTCAAGCCGTTCCTTTAAAAAAGCGGAGCTCAAATCTGATATGGTAAATGCCATCAACTACATCTGCAGACTTGAGGCTTTAGAACAGGGCTTCAGGTGCCTAGTAGTCAGGGGCCCAGTACACTGCACTTACACGGTCCGCGATCCCACAACGAAGCGCATCACAGGCCATAAGCCCGTGGACGAGAAGCTTACCGTCTTCGTGGGAGAGTCTTGGCCAGCTTGTCAGAGTCAAGGCCACATCTATGTGGTCACCGAACAGCACGGTCTTCCCGTTCAGCGTATAAGGGAACCTGAAACGAGCAAGTTGATTGCACCGGGTTGCAAGCCCGCCGGCACCGACTTCTGGCTTCTTAGGGGACAATATATGCGGCCTAGTTGGGGTCCAGACGCTTGCCCACTCAAGGTTGGTGAGCGTTGAGCAACCAGAGTTACGTTTTACCTCTCGGAGAGATCATAGATGAGAGTCAAGAGAAACTGTACTATAACTGGTGTTTTTACTGTGTATGGAGAGATCGAGTTGCCGTTTAGATTTGAGGTATCACTAAGGTACCTTGGCGTTGTGTTTCTAGGCTCGAATATCCCCTTGGTTCACTTCGATCACAGCGCTCTTAAACATTCCTCATCGACATGAAGGGAGGAATTGCCCCTCCAAGATTTCTACCATGTGCGATTTATCTACCGTGTGCGATTCAGATGCAGTAAAACTTCCAATGGCTTTTATACCCAATGCGGCAGTGGCAACGCATAGCATACCTGAAGCAGATCTGATGTCCAGCCATCAGGAAGACGGGATACCACTTCGTCTTGGTACCACATCAAGAGTTTCAAGCGACAGCTCGACGCCGGGAACATCAACGTGATGAAACAGTATAGTTTCCAGGTACATGTCACCATTGAGTATTGGCCATGATTATACCCACTGTTGCTGAGTCGATGAGCCGACTTTGATTATATAAGGGACTCTGGAGGAAACGAGCGAGGCAACAACTTGCAATGGGAGTGCACAAAGGGCGTTTTTGTGTGTATCAGGCACTGGAAATGGCTCCGGAGGGGTGAGAAGCAGATTTGTGTAGGAGTTGAACCTGGGAACGCAAGGTAGGAACCACAGTGTGTATCTGTTGACCACCACGCCATACCGTCCCAGTGATTGGGGGATGTGTCCTGATAAAAGGTCATTATCCCGGGCCGGGGGGTGTTGACCCATTCACCACTACACTAGAGAAGCAAATACCGCGATCAAACAACACGAGCGACTTCGATGGCAATCCTCTCATGGAGACGATTCCTTCTCGCAACTCACTGCGACACCGAAGCCCGAACTCGACCTCCCAATTCCCCTTACAGACAATGGCGGGGCGCCACAGCTATCATTGTCTCGAGCATAAATCCGAATCGCCATCCCGGAACAGCATTCCAAGCCGTCAAACGCCACCAAGCCACCAAACACCTCTCCAGACTCTCCACCCACGCGCGCCTTGCACCCGCCAGGGCAGTAGCCGCGAGCCCAGACAAAACCAACCAAACGCCCCGGGGGGTCCCAATCGTTGATATTGTACGGATACACATCCAGCAAGCATAACGCGTCCGCCGGCGCTTACTTGCGCTTGGCGCCGTGTTATTTGCCGCCTGTAAAGCAAGTGAAGGATGATGACATCAAACAGAAGAGGAGGAACTTTAAGGAAGGAATGAAGGAAGGAATGCCTTGGCAATGTATCTTGAGAGAGGTAACCAAAGGTAAGGTGTGTTCTTGGGGCGCTGGATCGGGGCTCCCGCTGTTGACACTGTACTTGCTGCGTCCAAGAAGCCATCAGAATTTGAGTCTTGGGGCGGGCGATCGGCCAGTTTCAAAGCCAGCGTTGGTGGACTTCGTTCAGACGAGGCAGATTGCTCCCACTACGGTGGACTGTGGTCCCAGGAGCATCCTGGTCATCTCCCGTGGTATGTTATGGTGGGAAAGTGGGGGGTGCAGGCTGAGAACAGTCGAGGAGGGATCATGAGAATGGGGGAGAATGTGTTAGAAATTGCATTCTGTTTGGCCAGTGATTGACGATCTCCTTCACGCCAATTGAATGACCTGAGACACAGCACAACCTCCGGTTGCAGCACGCCGGCAAACGTGATTGCTCGGTATTAGAAGCTCAGTTATGTAGCAGCTGCTGGAGAAAGCACTGGCTGCTCCTCCTCATTTGTGCTGCTCGCCGGGCGCGCTCATCCAGACCGACAGATTTTGGAGCAAGCAACCAGGTTTTTGTCCCGCAGCGCTCACTCCTGCTACGCGACGGTGAACTTCACAAAACTGACCCAAGGATTGCCATCGCCAGTGGCCTGTCGTTGAGCGTGGCTGGGGCTCTCTGTACGCTCAGGGCCGGTGAACCGGGATACTCCAGAAGGATCCCAAACATCCATGCAATGACACGCCACGTCCACTGCCATCCTCGTGGTTTTCACGCTTCCAACCCGCTAAGACGACTCCGCTTTCTCATGAGCCTTCATTCAAGTACCTGTACTTGCGAGCCTGATACCCACACCCACAACTGCTCTTGTCAAAGGATTGCATGGAAGGAGTTGGCCAAGGCACGCTTGTCGGCGTATGGCGCTTGTCTGGTGGCTCAGAAGACGTCCTATCCGGCCTGCAAGCGCATACCAACCGCATAGACGCTCGGCTCCATTGGGCCGGAACCTGGCCATTCCCGTGGGGGACTCTGTCCAAGGTTGGGTTGGTTGCCGGCCAGGTCGACGAGGCCAAGGGGCAGCAGCAGCATCTGTACTGGATCGCCGGCAAAAGGATCCGGCATCGCTGCAAGCAAACTGCCACATCCTCTGCTTGGCAGCCTTTCCGTGGTCGTGAGGTGTCTTCCAGCTGAGATCTCAGGACTTTGCTGGCAAAGGACGCATTATAGCCCCAACCGTTAGCTCAATGTTGTTTGTCGGCGAATACTAACCCATCGTAAGTCGCCCAACGGCATCTCAGATGCTGCAGAAGCAACAGGTCATATGAGGAGAGACGGCGACAGAGTGGCTTGCTTGCTGCACCGGGTCCCTTGCTCTGTCCAAGACTTTTTCCTTCCCACGATTTGAGAAAGCATGGAACTTCTGGAGGGTTGCGCGGGTTGGCCCAGCATGGTCCGCGGGTATCTCGGCTACCAGTCGCGTCAACGGACGAATCTGCACCACTTCTTACCGCAGTCAATGCATGTTGGGTCGTCTTGGCATGCGCGGTAGCCAATAGCGCCGGCTAAGAGAACTCCACTGTCCGGAGAAGGATCCGAGAGCCGCGACCTCGACCAGTGCGCAGTAACACAAGCGTTATGCGATCTTCCTCGGAGATGGCCTGCCAAGGTCAGTTATGGAGACTCGTCATTCCTCCCCTCCGCATGCGGATGGCGAGAAGACCAGGTCGGGGTATAACTGCAGCCAACGCGCTTGTAAGCGCCGGATGCACCGCTCGTCTCCTCCCCATTGGCCAACCTTGCGCCACCGCCTGCACCAGATCGTACACGCATTAGCGCAATCCCACCGGGTTTAGCATGGCGAGCAGAGTTGGCAACATTGATTGCACATGTGTCTGATATGGTGGTTCTACTCTGCTCACCGATGGCAATATGCAGGCTGCTCGCCGCCGGTGGCAGGGGTGGCACTGCGTTTGCTAGAGAAGCCGGTGGCATCGGTGGCAGCCGGCCAGCAAGAGGGCAATGCCGTCAGCGGAAATGACAAACTGCTTGCTGGCCAAGGGGCATCTGCTTGCATGTTCGATGGAGCATGTCTGGCCAGATGTCGGGCAAGTCTGGGCGGTGTTTCCAAAGGTAAATTGTCGTCCTGCTTGCAGAGTCTAAACTTCATGAGGAAGCTCTGGGCCAAGAAATTTTGGGTCTCGCTGTTTATCCCGAATACCGATCAATGTGGGTTTGCGGCACAGCTCAAGCCCGGGTTGGAGCCGGCCGAAGGAGAACGTGGAGGGCCGGGAACGAGTTCCGCTCCTCACAGGCCCTGCGAGCAAGAAAGATGCGCCGCATTGCGGATGTTTCTCCATTCGTTTCGTTTCGCGAAGAGATTGTAGTGAAGGCTGAACTGCAGGATCTCAAGCTTCAGGTTTCCTCGGGGTGGTCTGTGCGGAGTGTCCTTCGTCAAGGGGTTCAAACACGACACACAGACTCCTCATGAAGACGTTTTGAAACGAAACAGAAGCATCGGCTGATTTGCCGGGTGTTTCGAGAATGCTTGCGATGAACTAGCTCATCAATAACCGTCAAAGGTCATCGATCCCCGCAGACCCGGCTCTTTGGGATGGTGTTTCGGTTGGTGCCTCGTTGTATGCATTCTCGAGGCAAGATGCTCCTTGGCTGTGGGAGGGAGGATCGGGGTGTGACTGCCAGGGGTTTGATCCCCGAGAGCAAGCAACAAGATTGGCGCAGCGAAAGTCGAGATGCTGGACAAAGCTGAGCCCTGCCACATGCAGAACCTTTTTGGGAATCGCGAATTGGCGGCTGTCGGGGATTTGGATTTCTGGAAGCCATGCCTCTGGCGATGGTAGTCCTCTGCTAGCTTGTTTGAGAAGCATGGGCGACGATCAAGAGTGATTAGCTCCGCGCTTTTGGCATGCTGATCAAACCAAGCCAACGGTACAATGAACGTGTGAAAGCGTTCGTCAACTGGAACCAAAACCGTTCAACCGTTCAGAACGGATGGTTTCTCGCCAATGTACGGGGTAGCAACAAAGTTGTGGGAGGGACACCCTGAGTCGGCCTGTTTCTCTAGGAACCTATTAGTATTATAGGTATAGCTCCTAAGGAGAAAGTAACGATAAAATAGATCTAGTTCTGAATATTCTTACTAGTAGTAATAGAGTCAAAATCTTTAACGTAGCTAGGATTGCGGATGGACGGCGCTATTTTGAACTGATCTAAATGCGGCTTGCTATCACACAGTCCCGAACATCTGGTCTGAGCCTTGATAACGTCATCCATCTCGCATGCAAATGCTTCATAACTTGTTTGGAGCTTCAGTAAAGGAGTCGAGTTGTAAGACCACCACTTGGGGATGAAAGTTTTCTTTATCGAGATGCTACGGAGGTGCTCCTTCCTGCAAAGCGCAGGCTCAAACACCTGCAGACCAGCCTCCTGTCAGCTGCACAGGCCATATCCTGAAGCTTCAGGTAGCTGCCGTTCTTGCCGATTGAGCATATTCACCCCATCGCTGGTAGGAACCTGAACCCTCCTGTTTGAACTCGATTCCCATGCAGCACCGCAAAACTCAAAACACAATTGAAGTCCACAGCGGAATTGTTCGTTTCATAGCCTTCCAGGTTCAAAAGGGGTCCGTGTTCCGGACAGTGCGGAGCGGACCCGATGACACTATCCCCAAAGAAACAAGCTTCCTTGCCTCGGTTGGGCAGCCATTGAGAAGGCGGTAAAATCGCACGCCAAGCGGCCAAGCCAGATCAATCGCCGCGCAACTTGAGTCTAATCCGTATAGCCTAGCCGCTGCCTCGTCTTGCTCCCTCCGAAAATTGGGCCCGCCCGAGTCCAGCTCAATGAACAGACGGCTCTCCGGAAAGCGTTGTGAGGTCGCGTTCCAGATGTTCCAAGCGGAGCGACATGGACCCTCACTTTGTTGGCCTTAAGAATCGTTTCTCAAATCCCCGCATGTTGATTGCTGGGACACTGCCATGCCACGAGACGAACGTGGGCAGCGACGCAATGTATTTCATGGGCAACTGACAGGCGGCACGACAGACAAAACGCAATACGGCAAGCCACGGTATTTCTTCGTTGCCGCCGTCGATGGAAAGGGCAGGCCCGCTCATTTCGCTCGCCGCAGCCTGCCGCTGTTAGGCCGGCCCATTGTCGAGGCCAGGCGCCTGCAGCGGAACCCTCCCTAGGAGAGTTCTGAGCTTCCGTTGACCAGGACAAAATGGATGCAACCCTCTTCCCACCAGGCGAGGCAACGCTGAGCTCTATCCAATTCTGCGCATCGAATGCCGCAGGAACGATGGCCCAATCCCTTACTCATTCAATTGCTGGAGTCAAGTCTGTACCGACCCGTGCAGACAAACGGACAGACCCCAGGGTTGCAGTCTTGAACCCCTGCCGCCCCAGCCATCCCACCATCCAACCCGCACCTGCGCGACCCCTGCGACATCAGATGCGGCGACCCTCGTGCCTTCATAACTAAACGGCTGCAGCTCGAACCAGGTGCCCCTGTTCGGCCCAGCCAACAGAGAAGTGCAAGACTAGGAGGTACGTACCTCCGTGCCGCTCCCGCAGGATCACCATGCTGGTGGAGGCTTGTCTTCCTCTCCACGCTTCACTCCATGGGGTTGTTGGGATCTCTCCCATTTGCACATCTGCCGTGGAAACGTCTTGTCCGTCTTCTCGGCTGTGCTTAGCCGTCCCAAACGAGTGTTTGCGTCGACAAAGGTACCGCTACCTAAAACACAAGGGGTCGCAAGCCCCTCTGCCCTGCCTTGCGCGTCGACGTATCTGCTGTGCGGAGGATGAACGTACCAGTCGTACACAACATCCTTCCCCAGGCTCTCTTTCCTCTGGCCACTTCCCCTGCTCCTGGCGCTCAACCGCACCCATCCCGGTCATCTTCCGGGCTGCAGTCGAGCAAGCCATGGCTAGCCTCTTTAGACCTTGGGACCGCAACCCTGCCGTCTCCACGAGTCTGCCTTGTTCATATCGGGGAAGATATAAGGATTGACCACCCCGCCGACTTCAACACCGACTTCGACACTCCAGCGAGCCTGTCTTGCATACCATCACCAATTCTCTCCCACCCCTCTCCTTCTTTGGCTTCATCGAGCAAGCGCTGTCGAAAACACCAAACATTATCACAACTTCAAGGGTACCGCTGTACCCCTCCCGACAACTGACCATACATCTATCACCATGGTCTCTGTCACGACAGTTGTCTTAGCTGCCCTGGCGGTAGTGGCTTCTGCCGCGCCCGCGTGCAAACCCCTGGCATACACCCTGCCACAAGCTGGAGAAGGTACGTCTCCCCTTGTCATTTTCGCAGAACTTCCTTTAACCGGGCTCCAGGGGATGAACTTGCTGCGCCAGCCGCCAACCTCGTCCTCAAGAAGATCGCTATCGGCCACGGCATCCAAAATTACAGCTGCGAAACGACCGCCTCCAATTTCTCCGCAACCGGTGCGCTCGCTGTGCTTTATGACGCTACCCCTCTGTATCCGAAGACCAAAAAGACGGGCATCAACCAGCGGGAATGGGACAGTCTCCCGACGAACCTGCTCCGGAACCAACCGCTGCCGCTCAACAAGCTCGCCGGCTCCACGTATGGTGCCGACCCGACGAAGCCGTTCCCCGACCCCGCAGACCTGGATCTCCAAGGGCTGCCCCGCAGCAAGTTCCTCGGCCACCACTTCTTCGACAACAAGGGCGTTCCCGTGTTCGATCTCGGCACAGCAGGGCTCAAGGCAGTTGTCAAGAAGGTCGACGGTATTGCAGCTCCACGAAGTGCCGACGCCGGCATCACCGGCTCTGGCGCGGTCCAATGGCTCCAGCTTGACGACAACCTGAGCGGGCAGTCCCGGGGCATCAAGATGGTCTACCGCGTCATCACGGCTGGTGGGGCCGCCCAGGCTTGTTCGGTCGCTGGGGTGGGTGTACAGAGCGTGCCGTACGCCACCTTCTACTGGTTTTACGGGTAACCCGCCTCAGCAAGGGGTAAGCGCAAGTTTGCTCTGCGTTTAAGTGGCGTGGAAAGGCACACGACGGAACCCCGTTGACCGCGCTGTCATTCCATCCCGCTCCGCGGGAAGCCACTCGGGCTTAGTTTTGTCTAGCTAACTGCCCCCGCCTGTTATTATTGTCGAGCTCTTCTTAGCCTATCTCGCACACACACCCCTACACATCGACATATAACACACGCCTCCTTTGTTCATTCGTGCATTTTGCACGCTCACACCCCTGCATTCATGCATTCTTCATTTGGTCTGTTCCATATTTTGGACACTGCTCGAGCATTGCTCGGTTAGCTCGGATATACCCTTTCTTTACCGCATGGGGAATAGTAATGAGAGGTCACCTGGTATGGGCAGGCGTTTGTGTTTGGGAAAATGTTTTGGCTTTTGTATAGAGGGTCTACTGCGTGGGACTTCTAGGGAAAATATGAGTCTATTCCAGTTGTCTTGCACCTGCGTTTGTGGCCTACTTGTTCGGAGCCCCCGAAACATCAAGTCTACCTCGGGCTGGCGACAGAAGCAGGACGGTGGCTCTCAGTTGTCTCCGCAGAACTAATTCAGGGAAATTCTTATCCTCACATGTAGGAGATTAGCTGGGACAGCTTGCTGTAAGTCCCAGCTCTCTGCAGATTACTACTAATGACGAGGCAGACGTAAATTTTCGTCAGCGTAATGAAGAAACACATTCAAGCAACATCGATTGCAGACTCATGTCCAATCTGTCCCACACAAGACTCTACGTTCTGCGCCGCAAAGTAGCTAGGAGATGGCCCGCCCACCCGAGGCACTGCTTCTCAGTCGAGTAGTGATCAAAGAGGAGAGCGGCCCAAGCCTGGACGACCTCATCGCCTCCTCCATTACCACCACCCTCACCACCCAACCTCACCAGCGTTGCGACAAGCCCGTCACTCAAAACGCCGTCATCTGTCGACCGCAACTCACCAAGTCCAGCTCGGCAGCAGGGTGCTTCGCAAAACAAAGGCCTGGATCTCGTCCGGGTGCGTTTGGGAAAACTGCGCCGCCAGCCCATGTTCGTCAGGCCAGGATTTTCTCATACCGCCCGTCCGTCAGCTGCGGAACTCATTCCATTCCATTTATCAGCACTCAGTTACCCAAGGAGCCCTTCCGCTGATTGCCTACTGACATAGAGATAGGCAAGTGAGGAAAGGTGATTTGGTATACTGGCATATCTATTCTAGAACCCCCTTCCCCTTTCACGATCCACGCGCGATCCTGCACCACGCTACACATCCCTCAGGTGCGCCACGCCGCTCACTAAACACCGCCGAATACCACACCGCCATCAACATCACTGCCGCCAGGCTTCATAGACAGACGCGGGGCGTGGGACACGGCCGTCGCTGATGCCATGGAGCAATCCTACTCTAGTACCATCATCTTTGTTGTTGTTATTCTTTTTAGTAGTGGCGTTGGTGTTGTTGTTGCTTACAGTTTCAGAGTGTGATGCTTGCGCCTGGGCTACTCAACCTGGTCAATCAAGTTGACCTGGTAGCCTTGGTCGTCGAGCAGGAAGGCTACCTTAGCTTGCCCGGCCCGCCGCGAATTTCTGCGATAAGCTTTGGTTGTTGTTTTGGCTGATGGGCCTGAGGTTGCTGTTGTTGCGGCAAGCGCTTTGCGGATGGCGCGGAGGGTGAGTTCTCGCTCCATGGGGTTGATCAGCAGGGCGGCGGTCCTCCAGCTGGGCGATGTGCCGTACGGCTTGACCACAGTCTCGGTGCTAGTTGGCATGGCGTTGAATTTGATACAAAAAGCGGTGGGCAGCCAGCCATGGGGCTTAACTATTCGCCTACTAAACTTTCGGGATTGTGAAAGATTCAAATCCCTTTTTATAGCTGGCATATAGTGCTGTGTAGTCCCGCATCTACAACCGGCCAAGACCTAATGGTGGGGGGTAGCTTGCGTGATTATGGGATATCACACATTCGGGGATGCCGGCGATGTCCAAGGAAGACGGTAAACCAACCTGCCACAGCAAACTCGGCCTGCAGTCTTGCAGAGCCTGTACAGTCACAGCTTGTAGGAAGATGAGATAGAGATCAAGCACCAGTGTTGGCTTACATCAACGGGAGCCTAAGAAAGGACCCACAATACCAAGCCGGCTGGTGTTGCTATTTATCCACATCTCAAATTGCAGATATAAACTCCAAGTCGAGTGCCAAATAGACAGACACCATGCAATGAAGGTAGACACAACGCAACCTGTTATACAAACGCCGCTCCTCGTTTCAAGACACTCGTTCCTTTGATCCTCAACCCACTGTGCACCCATCCGAGTCAACTGCCAACCGACCCTTCCCACGAAGCCTGCCTCTTCCCTTATATCAGATCCAGATCCGGCCCAACCCCGAGTCTATCCTAAGTAGCAGCCTAGCCCAAGATCCTAACCCAGCCCAGCCCAAACATCTCAATACCCACCCTGTTGCCCATAGACATACCCCTGACTCTCGCCGTGAGCCCCATACCCCTGCCCTTGCCCGGCAGCATTATACTTCCTACTCGACCTCCCCGTCCCAATATCAATCTGCCGCAGCTCCTCCTCCAGCGACAGCACCCCTCCGCTACTACTCCCACCACCATACCCGTCCCGTCCATACCCATGCCCATGCCCATGTGCAGCAAGTGCATCATCATCCATCCCACTCCCCGCCCGTCGCGCAGCACTGCTACTATGCAACTGCAGCGCGCCACTACTCACGCCCTCAGGCGGCGGTAGCGCAAGCGGGACCTTAGCCGGGATGGGCGGCGCACTGTTGCCGATACCCTCACCACCACTCCTACTACGATAGTGATGATGCTGATGATGCTCATGGTGGTGGTGGTGTTGGTGGTTACCGCCGTAACCATTCCCCGGTGAAGAGCCATAACCCCCCACACCACCACCACCCACACCCTGATCAAACGTCGCGGCCCTCGGGATCTGCCTTGGCGGCGTGAAGTGCTCACTTCCCCCACTGCTCCGCCTGAATCCATTACCACCACCACCAAGACTTGTGCCAAGCCCAGGCCCCGAACCATTAATAGCGCCCGACATGACCGGCACAATAGCCGACGTCGACTGGCGGTAGGCAGCCTTCTTCTGCAGGCGATTACGGCCCGCTGACGGGGTGGTGATGGGCTCGACGTGGTCCGAGCCGGAGAAGGTGATGGCGCTCGAGCTGCTGGTGGGTAACATGGATTGGGGGCGGGCTGCGACGCGGAGCGGGCGGCGGCCCGAGGACGGCGGAGCGGGCTGAGGTCCGGCGGGGGAAGGGCGCGCTGAGGTAGCGCCGGAAGAGTTGGGCTGCTTGGGTTCTGGCTCGGGTGCCCACGTCTCCATAGGCAGATGATCTGACGGGTCGACTTCGCGGCCGTCGTGCGTGATGATCTTGCCGCTTGCTTCGTCGTAGTCGGGCCGCGAGGAGGCCGGGTCACGCAGCGCTGCCGACGAGGCGCTGGGATTCAGTTCGTCGTATGAGTCGGGTCCGAACGGGACGCCGGATAATCGACGGTCTGTATCCACTGGTGGCCTCGGGCTGACAGACTTGCGCCGGATGGTACGCTGCGGGTTTGGGCTTGGATCGCGAGGAGGATTCGGGGAATAGGCGCGTGACTTTATGACAACGCTGACGCTCGAAGTGGACGGCCCGTTGGTGTACACGACGGGACTTCTGTTATGGGCGCCAGGTGCATTGTACGCTGGCGATCCATCATGGCTGTATCCCATAGTCCTACCCCTGGGCGCCGTCTCTACCATGGCCTGCTGCGTGTAGTCCCGTGCCTGGTTCGACTGCCTCCTATCCTGGTTGATGCGCTCCGAGATCTCCATGGCGATGCTCGGATCGACGCCGGGGATCAAGGATGCAGGCACCGGTGGCACGTACCCATTGGATGGTTCCTCTGACTGGCCGCGATACGTCAAGGCCATCTGATGCTCATTAATACCATGCGCTGCGAGGGCGGGCTCAGAGCGCCTGCCGAAATTGGACACATATTCTGGAGACTCGCGCTGCGCAAACTCGGGCGGAGCCATCTGATAGCCGTTTATCCCCTGGTATCTTGCCGGGTCAGGGCCGTGAGAGCAGCGCGCCGAGTCACTGCTACCCCTCCCAGAGAGTGTCAGCGGCGCAGGACTGGCGGTCATGTCATGGTCCGGTTCGAGCGGCTGGAACTGGGACTGAGGGTGTGGCCAGCGGCCCGAATTCCTCCTGAGTGTTGACTCTGGCGACTCGGGCACGTCCTCGACGGTGGCCTGCATCGTCCTGTGCGGCTCGTACGCCGAATCGTACGAGTAATGTCGGGCAGGCGGGCCGTGGTCAGTATTGGAGTATTGTGCGGCGGCGAGCCCAGCCGGGGCAGAGTCATGAGCCTTGTAGGTTGGTCGTCCAGGGTAGCTTCCCGAGACGGAGTTTCGATGGGCTTCGCTCCTCAACACATCCTGCCGCATTGTTGGAGGGGTTGCTTGAAAAGTTCCATTCAGGGCCGGGTTGCTGCCGGTCCTGCTCCGGTGGGCAGGCGGCGGCGGCGGCCTATCGTCCTCAAGAGCCCGGGATTCGTTGGCTTGGGCAAAATCGTATGAATCGCGACGGTCATAGCCCGGCGGCTGCCACTGTGGGCTGTAGCCGTCGTGCTGGCCCGGGTACGGCTCAGCTCTGTCAGGAGTCCGGTACTGTTGTTGTGCCGGCATATCTGACCGACGAGATGGCGTGCCAAACTCTCTGCTGGGATCTGTTGGATGATAGTACTGCTGTACTGGCGGAGCGGGGTTGTACTCGCTCTGCTGAGGGAGTGGCAACTGGTGATCTGACCCGGACGGCAGCTGAGCGGGAGCTTTTCCAGTGACGGGGTCTGACGGCAAGGGGCGGCGTTTGGGTACTGGCCTCGGGCCTGCTGCTGTGGGAGCGACTTCGGGCTCGGCAGCCATCGGCGGCTTCGCCTTGATTGCTGGCTTTTCGGGCTTGGGACGGCTGTCGTAGTATGTGATTTCGATACGGACCTCGCCGGCATACTTGCCTCTGCACGCAAGCTGGTGCCACTGGTCGCTTTGGCCCCCACCGGGTACGACAATGCCGCGAAGGTCGATCCACGTCTCTCCTATTAGTTCTGTCTTTTTGTCGTCGTTGAACACCGAGACCTTAATCTGGTAGTAGTCGGGCGAGTCGTGGACAGTGAATCGGAGTTCCTGGTCCCTGCAGCCGGATTCCTCGGTTAGTCGACGATGAACAGATCGGGGCTTCTCGTCACTTGCCACTTGGGAGTCTGGCCGCCACGGATATCCGTGGTTGTTTTCTTCGCTTCCTTGCCCAGGCGGGCGGCGCAGTAGGGGTCCTGTTTGCCGATGGTTTTGCGGTTCGGCAAGTTCTTGGCCCGGTCGACGACGAGAACCAGGGTGCCAATCTCGGGCCCGTCGACGCTCATGTCGGAGAAGATGCCGGCCGTGTGCATGCCATTGAGTGCGTGGGCTTTCGCCTTGGTCGTCATCTTGTCTGATTTGGCGCGCTAGGCTGGCTCATGATCTGGTGTGATTGGGAGGCCCCGTACGGAGTAGGAACTCACCCCGATCGTTGGGACAAGGAAATCGCTTTTGTTTACTTTGCCCCGCCGAGGCGCTCAACTTGAGAACAATGAACAGCCAAACATGGACTCGGGCGAACAAGGGGACAAAGAGACGAGGTGGCTCATCCAGAAAGAGATTGCAGAGAGAAAGGGAGCAGAGAAGTCAAACGGCAACGAGAATTAGCTGGCTGCTGGTCGCCGGAAAGCATGCAGAGGTGCATGGCACATGCAAATGGGATAGGATCCGATTGCGAGCTGCTCTCGACGTTGCGCTTGAGCCCACTCAGCAGCTAGCCAAGCTCGCTTCTCCAGTGGCTGGGTCGCTGCAATTGCGCGTCGCAAACCGGGATTCGCGGATTCGGTGGCTGGCAGACGCCGGAGTGGAGAAATCAGCGAGGTTGGGCTGTCCCACTTCAGGGCAGAATCGAGATTCAGCTGAGACGGCCCCACCTGCATGGACTTATTCAACAATAACAAGGCTGATGATGTGCAGCTCAGGATTCGAGACTGCAACAACCCTCGAGTGAAACGTTAGTAAGGGTGTCGGCCTCTACTGATATGTGGCTAACTCAGAAACAAATGGATCACAGTCATAAATTTCCACTCTATATTATACCTTCAAGATAAAAATTGAGAAGAGGGAAACGAGTGCTAGCAACCTGGAGTCAACCGCATCCCCTGACTGACGAGTAAGGAACCCGACAACTCCACTTCAAACGCAGCCCAATGCCCAAGTTTCGCATCGACATGTAATCCCGTCGAAAGGGTCATTCATACCTACGGACGTATAAGGATGTTACAATGCTAGTTCTCTGCGAGACATTTGGCTGCGTCGCCATGTAGGCATCGCGTTCAACTACCTTACTGCATCCCTGCTCCTCTGCTGTTCCGGCCTCTATTTTCTGGTCCGTATCAGAAGCAAGTCGAGCGGCGACTCCATGACGGGTACAGTTCCTGGTGCGATATGGCATTGTGAACCTGCCCCCTTGCAACCTTGAGTCGTAGGTAGCGCTCATGGTTGATGAGCTCCGTTGCAAACTATGGTGGGGATAGCTCAAAGTGCTTAAGCATCGCCTGCGTTACGGAGTAATGGGCCATCTGGACTGTTGGGCGCAGTGGAAGGACTCGAAGGAGTACAGGTCCAGATGAAAATTCACCGTACTTGAGCACTGCGGCAGCCCAGACTTGGGAGATGTACACTACCTTATGGATTCACAAGGACCCTGAGAACCTGCGGAGTCTGGCATAGAGGTCTGCGCAGTGCAAATCGTGTGGACCGATGTCACTGCAGATTCTGGCTGCGAGATCAATCAGATCGAGAACAATCTGCTGATAAAAAAGAGAGGCTAATCCAATGGAGCAGTACCTGAGTGCTACACCCTGGTTTTGGCTCAACACCGGCATCTTATCGATAGTGAGGACGGGAGTCAGGTAACAGATCGCTCTCGCCGGTGGCTTGGCTTTCCACAACCCCTGACACGGCGACAACCCGCGATCACAGTCTCGGCCTCTCATCCGGCCTATTGCCATCAACTATTCGCCAGCAAATTACTTTGCTCTGATACCATCCCATTCTCCTCTCCATCTTCCAACACCCTCAGTTACCCCAATTTCACATTCCTATTCCCGTCCTCTTCCAGAAACATCTTACTCCTATATAAAGCGACATACCTTTTCCCCAGCCAAGACCAAACGCTCACGCTAACTATCAACAACCGACCCCCAGACAGCACCACCATCAACCTACAGAACACAACCAAGGAACATCCGAACAACTATGTCATACCCAGCCCAACGAACCCAATCCACGCAACAACAACAGCAGACTCAACCCCCGCTCATAAACTTCATCCTCTCCTTCCTGCTGGTAGGCCTCGCCTGGGGCCTCACAACGCCCTTCATCCGCCGCGCGGCGCGCGATTACCGGCCGGCACCACACCCTTTGCTTTCTTCAGAGTCGGTGCAACAGAGCTGGTGGAAGCGGAGGGTGTTGGGCGGGGCGTTTGCCGTGGCGGATCTGCTGCGGAATCCGCGGTATGCCGTGCCGTTGGTTCTGAACCTGACGGGGAGTGTGTGGTTTTTTTTGTTGGTTGGAAGGGCTGGTATGTTTTTTTCTCTTTTTCTTTTTTTTTTTTTTCCTTTCCGTCAATGCTCTTACTCTCTTTCATCGTTATCTCACTTTGGGCTGGGTGCTGGGGTGGGTTGCGTTTTGGGGGAATGGATGAATGAGTGGATGGATGAAGAGGGAGGGGGAAAGGGGTGGCATAGGTGGTTGGTTGACTGACTGACTAACTGGTGTGTAGAACTGAGCCTGACGGTTCCGATTGTCAATACGGTTGCCTTCTTGTTTACCGTCGTTGGGGAGTGGTGGGTTGAGGGCAACGTTATCAGTCGAGGTATGTCTCTTCTAGGTCCAACAGTTACGAGTGGGCGGGAGTGCTGACGTGGAAGTCAGATACCATCCTCGGAACGGCGTTGTCGGTTGCGGGGATTGCGTTGTGTGTGCATAGCAAGAATGTTGCATAGGGCCGGTTAACTGCTCGGAGCAGAGGATGGAGGGTTTCCCATTGGGGGTTGCTAGACGCTCAATCACTTCCTTCTGGCAAGATGGCTTGCTCTCTGCTCTTCGCCACTGCTTCCGAACCCGTATAGAGGGAACGTCGCCCAGCCAGGACATCAAAATATGTTATACATCACCATTCAGGGATCGCATTCCTCATGCCCTGCACCAGGCAGTTCGTCCTCACCGCCCGCTTCACAGCCCACAATCCTTGGCGCCGTCAACATCAAGCACCAGGCATCCGTATGTACAAACGGGAGCGTGCCCGACGCGCCCGTCCTTGAGACATGTGCTTGTACAGAAACCAAAAGTGGAATCCCCATTTTTCCCCTGCGTATGTCCCGGTGGTATCCCAATAACAATAAGACCCGAGTCTAACCTGAACCGCTTGTAATTGCCTGTCCCATGCAATAGTTCCCTTGACGAACCTGAACAAAAGAATAGCATAGCGCCGACACAAAAAAGAGAAGAAGGGGGGAAGAGAAATGAAGGCGGTGATGCTCCCAGCGTCGTCAAGCAGAAGCACAGGCCTTCCAAAACCGGGTATATGAAGAACGTTTAAGTCGTGGGATGATCGTCATGCGAGAAGGACAATGCAGGTGTAACGGTGTCCTTTGTCGTAGAACTCGTCACATGGATTAAGCGTGCTTCCGTTGGTTCGTGACGTGTCGTCGATTATTTCGTTTTTTTGTCGTCAATGTATTAACACCTTCGCGTCCGCACCCAGCGTTGCACCGCACGCAGGCTTGGGTCCTCGGCCGTCCAGCGGCCCATGGTCATGTCGGAGGTCTGCAGCTCTGTGTAGACGACTTCGTCGGTGATGGCGGCGAGCTCCTAACGGGGTGTTGTTAGTGGATTCTCGGGTGTAGACGGGGAAGGATACAGTAGAATGAAGAGAGGGGGAGGGTTAAATCAGGAGAGAGCGGCCAGGGGGCAAGAGTTCCAGTGCCAGGACGAGAGAGTTACGGAAGAGAGGCACATACAGCCCGCAACTGCTGATCCAACGCCCGCAGATGTGCCTGGTTCCCAGAGTGCGGCCTGCCGCCCATGAGGATCTGGTCCCGCCATTCGATCCAGCGCTGCGCCGCAGTCTGCCGGAGATAGATCTTCTGTCCTTCGTGTCTGCGTGCGTACGCGTCGAGATGAACCCTGGGAAAGGGTTAATTGCCCGTAAGGTGGGGAAAGCAACGAGAAAGGGGGTAGAGGACGACGAGAAAGAAAACGCACTGCTTCAACTCGGCCTTGGCCTGCTCCTCGGGCCCGCCCAACGCAGACGGCACCGTGACGTCGGCCGCGCAGTTGAGGATGTGCTGCCCGTCGAGCGCGCACTGCCGGAGTGCCGCCCACCCTTCGGTGTAGTAGTCGTCCATGTCGGGCGGGTTGCAGGGCGCCGCGGCGATGTAGTATTGGAGCGTGCGGAAGTCGGAGAGCAGCTCGGCCACGCGAGCCGTGCGGTATTCGTTGACTGTGGTCGGGCGCTTCGCGTTAGTGCGAGTCCCCTGAACTTATTGCTTGCCCGCGGTGGCGTCAAGGTGTGGCCGCCTGGTAGGGCGGTCCTGTGACTGGAAGGGGGCTGCCCTAGGGACTTGTAGGGGGAGTGCGTGGCGGGGCGGGGAGGGCTGGGCATGGAGCGTGGGAGGATCACATACGTCCGTCCGCCATTGTATTAGCGTCGGTTTATAGTTGACTGGCCCAAGGAAATGATCAAAATAGACAAGCGCTCTTGAAGGGTACTCTGAGAAGGAAGGTTATTGGTGGAGAGTGAAGGATGTCACAGGCAGGAAGAAAATGAAGGTAGAAGCAATGTGCAGTCTATGCAGGCTAACAAGCGACGACTCAAAGTAGAAGATAATAGCATTCCCCGTTGAGGAGTGGTGATGGCTTCAAGACTCATGGGGTGTAAACTGTGGGTTGAGCCCCCCTGGGCTTTTGTAGAGTTTGCCCTCGCAGACTCCATGACCGTTTAGATGGGGACAGGAGTCGTGAGGACTCCAGGTCCGAGTTCTCCTAAGGGTACGTAGCTGTCGCGAGTGTGTCGTGGGGAAGGACCACCAGATGTCATGCCCGATGTCGAGTTGTTGTCAACTCAACCACGCCAGCGCTTGTCCGACTCGAGCAACGTGCACCTCCACCAGACGACATGTCGACATGTCGTCTGGGCCCCAGCAGCCATTCCGCAGCAGAAACTTGAAGCCATGTTGCATCAGAGCAGAGAACAGCCTTGGTTCCTGCATCGGTGTCCAGCAGCCGGACGCCACCGATGGGTAAGACAGCCTCACGGGGCCCCTACAGAGCTGTATGCCACATGCCGTGAACCCACAACGGTGTTTTACCGTCCAATAACGGGAGTTTGGCCAGCGCATGGTGCAAGGGGAAATCGACAGCCGGAACCGACGGCTGCAACGGTGCACTCAGAGGCGGCCCTGGTCAGGCTGGGAAGAAATGCAGCCGCATGCACAAGACTGCAGGGCTGCCATAGTCCGTCCGATGTCTTTCTTCTTTAGCATGGCCCCTGCGTGTCACTGCAGCCGCAGCAACAGATCGATGTGCACGTCCAGCAGCGTGGAGATGGTGACCAGAGCCGTTCGGTGTGGCTTGGAGTCTTTTCGTCTTTGGAGGTGTGGAGGCTGTTTCGACAGGGGGTCCCCCAAATGGAAGCTTTGGCGAGGTTTCAGCAGCGCCATGGAAAGAGATGACGCCCAATCCGGCATGGCCCCCGGCGGTGTCCCAGTTTTCTCCGGGAGGCAGCTCATGTGTTGCAGGTCGCCGGGAACCAATGACGTTCCCGGGCCTCCACTGGTCGACGACTCCGATCCGTTGTTCGGCAGAGCTGAACCGCCATGGTCGAGACGTCGTCCACTCGATCGTTTGCTCACTTGCCAAAATCGGTTCAAGGGCCTCCACAGAACGGGCGACCTGCCCAGTCACGGACTAAGACGTTGCTCTGCGGTCAGAACCTTACCATCCGGCCCTGTCCGAATGGTTGCTGACAGTCTTGCCAAGACCTCGGAAGACGGTGAATGTCAGCTTTGCAGGGTCTCTGGCCTTGATTCGCCTCCACCCACCGCACTATGCCGCATCCTCGACCAGATCATCAGGGCCATCTCACTTCGAATGCCTAATCCGATCCCACAGTCCCGGGTACGCGGTAAGGCAGTCTGGGCCGTGCATGATGTTGCCAACTGCTGGGGGCTCCCGGTATCTTTGTCAGCCGACATGCATATCGAATATCATCACCGGACATCAGTTCGCGAGGGAAGAAGTCAGCTGGGGAAAATTCTCCCGAATATTCCACCACCTCATGGACGGTGAGTCGGCCTTGCTTTGAGTGTGATTGACACGCACTGCTCTATTGTTACTTCATTCCTGAATGCTGCATGTCGACGTTATGGCTGGAGTAGGAAACGAGTAACGTGGTCTCCAGGGATATCAACCTCACCATGCGCGATATCCCCACCATCCGTCCCGCGGCCCCGCGATTTGGCCGCAACAACCAAGAGGTTATGGGCCTCTCATGGAGCATATTGGCTTTCAAACAATTTCATCCCCCGCCATCGCCTCAGTCCTTCTCGGCGATCGCCTGTAACCTCTCGTCGATCTCATCTTCCGTCAGCTTCCTGAAGCCTGGGTACGTCCCTTCCTGGCCATCGGGACGCGGCCCTCCAACAATGCCAATTTCGATTTCAGTCTTCTTGAAGTCCATGCTAAGGACGGTGCTGAGAGTAGTGATGGCCAGCTCAACCACCTCCTTCCAGTCACCCGGCGCGTGGTCCTTGTTCTTGAGTTTCTTCTCGAGATGGTTGAGCGCCTCTTGCTGTTTGGGGCCCGCGGCGGTGCCCTTGTACCCAATGTAGTAGCCGGCGGGGTCGCATTTGAACAGTTGGGGCCCGAACTCGGAATCGAGCGATATCAGCGTAGTCGCAACGCCATACGGTCGCATGTACGCCTGGGACCGTCAGCATCTCAGGCTTACTCATGCGAGATTTCGACAATTCGTACCCGTTGAGTATACACTTGGCTGATGTTGGCCAGCCGCTTGGCCAGAGCGTCGCATGGCATCTCGTAGCCGAACTTGTACTTGAAGTCGGCGGCTTCGGACTGGGCGCGCTGCGAGAAGGCGCGGGCATCGGCAATGGAGCCGGTCATGACGCAGCCGACTGACGGCGAGATTTGGAAGATGTGCGATACAGATGAGGGGTCGATGAGTTTATCCTTGTCCGCCGTTAGCTCGAACCGTGGGCCACGCAGGCTGAGGCAACCTACCGGCACCTTCTTCTGGGACAAAACTACGGCGCAGTCCTTGCCCCGCACACCGACCGACATGATGTTCGCCGCTGTGATGGCCTTGAAGGCATATTCTAAGACCAACCATCAGCACTTTTTTCAACATACTTGTCACCCACTGTCCCGGCTAGGCGGCCATCCATGAGACGTTCCAACGATTGAGCAAGCGCGCGCAGTGACATTATCCGAGTCGCACGTACCAACTTGGTAGAGTCTCCCCTGTTCCGAGAAGATAGTGATGTGCCTGTCGTAACCAGCGTTGCCTGCATCATTGTGTGAGCCATGGCAGGTGGAGCGGGAAGCTGTTGCAGCAGCTGACAGAAGCCGTACCCGCCATCTTCACAAGCAGTAACTTGATGCAGTTGGAGTGGTTTTGGAGACGGTTCAGGAGTAGATTGAATTAGGTTGAACAGCGGAGTCGTTGTTGTGGTTGTGGTGGAAGAAAGTGGTTGTGCCGTGTTGGGCAGGCGGCAGCGGTTCGTTGTTCGGGGAGCTTCCCAGCAGCAGAGCGATTGACGCGTTGCTGCGGTTTGCCTGGAGCAAGGTTGCCCTGCAGGGAAGTTGAATGCATGCCTTGAACGTTAGGCCACAACACCCGACTTGGCACAGCTTGGCAACGTCCGTTACGCCAAGCCTTCCAGCTGCCCCGATGTGTGAGGACCAAGATCTTTATCGGATTCAGCACCCGTGCATCGGGTACCGATAACCTCCATCTGGGCAGAAATTTGCTGCAGGCGGCTTGTTCAAATCTGCAACACGCAGCAGAAACACCCAATAAAAAACACAGGAATGTCGCTCAGGGCTCCAATTCCAGCTTTTTCGACGAGTTGGGCATGAAATAGGCAGCTTGGCTTGTCAGATTCTCTTGCTGCTCCTGTGGACTACCGCGCCGCTCCATCCCCAGCCGTCCCTCCCGCTCGTCCAATTCCTGACGTTTCCCTTGCGCTTTCAAAATGTCGGGTCACGTCCCGGCCTGGAAGCGATTGGGCCTTAAGCTCAAGGGACCTGCATCTGGCGAAGCTATCGCTAGCTCGGGGGCACCCAATACAGGACCAAAACCCACTCCGCCGATCCCCAGCGCCCACCAAGCCCGGACAACCAACGGAAGTCCGGCGAGCGCCTTCAAAAGAAAGCTACCAGACTCTGCGTCGACGCCGGACGCTGCCGGTCCCGCGCAGACACCAAACAAGAAGCAGCGCAGGAACGACACATCAGCAAGCCAAGGGACGCCGTCGTCTCTGAGGAAATCGGTGTCCTTTGCAGACGGCACTAAGGAGGACGCCGCGGACAGGACTAGCGAGGAAAAGAGACCAAAGAAGAAGAAGGCGACAAAGAAGACCGTCGCCGCCTCCAGAACCGACTTCAATCTCGAGCCCTCCCTCAACTATCTCCGACAGTGGCACACCGCGCGGGAATCATGGAAATTTAACAAGAACCACCAGACCCTCCTCATCAAGTACGTTTTCGACCAAGACAAGGTCCCCTCGTCCGACATCTCCATCTTCTACCAATACATCCGCGATTTGAAAGGCTTCGTCCGGACAAGGCTACGGGAGACAGCCGCCGAGATCAAAAAGAAAGACATGGAGGCCGGCGCGGACGCGTTTCCCGCGACGCTCAAGGACAAGGAGACAAAGCAAAACGAGTACGACGAGACAATAGCCCGCTTCCTGCAAGACCTCCACCAGCACCAACAACAACAACAACAACACCGCCACCAACAACCGAACGGGAAAAACCAGCCCGACAAAAATGCCAATGGGAAGCGCAGCCTCGACGAGGTGGAATACGTTTTGCGCATAGCCACTCCAGAAGTGAAACACCGCCTCCTGAAGCGTATCCGCGCCGAAAGGGTCTTGGACGAGCTGTCATCATCAGACAGCGAGGAGAGCACCGCGTCGGCGGTGAGCGCGGCAGCGACGACGACAACAACAAGCGGCGCGTCCTCGTCGTCAGCATCAACCGGCCAGGGACCAGCCACCGCCGCCACCACCGCCGCTATCAACGGTGCCACCGGCAGGGGACGAAGCGACAGCTCCCAGCAGCCGGCCAAACGGCGCAGGTTAAGGAACGTGCGCACCGATATTGGTGACGACAACAGCTCTTCGTCTGAGTCCGAGTCATCCGCGAGCGAGTCAGATGACGAAAGCAGCAGCAGCAGTAGCGAGGACGAGGACGGCTCGGAGGATGCCGAGATGGTGGATGCGGCGGCCGGCGGGGATGCGGCCGAGTCGTCCAGCTCGAGCAGCAGTTCCTCGTCCTCCGAGTCCGAGGCAGAGTCGGAATCGGAATCGGAACCGGGGAACGGAACGGAGCAGGAGAGCGAGGGAAAGAGTAGCAGCAGTGATGAGGATTAGTGGTCCAACCTTCGTGTGGTCCCACCAGATGAGGATTACTGTGCCAAATATCCTATCAAATGGGCCTTGTAGAACGCTTATGTCATCGTACTGCTTAGGGGACGGGGAGGACATTATGGCGTGTTGGGTAATGGACGATAGATGATTGTGCCAGTCAAAGTTGGCAAATTCGAATGTACGGAAGTTGATTCCTGTACAGCACCATGATATAGCGAAAATCCCTCCCTGATGCGGTGAGATATGGCCGCAGCTTGTCTGAATCCATGTCCAGATGGGTAACCGCCACGCCATCGAGGTTAAGCCGTCAGTGACGCGACCTATACACAAATGCAACCAAAGATCCCTCATACGCCATGCTAAACGCTAGCCGTGCAACGCAAACTGCGAAAATCTGCCTTCCACCCCGTTCTACCCCGCACATTTCTCATCGTAACATCCACCCATCCAGTGCCCAAACCATTTCGCATGTTAATCCCATGCAGATAACATCAAGCCATCTCAAGCAACCTCCCCACCTCCAACAAGCCAACACACTCCCCGTTTTCCATAACAGCGACAATCGCCTCGTCGCCATACGCACCCTGAGCCTCACCACCCACATCCTCCTCCTCCATCTCCTGCCCGCTTTCAGTAGCAGCTGTACTTGTACTGGCAGCAGTAGCAGTTGCAACCCTCAACCCCCTAATCCATTCAGCCGCCCTCTGCACGCTGGTATCCGCGGCAACGGGGATGAACTCCCTCCTCGGCGTGACAAACCACCACCGCAAGTCCTCCAGCGCGCGGGCCATGTCCTCGGCCGTTAGGCGGCGTATCTTGCGTGGCGAGATGACGCCACTGCTGGGGTGATTGCCGGGTCGTGGAGCAGATGGACATAGCTGAAGCCAGCCTGACGGGGAGGCGTATCCTGCTCGAAGAACATCCAAGCCTGTTACTGTTCCTGAGTCGATGGTCGTTGTACTCGTTGGTGATGCGGGTGAGGATGTGTTCTCGAGGAGAGGTGGGATATCGGACATCGGGATCATGACGGACCGCACATCCTTATCGCGTGGCTGTGGCTGCTTCCGCAGGGCAGCGCCGATTGCGCCGCCCGGGTGATTCCGCGCAAATACTGAAGACAAGTTGGGGTAGAGTTCGCGCGAAGCGACGATGGCGAGGGCGTCGCCTACCGTGAGAGCGACGGTGGTGGATGTGGTCGGGGCAGCAACACCGAAGGATGTGGTCTCTGTCTCGTGGACGGGCGCCGGGAGAAGGATAGCGTCTGGCCTGTGGCGGAGGAGCTCACAGGTTTCCCGGCGTGTGTGGGCGGTGAGGAGGACAAGGGGGAGGGATTTGTCGAGGTGCGGGAGGAGGGTCAGGAGCTCGGGTGTTTTGCCCGAGAAGGTGATGAGAAGAAGGCTGTCGTGTTGTGAAATTTGGCCCAAATCCCCGTGCAAGGCCTCGGTAGGGTGGAGGAAGACAGCTTCAATGGCCAGGCTGTTGAAGGTTGCGACAAGTTTCCTGGCGATATGTCCCGACTTGCCGACGCCAATGATCACCAGCTTGCCGCTGTTGTTGGCCTGGGAGTGGATGATTGCGTCAATGGTGCGGGTAAAGCCATCGCGCGCAACCCGGTCTGAGGAGTAGAGCTTGGCGAGTTTCTGAAGGGCGGTAGTTTCGGTGGTGAGGACATGGACGGCACGAGACAATCGCTCCTCAATGACAGCGAGTTTCTTGCTGCACACGACAATGTCCGGCTGTGTCAGGCCGAAGGCATTGGAGGTATCGTCAAAATCCTCGGCGGGCGTAATGGGAGAGGGAGGGGAGAAAGCTGGGAAAGGCGGAGCCTTTCTGAGCACGTAGACCTCGCTGTTCTGAACGGGCCGTTGCTGAGAACATTGCTGGACCATTTTTGAGGTTCTCCGTCTGAAAACGGGAACAGAGCCAACGGTCAGACTGCTTTATCGGCTTCTATCGGGTAGGTGTGGGCCACAATCCCGTCACAGTCTCGTGTGGTTGTCGGTTCGGTTTCGTTCGAACGGTGACGGTCGGGTTCAGACTTATAGCAAGTTTAACGTCGGTTGGTGCCGGCACGGGTATTGGATAGGCCCGGTCCAAACTTCCATGTGAGCGGATCAAGAACGGCCCCGATGAATTTCGCCACAGATACGATCCGTCTTCCGCGCTTTGCTTTTTCGAATCGGACCACGCAATTCATTGAAATCGACTTTCCCGTTGTCTGTCATCGACCGTCGGTCTGGTGAGATCGACGGGCTCAGTCCCAACTTCAGAGTGAGGGACGAGCAATAGGTTGGAAGGTGACTTGAGAAGGAAGTCGGGGGACAAAACGAGCCGGGATGGGATGCAAAGCCCGCCGGGCGCCGAAGTGGTATTGCCCCATCCCGTCCTATCCGAGCCTCCCCATACCGAAGCGGAATGAATCCCGTTCGTAGTTGTTGAACATATCCTTTGCTCTAGCTGAAAGCGCGAAGTTTGGTGATCTTCGAGTCTTAGAGGTAACGTTATCCGTAATCACCGGCCCTTCAATCGCCGGCGGAGCTATCGGCGTTGATCTACCTACTGTTGGCATGTTGTTGGTATGACGATCAACCCCTCCATGTCTTGGGATGGTGGGGATCGCACATGGTTGTCGCGATGCCCCGCAAATCGCGTCTTCGAGGATCGCCTCTCGTCATCATCAATGGCTTTCCGACGCAATCGGCAAGAAGACCCTTGTACTTACGCAATCCGGAAGTTGCATCATTCTCCTGCAGGCGGAGTGGGATGCAAGGACGTTCCGACCCTGATGGGCCTCATGTACGCGTAAGGTATTTTCCAGCTACGCTGGGTATCCTATACATCCATACACAGGTAATATTTCCATTTCGCCCAGCCATTTCATCAGGGCGCTGCGTCCACTTCATTCCGCACAGGAATCTGACTCTTGAGATGACTTTCCAAACTGTGCCTAGCGAACGGGCTCTTCTCTCTCAGGGCTTTGCCATACCGATAAAAGACCCAAGGAGCCAGGCAGAAGACAAGTGCGAAGCAGGCGACGAGTGTGCCCGCAACGTTTGCGCCCAAAGCCGGATACATTTGCTGTCCCACCAGAGGCATGACGCCCGAGACCAAGGCCCGGACGAAGGCCAAACCACAGAAGGCGGAAGCGGCGTAGACCAGGTAGGCGTCGGTGAGATAGGCGCTGAGCGTGTAGGCCATCTCGTTGACGGCAAATCCGACAGGGATGAGTGCAGCCGTGGGGACCAGCCAATGCATTCGGGGCGCCGCAGGAGGGATGGCCCAGGAGAACCATATCAGCCCGACGGCCAACGCAGGAGCGGCGATGGCAAAACCCATGATCTTGCCTTCACTAACACAAAAGTTAGCGTTATGTCTGCAATCAGGCGAACAGGACTCACGGTTGTATCCCCTCGCCCCGCTGCAGACCCTTGCGAACAACCCTCTGGTCCCACAGACGAGGCAGAAAGCTCAGCACAACACCAGGCAAAAAGGCCAGGAAGGCCATCGAGGACGTAGTGCGCGTGAAGCCAGCACCGAGGGACATGTACACTTCCGGCAGCGACTCGGTGAAGAGGTAGATGATGCCCCAGGACACGGCCGAGATGGTCGTGACCATGACGACGATGGGCTCCGTCGCCAGCAGCCGGAGGGGCTGGACGACGGCCAGTTCAACCATCGTCCTCGCGTCGGGCGCGTCGTCCGGGTTGAACCAGTCGAGGTTTCGGACGCTGCCGCCCCGAGCTTCGAGCACGGCCATCTTGCGTTTCAGGATCTGGCTGGACCTGCTCTCCCGGATGCCCAACAGACACGCGAAGCAGATGCCAGTGATGATGGCCGAGCAGCGGAAGACCCATCGCCAAGAGCCGCACGCCGACGCGATGTAGGCCCCGAAGACCGGGCCCAGGCACAGCCCAGCTGTGGACCCGGCGTTCCAAACCACGACGAGCCAGACGCGCTGCGAGCCGTCAAACATGTCGTGGATGCTGCCGGCAGTGACGACGGCGGGCACCGCGGACGTGAAACCCGTGACGAAGCGGCCGATCCACACGGCCGAGAGGTGAGGGACGATGCCGACCACGAGGCAGAAGAGACTGAAGACGGCGCTGGAGACGAGGTAGGGGGTCCGACGCCCGATGAGCTCGGAGAATGCTGGGGTTAAGAGGCCCCCAAAAGCCTGGCCGAGGTTGTACCTTCATGTTCAAGTCAGCAAAACCAGGTATGTAGCATTAATAGCACCACTCAGGGGGTTTAAATACATAAATGTGAAGGCCATTGTCAAAGACACCTTGTCGACGCCGTAATCTGCCTGTGCTGCATGTGCTGCTGAGGCCTGTCACAAGCACAAAATCAGCAACAGGACGGATTAGGTAGTCTTCCGAGCATGGTGCGGGCTATTTCCCTGAATGTAAGCCATGGCAAAGGCAGCACTCACTCCGGCCGTGCTAACGACAGTGACGAAGAACTCCAGGAAGATGATGACGGTCGTGTCAAAAACTTTTCGCCCACTGGTCCAGTTCCGGGGATGGTCTTTGCTGTCCGACCGCCAGGAAATCAGACCATTGCTTCCTCGTTGGAGACCAAGGCTTGCTAGCAATTCTGATTCTTGATCTCCGTACTCGGTCTCCGTCACAGTGATACTGGCTGGTTTGGACATTGTCGACCCGGCCACTCAGGGACTGTTAGTGAGTCAGCTTCTTGCACATAAGAGTAGCGCAATCCATGTACACACCTGTTTATACATGTACACGACATGTAAGAGGGAAGAAGCAAGCAAGGAGCAGGCCGAGGTTCGAGCTGGCAACGGAGGCTTCTACCTACACACCTATTTCTTTCAAGCAAGGAACCACCACTTGCAAAACAAGACGCCAGCTTCCAATCATTATATGATATGTACTGATCTCTCCGGCTAGCAACCGGCATGTGGAAAGGGGTTTGAACAAAGTCCCGGCCAAACACAGGACTCATTATAGGTAGAGAATGGTCAGAAACCTCGCACTGCGTCGAATCGTGGAGGACTGGGGAGGGAGGAGCAATGATCCCAGATCCATGCCTACCTAAGCAGCGTCTAGAGGCAAATGATGACCGCCGTCCTCGGACCAGTCCGATGTTGGGGGCCGCAAATTTCTTGTCACGGGCCAGGAGGATTTCGCTACCAGATTCGCGGTTGATGAAGCTCGCATTTGGCTCCAATCGCAGAGCCCCGAAAGTCCGGACGGTTTGAGAAGAAGAGCATAGGATCAATGATCGTCGCCGAAGCGGTCAAGTGGACCAAGATTTCCGCGCCAACTCGCGAGTCGGTGAGCCTGGGGTGGGTTCGGATCAGTCGGAATGCTCCATCTCGGACTCGAGCTTACACACCGGGTGCCTTCCCGAATGGCCAGCCCATGGGCTTACCCCAGAGAAATAAAAGCGAGGCGCTCTCCACCATCCATAATGCGAAAGATGCCTCTTTGCTTGCTGGGAACGAAAAACGGCTTCCTTCTGAAGCCCGGCCGCGGAATAGACCTTCTCTCGCATCATGGGTCTCACCGTCATGACCCAGACCACAGGCAATGTCCCCAGCCGTGCTTGGGGAACCAAGTTACCTCCCGGCAATAAAACAACCCCAGAACACGTTGACGTTTCCGGCGAGGTTTCCTGGGGGGATCCCGCGCGAACCGGAACAGCTTACGACTTCCGGAGTAAGTACCCTCTCACAGCACACTGAGCCCCAGCAGTCACTGACGTCACCACTCCAAACCGAAAAGCGGACGCCATAACAACCCCCTCAATCCGCCAGCTAGCCGCTATCAGCCGCGCCACCCTTAACGACGACGTCTTTTCCGAAGACGCCACCACAGCCCAGCTGGAACGCCACATGGCTGCCGTCTGCGGTTGCGACGCCGCCGCCTTCGTCGTGTCAGGCACCATGGCCAACCAGCTCGCCATCGGCGCGCTGCTGTGCCGCTACGCACGACCGAACGGGGTCCTCGCCGACGCCTCGGCGCACGTCGTCAACTTCGAGGCCGGCGGGCTCGCAGCGCTGTCGGGTGCCACGGTGCAGCCCGTGCGGCCGGCCAACGGGCAAGGCCGGGGACTGTATCTGACGGCGGCTGACTTAACGGCGCATGCGCGCGTTTTGACGGAGTCGGAGTGTGATGAGTCCTCCGACGGGACGGATGTTGGTCACGGTGCTGGTGATGGTGTTGCCTGGACGGAGTGCCCGACGAGGGTGGTCAGTCTGGAGAATACGGCGCATGGCAACGTGGTGCCGCTCGGGGAGCTGCGCGCCGTGCGCGAGTGGGCGTCGCGCCGCGGGGTCATGGTACATATTGATGGGGCGAGGGTGTGGGATGCCGTGGCTTCCTCTTCCGGCGGCCGGGCAGGGGGGACGCTGGCGGAGATTGCGGCCTGCGCTGATGCCATGACGCTGTCGTTTTCCAAGGGCATTGGGGCGCCCATTGGGGCGGTGGTGGTGGGCTCGTCGGCGGTGATTCGCCGGGTCAAAAGGCTGCGTCAGAGCATTGGCGGCGGCGTCAGGAAAATGGGCGTGCTGGCGGCCGCCGCGAGGGAAGCGCTGCTCGAGAATTTTGGGCCGGGTGACGTGGATGTGAGAGGAGTTCTTGGGGCTGTCCACGGCATGGCTGCGGCGGTGGCGCGAATGTGGACGGACCGGGGAGGGAGATTGCTCCGCCCGACAGAGACCAACATGGTCTGGCTTGATCTTGCGAGTGCCGGCGTTACGGCTGAGATGTTGAACGCTGTGGGCACGCGGAGCGGGATCCTGATCTCGGCGCCGCGGATCGTCCTCCACCACCAGATATGTGCCACCGCGCTGGCCAGCCTGGAGCAGGTGTTCGATGCCGTCCTCTCCCTGCGGCAGCTCAAGGAGGTGGTGGAGCCAACTGCGCTCGACGTGCTTAGCAAGGGTTGTGTTCAGAACTTGTGACTAGAGGAAGACCCAAGACTCCCACGGCCGCCCCGAAACACAGAAACCGGTTCGGCAGCGAAGCTTGCGTGGTGGAGCGTAGTCGTCGACGACCCATCCAGGAAGAACATCGCCTTCTTCTGCCGACCATGGAGGCGCCGAAGGACTGACTTAATACGCCTGTCATCGCCTTTCTCGAGGAAAAAGGAGCAATCCTCGACCCAAGTGTCAGCACACCAGAGAATGTATGTGTCGCAGACTACATTCTTTTCGACGATACGCTTCGCATCGCTTCGGGTTCGTCGGCAACGACGGTGCGGAGGGGTCCAACGAAGCATCGCCTCAAGAACGCCGCTGGTGCTGGCGGATGAGACCGAAATCAAGACGGAATGTATGCCGTGGTGGCGTGTACCTGCATGGTTGTCAATTTGAGGACGGACAAGCCGAATGTGGAAGCGCTACGAGCTGGCGTTGAGGAGCGCTTGTCAGAGACCCATGCCCGGCTTTGACCCCGAAAGCCGTTGCAGGGACGATCTATTGAGTGCTTGCCGGGTCCAAGGGGGTTATTGAACTTGGAACGCCGTGACTGTTCAAAGAGGAAAAGAATGAATGATACCTGCGTAGTCGCGTTAAATTGACTCCTTTCGCAGATGATTTTTTGGAACAAGGCGGCAAACCACGGGAGGGCTACAGGCATGCCACACCTGGCAGAGCAAGACCGTACCGGAGGCAGTTCAATACATGTGTCCAGGTTCAGAACACGTTCAAACAACAAAGAGAGCAAGCTAACATACCAGCGTATCACTGATATGGCTGGATCACTTCTTCTCCATGGCCCGACAAACGCCGAGCACACAGTGAAAAAGAAAAGATGACATCAAAAATTACGATTCCGACGGCCCCGAAGGACAATCGAGAGTGACGGGCTCCACCGATGTGCAATGGCAGGCTATCACTCTGGTGCCCCTGCTTCTTGATCCAGGTGCACCCAATCAAGGTAAGTATGAAGAAGAAAAGAAAAGAACAGCATTAAGATTCTGGGAGGCGATCGATGCTCTATATACCCTTCAGTAGGTGGTCTGTGCACGCCTGCAAATTTGTAATTTCTTGCACGTGACTCTTATCGTTTGTTTGGGACCCTAACCCTGATATGCAGCATCAAGCTTCGGTTTGTTGTGTCGGTGTCCTCAACATCAATTCAGCTTCCAAAGCAGAGTCGGACTTAGTCGCATTTTGTTACCTTTCTCTCTTCTCTTCTTCTTCTCCTTGTACACCTGTTCCCTCCTCGTCTTCAAACCGCCAATGCCGGACCAATCCTCGGTGCTCTTCGTTTGTCTGGGCAACATCTGCCGGTCCACCATGGCCGAGGGCGTGTTCCAATCGCTGGCAAAGAAGCCGCCATATGAGGGTCTCATTGGGAAGATTGATTCGTGCGGAACAGGTACGTCTTCATCCATGTACTTTTCTTTCTCGATCCGGCCTGACGCTCGACCCAGGTGCCTACCATGTCGGGGAGGAGCCAGACGACCGAACCATGTCGACCCTCGAAGACCACGGAATCACAGACTACGTCCATTGTGCTCGCAAGGTACGACTATTGAATATTGGGCCGACATATACCACTGTCGGTTCTGACGGGGTCGTAGGTCGATGATTCCGACTTCGACAAGTTCGACTACATCTTCGCAATGGACCGCGGCAATCTTGAGGATCTCCGGCGCATCCAGCGGCGCAAGCCCAACAGCAAGGCCAGAGTCATGCTCTTCGGCGAATACTCGGGCACTGGTAAGGCGGAGGTCATCAGCGATCCGTATTATGGCGGCAAACAGGGGTTCGAGAAGGCGTACGAGCAGGCGATGCGGTTCTCGTTGAACTTCCTACAGGATGTGTTCCCAGACGTGGAGCCTCCGAAGCCATGACTTTGGCGCGCGTGGCAGGAGTTGTCGGCGTGTGGATAGACCCAGGACACGAACGGCGCTATGCATATTGCTTTGGGTGTCGGGGATTCCGGCCAGCATCGCTTGTAAGTGCTTCCTGTCCGCTTCACCCCGGCATGGGCCGCATACCCAGCTCTCCAGGAACCAGGCTGGAAAGCTGGGGGTGAGTTGTCCTCCGCGTTGCCCGAACCATACCAGCAGCTTCATACTTCAAAGCACACCCTCAAACATTACCCCAAGGTCACATCCGTCTTTGATGCAGCATCACATCCAATTAAGTCATAAGGGGCCGCTGGATGGTCATTCATGGATGAACGATTGAAGCCCCGCAACGCTCTCTTCAGCCCTACGGGGCCGGTTGAGTGGCCTGTCACACACACCGCGTGCTAGTCTTTCTAGACGTAAGGTTGCAGTGTCGTAGCCTGGCAAGCGCTGCTTCCGTGATGAAATATCGGATGGCCGTTTTCTCATCAAGTTGCGGCGCGATTCCGCCACCGCTTGCACTAGCTGCCGGCGCATCACCTGTAGCTTGCCTGGTTGCGAAGCCCCTTTGTCGCGCGCTTAGGAGCGTTGATGATCTCCTGCGAAGTCAGCCGAAATGCACCAATCACAAAGCCATCCCAAAACCAACAGCACCGGCCAAGTGGGGACAGTTTCTCGAAAGGGGGAGATAATGGGACGCGTTTGTTCCTGGGACCACTGCCGTGCCTCGCCTGCGAGCTGCCCCTGCTCTTTTGTGTCGCACCAAGTTGCTGACAACCCTGCTGGCCAAGGTAGCATTGACTGGGCCCCGCGCCGCTGTTCATCAGGCCTCAGCCCCTCCATCATTTGTGCAAGGAGGAGAGGCTCGGTCTCTCGACTTCCACATAAATACAGCACCGCGCATTGACTGAGTCTGTGGTTTGTCTCGACCTTGTGACGCGCCGCTTTCCGCCTCCATCCCGTCTTTTTGAGCCTTCTGCCTGTCAGTTTCAGTTGCCTTTGTCCGCCGAGCCGAGTCGTCTCAACCCCTCCTTTTCGGACGGAGCTACTCTCCACTTCACCATCCACATCAAGGGATCACGGCCCGACCGACAGATACATCGCGAGAGCCCAACATTGGAAAAAGGACAGCAAGACATATCCATCCGTCATGGCTGATCTCCAGGGCCGCAAGATCTTCAAGGTCTTCAACCAGGACTTCATCGTCGACGAGAGATACACCGTGACCAAGGAACTGGGCCAGGGTGCTTACGGCATTGTCTGGTATGCGCTCTTCCGCTCAGGCAACCCCTAACTCAATATTACAACCAAGCTTGATCACAACATGGCTGACGAGACCCTGAAGCGCCGCCGTCAATAACCAGACCAACGAGGGCGTTGCCATCAAGAAGGTCACCAATGTTTTTAGCAAAAAGATCTTGGCGAAGCGCGCTCTGCGCGAAATCAAGCTGCTCCAGCACTTCAGGGGCCACCGCAACGTGAGACGCTCGTCTCAGCCTCTTGTCGCATGCTGTTTATACTGACTGAGCGCTTGTTCTCTCCAGATCACCTGCCTGTATGACATGGACATTCCTCGACCCGATAACTTCAACGAGACATATCTCTACGAGGGTGCGCCTGATCCGCTTGTCGCTGCGTTCCAAGCGGGAATGCGCCGTCGCTGACAATCTCACCCACAGAGTTGATGGAGTGCGACTTGGCAGCGATCATCCGATCTGGGCAGCCCCTGACCGACGCCCACTTTCAGTCCTTCATCTACCAAATCCTCTGTGGCCTTAAATACATTCACTCGGCCAACGTGCTGCACCGCGATCTCAAGCCGGGTAACCTGCTTGTCAACGCCGACTGCGAGCTCAAGATATGCGACTTTGGCCTCGCGCGCGGCTTTTCGATCGACCCGGAGGAGAATGCCGGGTACATGACGGAATATGTCGCAACGCGGTGGTATCGCGCCCCTGAGATCATGCTCAGCTTCCAGAACTACACCAAAGCGAGTACGTTATTTCCCGGCACCTTTTGTCAGATGGAAGCGAGAAAACTAAACAAGACTGCTTTCCCCAGTCGACGTCTGGTCCGTAGGCTGCATCCTCGCCGAGCTCCTGGGCGGGCGTCCCTTCTTCAAAGGTCGCGACTACGTCGACCAGCTCAACCAGATCCTGCACATCCTCGGTACGCCCAACGAGGAAACCCTCTCGCGCATCGGCTCCCCCCGGGCGCAGGAATACGTCCGCAACCTCCCCTACATGGCCAAGAAGTCTTTCCCGTCCCTGTTTCCCAACGCCAACCCGGACGCGCTCGACCTGCTCGATCGCATGCTCGCCTTCGACCCGACCCGCCGCATCTCGGTCGAGGCCGCCCTCGAGCACCCGTACCTGGCCATCTGGCACGACGCGAGCGACGAGCCCGACTGCCCGACGACGTTCAACTTTGACTTTGAGGTCATTGACGACGTCAACGAGATGCGCAAGATGATCCTCGACGAGGTCTTCCGCTTCCGTCAGCACGTGCGCACCGCGCCCGGCGCGGGGGGCGGCCACCTCCCCGGCCAGCCGCCCGCCCCGGCCCAGGTGCCCATCCCTGCCGGGGGCCCGGCCCAGCAGTGGACTGCTGAGGACCCGAGGCCGCAAGAGTATGGGAGTATGCAGGGCCTGGAGGCGGAGCTGGGAGGTAGATAGAAGACTATTTCGGGCGTGGTGGATGGCCCTTTTTAATTTGGCTTGTGTGACATGGAGGCGAGCTGCGCGCAAACGGTGCAAGGCTTGTTGTCAAAGTTGCCTACGGAGGGCTTTCTGAGATGAAGGTAGAGTTCACCTGATATTGAGCGGACGAAGGGGTGTTCGGGAGGGGGAGGGGGCCCGGGCTCGGCGACCATTTTCCATCTGCGGGTTTGCGGTACGCTGCAAGCTGGAAGCACGTGTTGGATTTTCGGTTCCTGGGTCTGCATAGTGGCGGTGATGGCGATGTCTGCGAAGCGAAGACGACGCCTTTGAGAAGAATTTGGGCCTTGTACCACGGATGGTGACACCTTTTAAGAGTAGGCAACCGGTTCAGTTTCCTCTTATATAGGGTACTCTTAGGGAGTAGATACGTCAAGAGCGGTTTCGGGCAGCGCTTGACTCGAAAGGTTGAAGAAATTGGATGCATGGACTACAGCCGAGAACTGTACCCACTGACTCATCTTCAACCGATGGTAATAACTAGATGTGCAACTGCGGACTTGGAGCTGTCTCCATCTCAATTGCCGCACTCGATATCTCACTGTGTCCGGAATCGCTACTTGATAATGTAAGCATCGGTTGGTCCCGTGGGCTCGGGAGGTCATGGATTGGTTCTGATCACAATGACATTGGAGGTATCACTCTATCTGCCTTGTTTAACCACCACCAAGATGACACCATTCCGCGAAACCTATAGTTTTTCTTTTCCCGGACCCTAAACCAGGAACGCCGGCGCAATGCAAGAAAGCAAGCCCTCCGTTTCTTCCCTCAGATCATGCACACAATTCGTCAGATCTTCGTATCCCACAAACGCATCCTACATCACCCCGAACATTAGACTCTCCACCATGCCGTTGGTCTGGATGGCCATCTGCGCCTTCTCCACCTCCTTGGACACTTTGCCCAGCAGCTGCTGAAACTGCGCCGCGAGCTCAGCGCTGCCGCCCACGTGCTCACTGTAGAGATCGAGCAGGTGAAACCCCATGTCGACGCAGATGCTCAGGTACCGCGGGTCCGAGATGTACTTGCTGGCCCACCTGAGGAGGGGCAGGACGGTTATCTCGTCGCGGCCCTCGAGCGCCTCGCGCAGGGCGGAGCGGTGGCGCAGCGCGACGAGGAGGGTCAGCGCCGTCACGGGCTGGTATTCCGGGCTGGTCATGTCGATGACGTCGTCGAGCGCGGCGGCGTAGCGGCCCTGGCGGAAGTTGCGCTGCCACGGCTTGAGCTTGACGCGCCGCGAGCGGCCGCCGCCGGGCGCGTCGGTCGGGATGATGACGTCGACGCCCTCGCCGAGGAGGTCCATGGCTTTGTTGGTCACGGCTGCGCGCTTCCGCTTGGCCTTTTGGGCGTCCAGCTTCTCGAGCGCTTCGGTACCCATGTCCCGCGCAGCTTCCACCGCGGCGCGGTCGCGTGCCTTTTCGGCAGCTGCGCCGGACAGCCGCGTCCGTATCGAAAGCACGCCCGACTGCATGCCTACGGCGAGATGCCGGTCTTCTTGGGCCGCGCCCGCGGCGATGACGGAGAGGGAAAGGATCGGGCTCGGGTACTTGGACCCGGCCACCACGTTCCAGTCGGTTGTCTCGAATACCTTGACGTGACCATCGAGACCGCCGCTAACGACGCGTCGGCCGTTGGAGGCCAGGGAAAGGGATGTAACGGTCTTTTGGTGATTGGTAATGAGGCGGAGCGGTTTTGCTGCGACGAGATCGAGGACGGAGATGGCGTTGCCGGCAGCGGCCAGAAGAGTAGTACCGGAGGCCAAGGGTAGGATGTCTTCGACCGGATCGGCATGCTTAAACGTCATGACGGAGCCGCCGGGTGCCCTGGCATCCCAGACCCGGACCGTCTCATCGTAGGAGCCCGAGACCAGCAGGTTGCTGTTCACGCCTGGCATGAACGCACCGCAGCGTACGTAGTCTGAGTGCCCGGTGAATACGCGGCTCGGTTCGTTTGACGGCAGATCCCACAGGCGAACGGTCTTGTCGTCACTGGCGCTCATGAGCGTGGTCAGCTCGGTTGGCGACCACTTGGTCACCCACACGGGCTGTTTGTGGATATGCCACGTCTTGAGTATGACGGCCCTCGTGCCACCGCCCACATCAAACACCTGCATCCTGCCCGAGTCCTCGCCGGCGACCAGCACCCTACCATCGGCGCGAATCTCGCCGCAGTGGGCCTCACTGTCGAACCGGCCGATGGTTTTGAGGAGCTCACGTTTGCGGATCGAAAAGATATCGACGCGGGGCCCCGATGTCACTGCGAATAGGTCGTTGAGCTTGGTGGCGGCGACGAGTGAGTTGGACAGGGCCGCGCCGGTCGCGGCGGGGAAGCTGATGTGCGAGATGGGCCATGATGCCGTCGACGTGTGGGATTTCTGGTTCTTGAACGACCTCCAGTACCGCTGTTCGGCCGTCACGGGACTCGGCCCCGACGGCAGCTTCAACTGTGCCAGCGGAAGCACTTCTGCCGCCATTGTTGGTGTTGCGATCCGACCTTGGCGATGTTTTGATCTTGTCGGCCGTGCTGGTTGCACTTCGATCCTGCGAATTGTCGAAACTTTTTTTTGGATCTGGAATTTGCAGCAAGCCAAGACTTACCCCTGCTACTATGGCTCAAGGCGGTTTCCCGTCCCATTGGACGTCAAGGAGTTATGAACCCGCTCTGCGAGAGACAATGCACCACTGGACAACACCGAAGGACCAAACTCTCCTCTAGGAGCATGGTGATGCAGCCTTTCAAACCCAAGTTGTCGCGTTTCGGGATGATGTACACCATTATGGATATTTAACAGGTATATTTACAAAGATGTTGTCGATGATACCCTCCCCTGTTAAGCCTTTTCACTACATAGTGTCGCAGTAATCCTGTCGTTAGTTGAGGTAGCCCTTTCCTCTCACAGCCTACAAGCCCCATTTCTTGATGCCCCGAGCTCATTCAAGCTGCCATTGGTGAGTGTTATCCCGCGTCAACACAATCTATTACTGGCTCGTAATATCGACGTTGGACAAACGACCTCACGTCGAACCTGGAAACATCCAACATCCAGTTGGTTCCGTGCACTCCCCAAGCGACGCACGGCAAAAGAGTACCCAGACCACCAACCACATCGGTGCGTTATGGATACCTTGATAGTCTATTCAGTATCCTACAGGGAGGTACCTCACCTAAATCCTCTACTTGAGATGCAATTGCTCTTAGATTGCTTAGTCTGATAATTTCAGATCTGAAGTAGGGGTATATATTCCCGCCCTGGAATTGTGGGGCGCTCATTTATACTGTGTTGCTGAGAGTTGCCGGCACCTTCGTGTGCGTTGTTCAACTGTTGCTGAGTGAAGGCTGTGACTTCCACTCCCGTATCCGTAACAGCACGACCGCTCTCTTTCTTGTCACACCCTCTCTTTCCATCCGAACTTCATCGCTTCGATCGCATTTCCCCGTCCAATCCCCTACCGCATCCGGCATTTTACCCATTTCAAGTTGCTCGAGTCACTTTTGGTCAATACTCGGCCTTCTCGCGCAACATCGACATCACAAGGGTCCCATCCAATGGTGGGTGGCCCTCCTCAACGCGCTTCCGCCTTTGCGCTTTCCCCCACCACCCCAGTTGGGCCCCTCGAGGCCGTTTGCTCTCTGGAAATTAACTTCTTTCCTCTACCTTTGCAGTCATCAACCACCCCGTGTCGCTTTGCGGCCAGCCGTCTGCGAGGAGAGTAGAGTACGATGCCGCCTCTTCCACCTGCGGGGTCGAACCACGGCCCTTCTCCCGCAATCAACACGCAGATCGCGTCCTCCAATGCCACAGCTAATGCCTTTCTCGGCGGCCGACAGCCATCATGGATGAATTCTGGCGCAACAATCAGAAAGGCCACCTCTCGTCCCGCCCCCCGTCGTCCATCCGTCGCACAAACCGTACAACCGCAATCGCAACCGCAACCACAGCAACCGCAGCAGCAGTAAGGAACCCTGAAACTCTCCGCTGCCATGGGTCGGTGCAGTCATGCATCGTTAACTCGCCGCTCTGCGCCGTGGGAGGGAAGCCGCTAACTCTTCCGTCTTTAGGCCGGTTGTGCTGCCGTCACCGGCTCCCAGCGACGAGCCGAGCCCTGCCTTGTCGAACGCGCTCGATAGCCCGAGAACCCAGCCTGTCTCCCTCACCGATGCGCACACTATGGAGTCTGCAGCACCCTCGAACTCGGTGCCCCTCCCTGTTACCGATGCCCGATTTGTCCACGAACCTTCTGGCAGTCCAGTTATGCAGGGTGCGCGGGGGACCATAACCAGTGCCTCTTCTGTTCACCGCGTGGACCGCTCTCCGGCGCCATGTCGTATGTTTCAAGCTTCTAGCAACGGAATTCAAGTTGCGCAACATGGAGACGATCGGGACATGAGCGTTGGCAGAGCTTCCACATCAACAGCCTCCCCTGGACCAGATCCTCCTCCGCTCAAGAGACGGCGTACAGAGTAAGTCATGAAGCCATCCACGGAAGGCGGCCGCTTCACGCACATGCTAACTCATTTTCCAGCGTGACAAGTTCCGCGTCTATGACTTGCTCCTCGCTGCTTCAGATATTAGACCAGTATATCGACTCTTGCGGGGGCGCCCAGACGCTCGAAGTGACTATCGAGAGACCGCGACTCATGCTCCTCAAGGATGCCTGTCGAAAAGAAGACGAGTTCTTCATTGTGTTGCACCAGCTGTTCTGCATGTGGTCCCTGCACCCGCAGAATACATATACATCCCTCCCCCTGGACCGAGCAACTATTGACAATGCGTTCGCCATCCTCGAGAAGCTTCTTAAAAAGAACCAGTTCATGGCACTGGCGCACCAGCAATGGCTTTCTCGATTTCCTGTCCCCGTCGCGCAGTTCAGCCGGGGTCATATCGGGGGTGCAGCTGTCATAAGGCAAATATCAACCTTCCTCGGTGCTTTGGTTCACGATTATGAGCCGTTAGTCACAGCATGCATGCAGCGAAGGTATCCATTCCTGGTCGACGAGTTGCTGGTTGGTCTGAGCTGCTTCTCCCCGGTATTGCAGTTCATCCTCTTCACTTCCTGTCGGAGGCGGTTAGGAGTACCCGATGATAGCCTCGGCCACCAAATGGAACAGGCATTTCGTGAGGATCAGAACAGACATGGAAGCTCCATGACAGGAATTCAAGCTTTGGCACCTGTTTCTTCCAAGCGAGATATGGAACAACGCAATATTTCGCTTATTAACTTCTACAAGCTCACAGTTGAAGCAGCGTGTGCCGGGCGGCCCGGCCAGAATCCAGCCCAGCCCAGCTTTCAAAATCCTTCCATTCCAAGCGCAGCTGCAACAAATGTACAACAACAAAATGCAAATCGGTCGCCTTCCACACGATGTCCACAACCCCTTACAATACAACATCCGCAACCACCTTCCATACAACACCCACAGCAGCACCAGGACAGTTCTTCCCCTCACTCTATACCACATCCTTTCTCTCTTGGGCTGTCTCAGCCATCGACGGCGAGAACGAATCTTAAGAAGACCTCTCCGATGGTAAACAGAGGTGATACCGCCCAGATAGCATTGCCAAGTGCCAACACACCCACGACGCCTCAGCAGCGGCACAACACAGTCCCAGACCCGGCTCAGCTGCAGCCCAGGACGGTGGGAAGCAATCTTTCGAATCAGCAGCTCCAGGTATCGCCGTCGCAGTACCTCTTCCACCGGCAGCAAGCCTTAGTTTCGGGACTACCACCACTGTCTCCACAGCAGTTCAACCAGCATCAAAATCAGAGGAACTTGCAGGCTGCCACCGCAATCTCACCTACCCAAGGTGGCCTGCCGGCTATTCGGCCATTACCTCCCGGTGCGCCACAGGCTTCACGCGAGGTCCAGTCCATACCGAACATCCGGCAACAGCAGTCTCCGTACAGCATTTGGATTCACGCGGCGCAGCCCCCAATAACTCCTCGCGGACACATGGCTCATGGAATACAACCTGGGCATATCCCAACCGCTCAGCCCATGGCACAGCAGGCACCGCAGGGTGTTGCTCAACGACAGTCTCCTAGGACGGCAATGGAACCCTTACTGCCGCCACCAGGCACTGAAATCGGGCGAACAAACTGGCCATACGACCCATCGGACCGCAAAGCGATTTTGATGTCGCTGCACCAAGCTCATATCCGGAGCCCCAAGCGAAGTATCAAAGACGGCGAGACGGAACGCTTTTACCAGGCTGTGAAATCGCTCCCAGTCGGTCCGGTGCCCGTGGTTCCTAAGAAGACCATGTACGAATTCCGGTTCGAGGTGACGGATGAGCAGTTTTCCCTGGCTGCAACCAAGTCAAGTGCGCACAGGGGTCTTCTCCCAGTGGTTGAGCACTTCAACGGCGCGCTTCGGTGGCGGATTCGATGCTGCGCAGTTCCTAGCTCGCTCAAGACGCCCACCGAGGAGCAGTGGGTAACGCTAGATGTGAGCTGGCCTTCGCACATACACATGACGCTCAACGGCAGGGTCCTTTACGTCCGCAGGCAGCCGCACAACGGGAAGGACCTCCCGACAGAAGTCACCGACTTCATTGTTCAGGGCACCAATATCCTCGTGATGGTTATTCACGGTGCACAGGGCGAAGGCCACAAGAATCACCATCTAGCCGTCGAACTCCTGGAAACGCTCGGCCACTCCACCGTCATCAACGCCATTTGGTCGAAGGGCGTACTGCCCGAAGAAGGCACGCTAAACACCATCAAGAAGCGCCTAACCTCGTCCATTGACGACGAAGTCACCTTTGACGCGCCCGACCTCTCCATCGACCTCGCCGACCCTTTCAGCGCGACAATCTTCAAGATTCCCGCCCGCGGCGTCACATGCACGCACATGGAGTGCTTTGATCTGGAGAATTGGCTCAACACGCGCCCCGCCAAACCGCCGCCCGCCAAGTGCACCCATAATAAACAGGGTTCGGGTCCTTGCACCTGTCCTAACTCGAACTATTCGAGGGCGGAACCCTCCAACGCGGATAAGTGGCGCTGTCCTATCTGTTTTAGGGATGCGCGGCCTTATAGCCTGCGGATTGACGGGTTTTTGTTGAAGGTGCGTACGCAGCTCGAGGAGGAGGGGAAGTTGGGGGCCAAGAGCATGCGGGTTAAAGCCGATGGGAGCTGGTCTGTTGTGGTGGATGACGAGGGGGACGGTGATGCGGGGAGTGATGGGGAGGGGCCGGCGTCGAGGTGGAAGAGTAAGGTGGTGGTGGCGGAGACTCGGGCGGCGACTGTGCCGGTGAGGAGGGAGGTTGAGGTCATTGAGATTGACTAATTGAGTGGTTGAGTCGGTCGGTCGGTTGGTCGGTTCTCGTCACTGTCGACCGCTCATCACGATTGATGGGACCAGCCTGGAACGGTGTTATTGCCGGCCCACTGATACCCGATACCCTATACCTGTCTCATCGGCTTGGTGGGTTGGAACCTGAACCAGAATGGCGGCTGTTCCATCGTTATCATCACAGCAGCACTTGCTACGCGCAGGAAAGGGAAGTTGAGGGTTCCTTTTTTGTTTTTTTTTGTTTGCGTTGGCTTCACCGGACGGGGTCTCACAAAGATAGTTTGGAGGATCCTGGGCATGGCACGACGGCGGGTTTATGGTCCATGATATCCTTCTTATTCTTTCAGATTTTATCTCTTGTCGCTTCTGCTTTCTCACGACAAACCTGCATTCAGTTGGAGTTAGTTGACTTGGGGACTTGACTTTCACTAGGGAAAATACCAGGGACAGGAGGCATTGGGGGCAACGGGGCTTGATCAAGGGGCGTTTGGAAGCTTGAGCTTTGGAGGGCTTGCCCGTTGCGATACCTTACCTACCTTAGTGGCGTTCAACTCGGGCGTTAACACACTTCCTTCCGTTCGCCTATCCCATTCAGATGACAGTGTCCTTCTTTTCGTTCAAGGTTCAGCAATGCGGTCGTGGGAAAATTTCATTGCTTCCCCAAACAGGGGAAGCTGACATGATCTCAGCATGGTGAACAGCACGGAGACCTGAGGGAGGGGCGCATGGCGCTTGGGAAATGGATGGGACCTTGGGAAACAGGGTTGGGAAGGGATCATTGGGCTGGAGCAGGCATTAGTTCACCGCTTCGTGTATGTGTATGTATGTAGGAAGGGGAAATGTATGGAAGTTTGCACGTATGGATGGCGTGAATCCATACTGCATCGGGTTCATCAAGTCTCAACGACTGGGACTGTGTGTACTCGAGTATGCACTCGCTATAGTTTGTGAATGCTATGTACAAGTACCATCAAAGCCGTTGTCTGGCGGGATAAACCGCACAGCAATTAGTCTATGTTTAATTCCCATCCCTGTCTCGCATTTTCGTTGGACAGCTTATCCAAACCATTACTCTCCACGTTCAGCCCAGGGCGCCCCTTTCGTCTATCAGTGCTCACACTCCTAAACTCCCAAATTGGGAGCATGTGACCACACGCTATCAGGGAATTCCCTGCCGCTAATCCAGTACCGTATATTTGGAAAGCAGACTAGTTCTTTTCAGGCAGGGTACTCGGCTCGTTCTCATTCGTCAGGCCGCTGTAGGCAGGCCTGGTCGTGGGTGGAATGATAGGCCCAGTCATTTCCTCGGCCATGGCTTCTTCGTATGTCGGGGGAGCGTCGTCGTATGGCGGGTGGTCCTGTCCCGGCTGGAGCTGGGATGGATACAGAGCGTCGGCCGGCTGTTGCTGGGATTGTTGTTGAGCCGGGCGAGGGGGTAGGTTTGGTGTTTGTGTTGGGTGAGAGGGTTGTGACGGGGAGGCGAGTGGTTGTTGTTGCGCTGGCTTTGCTGGGCGGGAGGTGCGTCCCCGTCCTTGGCGCATTGCTTCAACGAGGGCGGGCGGAGGGGCCAGGCCTGAATATACTTCGATTTTGCTGAAATGCAAGGGGAGATGGAGTTCTTGGGGATGTTCGATGGGATCGTTGTGTTTGCTACGTTGGCCGAGAAGCGAGGTGCCTTGGGCCCGGGCGGAGGGGTTGCCCCATGCTAAGCCGAGCTTGATCTCGAGATGGTAGTCGCGGCTGGAATGGATAAGTAAGCGTGTCATCCTTGGACATGGTCAAGACGTACCTGAGATTACATGTGATGAAACTCGGCATGACGGTGTTGGGCAGGTGAATCTGGCTCCACAGGTCATCTGGCACAACGAACTCGGTTCCCACAGGGTCTTCGGATCTGGACAGAAGAAGCGACAGGCCCTGACGAGACATGATGACCCAGCGGTTCATCTCGGTGTTGACCAGGTTATGGCAGCGCACAGTGGTTTTGGCGACGAGGTCGATTTGCAAAGCTATTAGGTACACATGTGCGTGTGCTGCGACCAGCTTCTTGGCTATCAGACGCAGGGGTATTGGTCTGTTGCAGGTGAGAATGGCTGGGTGAGGAAGGCGGGCTGACATCTCGACAGAGGGAGGTATGTCGGGAGCTGCCGGTGACGGCGGTCCGTTTGGCCAACCGTCGGCAGAAGGTTGGGGATTGGGACTCGCATCTCCGGGGGTTGACGGGACTAAGTATCTACCAAAGAAGGAGGAACGCTTCTTCGAGTATGGTCCTGGGCGTGGGCTTCTTGGTTGGAAGGCGAAGGGCCGTCTGGCGTAGGCCTCCTGGTTCGTCTTTGGCGGTCTTGGGGGTTCGATGGGCAGAAACTTGAGACCCGTCTGGTACCGCCAGTTTTCCTTGAAGATTCCAGGCCGTTGTATGGTGACCTTGAGGTAGTACCGGATTTCGGCCTCCCCTGGAAAGCCGGTAAAACTTGGGGGCAGCGTCTTAGTGACGTGCGCGTACATCAGCTGCTTGGTCCCGTCCATGACGCGGAAGCCCGGGCCAAAGATACCGCCAGGGGTGACAAGACCGCCGATCTTGGCCATGGCTTCGGCATTGCCGCAGGAGTTGTTGAAGGGGAACTTGAACTGGAAGGGGAACCGGTGCTGACCCTGGTTCAGAATGTAGGGTGATGCCATGGCGGGGGCATTCTCGTCGGGGAAGACCTGGCCGACCTTGTACAGGATCTTGTGATTCTCGTGCAGGGTGTCTCCGCTGGAGGTTCGATCTCTGGCGCTGGCGATGCCCAGGCCCGGCCTGTCTGGGGCGATGGCCAGGGCGGTCCTCGACTCGCCCTCGAGCTTGACCACGATGAGACCGACATGCTCGGGGCGGTCGAGGGTGAGGAGCACCTGGCCCGAGATGACATCCAGGTTGGTGTAGAACTCGGGCGGGTTGTCCAGGATGATGCGTATTGACATGTTGCACGGTGCACCGGGTGTTGCGGACTTTTGTGGTACGGTCGGCAATGCAGCCGGGCAAGGACCGCAAAGTACGGAGGTACTACGCCCTTATGTGTGGGATTGTAGACGAAGCAAGAGATTGATATCCCTTAACCAAGAAATGAATAAGAAGCAGCAGCATCAGTCGACGGCACCTGCAAGAAACGCCATGCATGCAACAGCTCAGTCAGCCCCACGCACGCAGCCGCAGGGAGAAAGAGGAAATACTCAAGGCTACTCCTCGCTCGTTGTATGATGGCGGTGGTGGTGTGTTATTGAATGTCAACCAACAAAATGCCGGTTTCAGGAAGCGCTATGAAAGTTGCGGTGTTGGATGCCTTTCTAGGAACCCACAGCCCTGTGAAAGAGCTTCGCCGCAAAAGCTCGCGCGGCATGTTACGTCAGTCCGGACTTGCAGCTTCTTAACGGCTGGACCACAGCCGAGAAAACCCAGGTACTGTAGAGTATCGTACCATTACATGGCACAGCAGGAACAACGTCAGCTCCCAGGTATCGTTTCAAGTGGCATTCAAGGGGATGGAAATGTGCCTGATATTCATCAACATGCAAGCTTGACATGCAGCTTGGGGTTCTATCTCAATGTGCAGCTCAGCATTTGGCGTTCGGTTGCTGTGATACATGGGTTACGATACACGATGATTGATGTGTGCCTTACCTTTGCAGGAAGACCGCCTAACCCCGAACTTGGCAAGCGGTGGTGGCCCATATCTTATCGGAATGCGGGGGGTCCTTTTCTGCCAGTCCCAAAAAATAATGGGGGCGATGCGGTGAAGGGACAATTCTATGGTGTTGATAGATCTGCTTCGGCTCTCACAAAAATACACAACACACCGACTCCCGAGCTGGAACAATGCCCAAGGCTGCCAAGCAGAAACGTGCGGGGGGAAGCAATGGCCCCTACGACCGGAAAGCGTCGAAAGGCTCGTCTTCGGCCAACACGAACATCTTCAAATTCGACAAGGACTTTGGCCAGCACATCCTCAAAAACCCCGGCATCAGCGATGCCATTGTCGGAAAGGCCTATCTCAAGCCCACCGATGTCGTCGTCGAAGTCGGCCCGGGTACTGGAAACAGTGAGAAATTCTGCGTCTACTTCGACTCGATTGACAACATGGCGACACTGACACGACACCATCTTGACAGTCACGGTCCGAGCTCTCGAAAAGGCGAAGAAGGTGATAGCGAGTACGACACACTCCCACCACACACAACTTGGACCGCTCGAAACCAGCTGACCGTCCCAGTCGAACTCGATCCGAGAATGGGTGCCGAAGTCACCAAGCGCGTCCAAGGCACGCCCCTGGCCAAGAAGCTCGAGGTCATCCTGGGGGACGTCATTAAGATGCCCGCCATACCCCCCTGCGACGCCCTCATTTCCAACACTCCCTACCAAATCAGCAGTCCCCTCATCTTCAAGATGCTGTCCATGCCGAACCCGCCCAGGATCGCCGTGCTTATGGTCGGTACTCCCAAGATGGTGAGCCATGGACTTCTGGCTGACGATAGCTTAGTTCCAACGAGAGTTTGCCAAGAGACTGGTTGCCAGGCCAGGCGATTCGCTGTATTCGAGGTTGAGCGTCAATGTCAATTTCTGGGCCACATGTAAACACATTATGGTATGGAGGAGCCGAAAGTGATTAAGATACCATTGTGCTGATAAGTCTCAGAAAGTCGGAAAGCAGAACTTCAAGCCGCCACCCAAGGTTGAAAGCGACGGTAGGTGGCCCGAGAGGTGTCGTGGTGGAACTCAGCTAACCACCCCCAAGTCGTCAGAATAGAGCCACTAGTAGATTGCCGTCCCCGTTTTGCACCAGCGATAGCACTAACTAAGACATCCAGCTCGGATCCGCACGGCCAAACGTGGCTTTTGAGGTACGGCACAGCTGTACGAGTTCTAACCCTTCTTCACCTGCTGACCCCCAATGAAGGAATTCGACGGTTTGCTCCGTATTGCATTGTAGGCAGAGCTGCCACCATCCACTCCTCATACCCCATCCATACTAACATTCCTGGCCCAGCAACCGCAAAAACAAAACCCTCCGCGCCGCCTTCAGCATAAAAGAAGTCCTCGCAATGTGCGAGCGTGTCAGTAACCCCCCTGAACATCATCCTCTCCTTCCAACCCATCCTTACTCACTCCCGCGACGGATGGACAGAACTACAAAATTTACTGCACCCTCCACAACATCCCAATTGACGAGTCCCTCGCCGACACCACCCCGGTCGCAACCACCGCCTCCGGAGACGATGACATGAACATGAACGTCGACGACGACGACGACAACAAGGACGAAGCCGTCGATGGCGATGGCATGGACACAGATGAAGACGACAACGATCAAGACGAAGACGACGAGGATATGCCCACCTTTTTCAAGGAACTCAAAGAAGCCGGGGCCAGTAAGGAGGCCAGTAAGACGCCTAGCCGGAACCCCAAGTCCAAGGTCGCCTTGGTCGTCAAGGCCAAGGTGGATAAGGTGCTGACGGGGACTGGGCTGGGCGAGAAGCGGGCGAGGATGTGTGATCAGAATGACTTTTTGAAGTTGCTTCTAGGTGAGTCCTTACCTCCCCGTTCACCAGCTTCGGCTTACTTGTTCGTTGCCTCCCACCTTTTTGTATTGTTCTTTCTCGACCCTTTTGTCGGTTAGTGACATGGCTGACGCGGTGGGTCGGTAGCTTTTCATGAGGAGGGAATTCACTTTTCTTGATGGGTGCAGATTTTAGATATACCGTGGACAAAAGTTGGGCATTGCTGGCGTTTGGAGGTGGGAAAATCGTATATGGCGTTTGATCCTTGCCTGAGATCTGAAGTCTTTTGCAATTAAGAATAATCCAGAGTGCCCTCCCATGCCATTCTTGCTGGGAATGAGTCTTGAGTGACTGGGTCCATTACCCGAATTCCCCCCCTTGAGTAGAACCTTACTCTTAACCGGCCATAAGCACATACAATTGCAATAAGCACTGTGCTAGGCACTTCTGCAGAATGAGATGGGAATTCTATAGGGTGTACCGACACATAAACGTAGAGAAGTAGTGGCGAGTAGATACTGATCAGATATCTCCGAGACGCGCTTCACCTAACGCCAGCCAAGTCATCATCAGCAAAACCAAACATCCCTCGCTAGTCCCACCCAAGAAATCAATTAATAAAAAATGCCAGCCAAACGTATATGCTAAAAAAAAAGGAACAGAGGAGACAAAGGGAACAACTGGAGATGGACGACTCTTCATCCCCACTGCGTATCCAACAACTCCTCCCCCGGCTCCTCCACCCCCGCAGTTCCGTCCTCATGGATCCGGAAACCGATGACGCCAAAACTATCGCTCCCCTCCTGCCTCTGCTGCTGTTGCTGCTGCTTCTGTTGCCCGGACCCTGCCCCTCCCGCCGTACCAGCAACTTCCTCAGCTGCCCCAGCAAGCGGGATATTCTGCCACGCGCCGGGCTTGCTCGAATACTCGCTCGGTGCCTGGCTACTTGCACCGTCCTCGTCTTCGGCCTCATCCCGGTTATTGTCCACCAGTTGAGGTCCTACTTGTTGTGGTTGCTGTTGATGTTGTGGTACTGCCCCGGCCTCATCTGGGCGAATCACAATCCCGCCATCACCCCGTTGCGACCGCGATCGCGAGGACAGGGAATGAGAATGCGACGACAGCGAAGACTGCGACGTGGGATCGATGTTCTCGGCGTCCTCCGACATGTCGCTGTCCCCATCGCCGTCAACGCGAATATAGCCGCCACGGCGGGCAGACGTGGCGGTGGTATCCTCGATGCCCTGCCACGGTATATCCTCTGGCCGCAGTGGCTGCTGTTGTTGCTGCTGCTGTTGAAAACTCTCCGAAAACCCGGTTCGTTGCCGACCAAAGCCATGCCACACCCCGCCGCCGCCCGCACCGTCCTGACTATCTGGGAGATTGTTCCCGGCGTCAGTGTCGACACCGTCGAGCTCGTCGTCTTCTTCCTCGTCTTGATAAATGTCAAGATCTGCGTCGTCGCCGTTCTCGTCGGTTGTTGTCGTGAATCCGAATGAGCCGTTTACAATTCGCCGCGCTGACGCAGCAGCGCTGTGATGATGCTGGAGATCAGCCATCTGGCTATCGTCGTCGTCTTCCAACCCCCCGTCCGTGCTGCCCGACCCAGACCCGGTACTCTCGTCCGTCGTAAAACTGTCGTCCATCATATCCTCGTCCTCTTCCTCCTCGGCATCATACCCGTTTCCAATGCCCCTCAACACCGGTCCGCGACTCCCGCCGCGATGGTAGCCATACTCTGGGATAGCCTCGCTATGTGGGGTGGCATAGAAAAACGGTGTGGTCCTCCTCTCCCGGTTGTTGTTCTGATTTTTGTCCTCATGATAACCGTACAACCCGCCCGGCGCAAGCGACGGTGAGCGACTCAAGCTGGTTCTGCTCCAACGGGGGGTATTCCGCGGGACAAGGCTCGGCGAGCGGCTGGGGAAGCGGCGTTTGGGGACTGCGCCGGCGGCCAAGGGGATATTGATGGCATTGCTGCCTAGCCGAGGGCTGGGCCGGGGGCTTGGGCGGGGGGCGAAGGGCGAGGAGCGGCGCTCGTAGGGTGTCATGCTTGCCGCGTGGGACGAGACGCGGCGACGGGATTGGGCGGGGGAGAGCATGCCTGGTCCCACAGGGGGAAGCGAGCCGGTGCGGATGTGAGGCGGCCAGGAGCCTTTGGGTTCGCGCTGGATAAGCGGGGACTGGGCGCGGGGGCGGTTGGAGCCGGCCGCGACGATGGGCGACTGCACGCCCGTGTAGAACAAGGTGGATGGCTCGGTAGAGGAGCGTCGGGAGACGCGCTGGTGGATGGACTGGCGGAGACTGATGTTGGAGGTGGCCACGCTGGGCGGCTCGTCGAGACGGTCGTTCCAGTTCCAGTACTCTTCCAGCGCGTCGGCCTCGGGAACGTCGGCGGTGCTCTGGGAGTCAGAATACACTCGGCTCAGTTGGCGCAGCTTCTGCCACGTCCACCCTGCCTCGCGCGCGTGATAGCCGAGCGGATGATCCTGGAGATATGCTTCGGGTTGCGTGATGTAGAGTCGTTGGACACCTGCAGCTTTCATGACGACGCTCGACACGAGAAAGGTGAAGTCCCATAGCGCCGGCGTGGCCATCTCGGCGGGCGAGAGAAACCGCAGACGCGAGTCTTTGTGAAGCTTGCGCAGCGGGACCCAGGCCTGCCTCAGGCCGAGAAACTCGGTTAGGGGATAGTCCGGCGCAATTCCTGAGCGAGCATCCGAGTTGGAAATGCGCAGGATGTCTTCAAATGCGCTGTGGATAGCGAGCTGGACGCTCCGAGCATCAGGTCCCCTAACGAGAACCGTCTTGATCAGACCCCGGCTCCTCAGCCGCTGGTCAATGACTCGCCCGGTAGCAAAAGCCCTGGGCAGCAGCCAGTTGGACTCCTGCCCCTGCCCTGTCCATTCTTGAAACTGTGGCAACTGCGGGTCCGGCGTCGCCCTGCTGATTGTGTTGGGCATCTGGGTCCAGTCGTCGCCGTTGGTGCCTGTCGATCGGCGGTGGGCACGGAATTCCCTCGCCTCGAGCCATATCCCTTTAAGCGGGAACGGCAAGAACACGACCTCGAGCTCCCAAGGCTTGGCGTATGAAGGCATCGCGGCTGCCTGAAGTTGCCTGACCTGTGCTTGTAACTGCTGCAGCTGGCTGTACACCTCGGCGCGATTCGCGGCTGTCACGGTTGCGTTGGTCGAGACAGAGACGACGCTGGCGGTCGCGTCATCGGCACCGCCGTCCCGCTTCGCCGTGCGCCTGCTGCTCACCACGCTTCCGTTGTCGCTGAGGATTTTCTCCACCTCTTCTACCCGAGACTCGAGGTCGGTGACGCGGAGGTCGATGTTTTCGTGCCTGTCGTGGCAGTCCTCGTGACCGGCAACAGAAAAGGAGTTGGTTTCGAGCCTGTCCAGGCGCTGCTCGTGAGTGTCAAGTCGATCTGCTAATTTGTGGTACCCATCTGAGCTTGACACCGAACGATCCTGCGAGGGTAACGCTTTGGGAGTGGAAGCAGCTTCAGTCGGGGCATGGGCGGCATCTTGTACCACCTCCGCAATTTCCCGGATGCCACGGTCCAGTTCTCGCGATTCCGGCCTAAACGCAGAAACACCACTTAGTGTGTGCAGGCCCTTCCCGGCAAACGGCTTGAGATACCTCGCCTGGCTCGAGGCAGTAGTCGACGGCGCGGGGGGCGGGGACATCAAACACTGAGCTGGAAACGGTGGCAGACCATTGGCATGTCCAGATTGGGATCGGTTCAGGTCTCCCCAGTTATTAAACGTATCCGGCAGTGGGCTGTCCTGTCCGGCGTGGGCACCCTCAACGGGGGTAGGGTTGGCGACCACGGAGGTTTGATGAAAGTCCAGCAAGCTAAGGTCCAGCGACGACCCCAAGCTTCCCGGCACATGGAACGACGGCAGCTGGACTGGACTCAATGGTTCCCGGTTGGCCCTGGGCCTCTGGTTCTCCTGTCCTGGCGCATTCCCCATTGCTGGCTGCTGACCGGGCCGCGCATCCTCGTGGAAACAGGCGTGGTGCGAGCACATGCAAACCTCGGCCAGCGCGCCGCTGTCCTGGAAGACCCCGCTGCTGAGCGACGCGCGGCTCCAAAACCGGCGGCAGCCACAGCGCGGCAGGTTCTGGTCTGTGTAGTTACAGGGCCCGTTGGGGAGCCCTGGCCCCGGGGCCCTCGCCGTGTGGGCGTCATCGTAGATATCGAATGCGTAGGCACTGCCTGGCCCCGATATGTCGAAGGGAGCGGCAGCCATTGAAGCCTTGGGAGACCATCTCCCGGATGGAAGGGACTCGGAGAGACGGGGAACAATGTGTGGTCGGGGCGGGGATCGATGCTCCGGCAGGGGCGGCTGGGGGGACGATGAGCGGGATCGCGGCGACCCAACACCAGGCTAGCTGGGCCGCGATTAAAGCACAGGAGGCTTTAGTACATGATACTGCGCGCGGTCAGCTTCAAGCGAGATATGGCAAGTTTGCGACCCAACCGACCAGCCGGGCAAGGGAGGCAGCGCAGGATGCGGGTGCATGTCCCTCGCACGCCGTCGAAGAGGATAGAACAGGGAGCAGTCAGAAATGGTGCGGAACGGACTTCCTATATATATTCGTGCTCAAGCTGGCGTCTCATTGTGCATATGACCGCAACAAAAGGCGTGCTGTCGCAACAGCCAGAACCGGGTCGCAAAGTCGTCGCAAAAGTAAAGTGAGGCGCAGGCAGCATTGGGGGAAGGTGTCGCAGCTCGGAGAATCGGGCAAGCTGCTGGGAATGCAAGGCGAAAGCGGGGTGCGGGCACTCTCCATTTTCGCTGAAGCCACTCCGGGAAGTTCACGTTGCGGAGCTGACATCCTTGTTCGATAGTGGAGAGTCGACGTGAACTTGTGACTCGGCCATTCGCCGAGAACCTGCAAGGATGCTGGCGGCATAGTCGAGCTCGATAAGATAGGTACGGTGGAATTCAGGAGCGGGTGACTCTGGTGACCTATCTGGGCCGACTTGCAGCACGGCAGCTGCTGTTCCTGGCATCCTTTTGTTGTGCCTGGAAGCTTCTCAATCGCGAGGCCATTGGACGCCTAATTCTCGAAACGCGTCAGGGCCAAGTTGGTCCGCCCAAGCCGCAACCGAATTGGCTGCCGGGTGCTTTGGATGTTTGGATGGTTGGGTTCCCTGCCCCGCTGGAGCCGTCTGATTGGCACGAAACCACTTTAGATACTGCAAGCATGTCGCGCCGCTACGCGTAAGTTGGGGCGGCTTCGAAGGACCGCGGTGAGCAACTTCACCGTCCTTCCTACTTTAAATCAATGGCGCATTCTGAGAATCATCTTCATCGGCGACTTATGGCCCTGCTTCATCCACCCTGAACCGCAGCTTTCGTAACGTACCCGTGTCTTTCTGACTGGCCTCGCTCGGTCTGATCCTGTGAGCGGTTCGCCTAACACACGCTTGTCGCCTTCCAATTGAATATACCCGAGGCGAGCAAGCCTGGCTGTCACCTCAATGGTTTACCCCAGAGATGTTAGAAACGAGAGCAAGTTTGACGAAATGACTGTACGGGAACATCTCGGCATACCGTATGCTGAATTCGGAAGAAAAGCACGGAGCACCAGTAGAAATGCAAGGCAAGTATCCGAGATGAACGCATATCATGTTCTCAGATCTGAAGAAAAATCCACCTCTGCGGTATCTCAATTGTCCGTAATGAATGCAACCATGATCCATCCAGTCGTTCAAAGATGCCCCGTCCGTCCATGCGACCCGGGTTTAGTATGAGAAACCCAAGGAAAACGAATATAATACATCAGCCACTCAGTGCAAAGCCCTGCCGTGAACGACTGGCTGTCAGTGTCAAACCTCGCCCCAGCTCCCCATCGGCCCGGTGCTCGCTATGACACCACTCCCTGTACCAATCGACCCGCCAATATCCCAATAATGGCGTGACGACGGCCGCGAAGAGATACTGCTCCGCCTAGCCGACCGCCGCGTACTCTGGCTGGCACAGCTGCCGGGCGGGTGCCTGATTGCGACGCCGACGGGGCTAGACGACCCTCCCGCCGCGGCCGCCGCCGCCGCCTTGAACGAGCGCCGCTCGACCGGGCGAGGCCGGTGGTGGTAGCTCGCATGCCCATGCCCATGTCCATGCGCGTGCGATACGAGCGGGTGGTGCTGACGCACCCTCGCCGCCTTCGCGGCCACCTCTTGCGTGCTCGAGGTAGCAAGGTGCGCGGTGCCTGAGGAGAAGGGGGGTGAGGTTGGTCGGGATGAGGTGAAGCGGGAGCGGAGGTACCGGAACACCAGCCGGACGTCAAGGTCCCGTTCCCACTCTTCTTGCGTAAAGGTGTGCATATCACTCGGAATCGTGTTTGTGACACCCAGCGCTGAAGAGGTAGGGAGCTCTGCGGGCTGCGCAGGCAGGGGGTCGGCGGCCCCGCCAACCGTGGGCTTGAACTGTGGCATGTAGGGGACGCTGCCGTCCACCCTTTGCCCGCCCTCGCTCACGTCCGCAGGAGCCTCGGGGATGACCGGCAGGCCAGCATAGGGCAAAGTCATGTGCTGCACCCGGGAGTACGCAGCGAAGGCACCGGGGTGCGTCGACAGTTGATGCACGAGGACGCCAAGCTCCGTGGCTATGCGGTCCAGCATGCGTAACTGCCACTCCGAGTCGTATGATGACTCCGACGTGGGGACGGCCGCCTCCGTGGTGGCGGCTGCCTTGTGTGTCGACGAGAGCATGACCTCGTCCGGAAGCGCCTCCCCGAATAGGATGGCAAGCAACTTGTCATTGATGCCCATCAGGTCGCAAATGACCTTGCGGGCAAGACGGCTCCAAAGTCCGGGCTTTGTGCTGCCCGGGGTTGGCTCGTCTTGGTCATGCCAATCCATGCCACTGAGGTTGATATCTGCCGCTTCTTCGTCCGCAATACTCCTTGTCGCTGCTTCTTGCGGCACTGTGCTATCCTGCCGGACCTTGAAAACCGACGCTTCGGACTCCCGTCTTCTCCTTGTCTCTTTTCGAATATCTTCAAGCAGAAGCTGACTCTGCTCGAGCCGCCATGTTTCAATCCTGCGATTTCGCTCCGCTTCTTGCATCTGTTCTGTCTCGAGCTGCAGCTGGGCCAGACTGAAACTCTCGGTTCTGTGGCTTACACGGTTTGGGTTGAATCTCTCGAAGGCGTACAATCGCTCCTGAGCCTCAACGCTCAGACCGGGAGCTTCGAACCTGAAGGAGCCCAGGCCATCGTGCCCTGGGAGCACAGGCGCCGCATGTGGAACTTCGGGTGAGCTGTTGTAGGGGCTAGTGACAGCTCGAAACTCTGGGAGATGGCTGTCCAGGCTGTCGAGCTCGGCGTCTTCCTCGACAAGGCTCTCGGCCACGAGTTCTGAGGGCGAACGCAAGTTAGATTCGGAGCGTGCGGCGGTGGCAAGAGTGCCGAGATCACTAATTCTTGACCGCCCCGGCGTGATTTGGTCGTCTTGGACAGAACTCAGGTACGAGGTAGTGGTTCCCGCGTCTGTGCCGGGGGTAAAAAGAACCCATGTCTGAGACTCGTCCGGCGCCAGTGGGTTCAAAGCGGGGAGAACTGCAGAACCTGCATCTTGCGACTCGCTGCGGTGAAGCCGCGGGAGGAGTGGTCGCGTGGATTGCTGAAAAGCCATGATGTAATTCCTGGGCTTTGTCGTCCTCCTGGGTAGAAGTGCTCCCAGTAAGACTGGCGGCTCGGGTGGTGCTGTTCGTGGACGCTGAGCGGGCTACGTCGCCAGGCGCAACAACAATCAGTCGCCAGCTTCGAGAATGCTGAGCGCTGACCAGTCTCGCCAGTGTAGTGGTCACTCGAGATGGAGATGCCCAGGGTCGCGTGCCTGTCCGGAGGCGGTGAGTCTACGTTGTACACAAGTGGACCATAGCAGGGCGGCCCGATAGCCGATGGGCGTTCGGATGAATGATGATGTTATCAGCTCTCAGCCCCAGCTGCAGAGGAGCTGACTGCGTTTCTCTGTACCCAATTCGGTCCCGGGCGCTGCGGTAGAGCGGCGGCGACACCGGGTCTCTATGTTTGGTATTGTGCGAGAAGAAGGTAAACAAGAACAGAAACGGAAAACAGGAGAGGCCCGGAAGATGAACCAACTGGGCAAACCGGGAGGGCGGGGGTGCTGGTCAAGCTCATAGAAGATGCACGGGATCAGTGACATGGCGGGATGCTAGCTCTGCGGTTGTTAGAGACCCCTGCTCGATAACGGAGCTGAGCTCCACCACCGCCTGACCTAAAGTGAGTGTTGTCTGGGCATTCCTGGAGGTTTGTCAGGATACTGCTCAAACTATAATATCCTATTCTCGTGAATTTGCTGTTGGTGAACGTCTCTGATTTACCAAGAGACTCCTGGCAATGTAAACAATTTCACAAATTCTGACAGCAATCCATACATCTCACAAATCCTGTTACAGCGATGACGGCCATGGTCTTGGTCGATCGGCCCACTCCATCACGCCACAGACAGCCCACGGACGTTATCGGAGGGGGTGTCCGATAAGTACCACGTCTATCATAAGCCTGATCTTTAGCTTCCAGATTGTTACCAGAGCCTTGACCGACACCGGAACTGCCTATCAATAGAGTGGACGAAGTTAGCCTTGTTGCATGGCTCTAGGAAGCTAGGCTGGGACATAGAAAACCTGGATGCAATTATCTCCGGTCATAGTTCCTCTGCTGCCTCGCGTCCACCGAAGCATTTAAGAGGAGCATTAGGAGCAACAGCTCGACAACGTCAATCCACTGTTCATCGCATCCCTCAAGTTACACCTTTCGGGCCCTCCGATGATGTCAGATCCCCATGGCTCGCCATAACATATCCTCCACCAATCATAATTCCTGAAGCCATGTCCAGCCGGGGATCCTCAGAAGCCGTTATGGCATCCGTTTTTACTCGGTCTGGCGGATGTGAGGCGCAAGGCGCTAGCGGTCGCCTCGTCCTCGCCTTACTCAGTCTCTGCCACCGTGGACTGCTGACCTGCGTGGTATCCTGCTGCGCGCGGGCGGCACGACTAGGACAAAGTCAAAAAGGTTTTAACACTGAAAACGCTCTCTGTTCTCACGCAAGTCACAGGAAACAGGGCCACAGAATCCCATGCGCACTGCTGTCCTGTTGTCCTTATTAAGAACCACTTTGGTTGAATGGTTCCATTGACTGTGCCGACTCATGACCACGATGATAGTTGACATGCTCTCGTATCAGCCCTAAAATGACCGTTGACGCCACCCTGAAGCCAAATAACCATTTCCTGTCCCCTTACAAACCGCCTTATGCGCTAAAGGCCTCCGGGAAGCGCTTCATGTTGGTCTCGAGGCTGCCGTGGTTGGTCAGGAACTGGACATAAGCACCATCGACCTTGACGCGGCCAGCGGCCTTCTTCTCCAAGTACTCCTCGCGGCGAAGGGGAGTGAAGCCCCAGTTCTTGGAGATGATGATCTTTTGCCGGCCAGGGAACTTGTACTGAGAGCGGCGGAGGGCCTCGAGGGCGATGGCGCGGTCTACAAATCAGTTAGCTAAGCATTTAGCTACTCCCAATCCCAGTAAGTACTCACTAGAGTCACGAGTGCGGACGCTCATGATGATCTGACCGATGTTGACACGGGCGACAGTGCCGTTAGGCTTGCCCCACGCACCACGCATACCCGTCTGCAGTCTATCGGCACCGGCGCAAGACAACATCTTGTTGATACGGACGACGTGGTACGGGTGGGCGCGGACACGGAGGTGGAAGCCTTCCTTGCCGGCCATCTTGACGAGGTACTTGTTGGCGCAAATGCGGGCGGCCTCAAGGGCTTCGGAGCTCAGCTGCTCATACTCGTTGGAGACGAGGTGGATGCAAAGAGGGAAGTCGTCGACGGTAGCACGCTTGCGGCCGAGGTCGAAAATGCGAATCTTGGGGTCCGGCACACCACGATTGAACCGCGACTTCGGGTACGGCTGGAAAACAGCTGGTTAGCAAACTGAGAAGCTAAAAGCCTGTTAAAAACATGGTCGGCCGCAAATCCTCCTCTTGTTGGTCAACCAAGCCTTCCCATCGCTCCCGTTGCGCTCTTTGCCCATTTCCTCCTCTTCCAGAACTGGTGCGCATATCTCATCGGTCGGCGTGTCGAAGCAAAAGTTGCTCACCTTGTTCTTGCAGTACCGGTAGCATCTGGCAGGACGGCGCGCCATTGTGACTGATTTTGCAGCGACGTCACAGGTATGGGTGCTGACTTGGTGTTGGGGGGTTGAGAGGATGGGTTGGGAAGCCTCTGCGATTTTGACCAAGTGGAAATTCGCCCCCAGCGTTGTAGATTACCAATCCAGATTCCTAAGCCTGCCGCTTGAGTCAACCGGGAAGGTGGGGCGGTTAGGGTTTGGGAGCTGCACGCGCACCTATTTCGCAGCCAATGAGAATTCAGCAAGGCTCCGCCGGGGGAGTCCCCAAATCCAGAAAGTTTTCGAGTTCGCGACTCTCCGCTGCTTCTTCGACCGACCTTCCAGCCAACGACGAGGACCTCACGACCAGGAGACATATCCATTCCCTCTCCTACCTACCGACCACAGAACAGTCGCAATGGCTCCCAAGAAGTCCAAATCCGACGCTCAGTCCATTGGCGCCAAGGTCCGTTCTCTCGATGTCAACAATTCCTGACACTTAGACACTGACATGGAGAACAGCTTGCCCTCGTCATCAAGTCGGGCAAGGTTGTGCTGGGCTACCGTAGCACTCTCAAGGCTCTTCGCAGCGGCAAGGCCAAGCTCATCCTCATTTCCGCCAACACCCCTCCCCTCCGCAAGTCGGAGCTTGAGTAGTACGTTGATACCCAGAGATGACCACAAGGAAGAGATGGACGGGCGCATGCGATGGATTGGCGGGGGCACCTGGGCATCCTGCCGGTTCTCCTGTCGATTCATCCTCGTTCATTTCTCAACTCAGGCACTCTGAAAATCAGGATTGACCTGGGGCTAACGGGGCAACAGCTACTCGATGATGGCCAAGACCTCCGTCCACCACTACAGCGGCACCAACGTAAGTCCACCCCATGATATTGGGACAGCGCAGGCTTCTGCTCGTTGTTCTTGGCCGGGATGACCGCAAGGTCCCCCGGTCTGCCCAGAGAAGAAGTCTCGTTGCAGACTTTGGAGGGTGCCGGTTCGCATGCTTACTTTTCCCCCTTTCCGCAGATTGAGCTGGGCACTGCTTGCGGCAAGCTCTTCCGCTGCTCCACCATGGCCATTCTGGATGCTGGTGACAGTGATATCCTCAACGACCAGGCCGCTTAAGTTGAAGGCGCCCAGGCGAGGTTACCAGTTGGCATTCACAACGGCGTTTCGGGTCTGTGGTCGGGAAAAATGACGTGATGACTTGGCGATATCCGGCTGCCAGAAGAGAATTTGACGGCCACATTCGACATCCGGATTTTTACTAGATGTCATAGTCCGTAGATCAGTCGTAGTTTATGGCAATTCGGTCTTCGAGCCTGCTCCGTCTCTCGCTATCTGTCCTCCACAAAGTCTCGTCGTGCGGGACGAGAACTAAAACTGTCGCTGTTTAAATTCAGGCACTCATTTCCGCAAAGTTCTGGGAGCAAAGCTTTTGGGCATGGGCTCAATTGGACTATGATAAGTTCAGGGACTGTAGCTTAGTTCAGCACGGTCCTGAGCAGAGAGGCACGAGATCAAGATGCCGCAGTCTCCCGATAAGGAGAACGGAGAAGAGAAGCAAGGTGGACAGAGGGTCAGAGTCAAGCAAGACATGACTTGGTAACTAGGAACAAGAAGTTCTGTCAGTGTTGAACGCTGTCTCGCTCTGGCCACTACCTTAGGTACGATGCCCCTCTGCCATCATTCAAAGACACTATCTGAAAAAGCAGGAACAACAAAGAAGTAGGCTTTCCTTAGTTAGCACTGCCCAACGCTTGGGCCCCAGTATGATCATAACAGGGCCCTGAGGCAGTTGTGAGTTTATAGAGAGGTGGAAAGAGGTCATAGTTAGACAAACATTATCCCCCGCAACTCCCTAACCTGCCGCTGGTTAGATCAATCATCAAGAACTCCCATCCTCTCTGTCTACCCTACCTTCCATCCCGTTATCAACACAGGAAGAAGGGTTGAACCGCAAGAAAAGAAGGAAAAACCAAACGTCATCGTGAAGAAATCGCTTCTGTCGAGTCTGGTCTCTCTCTTGTATGTGATTGTGTTCTGGCCCCTTTTTAAGTATCCGTTTCCGACCCGTCCCATCAACCCAGCAACGCCATAAAAAAAATCCCCTTAAGACCACTCCGGCGCTCCATTCCAAGAGATCTCGAGAAAGAAAACGAGAAAGAAGAAAAGCGAGAAGGAAGAAAAGTATTTTGTGACCACGTCATGCACGCTCCCAACCTTCAGTAGTCGTCAGTCAATCAATCAGTATACGGAACCCGCTCCCAAGTGAAGCAAACAGACCGGATGCCCATCCCAACCCAGCCCAGAAGCAAGAGCTGCAAAGTAGCAAACATCCCAAATGAACAAACAAAAGAAACATAAAGGGTGCGTCGCTGGACACAGGGTCAAGAACCCTGCTTCAACCGCCCAACTCCTCAGTATCCTTTCATTTTCATCCCACCGCAAAAGAAATCGACACGTCCCCCTCCCGCTTGCTCGGCCCCGTCCCAACCGTCGAATTAGGCTTCAACCCCGGCGGATCATTCGCCGCATTAGGTTTAACCGTGGCCTTGCCGCTCACCGTGGCCGTCCTGACCCGCTGGCTCAGCGGCAACGTATACTTGAGCACGCCCTTGAGAATAAGCTGAAATTCGTCCTCCATGATCCGCTCCCAGCGTTCCGGCCCGCCGTACGTGCCATTCCCAGGGTTCTTGAGCCGCACCTCTCCCGTCGAGTACGAGATGCCCTTGTGGAAGAATGATCCCTCAAACGACAGGGCGCTGTCGAAGCCCGTGATGGTGCCCAGACGCATGTTGGGCGACGAGTCATCGGGCGGGAGCGGGTCCGGGTCGGCGTCCATGATCTTCATCTCGCCGTTGTTTTCGCCGACCCTGCGAGGCGGCGGGGGCCCAATCTCGCCTGGATGGGTGTGGCGCCACCACTCCGAGTCGGTCATGGCATGCGGTGACTTGGCAAACACTTCGATATCGGCAGAGTCGACGACGACAACGACGACGTTGGGGTTGTGAGCGCGGACGGTCAGGTCGAGCATGAGCTCTTGCTGGCTCGCGACGACGTGCTCCATGGACACGAGCTCGATGTCGGTGAGCGGCTGCGATGTCGCAAACATGAAGCCGATGGCGCCCGACACGACCAGGAGCAGCATGACTGTCAGGACGAGGCAGCTGGCAAACCGATTCAGCACCGAGAGCCGGGCCCGGTGGTAGGTCTGCGCCTCGATCGACCGCAGCGAGTGCATCCCCCGGCGACTCCTGCCTGACCTCCCCGATCGAACCGTGCCGGACTGTATCAGTGGTGTTCTCTCGTCGTCGGCGCCAGTGGTGTCGTCGAGGTCGTAGCCCGCTGTCAGGTGTGTCCCCCGCTTACCGTTCGCCCCTGCAGCAGCGCGGTTAGCAAAGCGGGGGCTGGGCGGCCCCGAGGATTGCCGGGAACCAATATTCCCCGTAGCTACTGATGCGTTGAAGGGAGAATGTTCGGCGAAGAGAGACGGGTGGCCGTTGCCACTGCCGTTGCGGCCCCATCGACCAAAATGGTGGTGGTGACGGGCGGTTCCCCGGGCCGAGCCGGCGTTGCTCCTCCCTGTGCCCCGACCGTCGTCATCGACATAACCGCCGTCGCTATTGCCGTTCGTGTTAGATGAGTTTACAAACTTCATGCTCTTCTTCATGACTGGTGGCGGGCCGGCGCTGTCCATGACGGCATGGATGGAGCGCATGCCACTGCGGTCGATCTGGCTAGCCATCGAAGTGGCGCTAGGGGTCCGCGAGTGGAACCTCATGGGTCGCTCGCGGCCATCTGGGGGGTTAGAATCGTAGACAAACGTCTCCTCGGAGTCGGACGAGTTGGCTTCTTCGACGGCGCTCGCAACCTTGGCCTCGAAGATGTCCGCCTTGGACGAGGCTAAGCGATGTCTTGTCAGTAAGCTACTCATGTGGGAGATGACCATGCTCCTCCTGCGGGCGTGATATTGACGAGAGCGACTGTCTGCTTCGTCGTGGTGACATTTCGTAGGCGAAACACACTTTTCAGCCGATGAGACGACTGATCCCATGGACTGATAATAGCGCAACCTAGGGAATAAAGCAGTTGAACGTGGTGGCTCACCGTTGCCAGCCGTCACGGTGGGTTGCTTCCGCGGCGGCCTTTTCTTTTCCTTCTTTGGTCGTATCGTCTCTGTGCTCGCCTTTGTGCGCAGGCTGACACTGGACCCCTGGGCTCCTGTCCCTGGGACAAGCGGGGCTTGTGGGATCGACGTTACTGTCTCGGTCTCGACTGTCATGCTCTGCAACGATGGCTCGCCAGTCTTGGTCTTGGTGACAGTTTGCTTGATACATGTGCTCGACTGTCTGGTGGTCAGAGGCGGCGCGCTGACGGCTCCGCTCCGCCGTCCAGCTGCGACGTTGTCGGTCTCGCTGTCGCTGACAATGGCGGTTGTCCTCCCTGCTGCATTGTTCGAGAAACCAAGGCCGACGGAATCTGCTTGGGAGGCCTCCGAAACGAAGCTACCGTCGAGCTTCTCTTGTATCGATTCCTCCTGGCCCGGAGACCCTATCGGGCTTACTTCCTGCACAGTTTCCAAAGTCGATGTGCTCCCGCCTCCGCCGCGAGCTGGTGTCTTCATACCGGTCAAGGGCTGGGCATCTTCCGGGTCTGTGTCAGGTGGCAAGTCGGCGGGTGGTCCTACCGGCGGGGTGGCGCGCTGGACATTAATCAGGGGCGCCTCCGGTTCTGGCCTCCTCGGCAGCCCCATGTTCGGCTTGTGGAGGATGGGCGGCGGGGATCGCAACCTCGGAGAGACGGGCCATCTCGGCGACTCTCGCAGATGCTCCATGGTCGTGGGGGACTTGACGGGCGCGCCCACATTCGAGCTCAAATCCGACGCGGACGGGAGGAGCGTAGGGGTATTAGCAGTCGACAGGGTCTTGGATGTCGGCGCTGGCGCAGGGTTGGCCTGCCTCCCGGATCGCGAAGGACTGAGATCTTGCTGGCTATTCTTCCTCGAGCTGAGTCCCGAATTCGCGGACGAGGTGCGCGAGGTTGCGGTCCGCGACAGCGGCCTGGTCGGAGAGGGCTCGCGTGATGATGGGGAGGGGGATGGGGCGGTGGACGACGAGGCGGACATGGCAGAGGTCTGGGACGTGAGTCTGGAGGGACCAGACTCGGTCATTGGCGTTATGGTTGCCGTGCTTGCAGAGGATTCGCGGGAGAACGTGGGGTGCGCATTCCGACCGCCACTAGGTGCTTCCGACGAGCCGGTCGATATGTTTGGTGGCTTGTCCATGTCTGCATGCGAGCACTGGCACTGGCTGGACAGGATGAAGGGAGAGGAATGGAGGCTCGGTCCGGGGCACACATGCCACGCGCGGTCTTTGGGGGTCGACTCTGGGCTAACTGCGCCGGGTCAACGAATCATGCCGGCCCGGCCTAGCGAGCAACAGAGGCTGTCGTCCAGTTGTTGTTGGGATTCGTGGTGTGCTGTGCGACCTTGTCTATGTCGGTGTCTTGTTGTCCTCTGTGCTGTGTAATCACCGCTGTAATGACTTAGGGTTTTGATTGAGCGATATCCGGAGGTTCTGATTTGTTGACGCGCAGGCAGCTGCTCTGTTGATGGGGCAGTTCTCATGCCTGGACGGCGTGGGAGGGTGATGGAGCACGGAATTGGGTGGATGATGTCGTTGGTCGGCCAGATGGGTCGAGCCACAAAAAACACAAACAGCGACTGGAGGGGTGTTGATGCGCTGGCCCACCCCTGCACCGTTTTTCCCGCTTCGGACCACCCAACGGTCAGACGGTGCCAAAAAGGGCTGATGACGGCGGCAGTTCACGGCACAAAAACGCGCAGTCAGGCACCAAATCGAGAAGCCCTGGATCGACTCCGATCGCCACTGGAAATGGAAGGGTGCATTTTGGTTATCACGATTACACCATCCACAACTCCGTACCTATCCGCGACTTTAAATCTCATCCGGCTGAAAAGCGGAGGATTGACGCCTTGAAACGAGCGACAGAAACAATACCGGTACCTTAAACGGAAGTGTCCCTCCGCTCGCTAGGTCAGGTACCTGACAATGGAAGTGACATTGTGCGGACACGTGTAACAACTTGTCCCTTTCCACTCAGCGATGGGCTGAAGTGACCGACTAGCCTGACCAAGCCGCAAGCGAATGCAGCCCAACCGTGCCCCTGAGAACGTGGCACGAATTGTGCCATGGGAGGTGGGTCGGATACAACAGTTAAGACAGTCTCTCTTTGGGGATGAAAGCAGGTGACCACTGACCAGGTACCCGAGAGGCGCGACCGTCTCACCGCAAGTGCTCGAACAACGGTTTGTCCAGGTCCCCACTCCGATGGTTGACTCGATTCCAGAATTCCGCTCCCCGCCAATTCCGGGACCAAGGCGATTGTCCCGGGCCGGCGAAGGGTCTTGCTCCGGTCTCAACGATTTGCGTTAAAAGCCGAGAAGTCTCCCTGCCTCATTGAGCAGTCACCTCTGCTAGTGATCCCCATCCACACACACTGCGAAGCAGCGAACGAACATGAATAACGCCATTTCCACTTATGTGATCGATCTGATGTTTTCCTACCTCCCGTCCTTTTCTGCATATTTGATCAGCTGAAAGCGGCCTTATCATCGGTCAACTCCCTGCACAGGTTTGTCCGGCGTCTGAATATTGAGCACACGCTTCCTTCCAGGGTTTCCCCTCAGGGTTTGGTTTCTATCACTCGTCCCCGGCTACCGCGGTCTGCGGCATGTCCGTGCGGACGTACCTCGGGTACTTGTTCCTGGCACGGAGTACATTGGCTTGCTTCAACTCGGTCACCGACAACCTGTTCGAAGGTCAACCATTTTTTACGTTTCAGTTAGAGCATTTCCCGCTTCCGCCGATGCGAGGATGCAGGTGGTGACGGCATTCTTGCATTTGGCCAATGACTGGCCGGTTCTGTCGAAATCTCACTTTTCGTGATTCGACCGATGAACATCACGGTGTCGAAATTTCGAGATCGAATCTCAGGGATCGTCCCAACTGGTAGATAATCGATCAGAAGCTTGAAATTCGACCTTCAACGGTGACTTTCCTGATGCACATGGCGACCGTGGACCCGTTCGTTCCCATTCTCGAGCAAGATCGGCGGCGTTTTGAGCCGAGAGTCAACAATCGGTCGATTCACTGCAAACGAAGGTACAAGACAAGAAGAGAATGAACAACGGAGAAAATTCTGGGAGTTTGTAGTCTAGAAGTTTTCATTGGCTTTAGAGGACCACACTAATCTCTTCGACAGCTCTTCATTAACCACCGTCACTCTCACATGATGTCGAGGTCCCCATCTTGTACTTGGACGTCAGGGTGTCCCTGACTTGCGAGTAGCAGGCAACTCCCGTTGTGAGATCCGCATCTTTGACGCTTGTTCTACAACTCGGGTTGGAACTATTGCGGTCTCATACCAGTACCCTCTTCAGGAAACTTATGCCGCTGCGTTGCCGATGATGCTCGCCGCTGGCAACTCATAGCAGCGTAGGCTGTCTTCACAGGCAGCTTACCAACAGATTCTGGTCATCAAGCTGACTGACACATACGGACTTACCCTTTCATATTACAGTCAGATACCTTTATTCAATCGCTGGAAGTTGTGTGGAGGTCACTTGAAGAGTATCTAACGCAAAACTCTCCAGCAGATTTCAACAGTGGATTTACGACGAGACCTCCGAGTGACTCCCACACATGCTGCCCGCAATCGTCACGTAGCCGAGCACGCCCTCGTCCCGGGCGCCGTCATGATACACGCCAGGTTGACCAAGACGGCCTTTGCTGCGCATGACCTCGTCTTCTTTCATTTTCCGGTGTTGTATAATACATTGTTCGAGGGTTAGCCGCTTGCCCCACAACCAAGCGCATGAGAGGAGAATGGCCCTTCGCGGGCACAAGAGCTGTGGGTGCCGGGATGACATGGACGGCGTGGGATATAGCGGTACCCCAACAAACAGTACAACGGCAATAAGACAACTCGTTAAGATGGTTGGGATGGGAATCGGAAGCGCGCTGGTTGTGGAATGCATGGTTGACTTCGTGACCAACAGTCGTTTTAGTACTTGGAGTTGCTCCCTGCCCTGAGAACCGAGACCTTGCACTCAAAGCATACCGCCGCACACAGGATTATTATAGTAGGTGTTCCCTCCTTCCTGCTGGGGAGTACGGTCTGACTATTCTACATACCCTTCTGTCCTCTACCAGTGCTTACGATGGGCAAGGAGCAATTGGAGGAGTAACTGGACCAGTCTGGTGTACGACAAATGACGTAATGACGTACATTACCCCTGGTTCCACTTCCCTACACCAAACTCTCCTCCGCTAACTCCCTCCAGTCGATAGCCGTGGTGCAAGTACGCGCTGCATATCGCGACGTTCACGTCGCTGGCCTTCGTGGTCGACCCGCTTTTGCTCTTCTCATGCTGGTGAGGTATGGAAAACTAGGAGCGCAGAAATCGACGCATTCTCCTCGGAAGCGGAGATCGCATTTAAACTCGGCCTTACCAAAGTAGTGAAACTGGTTGGTCTGCTTCGTAGGAATCCAAGTAACATCATGTTCCTACTGGTATCCATTTTCTTTGGCTACTTCCATGATCCAATTAAGCTCTATACACTGTTCACACTCAAGGAGGTAGATTACGACTGCCCCTTCCTCCCCCACCAATACAGGCCATGATGAATAGTTCTGACTCCGAAACACAGACGTCCTGGGGAAGCCGCGAGGACGGCGATGAACACAACACTTACCGTCTGCAGAAGAAGCCTGCCCGCAGCTAGAGCATGGCGATACCGATGGGAAAGGGTTTGCCCAAAAGCGATGGAGAACCGCCCGGGTCCATGATCGCCACCGGGCCGCGACCCATCAGCTGGCATCTCGAGGAGTGCGAGATTGGATGGAACTGCCAGGCAACTCGCGATAGCATCATTTCTTCACAAGCAAGCATGCTTCATGAAGAGAAGTAATTAGTATAACGTGGTCCACCATCGAGCGGGACACCCCATCGACCGGGACACTTTTTCCTTCACTATAATCACCCAACTTCAAGACGCGTTTTCTCTACCACAACAATGTCCGAGAGCTTCCCAGAAAACCGAGTTCTTCTCGCGATCAATGCGATTCGATCAACACCGGGGTTGAGTATCCGACGCGCTGCAGAGATATACAACATCCCCAAGTCGACAATTGCTGCGAGATTGAAGGGCCGGGCTGCAAAGTCCGACAGCTGCAACGGCCGTTCGAATTTGACGAAGAT